ATTTCATCCCTCCCACTCCCCTTGTACACCACCATACACCTCCCTCTCCCTCTCCCTCTCCCTCTCCCTCTCCAATCCTCCCCCTCCCTCCCCCTCTCAAAATCCCCCCCAAAAAAATCACATACCCAATCCCCCACCCTCAACCCTCCCACCTCACCCTCAACCCTCCCACCAACCTCCACCACCCACCCAGCCATCGAATCCCCCAATACCTGCGGATGCCTCACCATCAACCCCCCATCACTCTGATGTAAATCCAGGGGCGTAGACGCCGTCCACTCCACCCTCACCCTCACCTCATTCTTATCAGGAGTGATCGTTGGGACGCTGATTGCTTTTAATGGGCCACGGATACTGGCTGTGACTATTGCTTTGTGAGTTGACATCTTTCTTTTTATGGATTATTTGAAAGGACGTTTGGAGTTTGGAGTTGGAATCGATATGAAAGACTTGAAAGACTAGATGGAATGAGAGTTAAGATTATTTTATTTTCATTGTACTTTACAGTAAAGAGCCATCCTCCTGTATTTATAATATAATATAATTACATGGTCGAATTCCCAACATCAACATCTGTACCATCTGTAGCCCCTTTCACAAACCCGGATTTCCAATCATGAATTAGCGAATCGCTAAGTCCATGGGGTTATACTCGAGTTACTCACACAGAGTAAGATCTTACAAATACGGACCATGGAGATATTGTAACCTTGTAGAATATTTGGAAAAAGTTCTAATATCATATCCTCAAGCATATTTATTTTTCCAGATGAATTCACGAATAAAAGTATTTCACATGAACTATACTCCGGAGATAGGGAATTTTCAGAACCTCCAGTCGTTGTCCCTGTCCTTTACCAAACACAAACACCCGCATCTCTCATCTCTCATCTCTCGCAATTCATTTCACAATTCCACCCACCTCAACCACCTCAACTATAAATAAAACTAGAACTAGAAATGCAGTATTCGTATACTCGTAGTAATAATAGTAATAGATCAATTTGCAAACTCCAAGCACAAGATTTCTCGTGGGTGGAGCGATAGAAAGAGAGAGAGAGTACCAAGATTCGTTGCCAGAGAGAGATAGTGTTCCTATGTGGAAGAAAAATTGAACCATGGCTAGATGGATATTGAAGAGTCTACCTATCCTTTCTCTTTCTCATTCTCAATCTCTCTTCTCTGTTCGTTCGGCCACACCCACCTATTTTACTATTTTATAGCCAAAGCCAACTCGTCAAAGACAAGGACAAAGAACATGCAGATTGCAGAATTTTCGAATTTTCATCATCATTCGCTCTTAGCTAATAATTAGACAACACACATGATCGACAATTAATTGTGCATAAATCGAATCAAACCAAATCGACAACACAAACATCGAAGCAAAGCAAAGCAAAGCAAAGCAAAGCAAAGCAAAGCAAGGCAGGCAAAAAAGTACCGTATACCATTCCTATACATAAAACCCTCACTCAGCCCACTCTCAACCGCTCAAGGACGTCCCGTCCATCCCCCATTCCCATTCACTCGCTCTATGTACGTACGACCTCAAGTATCTACCCTCCCTTAATCTCTACTTGTCTTATTCCACCACTGCCAAACATTACTGCTCTCCACCAACCAGATTAGTACCCTCTCTCAAACCCTCGACCACCAAATCATGTCCCTCAGCCCGACGATAGATATCCCTAACATCATCTGTAGTAGTCTCGAAATGGGATGTAGCGTCGTAGGATTTAGAGATGAAGATACGGTCTTTTTCGCCGCTCTCGAGGGGTTCGTAGAGAGGAATTGGTGGGCCCTATTTAGTAGATTCATGTTAGTATCGTGACATCTGGGTTATAGCAGGAAAGATGGAATTGATGATAAGACGAATGAATGCTTACCATAAATTTCTCCTCGATCTTTCCGAGACGCTCGAGACCAGGTGCAAGTTCCAAATGGTGGTTTGAATCGGTCTCGGCAATTGTGGAGACAATGGCGATATAGTAACCCTTTGGACAAACACTGTGGACGTTGGAAACGACAGCAATGTAGATATCTATGAAAATGTCAGCTACAACCCCCAAATATATTGAAGACATAAAAACATACCGTTCTTGCGTCCAACCTGGGATTGAGGAATGATAAGTTGTGCGGAATCAGCATTGTCTGTTCCAGCAAGCGGATGGTTCAGGATGCAAATAGCCTTCAAAAGTTGACCGACAACGCGAACCTTTCCGGGGAAGTATGATGGGTCTGCAATGATCTTCTTTGTCTTAGTCTCGAAAGTCATGGTGGATTCATTGCCCTGGGCATCCTTCTCATGCATAGAAGCCTTGATACCGCAGATCTTGTCTCCATCATATTTGAACTCATCAATGCTTGCATTAAGCATATATGTACCACCATAGATAGCAGACAAACGAGCGAAACCTTGAGGAAGTTCACCGAGACCGTATGCTGGGTAGATGTATGGAGACTTTCCGTAACGTGCGACCGAGTTTCCGTATAAACGAATGCGATCGATGGATGTAGGAGCTGTGCCCTTCTCGTTGATATACTCATCGGTTTGGTATAAAGCCATGGCATGACCAAGGAAGTCTCGAGTACCAGTCTCGAGTCCGAATTTATCGTAAACATCCTTCATGGTGCAAGTGCTCATATTGAGCCCTTCATCCTGTCAGCAGGTTCCCAGAAAAGAGATATTTCAATCATCTTACCCTTGTGTGTAGCAGGATCCGCAACATCGAATGTGCCAACCCACTCAAGGAAACTCTTCATCCTTCGCTTCTCGAAGATGCCCATCAGAGATGATCTCAAAGCCTCGCCAGCATCCGATGGAACCTTAGCAACCATAGCTTTTGTACCAGAACCCTGTTGTACATAGCTTCCAGCCACGGATCTAAACTCAAGATATCTCGTAACATCAGTGGAAACGAGGATATTTGTGAGTTCACCCGAAGACATCAAAAGTTTAGGCACCAAATCGATGTTCCAATCATTCGCACGCCCGTACTTCTTCCATGGCTCCTCCCCTTTATTATAATTTCCATACTTCTTGAAGAGCTATCGTAACTGTCAGAATCAAGATTCGCAGATCCTAAAATTGTACTCACAGCTTCGATATTGATGGATGCAGCTTCACTATTGATAAATCAGCTATTGTTGAACATCTGTGAGCTTGAAACACATACCCTCCGTAATGATCATTTCGATCAATGTGCAAGACCTTTTGTCCCTTAACACTCAAAACTCTGTCCCCAAAACATCAGTACTAAAATCCCATCATCTTCTCCAAATTCACATACCCAGAAAGAACACATTCCGTCAACCCTATCTTCAGTATTAGCCATTTCCCTAACAAAAAGCATAACAATGCTCCCTTCCAATCCATGCCCCTCCAGCCAATGCGGGGTTGAAGCAAGCTTACCAGTGCCCAAAACGACAACATCATATTCGGGGGCGATTTCATCCATATTGATATTGAATTATAATCGTAGTATTTTATTAGGTAGGTGAATTTGTAAAGAAGAAGAAAATAATATGGAAAGCTTGCTGGTGAGAGAAAATCGCAGATGGGGGTTTATGCTGAAAATTGCAAGGGCAGTTCTGTAAATGGTCGGTGAGACAGTACAACGTCGTTGATTCTCTGGCTCACTAAACTTCTCTTGATTGGCCTCGCTAAAGAGGAAACTGGATTGACCGCTTTGTTGTTGCTGCTGGTAGAATTTGTCTTGGTGTAATTATACTCAGGGGCAAATTTGTGGAGTTTCACGATCGCTTTTGGGTTACAGTATTGACAATTTGATATATGGATTCGATACTTCGAATTATTGACTTGAATTCTACCGGTAATGATTCATATCGAACCTTCATTTTGATATCTTCCTATAAAGTACCAAGTATGTATCAACCAAGTAATGAAAGAATCAGCTTATACCACTCTCTCAATTCCAGACAAAGGTGGCCCATTTCTCTAACATAAATGCATAATGCGGCCATAGCTGTTTTGCCCCATGTGCGTTTCTACTTATACAGATGATGGCTGTAGCAACCCAGATTGTTTATGCCCAACTGGAGACATCCATCCTTCCCTAAGACTCATTATTTTCGACCTAGGGGCATGATCTTCTATCATACATCCTGCATGATCTAAGCTGTGATCTGAAGAGGTTTTGACTCTACCTCCCCTTCGGCTTCAGCCTCAACATCCTCCTCTATATCTTCCTCAAATTCTTTAGGGGTGTATAGTGGTCCATCACCCGAAAGATTGATTTCTGGATCATCCTTCGCAATGACTGCCGCGTCCTGCCAAGAATAGTATCTTTCGGTCAAAACTTGTTTGATGGCTCTTTGTGTTCTCCGAACCTGTAAATGCCCCAGAATTAGCCTTTCGTTCCTGGTCTCTGAATCCTTGTAGCCCTCAATCAAATAGGATATAAACCAAATTCAGAACTCACAGTCATCTCCCTCTTCTCCGCATCCTCATCACCATGCCCCGCGTGCAATCTGCTCCTCTCATAAGCCTCTGTAGCAATGCGATTCCTCTCCTTACAGCAAATCCACCAAAGCGAATGTAAATCCTCCCAACTCTTCCCCCTCAATTCTTCTGCACTCCACGGTCTCCCATGACTTCCATCCTCAGCTGGCGTACTTAATGGCTTATCCTTATGTCTGAAGAATTCGTATAATCCGTGGTCCTCATCAACCTTCACTTTGATTCGTTTTGATGCATCTAGAACGGGTTGGGGCAGTTTCGAATTTTGTACCGAGAGGGGTTGGCGGGGTCCCGTTCGTCTTTGGGTAGATACTCCGCGATCACGGTTCATATCTCGGGGGTATAGGTATGTGCTACTGGTAGAGAAAGAGGTCGTTTGAGTGCATGATGGAGTTATGGAGGAGGTTTGTAGGCAGGGAAGGAGGAATGCTGGCGGGGTATTTCCTGCTTTTCGTATTTGTAGCAGATTCCGAACTGCAGGTCGAATAATTGTAGATGTCGACATCTTATGTTGAGATTATCAATGGCGATGTAATTGCTGGCTTTCAGATTACTTCCTCAGCAGTCGAGAATCTCAAAAAATCGATAAATTGTTCGGGTCACCGTATAGAAATATGGTGGGGTAAAAATCAAGACCAAAGGCGCAATTCTAGATTCTGTTAAACCCCTTTCACAAGCACATGACTGAGTAACCCACCAGCAGTTACACAAAGACACAAAGTGCCTCCAATAGCCTTGGGACCGTAGCACAAGAAGTTTTGTTGCATATCGGATTTACGCCTGATGGTCTCACTGTAATGCCCAACCCAAGTTTCCAAATATGCCATGCCGAACCGAGAAACAACCTGAAGACATTTCAGGCCCCGTCGGCTCATCTCTTTTGTATAATATTGCATAACGTAACTGCATATATTCACGATTGACTGAATATGACTTTGTACAACACGAGTTCCGTTTGAACGGAGAGAGAAAGCGGCACAAAATGCACCATGCCGATGCCGAATGCTATGGTTACAGTGTTTCCTCGAGATAAAGTCGTTTATTCAAGAGGCGAGGCGTGAGCCTGTTTAGCAATACCTATCAGCTTGAAGCCTTGTAGGTGTGGTAGTGCGATGGAAAAGTGTTCTAGGTAGCTACTACTCGCACAAACAAATGCATAGACCCGGCCAGAATATCCAGATCCTATTGCATGCATGAAATTGAAGTCACAGGAGCTGGATCTAGATCCGTTTGCACATTGGGCTGTTTTTGTGTATCGCTATACTGTGGTGTATGGTACATGGCGTGTGATATTTACTTCCGGGGAACTGGGTATAGAGGTTTCTGCAGGATATCCTGTGTTCTGTAATTTATTATGGTAGCATTGCGTTGGATGTTTGCTCGTAGTTACCAATCAGTGCAGACTGCAGTCCGACAATGAGAGGTTCCTAATTCCTCAATCCATTTCGGATACTCAATTCGTTTGGAACATTCAATCGATTTGTAGCATTGAATCCATTTAGAACATCAAGATGTTGTTCCAACATTTATAGCTTTCACGTCTAGTCTGTTCGTCCGGACTATTGGACATTCTGGGTCGCCGTTTGCCTCTCTGGAATTATAATTTCGTACATCAGATTCATGTGGTAGTTCATAGAAGACCAAGGGCTTACAGCCAGTTATGGATATTACTTGGGATGAAGATATCACAACTCAAATAGGCAGCATGATAGTTCTAAAAAGGGTATGATTGAATTGAAAGTAGCACTAAAGAGTGCCAGAAAAGGTATATTATATCCACCCCACGCCCCAATGTATGCTCCGTCTGAGTGATGTTCCTTATGCCCTCGACCGTTCCGAAGCTTCTCCCATGCACACTCAATCTTATCTGGAAAGTGCCTCAAGCAACGCCATGCATGCCAAACAGTAATCAAGAGGGTGACATTCTCGCATGCAGCCACCCGGGTATCACAACAATCTGGAAAGCCAAAGCCCGATCGAAAATTTACAAGAGGTAGACCATGCCTGCAGCGGCAGCGGCAAAGGCACCTCCTGAAACGAAGTTGACGGAACCGGCAGCCTTGCTAGTCGAGGCAGCCGCGGCGTCAGTGGTAGATGGGGAGTGTGTGGTAGTGCCGTTGGTCGAGGTGGTACCGTTGGAGAAGGTACCAGTGGAGGATGGGCTGGCAATGGAGGTAGCGGTTGATGCTTCAGTGGAGGCGGTTGTGGCTGCTGCAACAGCTGCGAAAGCAATGAGGAAAATGGAAGGCTGCATTTTGCACGTGATTATGTTTATTGATGGTTGGAAGGTGATGTATTATTACTTCGGATTCGATGAAAGTTTCGAGATTGCGAAGCTTGAATTTGGAATATTGTATATGAGATAAAACGAAGGTGGTTTGTTTGTTTGCAAAAGAGAATAGAGAATCGAACTGTTCAAATACTAAGCTCATTTATTTGTGGCAACAGGAAATTACACAGCCTTGTAAGGGGCACCACTTCTTGTCTCGGTAAGATTTATATATAGAACAATCAACAAGTCCAGATTTCAGGAGGCAGTCGAGTCATGTGACATAAGTTACGAGTTTTAACGTCAAATCCAAGTCAGACAAGGCGAAGCGAAGATCTTCTTGGAATTGTCAATTAAAGCTTTGAAACCTGTTCAATCCACATCATCTTACATACGGAAGAAGACAGAACATTTGCAAGAAATAAGACCTATTTAACCTGATCCGATGCTCAACCTAGCCCGAAGGTCGAACTTTGTTGATCATAGCGGTCACAGCAGACCTATAGTGAAAAAGGAATTGAAATTAGGGGGGAAGGCAATGGCATATAGAGACTTGATCGATCCTTGATGTTTACTTCGCTTGAAGTTTAGAAGACAGAATAATACATCTCATGATTCTCATCTAATGTGTGCTAAGATTAGATGCAATCATCCTGATCAAAGGGAAAGTTGAATTGACTCGAATGTGCAGTTGAAAACTATTCTAGGCATAAACCCGCGAGGCAGTGGAATATCGAGTATTGATATACATACCGGTATGCACAGCTTTTGTTGTACGGCACCGCCTCAATAACATATCGTTCGGATAATACCACCACATCCCACTTTTGATGCATTGAAACACGGGCCTTTTCATGCATGACTCGCAAGAAGTTAGGAACGTGGCAATTCTTATAACAGCAAGACACTGAAGAAACCATAGGGTAGCGGAAACAGCGCGCCTGAAGAATAAAGAAATGGGTATGGAAGCGCAGAGAAATAAAATTGACTTCTCACATCCCCTGCTTGACAGGTTGGATTCTTCCAAGATCAAGCACTAATCCTTGCAGATCTTGATTTCAATGCAACCTGCCAGTGCTGCCACTGGCTGCCAGCCTCTTCCGTTAAATAATGAGTTGTCTGGCAATCCAAATATGTGTTAGTGAGACTTTTTAGTTTAAGCCTCTGCGACACGATTCACACGAAGCTCATACTCAGTATGCATGCATGCTTACTTACCCAGTATGAGCTACATACTGTACTAATGCAATTCAGATCCGACCCTTGAGTTTCGGTAGATCAGACTAACGAATCATAAGCTAGAGGGTTTATAAGAGATCAAGTTGCCGTAAATACTGCTGATGTTAGGTGCAGGGAAAAGCTCCTGTTACACCGCATAATGGCTTGGTGTACTCGCACGCGGGTCTTCCAGTGCATCGAACCTTTCGAATCTTCGATCAAGCAAGTTTTCAATTAGCCGAATGATATGTCTTCTCGACCTGGCACTAGGCTGCTTCTTCACATACTGTAATCCTTTGTAATCACCTGATATTGTTTGATACATTATACATGAGAGTATCTCCGAGTCAGCATGTCGAGGCGAGCGGTGTAAAATTCCTTCAGCGCCATCGTGTGTACACTGTACACTGTGTAATTTGTCAATGGTTCGAAGAGAGCACCTTGGGCGCTGGGGATGTATCATGTTAGCATGTTACCGGATAGCAAGGGGCTTAATATCCCGATTCCCAACCCTCATGATATTATTGAGAATTTGAGACTAGAGCAGCTAGTCTTTAAATATTTGATTGCTGGCAGCCACGCATGCGTACGGAGGTTGTCTGTATTTGGTAAGATTCAAGACCTAGTTTTTGCTGTCAATAATGGAACGAGTAGTTCGTCGCCTGAACTTCGGTAAAGATCTGTTAAACGCATCGAGCGAGAATCTGCGTGTGCTCCTAATAATGTTGCCTTTGCATAAGTCGTGAGTCGTGCCATAGGTTACCGGTATTTAACGTTTCCATAAGATAAAATCTAAAGTATAATTTTGCCTCCAGGTGGCAGCATGACTGGTGTGATTGGTGCGAAGTCCGAACGAAAGCCTGTCGATACGATGTGTCGAAGACTTGGCTAACCTAGAAGGCGTTTTAGTTTTCTGTTTGTAGATTATGCACCCATTGAGTAAGCACTTTTTGTGAATTGTGTTGACATAAGTAAGAAGAATTTGTTGCCGATGGCTACGAATGGACGAAATGAATTTTGCATGGATGAGAAGCGGATAGAGATCCCAAATAAAGCAAAGATGCGAGGTTTTATCCAATTTGGGACTATATCCTGAATCCTTGTCATAATCACCTTGTATAATGGTCGCATAGATGCATCGATAATGCAGTCGTAGCGCCACACAGAAAAAGTTATATCTCTCTTAACTAGGTGATACATTGTACATACTGTAGCCGCCGTTGTGCTTGATCTCGGGACGATGGTTTATTTTTATCAATGGCTTACACAATCCGAACGATTTGTGATGAACACGAATGAGAATTTGGTCCCAGGAGTTGAAGAGTATAGCTTTACGGAAAAGATTCAGTACAGTACCGCCACACCGTTTGTGTGTTTCTTGATGACGCAGTACAACATCCATCCATGTTGTCTAATCATCGGTATGTGTGCCGGGACTACTTGAGAAAAAGCAGCAAGCAGAAACTCTTCATCGGCTGCTTGGTAATCCTACTCTTTCCTAACACCCGAAGTAAAATAGAAAAAAATAAGAAGGGGTGATCGTTAAAGCATGAATCTTTTTATTCCAGGGCCATGATTCGGGAGCTCGGAATTCGTGCTTTCATTGGAGGGATCTTCTCAACGCGTTTGGTTAAAGTTTGTATCCGGCTCAGGAGATGGATGGCCCGTCACCAACCGGACGTGCAGCTTTGATTGAGTTTCATTGCTTTCGAGATCGTACTTGGCCGCATAGAACCTAGAAGTCGTGGACGAGTGTGCGAAGGCAGCGTGGCCGTTCTGAAAGTGATCCTAAATGCATCAAGGCCTGAGCTGGCGGTAGCGTGCAAGTTGATAGACAAAGTAGGACTTAGTAGGACAATGTTTTGAATGTGTTGTACAGTACATACACAGGATACTGCATTTGGCTTGCAAAGTGTTTAAGCCGTTTGAGGTAAATGATATCACGGAGTAAACCGTTTTCTTGTGTTATCAGATGGTGCGTTGGTGACATATTGTTGAGGAGTGGTAGGTATGTAGTATGTAGTATAGCGAGTTTGACGATGTAAAAGACGATGGGATGGATGGCTTGGATGCATAGAAAAGAGTTTTAAGAAGGTTAAATCTACAGTACATTAAACTCTTATTATTACCTGTACCTACCTGCCGTAGAAATATTTGAACAAACGCGTCATGAAGGACAGCGAGTATAACCTTGCTCAACATGTCCGGCCGGTAGATGTAAAGCCTCGATTCCAGTTGAATCAGGAGATAATGCCATTTCCATCAATTTCATCGCTTACGCAGGAAGTTCGGTGAAACTTTGAGAATAGAGCAAAGCGAACAAGGGTAAATTTTGATTGTTAGAAAATCATAAATTTTCTATATGGCATAACCCCTTTTACAACAAAGTTATGATTCGAGCAAGTCAAGACTCTCTTCTCTGTCAAAAGGAGTTTGGATATTGATATTGGGATAGAAACTTGTAGGAAATTGAACTCTATTGATTGCACTGTATCGTGTTCATCAAGTTATCTATTTTGAAACAAATGAAACAAAATCTGTAGATGAAGGTAAGATATTATATGATTCCTCATTCTTAGAAGGAAATACACTGTAGTAGAGTGATAAAATAGCAAAATAGCAGAATAGTAGTATAGCAGATATTAGAAACTGGATTGAAATCAAAATAAATATCTAAAATACTGAATTTCTGAATTTCTTCTTCTCTGCTGAGTATATATTGAATCGACGACTACCTACTTATCATAGTATATTTAACTTAGAAAGTCTCCAGTCTCCCTACCTTGTCTTGTCTACTCGATCCTGCCTGCCAGCTATATATCAATGCTTTTGTTGAGCTAAGGCCTTTTTATTTCTCTTTCGTCTTCTTATCCCATTCTCATCTTCTTACTCGTAAAACATCCATTCAAATCAATCCCTCCCATTCACTTATTATATTTCTACTTCTAGTCTTCTAGTCTTCTAGTCGTCTTCTATTCTATTCAATCTATCGCCGAAAAGGGAACAGGCCTTCCTTAAAGCGGCATATCTTGTTGATTCAGGGAAGAGAAATCCTTACTCATTCACTGCAGCACATACCGACGCTACTATTCGAGAATTTTTTTTTTTTACCTTTTTACTTTTTTCCTCAAGAGAGAGAAGTTCTTGCGAAGTGCGACGCCTCCACTCAAACAGAACAATCCATCGTTTTTCTTCTCCATCATACTACCTTTCTTACCATCTACCCTCTAACCCTCAAACCCTTCAACCCTCCAAACTTATCCACTTCTTCCCTTCCAGCATTTCCATCCGGTTTAGAGATTTCGAGGGAGACACAAAAGTAAAAAGGCAACAAGCATACCTAAGGTTCCTTCCCGCATCCCATCCCACCCAAATCTCCAGTTTAATAAACGCCGTGCTACGGAAATACAACTTCTAAACTGCTTTGGCGGATTATTATTTTTTCTGGTTCCTAAAAAAAAAAAGCGTTGAAAGAGAGGACCCTGTTTAATCGATCGCATCCTCATAACCACCAAAAAGAAAAAAAGGTTCCCCACCACCGCGTTTATTTGCGCCCATTTTTGAATCATTGGAACCGGATAAAGTCTTCTTCGGATCCACTTATTGCTTCGAACACGAACAATTTCACAGTAAACATCTTGAGCCTCAAAGCAAGACCTTCGTCGCGCTTCGTTCAAGCTATCCCCCAAAGGATTATCCATTCTCCATAACGGCCTCAATATCAAATTGGTTACGGTGCGCTTCACTATTGTTGCCGCAGGGACCCTTGAAAATTTCTGCTGTTGTCTTATCTCCATTGAGAAGATCTCAGATACAACACATCTCGTTGACGGAAAAGAAAAGAAAAGACATTTCGATAATTTGGGGTGTGAATAGTTGGACGCGACAAAAGCAATTGGTCTGGAGCTTATTATAGTTCAATACCAAGAACTCAAAGATCAACAATCCGGTCATAGTGACGGCATAGCGGAAGGTTCTTATGATTGAGCAATTGATCGTCCCACCAACTAAGTTCGCATTAAAAACACCATACTCGTTATGGACAACGCCCAATATCATTCGAACGCGATGAGTAACGGAAATTCGCCATACTCTCCACTCCCCGGTATTTCCCCTCACCAGCTTCAACACAACTCGAACTTGCCACCCCACACTTTACCTCCACTTCAACCACAGCAGCACGCGGCGATGCAGCAGCAGCAGCAGCAGCAGCAACAGCAGCAGCAGCAGCAACAGCAGCAGCAGCAGCAACAACAACAGCAACAACAACAGCAGCAACAGCAGCAACAATCATGGAGCGCGCCTCATACCCCACGGACTCCCGGTACCCCAAACACACCAGGTTCTGCTAGTTTGGGTTATTCCCAGGTTGGAGCACAATCAAGACCTGCACAGATGATGTATGGGAATTCTTACCAACAGCAACCCCCACAGCAGCATCAATACCGCACTTCGGCCTCCATGATGCCCCAATCGTCAACTGCTCTATCGCACAACCAACCTATTGCACCAGCTCCTGCAACCAGTCGAGGGCCCCCTCTGAGACCTATGCCTGCGAGTAATGTCCCGCAACACCTCTCGATGCATCCGGCTTATCCCCAAACCAATATGCTTCAACAGGTGCTTGCAGAAGAACCACCTACTCATGTAGTGGGTTCTCAGGGTCGAAGGGGAATATTGCCAAGCGCTCCGGGACGTCCACAGGTTACTGCTACCGGACCTGGATCCACAAAAAATGCCATGATCCCCGCAAAGGATGCTGATGGAAAATTCCCATGTCCTCATTGTACTAAGACATACCTTCATGCCAAACATCTTAAGCGTCATTTATTGAGACGTAAGTATCCCCCAAGATTTCATCAATTGATTACCGAATAAACATTTAACACCCCTCAGATACTGGAGATCGCCCATACATGTGTGTACTTTGCCGCGACACCTTTTCTCGCAGTGATATCTTGAAACGTCATTTCCAGAAATGTTCAATTCGCCGTGGGAATCCTACAGGAGCAAGCCACTTGTCTCATGCACAGGCACACTTGAAGAAGTCACATCCTGGACCAAAGGCACATCAGACAATGGGTCCCGAGTCTGATCTTATGGCTGGCATGAATGGTATGAATGGCATGCCGAATGATGGTTCAATGCACCCTTTTGGTGTAGTCCCTGACGGAAGTATCGCCGATGCTGGGTCTAACCTAACAGATGACCAAGCTTCAAAGGCCTCAAACGACCTCCAGCGACTCGGCAATCCCGATAACAGAGACCGAAGGAGTATGACTGGACCCGCCGCGGGTGGTTCAAGTCGATCGAGTTTTGATCAAGGCTATGGAGGAGGAATGCCGAGTACTATGTCTTCCGCTATGAACCCTGCCATGGCATTCAGCATGCCAAATGGTCAGAATGGTCATTCTTACAGTCAGAGCTACGATTTTGCTTCTCAAGGCAACAATGCTAACTTGCATGCGCAGTCGACGGAGGGAATGTCAACTGTTTCTAACGGACGACCTCCGATGCCTGTCTATGCAGGAGCGAACGCCAGCCAACAACATTCGATACTCGACTGGCCTCACATGATTCAATCGAATGGCCAAACTTTCATGACTCCCTACAACTCGAACCTCGCGAACCAACAAATGCAGATCAAGCAAGAACCCTACAGCTCGAACCTTGCGAACTCGCAAATACAAATAAAACAAGAACCTTCTAATCACGGTCTTTTCACTGGCGTTTACCCCGGCGCTTCCGATCTTCCCAATTCTGATTTTTCCAATTGGAACATTCCAGCTCCCAACGATCCCCTCCAGCAAATTTCAAGCCAATTGCTAAACTTTTGCCTCACCGCACATCCACAACTCAGTGCTCGCAGTCAAGAGATTAGAAAATTCCTCTCTGCAGATAGCATTAAGCACTTCCTTGAGCAGTTCAGCAATTTCCAAGGACATTTTCCCATCATCCATATGCCAACGTTTCGCATCACCGATTCTTATGAAGGTCTTCTACTAGGTATGATCTGCATAGGCGCGGTTTATTCTGATCGCATGAGTCCGGTCCAAGTTCGCGAGATGACGGAGGTTGTAAAGATGGTCATAGAATCGAACTCTCAAGTCTACGCGGTTATTTCTCGCGCGTCCACTGGCGAGTATGCCAATGAACCAATCGGGTCCTCTAAATCTGAAGTTGAGCAAATAGCTGCTATATTTATGATGCAGGTTCTTTTCACATGGCACGGCACACCGCTCCAGCGCGAGAAAGCCCGACGTGACTTTCCTCTGATCGTTTCTCTGGCTAGAAGAGCAGACCTCACACAACCAATGACTACCAACCCTTTCAGCGTTCTGCATCAACCCCATGTAAATGTCGATGCTTTCGTTGCCGCAAACTTTGATTGGAATGCGTGGGTTGAGCAGGAAAAGAGATCCAGGCTACTCTATATGATCTTTTTGTTGGATTCCGCTCTAGTTATTTTCTTCAACATTGCACCTTCTTTTGATCCACTGGAGATTCGTCTTCCACTTCCTGTCGATGACGCTGCATGGGAGGCCCGCACTTCTGCAGAGTGTGCCGATGCTCTTGGTCTCAATGGTGCCGCGCTTTCAGCTCAAAAGAATACTGAAGGTAACCGACGACGCAAGCAGCCCGAGATGCACACGGTGCTAAAGACTTTGATGCATCACTCTTATGATATACAGCCAGGAACCACGAACTTATTCTCCAAATTCGTACTGGTGCATGCTCTTCATGTGCAATTGTGGACTGCTCAGAAACAGGTCTCGCAAGAATCCGGACAAATCACTGCATCCTTGAGCAGTGGAACAAATACACCACTGAGTCAAAATGACTGGGTCGTCAGGAGTGGAGATCAGAACGGTAGTGGCGCACCAAGTGCGAATAACAGTGGACGAGCAACCCCTGTCGATGGTCAACCTCCGCTTTCTCACCAGCTGCTCAAATCTGTCACAACCGCTTTCGAAAAATGGAAGAAAGCGTGGGATGAAGATATCAGCGTTCAGTACCCTCCAGGATCTTCATACCCTCGCCGATTCGGATTCTGTCGTGACGGTGCACATTTTTACTGGCTTCAGAAGTGCATGCTATCTCAGAAACTAGACTGGCAAATGCCTTCGGATCAAAGATTCACACATGTGATTCAATTGTTGAAGTTTGCTAAGCGATGGGCCTCGAATGATACATTAAAACGAGGAGAGGAGCCTGGATCAGTCAGCGACATTGATAAAGACTTTGGAGTAGCGAACTTGACACTAGACATGGCCCAATTATTCAGACCAGTAAACGCAAAGATCGATTCTCCGGTGCACGGTGTACATACCAATATTTAGCAGCGAAATGACAAGAATTATACGTTTGGGCGGAGCATCTTATAGACGGTTTTAATTGCATTGCATTGCATGGGCGTTGTTGCATTTTCCTTCAATTCATTCTGTTCTATCCGACAGCCTCGAGAACTGAGAGATAAGTGCGTTTTTAAGAAAAGTTTGCGTGGATCTTATATACATTTGCATTGCATTTGGCGGCGAAGGGATAAGAAGAATAGTTGTGATTGAAAGCTTTGCAACTTCGGTGTGCTTGGGATTCCAAGTTTTTGCATTTTCATTGCTCCTGGTAACCAGAACGAGAGCTCTCCTCGTTCCGAGTTAAGAAATGGGGAAATGAAGAAAATCTTATAGAAGGATACCAGCTTTTTAAACGCTGCGTTAGATGACTTTGCTTTTTTCCCTCGATACATTGTTTATAGAGACGTCGTTATGATGAGTTGTTGAGAGGAGAATGAGATGTCCTTTGGCCAGGATGATGAAAAGCACATGAGACGATTTGGGTGGTAGTAAAGAGGATTGGCAATTCGCTCACGCAAAAGATAAAAGGAGAAAAAATTATTGAAAATCACCAAAACCAAAAATTCTTATATTTGGTATTTGGTTCTACACTCGCATGCAATTGGTTGTCGATTGAGACAGTTAGCCGGACAGAAAAGGGAACGTAAATAGAGGGCAAATTCATACATACTTCTCTGTTTCTCTCAACACTCACTTTGCTTGCTCTTTTCAAGGTGTTGATGTTCATATTGCGTTTACATAGGTTGCTAGCTAGCTAGCTAGCTTACTTACTTGGGTCAAAATGGGATGGGGTATATATGGGGGGTTATGGGGGAAATGGGATAAAATGATTGATTGATTGAATTGGTACCGACGTTGACGTTCTCTTCTCGTTGGTATTGGTTTGGTTTGGTTTACTCGTAGATTAGATTAGATTAGATACAGGTAGCTAGATTCAAATAAAAAAAAAAGATTTAAAAGAAAAGTTTAGTTGGGTATGAGTGAGTTTGATTGAATATGATTGAGTATGATGGGGAATTGATTGATTTATTTGTTTGTTTGTTTGCTGTTGGATTTTGTTTGTTTGTTTTTGGAGTGCGGTGGAGTGGAGTGAGGGGAGGGTGTGTGGGGAGTAAGTAGAGTGTATCGTGATGGATGTGAAATGTGAATTGTGAAATGTAAATGAATGTTGTGAAATGATGGATACGAGGGAAACGACGGAAGGGGTGGGCACTGGGTAGGTGGGTGAGTGGATTTTAATGGATGATGTAAAGGGGAATGATGTGGAGGGGGATGTGAAGGGGGATGTTAAGGTGGAGGTGAAAGTGAAATGGTCGCTGCGACGCCAAGACATTGAAATATACTTTTTGGTTGTGGATGTGGATGTGTGATGTGGGTGTGGGTGGTGGGTGGGTGAGTGATGTGAGTGGTGCTTCATAAAGCAGCTGGATAGTTTAATGGGTGTGAGGGGCAAGTACGATAGTGATGTGGGAGGAGGAGGGAGGCAAATCCTTGTGGATTAGTTTTGTTTTGTTTTGGTTTGTTTTTGTTTTGTGTGACCGGGAGGGGGGAAGGGAGGTTGATGGTATTGTATTGTATTGCATTGCATTGCATTTTTTTGTGTAACAGGTTGTTGAGATGTATGAGATGGGTGAATGAAGGCGATAAGGGGATGGCGGGAGAGGGATTGGGATGAATGCATACAGTAGATAGGATATCAAATACGGGTTGGGTTCCAGGTTCCACACAAAGAGAAAAACTAAATACTCAATAAAGTACTGAACACAAGGTACGGAACGGAGTATGTAGAAGTGGAGAGGTGGAGATGCGGGAGATGGGAGATGGGAGATGGGATCTTCTATTTTTTGGACCCCAATGCTTGTTTGTCTTGGTATTTTTTGCTTTTTGTGTTGGAAGGAATTTGTGTTGGGGGGTTTATTAATATGTATTATAGCGGGATGGGATGGGATGGGGTGGGGTGGGACGGGGTGGAGAGATTGTTGGTTGTTGGTTGGAATTTATGGTGGCTTTTGTGTTGGTGTGCTGTTGATTTGATGGGATATATTGGTTGATGGATAAATTAGTTGATGGATGGATGGTATATGTTAGTGTTAGTGTTAGTGACATTAGTGACACGTAGTGCGTAGTGCGTAGTGCGTATATAGATATATGTATAGATGCTAAGATATATAAGAGGAAGCGAAGGGAATGTAAATGGTTCTTTTATTTTAATTTATCGCTGGTAATTAATTACTCGAGTATTTGGTCTCATCTGTGTTAGGTTATTTGAGTATATTAATTTTCTCTTTGTGAATTTATTTTCTCCTAACCTTATATCTATATGTCTACTCGAGTATATGTCTAATCTAAGAGTCACGTCAATGTCAATGAGTTCTATTAGTTGAGTTTTATGTATGGAGTTTAGATGTGCAGCCAAGTAATCGGTGTTGTTATTCCCAATGTTCGCTAAGAGTTGATACAGTTCTAAGGAGTCAGGAATCAGGAGTCAGGAGTCTGTCTCCCAAGTCTCGTCTCGTCTCGAATTCATCTTTGTATCTTTGTATCTGAAGGCGATGAAATGATATGGTATGGGATATATATGAGAAGGAAGTAGAAGATGATATAGTATGGAATACCGTAAACTTTTGAAGAATTCAAGTTCGGAAGCTAAGTAGAGATTATTTCTCTTGTTATAGGGAAAGTTGGATCAAATCCTATATATTTCGATTTAAAATAGTACACTTGCTGATTAGGTAAAGAATTCCTGCTAATAGGAATATAGAAGTTGGATCTGTTAGAATAATCCGAGTCTTAAGTTTTAACTGAATCATTGCTTTGCTTATCCGAACTCTTCAAAAGTTTATGGTTATGTATGAGAAGGAAATAAATGAACATGACCAGTGAGGAATTTCATCCACAAATCAGCTGGCACTCCAATAAGGATAACAAAAGAGACCCGAAAAAAAAATCCATCATTGCAAACTCACTTTGAGGAGTTGATCATAGAAGACAAGTCAAGTGAAGATTGAAGTTGTAGCTGGAAGAACTTGAGATGTGGTAAAGTTAATATCTCATCTCATTCTACAACAATCCTACAACAAACACCGTTGATAGATATCGAGCCGTGCAATCAAACTTGCTGGTTGCGAAATTTGATCTATTAGAGCTATCTGCTACCTGATGTTTCAGATGAAAGTGCCAGAAAAGTTTGGTTGAATATATGATTTGATCTAATGATATGGGCTAGGTTCATGTAATGAGATTGCGGACCTGGTGCAATCTCAGGTATAGAGCTTCAGGTTGTAGATTCAGAGGTCCAAGGTGGTAGAGAGAGAGAGCCTAGGTTATCAGATATGCAACAAAACTTCTCAACTCAAAATTTAAGCCTATCGATTCTCTTCGGCTCTTTGGGTGTGAGTATGAAGAGATGAAACTGTGAATATTGGAAGTTTTGTTGCATATCTGTATAACCTAGGTGGAATGGAAACCCACAGATACCTAACTAGGTGACAAAGAGAACACAGGGGAGACCTGGGAGAGACCTAGGAGAGACCAAGGTGGGACCTAGGTGGAAGAGAATTTAGGTGGCAGAGATATCACCTAGGTCCCAAGAGGATTTAGGTGACAGAGAACTCAGACTTCCATCGTTTAGATAAGCAGCAAATTTTTTTCATCATATGGAACAGGCCTAGTGGACCTAGGTAGGAAAAACCTAGGTGGTTCAGACATGCAACAAAAGAACAGGATCATGAAATCCGACATCTCGAATAAATCTCAAATACACCTCAAACATATTTTCGATCACCTTCCCACACCACACTGGAGGTCTCAAGTCACCTACCTATCACTTTTTGCCAATATTTAGCCAACTAACATTATTGCAGTGATTTCTGAAACTGGATACCTCGATACAAGCTTATGTCTCAGAAATCGGTTGGCTCCTTAAAATTGCTACTACGGTATACTCCTTGGGTCAATGAGTCTAGTCAATGCACAATAAAACATCACTCAATGTCAAGATTTACTATCAGATTACGTATTGATATAAATATTGCTCCTGAATCCCAGCTGATGACCTCTAAGCGTGTTTCTGCCTTTGAGGCATCGGGTCTATACCTTCCTGAATAAGCGACGAGATGGGTGGCAGGTGTGATTATGTGTCACCCAAATCACTTCAAATGTGTTGATTACTTCAGTGTGTTTGATGTCTCTAAGCAGACAGCCAATATCCACGAAAGCTCATTCGAGTTCTTTGGGTTCAACCCTGAATTGATAACGTCCTTCTGCCATCTGCTGATGAAATATTTGCTGTACTATCATTTGGTGTAGCTAGAGCCCAGAAACAAGCCCGCCGTGACGGACCTTATCGCTATGAAAATTTTGGTAAGATCCCTACTTCAAAGGGACAGGTGGCGTTGAAGGTGGTGGTTGAGTGATGCCATGGTAAACTAATTGGCTGTTCGATTGATCGGATTTAGCTGAACTGAAAATAACCTAAGAGAAGAAAGATTGCGAGGAGTGTAAGCCATGTGCTATGTATCATCATCATGACGAGTAGTTTGCAAATCTAAATGTTGCACTAACTATAGTGTACCAAACCGTTTGGATTCTCATCTGTGTTGGAAGCAAATGTATTGGAGAAGTTGGCCCAGGTCCACGAGAAAGGCCTGCAAGTCAGGTGCTAGCATTGTGCAATCTCGTCTCTTGGAGCTTTCAGACAAAGAAGTAGAGTAAGGATGAAGCGTGGAAGAACGGTCGCCATATCCGGAATTATAGAGCGGTTCAAGAGTCAAGGTATTAATCTTAGGTTGAGTTCCTAATCGAATCTTCAATCTTACCTCAATTTATGACCCCATGCCACCCAACTTCCCTATCGAGAAACCAAGCATCTCCACCATCTACCTCCACCAAATCTCCCCTAACAACAAATTTCGTCAACGAGTCCCCCAGAGCCTCCTCCACATTTTTAAATAACTCGAGAAATCTCCCATCCAGTAGATGTATCCCTCCATTGGAAAGTTGATTCGGTCCATGACATCCTGCTCCTCCAAATTCTAGTACTTGAAGATTAGGTGCCAAAGATCTAAGAAATTGTTCCAGAGGATAGAATGCACTTGCTAAACCTTCTATATGGAGGCTTTGGAGATGGGAAAAAATCGAGTTTGATAGGAGATTCTCAAGAAGTGATGTAATATCAATCTTCCGCCTGGACTGAAAGCAAAGATTTAAATTCTCCAAAGTCGCAGCGGCCTGTAAACATGTAGCGAGGTTCGCAAGTGCTTGCTGGGAATGCAAGTCATTGGGTGTATCGCTATAATCCAGGACCAAACGTAGATCTGTGAGCTTGTGAAAAATGGGTGTCATAGACTCGATAAGAGTTTTGTTCTGCGCGAAAAATTCGAATGGTAAGCAATCATGAGACAGGTTCTTCAATTTCAGATTTTCGACGCTGGGGAGTAATGAAGATAGAACATTGGTAAAACGTTCCTTGGTTAGTTCTCTGCGGAGAAGTCTCGTAGAAGGAATTTTCCAAATTGATGCTAGTAGGGCCAGCTCCGGTTCATTGGGTAGTGGAAAATTCACCATAGACACGGACAATGCAGATAGATTGGGTAGAGAACGGAAGACTTCAGACAATATAGTCTGATCACACATCCAGGGGGCATATTCTTCCCTCAAGGATTTGAGTTTAGAATATTGAAACCAAGCTTCTTCAGCCTCAGCGACTCGAGTTTCTGGATCGCGCGTAATTTGAGAGAAATATGTATTATGCCTTGCTCGATACTCGTTGAATTCGCCAAGGTTGAGTTCGAGAGTTTTGATGGAGAGGGAAAAGATTGGATGGCGAGAGATTTGAAGGAGGCGATTGGAATCTGGACAATGGGCGAAGGAGTGGAAGTGAGGGGGTACGAGGTGAGGTGTACTGGGTATGCAGAGCACTTTGCAAGTTAAACGGGTGGCCTTGATGGAGGATAGATCCATAAAAGAGATTATGGTTTCAATGAGTTCGGCAGGTAATAAGGAGAACGGGCTCAAGTATTGGGAGAAGTCGATATCTGCCATTGTGACGACGTGGTGGGAAGCTTGATACGAATAGGTCTTTCGAACGTAATTGGATTGATCAATCCTCGATCGCACAATCTATCCCATATTAGCTGAGTACTTGAGGCTCCTCTTCTCAGTCTCGCGATAAGTCTTGAGACAATCACAATACTAATAGGAATAGCAATTAACGTACACCTTTCAGCAGACATGAGATAATAAAAAAAATGCCAGAATTCCCAATTGAGGAGTGTATGAGCTAATAGACGGAAGAGAGCCGTCTGTTCCGTCACAAAATCTCATATTTTGAAGGGGTTATCGGTTATTTTGTTATTTTGCATATCCCTCATATGGATCAATCTTTGCGGGGTGCAGGGGTTATACCATACAGAGTACGCCCCCCGGTATCCAGAATTCCATATCAACAACCACAAACTCTGAACAACCGCTGTTATAAAACAACCTCATTGAAAATGTCAATATTCTCGTATGTCTTCTCCACTCCCTTCAAAGTGCTCTCACCTCCAACTCATAATCCGCCTCAACTAATACCTTTCTCTCAAAAAACAGATCCTTCCGCGCACTTCCTCCTCGAACCCGCGCAATGATAGGCGCAAGCTTTCTTGCTTGGGGTACAATCGGCCTTTATTTATCTAATACAGCGGAAAAGAAACTTGGGTTTGAACCTACTGAGCAGGATAAGGAGAAGATGCCTAGATTTACGGTTGTTGAAAAAGAAAAGTGAAAATTGTCGGAAAGGATGAAAATTGGCAGACAAAAAGCAATGCAAATGAGACGAAGCAACGGTGAGAGAGAGGACTGGAGTTAGAGGATATCAAGACGATGATCGAGGCTCTGGGGGAAAGGATTACGGTTCACACGGTTGAAGAGGTTGGGGGGGGGGGGCCACATATACTGAGAGGCAATTGAGAAGGACAGGCGTGGCCAAAGGCAAAACGAAGGAGGATCCCCAAGAAAGGGATGTGACAAATGGGTTTGTTGATGTTGATATGGTATCTAAAACGAGTAGTCATTTGGTTGGCAAATGTGGAAGTTGCTACATATATGGGTATGTTCCCATCGACTATTGTTCGGATTCTCTTGGGGTGGTCTCAAGCTACAACGCATCCTATATATCTCATTGCTTACCCACGGAGGATTAAATTCTGGGGAAGAAGCATTCCAATCGTACAGTGTCATCACTAGCTCGGTGACGCTCAAGTCTCCCATGAGGTGGGTGTTATATTGCTCAAGCAGTTTATCAATCCGAGTAATGATACTCCAATTACTCTCTTTCGACCGATGGTTCTACTGCATACTAGCCAAACAAGATCTCGGCGTGAGCCAATGAAAATATCTAGGTACTGTATATATTTCAGCAACGGCACATTCGTGGATTCGACAAGATCCACGTTCTCTTTAGGTTCCTTGGGCATTTCATTCACCATTTCATCTGCGTATAGAGGTGTAAGCTTGCCTGTTATCTTTCAATTACAATGTGTACCTTTCAGCAGCATCTCATCGTGAGTTTTAAAGCTCTATTGTCTCTTACAGATCACGAGTGTGCGACAATTCCATCCATAGAATGGAATGCAAAAGATTTCAAAGGTATGATTGGAAACCAAGTATTATATCTGGGCTCAACTACCCTAGGTATTTGCAATAGTCATTGCAAATTGGTGTTTCGCATCATAATCCTCATATTTAACTTTTATCAATATGACATCTTAGACCAAGTCCAGTATTTGTGATTGAGATCTGGATGGAAAAATCACCAGTCAATGATCGATCCGTCAATCTACACTTGCCGACCGATTTCTATCAACTCGGCGACTGCATGAGAAGAAGGAGACGAATGCTCTCAACAGAGGAACGACCAGCCGTTTCCCATCTACTTACTTGATTGAATTGAGAACAGCGGAAGTTGTGACGTTCATATTTCACTTCAAATTTCCTGGTTCATCGAGTATTGAGACTCCTCTGTAAAACAATGCCTACCCATCTATTCCTTTCATCTCACGTATCGTCACGGTATGGTGTCAAATACCAACAGGATAGAAGTCAGATGAAGTCAGATGCGGTCGACCGTCCACTGTCGCTCTTGGTGTCGCGGCGCTGTTTGGGGCAATCTGAATAAGCAGCCAAAATTTCACCCACCATCAAAGGATCAAGTACATCATATATACAGACGGCCATAAAGCTCCAGTTCTGTTTTAATCTGCGAAGAGATTCCAAAATATTCTAAAGACGATATCTGCGCGCAGAAACGAACCCCGTTGGCTCTTTTCTAATTGCGCGGGCAGTGTTTACTTCTGCCTAAGTCAGCAGATTCTCGGCTGATATTTGTTGAATCCTCAAGCACACTGCCTACTACTCCAGCAGTGTCTTGGCCTAATCTAGCAAGCTCTGTTCTCGTCTAAACCCACGGACAGCTACACGCCCTTTAGAAGCACCTTTATTGACTTGTATCCACAAGTATACTGCATACTACCCAGTAGCATCCCAAATCTAAGTCAGAACTGCTCGTTTGATTTAGAACTACAAGCACACTTAACAACCTTATAGGAACGTTTTAATCTGATTGTATTGAATTGGAGGACTACTACGTTCTCTCAGAGATCGCACCACTTCTTTTCTAGCAATATCCATGAACCTAGTACATACATTCCCATGATTTAGTATTATAGAGCACGTCGATTTCAACTTTAAACCAATTTCCTTAGCACCTTTCGATCTCGCTACCGTGTCGTATCTCTCATTTAAAGTCTAAGCGAAGAGTCAGTCTCACGTACTGCTTAACGATTGGTCGATACCCTATTATTTTCCACAACAATAACCCTTTCAACAAACAAGGGATTGACAGGAAGATATAAATCAAAAGGCGGAGGATAAAACATGCACTCCCCGAAAACACACCAAGCTTGTTCTCCTCGACGATAAATGGCCTGTTGTCTGCTTAAAATCATATCAAAGGTCTTGGTGGTCTGCTGAAGCTTGTATCTTTGATGGAGGTTTGTTAGACTACGTAAGAGCCACTGCATTTACCAGATACTTTGCTAGGCAGGACAAGCGTTCTGTCTACTTTTGTAGTCAGTTTCAGATCTGTTGAAGCAAAACTGGCGCTTTGGCTTCTCTAGCAATCCATTGAATCACAACATGAGTTTTGTCTTTTGATCTTCCTCTATAGTCAGGATGGGTATCCTTATTCTTCGGCACACAGAACAGCCAGACCGGATGGCGAGCAGTGGCAATTAGGTTCAAAAGAAATTAGTGTACCAAGCATTTAGCTTTCTTCGACCTGCTATGTTTGTTGAGTATTGAATTTATTTTAACAAGCAATACCTCTTTCTTTTATTTTTTATATGAAATTAATAAAACATCGGCGCATTCGCAATCCTGTTTCTTCAGCTAGATCTTGCAGTGCTGGCTGGCTACTTTGCAGTAAAATCTCATCACTCGGAATTTCCTGATATGGGGTGCCACACAAGAGAAAATTTAGAGAATGTGAATATAGCTTCAAGACTATATCTATATCTAGATCTTTTGAACATCTTCGACATTTCCAACCTCCACTCTTTTAAAATTCTTTGCTTTCCTTGATCTTCCCCTCCCCCTAACCTCATTTGCGGAAACAAACCTTACTTACACAATAAATCATCACCACTAGGCTCTAGCATAGAAATTCCGACCCAAGGCCAGCAACTTACTCTTTGAACATGCCTCATTTCCAATTTCATACTGACATTCAATGATTCTGATCCATTATAGTATTAGAGTGGTGATCACGATATTCTACTGTATATCCTGTATTGGCGACTATACCGCATGACACCGATATCTGCTGTATATATTCCTTTCATTCCTTTATTCACTTGATCTCTTCTTGTGTAGAAGTAGCAACGGCGATAGCAATTATAAGAGCAGCAGCAGCGTCAATGACATCATCATAAGAGCAGAAAACAAGGAGTTTGCCACTCTCCTTTTCTCTCTTCAGAATCATCCACTTTATAACGGTGATGGTTATGCTAGAGGGCTCAACTTCAATGTTGATAGTATATAGCCATGGCCGTTTCCAACGGTTGTTTATTCATGTAGATAGCTAAATGAAATGAATTTTGTTGTGTTTTTTCTGTCAATTTGTTTATTTATAAGGAATAAAATAAAGAATATAAGTATCAAATCATGTCATCTCGTTCAGATTCAAGTTCAGACTCAAACCCCAACTTAGGCAAAAAGATCAGCACCCAAGACAAGACAAAACACAGATTATACCATTTAAAACTATCCATCGATTTCAGAAACAAATTACACCTTATAGACGAGTACACTCCCATCTAACCTTACCGCTTCTAGCATCTCACATCCAACATCCAATCTACCATATATATACAAATAACCACCCACCCACCCACCTCAACCACCCGCTCAATCTTGACTCGCGCCGGTAAACCCTCGAATTACAACCCACGCCCTCCTCCCTCTCCGATTTCTATTTCCTCTCCGCTTCGAATTCCCCATCTCCCAGTCCCCCAATCCCGTAATCTCCTTACCCTATTTCTCCATCCTCTCGCCTTCCATTCCCTCCCCCACTCAAAACATATACTCTATACTCTATACTCTATACTCGGTGCTATAACCACACCACGCAAAGTCCTAACCCTGCTTGCTAACCGAAAGACATGGCGTGACGTTTTTCACCATCTACCCATCTACCCTTAAGGTCAATAACTCTAGACTCTATCCTCTAGACTCTAGAATTTTATATACCACACACTCATCAATCACACACACACACATACACACATAGACCACCAACTACTGGCCTACCAACTACCGATCACCGACAACTAAACACCACCCATCTATCTAATCTATTCGGGCTTATTATGACTTACAAACACTGACTTACATATACTCGTATGTATAATAAGTACCTACCTACCTACTAGTAGCCTAATACCGTATAATAAAAATATCATCCAAACAACCTGCTAGTATTAGTCACCCCTCCTCCCCCTTTCCCCTTCCCCCTCCCCAACCTCTACGCCACAAAATTAAATTCAAACCCCCCTCCCATCCCCTACCAAATTCTCAACAGCACACAGTAATGTAATTCCAAAAACTCCCATTTCAAATTTTAATAATTTTTTTGATGAATTTTTCAATTTTACAATCTATTAATTATATACTTTCATATCCAATCTAGTCCAGTCCACTTCAATCCAATCCATCCCGACCTATTCTATGGCCCTCCATCTGTCGTGCCGCACATGTATCCACCCCTACCCTACAAGGAAATCCATCCAACATTTACCAACTCATGTAATCTTACTTTCTTTCATCTTTCATCTTTGAACTCGCATTCGTTATTACCAGAGACTCCATTCCAGTGCCCGCTAAACGCTATCATTTACAACATCCATTCATTCCATTCCGCTCCGCTCCGAATGCAACTCCAGTTTTCCCCAATGAACGCCCAACCTGAAAAGAAAAAGAAAAGAAAAACGCCGCCCATGCATTCGTTTTTTTTGTTTGTTCTTCCGTTCTCTTCGTTCTCTTCGTACACTCATTTTTCGTTTTTCGACTTTCGACTTTCGTGTTTCATTCCCTCACTCCTCGTGTCCCGACTCCGAACTAGTTTCAGAGGTGGAATCAACCTCGATAACCGTAATTGCTGGAACCATCTTATTTTTGCTATCCCGTCTACCGACATTAATGGAATGCTCCTCGCCCTCTCCCTCTCCCTCTCCATTATCATCTCTTCTCGATCTCTTAACCGTGAAACATTGAATTGCGCCTACAGAAGCCACAAGTGCGCTTCCAATCCAAGCCATGGATGTGAAATTGGTCTTGCTACCTAGAGCATACAAGTATCCCGAGACGGGTGGAGCTACAGTTCTGCAAGCAGCTCCTGCTGAAGCGGCGAGCCCATTGACTTTGCCGAGGACATTTGGTGAGGGGGTCGCTTCTTTGATGAGGATTAGAAGAACGGGGTATAAGAGTATGGAAAGGAGATTTCGGACGAATAGCGCGGTATAGAGACCGGTGTATAAGAAGGATGGGGGGAGATAGACGAGGAAGGGTACCATAAGGTACGCGATGGGATGTAGCACAGTAACTAAAATGAAGAGTCTATAGGTGCCGAAAAACTCGGCGGCCCAGGGAAATATGACCGCTTGAACAAAAAGTGCAATAACGCCGTTTATAGACATGATTACGCCGACTTGTTGAACGGATAGCCCAAGACCACCAGGCATCATCAATGAACTAAATCCATTCGATATGGCGGATATGTTATTCCTAGCACCCTTCGTATCCTCTAGGAAAATTGGAAGTAAGTGATCATATGACATTGAATGGTATGTAAATATCCCCAATGCAATAATCAAAGCCACAACATTTCTGCCGAAAATCTTCGGAGGGGCAAATTTGGTGGGTGTATTTCGCCAAGCACTATCATCACTGCCCTCGAAAGTTCCGTAGGTTTCAGCACGCAAGTCGACAGCAGGAGTCTTGATGGCATCGGCAGTAGCCATTAACGGGGTCTCTTCCGAATGGTATGTATCATCTGGCAGAGAAACGCGAGGTTGCATGTCCGGATGTGTTTCTTCAAGGAGAAAGTATCCCGCCAGAATACTGATGAATAGGAGACCAGCACACATCAAATTTGGAAGTAAATATGGGAATGTGTTGAATAAACCGTCCGCGGAGAAAATGTTGGGAAAAGTCGTCGTGGGATCAGCGAATGTTCCACCGATCGCAGGACCGATTATGGTACCTATGCTCCAAACGAATGGCATGACTGAGTATGCTCGAGCTTCAGAGACGAAAGTTAGTTCCATGTCCTCAGTTGATTGGCATTGCGCAAGTGACTACATATCTGCCCGGATGGAATTGAACTTACGCTCATGTTCTTTCTTGGTGACCATTTCACCAACCATCGTCTGAATGACACCTATATTTCCATTCAAGAAGCCTCCAAGAGCTCTGCCAAGAAGCGCAATCCATATATTTGATGCAAATCCAACCATAATCATGCTCAACATTGTTCCACAACAACCTACCAGTAAAACGGGCTTTCGTCCAATTCTATCAGATAGTCCTCCCCAGTACATGCCCGTCATGGATTCCGCCAGCGCAAAGGCTGAGATAAGAAGGCCCGCATAGAAGGATGCATCATCTTCGCTGCCGACTTGGAATTTCTTTACGAGTGCCCAGGCGTAGGGGAAGATAGAGGTGAGGGCAATAGGTTCCGCGAGACGGACAATTGCTATAAATGGAAGTTAATGTTGTGTTCGAAATGACCGTGGGCGTGGCGCAGATCTGGAATGTGGAATAAAACTTACCAAGTAAGAAAAGTTGGGTGGTAGGAAATTTATCGGGATCCTGTTGAGATCGCTGAATTCCTCGGGGCATTGCTCGTGAGCCAGATAGGACTCTTTCTGGCTCTCGACAATAAGAAGAAGAAAACTATCAGTAGACAGATATAAAATATAGAAAATTCAAGGTATACAAATCTGGGAATTGTAAAGACTTTCCTATCGACGTCCTAGAAGACGGATAGGAAGAGAGTGAGAAGATTTGAGGAAATATAGGAAGTGAGACGTCGTAGGTGAAGAAGATATGATTAGGATTTAGGTAATGTGAAATTGTTTAAGTTTGCGGAAACGGAACAAGTAGATAATTAGAGATGATAGAAATGTTGACGAGCCAAGTGAATATAGAAGAGGGAAGGAGGTGTTTACTCTATATGTCGGACTTCCCTTCTGCTTGCGCTCAAGCTTCCGCACTGGGCCTATTAAGAACCACATGCAGAAAAGTCTTTTTTCCCCTACCTACCTGGCCTGGTACCTTACCGCTGTGCATGCAGAGATAATATATCTCAATTACCCTTACCTTCAATTTTGGGAGCATTTCGTACCGGTATTTCCTTGGTTTGGTGATGGGAATGCCATGGGAGTGGGAGTATGAGTGGGGGGGGGGAGGGAAGTAATTAGTTTTATTGTTGTTGTCGCCAATTCTCTTCGGATAATTATCCCGCGGTTCTGCAATTTGGTGGGTCTTCCTAGAGATCAATTCAAAACAGTCAAAGATCTAAAAAATGTTGGCCGATTTAGTCGTATAGTTGGTTGGTCTGTTATCATGCATTATTAGTTGTTTTTGCTAGTGCGGAGTAGTATATTATCATGCAGACAAGGATTCACGGGGTTTTATTAGACTCTCATCTAGACTCATTCGTCTCATTTATTGGATGAATCGAATCAAGGTGAATGAGGTTGAGCAATTTCAACGGATAGCTATTTTACTTCTGCTACAGTAGTAGAGCATATATGATCTTAACCACATGCATGACCTTATGATACGAAAGATATTCGCCGGCGGGGTACGAGCACTCGATCTTCTCAAGCAGGGGAAGTTAAGTCGGTATCCAATTCTAACTCAACAACCTCTTATCGAATGAGGATGTTACGATTAGCTGTATTGCGGTGATACTTTAGATGTTACTCCTCTCTCTCTCCGGGGCCTCTCATCTTCTTTACCATACTTTTAACCATTCATACTGAATTCAACCTGTATGGGCGATACTAGTAACATAAAACACAAGTCGTCATCCTAATTAACTCACTCACTCTAGAGCATGTTTTCATATGAGGTTTGAAAGATTGAGGTTGTTTTGAGTGGAAGATATGAAAATACACTTTTTCTCCTTGTTCGTTCTCCTGTTCCTTTCCATGTCAAGGCGGGGCTGGAGGGTTTACCGAGAACGGGTTGCTGTATAAAATTTACGGGGCAAAATCTAAGACATCCGAAACCGCTTTTGCATGGACTAGAATGTGCATTGATATTACGCACAGATCAACAAATGGTGCTTACTCTTAAATATTATTCCATCACCCCTCTTATTTGGCTAAAACCTTATATTCTTGACATATTATTCCTTCTTTTGTCGTAGCATTGAATCTTATAGATATTCCGACCCGAGACTCGACTAACTGCACCTCTTTTCCAATTATCATTTTCTCACCGCGACAACTCCACTGACTTCCGAGTCAAAATTCTCTCAAGTCACAAAACACTTATTTTTGCAGTTTTCTTTGACTAATTTTTGTTCTGACCGTACGGCAAATCTTGCCTTATTCTTGTGCTGGTGCTATACGAATTCTTACTACTGTTCAGCTGGTGGCCAAAGCAAAGCATGGGCAATAGCGCTGGTGACACCGCACGAATGTATTCACACGATACAGTACTCTCCTCCCATGCGAATGAGGAGATGAATTCTTTCGTACTACATCACCCCCAAATTCTTCTAGTGCCAATGGCTACTCGTCCGAATTCCATTAGACCACAATGATTCGAGGTTGGCCCGCGAGTACAGTCCACCCATAGGAAATTGGAATAAGTATCGTCTACATAACTAGATAAGAGAATTCATGACTCGACATCAAGACGAGTTTCTACCGTTAACGCTGGCGATTCTCAGACTCACTAGAATGTTCGGTAACATATCTCTTTGCCTGCCTCGGAATATGCAATATTGCCATACCGAAACCTCCTCTCGGAAAATATTGATCCAGGATCATGAAGAACTTGTGGAAGTGGACCGAGAGAATGACAGCTCATACTCGCATGTCGATTAATACTTTAGATAATTTATATGCCGTGCACCAAGTGAGTTTCAATTCTATTCCCATCATCTTTTTCTTCAACAGTCCGATCAAGTTATTATGATTCTGTCGCTTTCTTTCTCTATCTACTTGCATATTCTTCGATCATAGATGCTGGTTATCGGCTTGTGTATGTGTCACTGTCACTGTTGCTATTTCATATTGACCTTGGGTCGCGGAATAATACTATATTTTGGATAGTTCCAGTGTTGCAACTCTCGATATCGATATCAATTCACATTCATTGGGTGGGATTAGACCTTTCAAATCATGAGCGACCAGTTCTTGACTAGGATTTATGTCGAGACGATCCCAATGCAAGTATGGCTGCATGGCATTCCGCGGCTCGATTATTCACATGGGTCTCATCTATGGCCGTCCTTGGCAAGCTGGAAGTGTTGGTAAAGTCTTAATTAGTTCCAACCTCTTATGGTAATTTACAACATCTCAAGAACTCAACAGAAGTTTTCAATCAATTGAAAGTACATTGGCAATATTTTATTTTGCTTGCAGTTCGGCGACTTCGATACAACTTTGATGTACCTCAGTACAAAAAGTTATGTGCATATTTTCGCCTTCGTGTTTTATGTGTTCAAAAAGCTTCACGATTTCAAAGGATGTTAGTTCATCTCTCGTATTCCTTTTCCTAAAATGGCAATGAAAAGAGTTTATAAAGGATCACAAACTCAGTCCGCCTTCAACCTCGCAATCCTTTTCTCGCGCGATCCTGGAATTGGTTCCTCCCGAGAATATCAAAGACAGCACCTTTCCACCCAAAAAAAATATTCTTATCATCACGAGCCTAAGGTTCCACCACTTCATATCTTCGAAAGGGGTTATATGCACTGAAGATCTCGGTATTCTGTCAATATCATGCTGTGATATGGCGTGGGCGTGGTGATCGTTTTCGGTAAGGTCATCTGATGTGCTACGAAACAGAAAAAGTCTGATCTTCGCCATGGGAGGCGAATCTACGACAATATCAGCTGAGGGTAAAGAAACTTATTGAGGAATCATCGGAGTAGTAGATAGTGAGAATAGGATCACAGTGAATGAATGTGACCAGATGTTCATCTAGGCACAACTATCTCCGTCCAAAATATTCTCCTAGTGGTGAGTGTTAGGTTTGGAAGCCTTCGGATTCTACATTTATTGCTGCTAGTTCCAAAGTCACTTGTAACTGCGGATGAGTAGATGGGAGGTTTACTCTACAGATCCGAGATCGTCAAAGGGGCTAAATTAACCTGCTTCGCTCAATGTCGATCAAGATTATAGGGAAATAAATTCAGATCAAAGACAAAATCTTCTGCTCACTTTATAGAGTTTACTCGATGATTTATGATTCCCAGCCTAATTTTTCTTATGCCCATCCTTCTTTTCCACCTCCCTTTTATATGTTATATTCTACTATCTCATCAGCCTTCATCCATATCATCATTTATAGATTATAACCTACAACAGGTTAATACGTCCATTGTAAATCTACTTTCCTTTCTTGGTGCGCAACTTGTCAACTTGAATTCTCAATAAACTTGCGATATCAGCCTCAGCCTCAGCCTCATTCTTATTCTCAATCTTAGTCTCTCTCATTAACGCGGACTTTCATAGTAAGCAGCGAAAAGCTGTTGAAGAGACGGACGATTTATTTAGATATTTATGACAAGAGAGTGTTGTTGAGATTGTTCGAGGAGGGAGGATAGGGTTTGTTATATATATACCTAGCTATTTTAGTTCATTCGATGCTATGTTGTTTTGATTAGATATATATATATTCGTTGATGGTGCCAGTGGAAAAGAGTTCGGCATATATATATAGATATCCAAGTTCATGTATACTTCAATCATGCGTACTTCAATCTCGATTTTATTTCAACCTCAATCTCAAGCTCAAGCTTATACTCGAGTATACCACATCCACATCCACATCCACATCTACATATAATTTTCTCATCCAGAACCCCTCATCCAGAATCCCCATCGAGAATCCCAATCCTCAACAATATATATATATATAATATCCATCATCATACCTAATAATACCATTAAGGCTCCTATCCAGAGTCATATTTCCAAGCACACCAAACCACACCCAACCAAACCAACCCGACCCGACCCGACCAAACCCATTGCTCAAGCGAGCAAATGAATAATTACTGTAATGTAAATATAACACCCCCTTACCAAAGAATCATAACTCCATCGCTCATGCTCATGCTCGCTAATTTTCGAAATTTGTTTTTTTGTCGCTTCATCTCATGATTTCTGCCCTCGAGAAATCACTCACTGCCTTGCCATTTATTTCAGTGCTATTTAAGCACGTACAAATAAATGGCACTCTGCTCAAGCCCCCTACTTTCTCCCTTTTCCTAATGAACTCGCATCTCCTTTCCATGCGCTCCCCCTCTCAAAGTTTGACCGGAAACCTCTTCCTCACTCTCCCCCCAAACTTATAAATGACCATAGGCGCCGGAATCAACGCTAGCGCGATAAATCCCAAGACACTATTTCCCCATCCATAGCCCAACGCCTCATACATGGCGGGACCCGCCAATGGCAAGAAAGCTCCAAACAGACTACGGCTTACTGTTAGAGCTGCTATGCCTGATGCTGCGAAGGAGGGAAAGGAATCGATGACGTATGTTTGGATTGGGATGAAGATGCCCATCATGCCAAAACCGAAGGGGATGAGGCCGATTATTGGGACGATCCACTGCAGAGATATTAGTTTTTTCTTTCTTTTTTTGACATGGATATGGATAGGATCGGGAGAAATGAATTGAGATATATTTACATGAATACCTTCCTGAATACTCCAGCCATACCAAAAGAAACTAATGGGTATAAAACAGGCAAAGAATATACAAGCTGGCAATCTCATCTCAGGTTCAAAGACCCCATTATTTGCTTTAGTCATGCGAACTACTGTTACGTCGGAGATACGAGCAACTACTATGAGACCGAGGAAGAAACCTAGACCTAAACCGATGTACTGATTGAGAAGTTAGATATGGAAGGTCGATAATGTAAGGAGTTTTTGGTAATGGAATTGAGAAAAAGAGTAGACAAAAGCAAAAACATACGGCTAATCCACAGAACTCTGGCGCCCAATGATATTTGCTGGTGAAAACCGTCGTAATAGTTGTGAAAAGTAAATACAAAAGGCCGTAAACAACAGCCATATATAGACTCAAAATAAATACAATAGGACTGAATATTAACATTTTCAGAGGTCGAATCATTGCGTTCGCTAGAACTGAAGACGTTGAATGATGCGCCGAGTTCCTTGGGTCGTAAACGCTTCGAAGATCTGATCGATTGAGCTCTTTAGAGAGACGCGCAACTTTCCGCTTTATCAGGAGGCGTGGATTAGTCTCTACATTCAAGCATTCGATGCCAATAGTTATGAGAGTGCCGGCTATAAAGAGGATCCAGAAGACCCAACGCCAGCCAATTCTTTGGGCTACAAAACCTGTGACATTGTTAGAAATGCCGAGTCTGGAATATTTGGGGTAGAAACGGAAAAAAATACCTCCAGTGATTGGGCCAATGACCGGTCCAAACAATGGCCCCAAACTGAAGAGTGAAGTAGCCAGTCCTCTCCTATCCGCATGAAATAGGTCCGCAATCATACCAGCACCGATAGTCAGACAACCCGAACCACCCAATCCCGCCATAAATCGAAATCCTATCAATGTCCCCAAGCTAGGCGCAAATGCGCAACCAATTTGCCATATACAAAATATGACATTTCCGCCCGTAAGAACGTATCTCCTCCCATATATTTCCGACAATGGCGCAAGTATCAACGGCCCAACCACATATCCCAATACAAAGATGCTCACCGCGAATGAACTCAGTAATAAACTCGAATTATGGAACTCCTTATCCGCGAATGTTACACCGGGCGCAAACATGCTGGAAGCGAGCGGGGATATGAAGGTAATACTAGCTAGTAAGCCCGTCAACAGCCATTTTTTCGGTTCCGGGAAGTTCAAAGGCATCTCGGGATCCGTCTGGCTATCCCATCCTACAATGCCATTCGCGAGATTAGAGACTGGAAGAGGTCGGGGTGGGAGTTTGGCGCGGGGAGTGCCCGTTCGATGCGCTATGCGGGATAGTCTAGAGCCGCTGGAGGATTTCGTGGTTGTGCGGGTTAGATCGTTGGCTTGTGGATTTGTATGCGCCTGATGGGGAGATGGTCCGGCTTTTATAGGTTCGGTAACTGTCTGGACGAGAAAGAGCTGTCAGTGGGTGGTTGTAGTTTGATGGTGCGCGAAAACGAGGAGTGGCTCAGAACCTTTTGTCTTGCGAGATCATTAATGTGACCTTGGTCCATTGCTTTGTCTCCTTCGTGATTCGAGTCGGGGTAACCGATTGAGACATTTGAAGAAGCATCATTCTTATGTGAAGGATTTCTCGCAGTATCGAATTCGTATGCGGTTGATTCCGTTTTGGTTCCAATTCCTCGTTCTTGTTCATGGATTTCCTCTGGAAGAAGTCCTTTCTCAAGATCCTGATGCGAACTCATCATTGACCTCTAAAAAGGTTGCGCAGATGAGATTTGCAAGTGTAGATCAATTGAAGAGCTTCTAGTAAAGACTCTGCGAGGGCTGGGGGACGATTATCATTAACAGTTATGCATTTGGTGCATATATGTATGTGCAAATACAGATGTATGAAAAACGTCGAAATATATCAGCGGTATAAGACATGAAAGGTGGAAGGAATATGGGGAAACTGATGATCGGTGAAGCCTTCGTCCAATCCAAAGGGTAGTAAATAACTATTTGAATGGGATAAGGAAAAATTGCGCAGGAATCAGATGCAATATGCATACAAGACTAGTTATCATAAAAAAAAATGCGGATAAGAAATGATTTTGTATACAAGGGCTTCATACACAATCCTACCTTGACCGAACCGAGGAGCCAATTTAAGTTACGCTCTTCCTTCCTTTTTGAAGGAAGTTGTCTGTGTTCTTTCCATTTGCCTAGGTATGATTGTTGGATTTCTGGGTGTAGTTGGGTTGCAAGACTGATGAATGAAGGCTAGACGGGTAGACGGTAGACTGGTTTGGACATAGGGGGAAACTATGAATGGAAGCTAGACAACATCATACCCGCGTAAGGGTTCTAGTTAACTTATCAGAACCCTTGTCCTGTTGTCAAAAGCAGGGACTAGATAGAAACTAGATGGAAATCAAATGACACTTCACGAATAAGAATTTATATTAATAATGTTGTTATGAGGGAATTATCAATATTCAATGAGTAACCAAGTAATAAATATTCGAGTAAGTAAAAGATAGTTTCGTTAGACAACAGGGCAGTACCAGTACCCATGGTCATGCTAACCGTGACAGTGGGGTAAGCGCCGGCACTTGTCAGCATTTTCGTACTATTTAGTACTATCTAGGAAGGATCTCCGGACCAAAGATCTGACAGAAATATCTCAACTTTCAACTCAATCTTATTAATATAGATAAGCGCCGACTAGCTTGAACAACACATATTAGCGACCAACATTTGCGACGACGATGCTGAACATTCCTTGATGTAATTCAATGAAACACAATACATGACTTGTCGGTTTCGACATAGAGTTCGAGATAGCCCATCAAGTGTGCTCATATAGTCAAGCAGTCTCATTAAGAGTGATATTCCATCTCAACTGATTGCTATTATCGTCTAATTGAATATCGCATTTTCTCATTTGGTATCACTAGATACAAGCTATTCATCATTGGACTCTTCAATATTCATCTGGCCATGGTTCGATTTTTCTTCCACATGAGAAGAGTACTCGTTAAAATGGCCGGAAACGATTATTATACCCAAGATCATCAAAGAGAGGTTTTACCAACATTGACGAACGTTGAAAAGGATTCGAAAATGAAAGAATATTGTGATCCTTGAGGAACAATGAAAGTCAAGTATTCTTTTATCCTCAATTGCATCTACATTCTTAGTATTTTATGTACCTGTTTTGCTTGAGGAATGTTAGCAACATTGCCCTGCACCTAATACTCCAAGCCTCGAATCCATAAACTATCTTTACAATTCTAGTGTTGTGAAAAGTTATTCTCGAAATCTGTATTTTGTTATCAACATCATGGCTGCTCAGCAATCAGTCATACCCCCTGCGACGGCGGGTATCGTGTCGAGACCATGGGATCCTACAACTCTAGCAATTGGAGGCGCGATGTGTAAGCGCCAATCTTGAATATAGTATTGTTCAATCAAACTGATGAATGTAGTGAGTGGTCGAGTACCGCCTCCAGATTTGACTGGCCCGGTCCATCCCCTTTTTGCACGCGACAGATGGGAAATCGATGAGGAGGACTATCTTCTCTTACTCCCAAGCATGCGACTTGCGACGCGGCTGTTAGAAGTTGGAATGCCATATATGGCAAATTTTTTACCAAGCAGCAAGATATATGGCACGCCGCAAGATGTATCGCACGCTGAACATTCTCACCTTGTCAGTCCAGAGGAAATTTCATTAAGTAAGATAATCTTGCTCAAGGATCTTCAAGAAACAGAATTGGAGCTTGAGGCGATTGCAAAATGCATCAAGTGGAGATTGAATGAAAGAATGCATGCAAATTATCATTGGAATGGCATCACAAGGCTAGCAGATCACGGAGAAGCAGATTTTGTCCCCCTCGAAGAGAATGACATCAGGGAAGCGGATTTGGAAGCTGCTCAAGCAGGTCGAGTACGACGACCACTTGTCATTGCAATTATGGACTTACTACTAGTCCCAATGCGCACCCATCCGACTGATTCTGAAATCCGTCTCAAAGCACAGTTTATGGCGGCAATTACTATGGTTCACGAAATCGGGCATGCAATATTTCACCAGGATTATAGATCGTTCAATCCTGGTAAATATGGTGAATATGGTGGTGAAGAGCCCTACGTTGGGGAAGATGTCGATCGCGAGTTAGGAAGATCCTTCGTTAGTTGGATTTTCAATGGTTTTCATCCTCAATTCTGCGAGTCGCATGAAAAAGATGCCCAGTTTGGTAGTTTAGGATGGTCATTATATTGGGAGCCACTGCATAAGATCGACGAGATATTTGAAGTGCCGACGGCCCTCAATCCTATAAAAGATAAAGAACATAAACGACCCTTATATGAAAAGATCAGTGCAATCCCTGTCGAGTATTTGTCAAATACATTTCGGCAGAGCTGGTGGGAAGCCAATCAACGCGGCATTCCCCTTTATCGGCTAGCTGCTTTCCTCAGAATGAGATTGAAGATGCCTCCCGAGGATAAGCTGGGGGCTGCTACATCTGTGAAGGCCAACTGGTGGGTGCACCCAATTGCAAAACACCCCAGATGGAAAGGCCACTACAGGATTATGAAGTTCTCTTTGGGTCAGCCTGTCGAAGGACTTACATATAATCAAGTTGTATCACAAATGAAATTGGAAGGGCAACGCTTTTCATTTGCTCTGCATGACGAGGAGGACGATTATGATGATGAGATTGACAGATTGTCAAGAGAACATACTCCTCGTGAAGGCCAAGAGATCTTTCCAGGGTACGATGACGACAGAGCGATGATTGCTTATAGTGTCGAGACGCAAGATGACGGAATGCTTGATGAGGATATAGGGGTCATCGAAGATGATGATGCCGAAGTCGTGACGCGAATCGAAGTTCGCTATCGTCCGACAACTGATTTTCAGCCAAGGTCGACAAAGATCATTCCGCCAAACAAATTGGTGGAAGAAGCTCAAAAGGAGGTTCGGAAAGAACTAGCCGCCGAAGAGAAAGCAGCAGCCTCCGAGATGTTTGCAGGGTCAGGTCCAAGACCCGGAAAGCGCGGAAATTCTAGCGATTCTCTCCTTATTCACGGGCCAAGCAAGCGTTTGAGAACGATCGTCGAAGCAGACAAGATAGATCAGAGTGCTACGTTTCATGAAAAGACTATCAAAGCACTCGACCGAGCATCGGCAAATGAAATTGGCCATTGGACAAGAATTCAAGCATGGTATTATTGCTCGCAGCATGGGCTTGCGTTGCCAGAACTACCCAGTACCGCAGCAGCACAGCAAGCAAAACTGGACAACGGCACAGAAGCTGGATACAACCTTATGCGGAAAATACAGTATCATCTCCTACAGACTCTCTGGAAAGAAATCTATATCGATGGTAGACACCCCGAGTCGGTTGTGCTCACAGCAAAGTATATCTTGAGCTTGATAGATTTCTTTTCGGCCGAAGATATCGATAGCATGTTTTATATCATTTATAAAGTCGACCAAGTGGATCTTTCTCGCAAGAGGGAGATGTGCAAAGCATATTTTAAAAAGCAAGTCAGATATTTCCCAAAGAATGTAAGGAACAGGGCTGCAGCTCCGACCGTAGTGGAGCCACTTCCAGCTCTACACGCTCTCGCTCCAGAACCAGCCCAGTGGTCAGAAGATGATTTAAGGTCCTGGTGTCGCCACAAAGGAATTCCACAATGGGGATCCATCTCCGGCCTAATCGCTCGCGTCAATCGCTTCAGAGAAGAAGAAAAGATCGTCAAAGTTGGAATAGCCGGTCGACCTAAACCTCCACCCGGCAGAGCCGATCGTACCGGCACAGAAACTTACTACTTCAGCGCAGTCCTCCGGCACAGTTCCCTCGACGCGCTCAAGAGTTCCCTCTTCATCGCCGGCAACTTTCCCTCCGATACCGAACTCGATCTCTGGGTCAACACAGATGAAATCCTGCAACCTGGTCCTCTAAACAAACAAATCCCCACAGTCGATTGGAAACGACTTGTTCTCCGCGCATCGCGTACGGCAATCCATAAAGAACCAATCAAGATCAGCCGCGAAGAACGCATCGAGAGAATCCGCCTGCATAATTCACTCATCGAAGATCAGCTCCGAGAAGTACAACGCAATCCCGACAAAGAAATCCTACCCGATTTCGAGGAAAGAATAATTCACAAACCTGGATCCGTCCTCAACAAAGTCACGGATATTTCCCGCCGCGCGCTCGCACTCACACGTATTCGTACTGCGCCCGGTACATTGGCAGGACAAAGTTACAAGAAACACGACAGACCGAATTTGATCAAGGGCAGACATTTGGATGATATGATCATGGATCTCGAGGATCTACAGATGAGGCGGAGACAGGAGTTAGAGAAGTCGCAAGACTGGAGGGAAAAGCGGAAGGTTGAGGAGAATGAGAGGGCGGAGAAGGAACAGAGGAGGGCTACTCATATGAAGTTGCTGAGCCAGAGGTTTACTAAGGATTATGGAGTGGGGACAAGGTTGGGGGTTGGGGAGGAGGAGGTTAAGGAGGAGGCTAAGGGGGAGGTGGAGGATGAGTGGCAGGAGGATTATGTGTAGATAAATTTTAATTGGTGTATTGGGTGTTTGTTTGTTTCTTCGTATTCTTGCACGGGATATTCTTTTGGTGCTTGTCTTTTTATCTATGTAATTTATTAGCTGAGAAAGAGAAAGTAATATAGTTTGGCTGATGATACTCGAGTATTCCATTGCATATACATATACATAAACAAACCTTCCCAGACCTTCAGACGAGTTCCTCCCAATACCCATTTTAAATGTAAATATTCCATACTATCTATCTATCTCTCATCTTAACCTACTATATCAATACCCCGGGCCTTCAAGTTCTTCTCAACCTAACATCTCAAACTAACATCCCATCTAACTAACCCTTTTCGTTGCATCTCTCCAAACAAGTTTCTAAGATTTTTATATGAAGGCCTTTGAAAATCTACTCGTGGCAGTGACCTCAACACCACTACACCCCCCCCCTTTCGTCTCGCTTCCTCGCTTCCTCCCTTCCTCGCTTCCTCCCTTCCTCCCTTCCTCCCTTCCTTCCTTTCTCCTTCCTTTCATTACTAATATACTGAATACCATACTGAGTATAATACCATATACCATATACCATATACCAACAATAACATCCTCAACAATAACCTCCTCCTCAACCCACCCCAACAACCCTAATCAAATTTTTTCCAACAGATATGCAAAAACAAAAATATTGAATTCTTAGTACTCGAGTACAAAGTCTTGAACCTGCATGCCATGAAAGGTTTATCACATATCTATCTACTTGCCAGTGAGTACTCGTATAACCATTTTCTTGTGAAGTAAGTTTCTATATAACAAAACAAAACAGCCCTTTAAGAATTGGAGATCGAGAATTGGGAATATTTGCTGGATATTTATCAGGAATGGTTTTGATTTATACTTGATCTATACTTGAGTTGTTACTGGGGATATTTGATATTTGATATTATGTAAGATTATCTTTCTTTACTGGAGTACTACTTGTACTAATCTACTCGAGTAGTACGGTAATAGTAAGGTTATAGTATTTCCAAGAGATGAGTATGAGTGTGAGTATGAATGAGTATGAGTATGAGGAAATGTTCGTTTAGTTTTACAACCTACAACTTACAACTTCGATATAATTTCACAAGTCATATATCATATTTCATATTTCGCAAGGAGGTACCTAATGAACTATTATCTAATTGTATTGTTGTATTAGAATACTCAGTAGACGAGACGAGACGATAGTATAATCTTACTACTTGTATGATATAAGCCTAGAGAATTAAAATTCAGATTTGTATAAGTATAAGTACCAGTACATTTAGTATAGTATATATAATTTGCGAATTTGATATTTTTGATGCAAGATCTCTGATATATTCTTCTCTCTTCCTTCACTCCCAAAAGCCAAGCCCCCCGTTTTCATATCCTGATTCCTCCAATTCATCATTTAGAGAGTCGTAGTACCCGTAGCGATCAAATCCAACCAAGCGGCGAGTCTATGCACGTTAATATCCACCAGTTAGCCAACCATTTTCTCCAAGTTTTCAATAGAAACGAACGAAGAACAAGCAAAAGACAAAAGACAAAAGACAAAAGACAAACTAACCTATACCCCGCCTTCGCAATCTGCAACTTCACCACCGGAATCGCAGCCGTATAATAGCCATTCGTACTAAGATCACCACTCTCGACCGACGCTACCCCCTTTGACAAGACCGTGCTACAAACAAAAGCATTGCTATCACTAGCCCACACCATACTACTGGTGATCGGATCATCGATATCGTTGTTTTCGGTCCATCCCGCTTTAAGCGAGGAATAGGTACCGGTTTTGATAGCGGTAGTGAGAGTAGTGGCCCATGTTTTAGCATCGGAGAGTGCGTAGCCGCCGGTGTATTGTTCGGGGATGGCGGTATCCCAGATAGCGTGGAGGTTGGTTTTGACGCCGGCGTAGGTTACGGAGATGGTGTTTCCGCCTACGTCGAGTTCTTCGTCGTGCAGCGGTTGGTGGATGTCGCCGATGAGCTAGTGTGGGGGGTGAGTGCATTAGATTGGAGTCGTTTGAGAGACCATGATGGGAGAATGAGGATGTGCAGTATCTGTTTTGTGCGGGTGACTAATGTGCCCTGGGAGTGGCACGTGGAGTAGGGGGGATGGAGATATGGCCGACGGAGTTGGGAGAGGAAATCAGAACATACGTGGATGATCATCTGGAGAATATCATATCAGTAATTGCTTTCGGATTTGAGATGAGTGCTTACCTTAGCTGCAATATCCAAGTTAGCAGCACTCGCGGTGCCCTTTTGCAAGATTGCTGTCTGTGGTTTTCAGTATTGTTTGTGAAAGACGTCCCTGGTTTGTGATATACTCACGTAGTTATTGATAGCACTAACGACGCATCCTCTGGCGCCGCAATCTCTATCGTAATCAACGCCACAAGCTGAGTGGTTGTTGTATTAGTATTGCTTCACATGAAATGATGATTCGAGACTCGAAGAGTAATTAAATTATTCGCAGCTTATTTCTCTTGAAGAGATTAAAGTCATGGAAATCATTGAACTCACAAGTAGGTGGGCTATCCTCAGCATCGATATAATGGAAAGGCGCCGAAAAGGCACCAGCAGTAGTGTAGCGGTAAGAATCAGACTGTATAGGGATTAGAACCGTATTTTTCCTTATATGATTTGTCATCGGAAGAACTAACCCAGCTGGCTACAGTGGCCAAGTAGTCTGTGCTAGTATCACCCAAGATGCCTTGAAAATAGGTTTTTGTAGCCGGAGAGACTATGAAAGACTATTGTTAGAGATATATGTATAAAGTCATGACAATATTGTTACTCACCAAAGTTGGAGGCAATATATGCAACAGTATGATGTCCCAAGCTACCCCAAGCGTATGTAGCTGGGATCCAAGAAGAGAGGAGAAGCACTGCACTGGTTTGAACCCTCATGATGAAGTTTAGATGCCAAGAAAGATAGAAAGAAAAGCCGTGAGGGCTGATCTGCTGTTGAAGTGGAAAACTGGCTGATCGAAAGCTTGGAAATACATAACTCTTTATACTTCAATTAATGCATCATCTTGACCACTAATAGAAAGGGCTCCAAAGTGGGCTGTGTCGTCCTACATGTGAAGCTATCCACAAAGTTTTTCCACCCCGTGGTGATCAAAGAGGCAGGTAACACCAACTTTGCCTTCCACATCCACCCATCGTCCACCCACCCCTTCGAAGATCTTCAAAGCCATCCACGAATAAAACCTCAAAGATACAAAACGATCTCAACTCGCATAGATCAAACCACTGATAGCAGAGATCGGGGACGGCCGTTGTCCGCCAAGATTCTTGTCCTTCTTCAAACATATACATGGATTTCAAGAGTTGGTACACAGCGATGGCTCGCGAGTGGAATGCCAAGCACTCGCCAGGACAACAAGCTTCTTATTCTAGAAACAAAATCTTTATATACATATGCACGATAGCCACAAATACAACCACCTTCCCGACTTGTTGCGAATTCCCGATCATCACTGAGAAATATAAATGAATCTTTACGTTTGGAGAGTACTATCGCTCAGTGTATGGCTAGAATGAAGAAGAGCTGGCAACTGCCGTCTTCTACGCATGTATGCGGGGTCAAAGATGGATCTACAGGGACTGAGATAAAAGATGTCCAATTATCTTTGCATGTGTGCCTTGAGATATGAATTGAATGGCCATGTCGTGGTTATAAGGTATTAAGGTTGAAGGTTATTTAGTTGGTGTTCGGGGGATCTCCTAAACTTGGAGAAGTGTATGGTCTTTGTCAGCAGATTCATCTACCTACTATGCGCAATCAGCTTGTATGGACCATTTTTCTATATTGCCGGAACTTTCATACCAGTCGTTCCCCATTGTTCGTCCGGTTATCGGCATCGAGATTGTAAGTTTAAAGGGCGTCCCCTTTAAAAGGAGCGTGTAGAAAATACTTGAATTGGTGCGAGTCTACACAACCTATTTGATGGATCATCCTATCTACCACATACGAAACTGTATTGAGTATATTTCCCACGAACGCCGATTGCGCCTCAATATAAAATCCTTGAATTCCATGAAAAATTATTTTTAGTCCTCGGCCATATCGATATCTCCATCAGCATCACTGCTCTTCCTCTTTTTCGACTTCTTCTTTTCCTTCTTCTCTCCACTTTCCTTATCTCTCTTTCTCTTCTTGTCTTTCTTCTCTTTCTTCTCCCCATCCTCAACTGGCGCCTCGAATTCATCGGCCCTCTTCTTCAGCTTCTCCTCCTTCTCCTCCTTCTGCTTCTCTATCCTTTCCTCTTGGACTCTCCTCTCCTTTGCTTGCTTGCCCAAAAAGTACTCTCCACTCTCAATCTGCAGGTCCACCTTACTCTTCTCTTGTAGTGGAGGGAATGGCGTGTACACCTTCTTGGCCTTGTCCGTAACGTTTCTAGGCACTCTTCTCTTGCTTAAGTTCCTCTTCTTGAATTGTGGCAAGAATCTGTCCCAACTCTCGCCTGCCAATTCTGGATCCTTAGCCAACTCCCGCTTGATCATCAATTCCTTGATGTGGTATATAGGATGAATATTGGCCATGCAATCTTCGATGATTCGTCGGATCTCCTTTAGGCCTTTATAGGGGCCCATTGCTGATACAGTGTTTCCCTGCACAAGTAGATAGCATTCTGTGAGAAGCTCCAAAGCCTTCAAAGTGCTACCATTTGGACCTAGAATTCTCTGTCTTCTTTTCACGAATCGTTCCTTATTTCGGACTAGGTTTCGGATTTTAACGACGTCGCATGCTACACCATCATCAAGAATCTTGATCGCTTGAGGCGCAGGTACGCTTCGTGCAAGTAGCTTGATGAGATCTCGGGCATTGAGAATGGAGGCTGGATCGTATGTTTTTCGAGTGGTCTTGACTGTCATGGAACCTTCGCGCAAATCAAGTGTCGCAGCAATACCAAATTTCTCGAGCGATTTCATTATAAGTGGCCAGACGGTCTTGAGGTATACTTCGCGGTATTTGGGGAATAATGTTACGAAGGATGATTCTTCCGCAAAAGTACCACCTGCATTGTCGGTAGGAGTAAATGCTTCAACCTAGTAGATATTGATCAGTATTGCGGTGAATATATGGAATTGAGGAGTTCTTGAAGATTTGGGGAACTCACCTTCCATTTATCAATATCATCGGTATCCCATGGTTTTTCCTTATTATAGACGGAAGGCATCTTGAAGGTTGATGATGTTGAGGGATGTTTGACGAAGCTTCAAGATTAATTTGCTGCTCGAAGAAAAGTTCATGGGTAGAAGAATATTTTTGAGACTGTGCACTTTTGATCTAGGTTTCCGTAGTAGCTTGCTAGTCTAGACTAGGGCCATCGATAACCGGTGCTAGTGCACTATCACGTGATACAAAGATCACGAGCCATTTCCTCGGAACACTTCGCTTTTTTTTCTTTTTTTACCCCTGAACCCAAGCCGAGAATTATACCCGTTCATGCCAGTTCATATCATTCATGCGTATCATTCATTGATCGAAATACGCTGATCAGCTTATCGCGGATATGAGATATGCACCTCACGTCTTTCATATATGGTCAAGACAGGACTAATCTATTGTTCCCAATTGGCTCGTGAACAACAGTTTATTTCCATCCTTTCCTTCCTTGAACTTCCTTCTAACCCACCATAATTAACCGTAATCTTAAAGTTTCGATCTCAGGGGTAAACTAAAAATGTTATCGATGGCTCGTTTCAAGGATTCTGAATGGTCAGCCTTGTTAATTCCCTTGTATCTCTGGTCATCAGGAACTCTTAAACCCTTGTGCCGCCTTAGCGCCAAAGCGTGGATCATCTCCTCAATATCTCAATATCTTCCTCCCGGATATATTCAAGAACAATATCATTACATATTATATCGTATGGCTTGATCGAATCGGACCAACTAGACCTAAGGAATCAACTATTATGTATGAGTTGTGTCAATTAGGGCTTGGCCTACATCGACCGCATTAATAAAGGATTAGGTCCTTGTAAGGTTGGATAAGCTTAGTTATGATCTAGAAGATTAGATGATCCGATCTTGTACTCAGTACATTGCATCAAACAATGTACTGTAACCGGAAGTTGATCAAGAGGATATGATATGAGGAGATGAAGTAATTCGATAATGACAATATGAAACTTCTTCATATTGTACTGTGCGCCCAATCTCAAATACATTCTTTGACTTCAAAGTAATGATACGTAGGTAGATAACTCATTCCTCGTAATTACAATTGTACATTTTTGGAGCTTGTCATTATCAAGTACCTTGCGTCCGGGAGTATCCTTTTTATAGATCGTTTTGATTGCAAGGTAGCGTGAATGGATAAGGGGCGGCCAGGATCCAGCCGCAATTCCTTTCCTCTCAAGAACGAACTTCTCTCTCAATCTTTACAACTTTGGATTTGATACTTTGTATTGTAACATCATCATCTACTGTCTCTTCATTTATCGTTCTTAAATACCCAAAATTTCAATCGATCCCTTCAAAAGTTTGAGTTTCATTCAGTCATTCGTTTGAGCGAACCGAAAAGTCTTATCCTCCTTTCACTACAGTACCTGCAATTTTCGAATAATAATTTCAACCCAGCTAGCTACCAGTGTCAGCATACTCACGCTACTTTCGATTATATTTTGAACTATTTCTGCTATTTCGACATAGACATCTGAAAGACATATAACAACATTCAAAGAACAATTTGATTCCTGCCTTTAATACCACAATATCATATCATATCCCTCTCGCGTTCTACTTCAGACGCGATTTAATAACAACCCCCTCAAACCGCAACCACGGCTTCTACACTTGCACCCATTTATCGGGCATTGCCCATCGACCATCTCCGGCCTTCCTCGAGAGAACAAAGTCGAGATCTGCCACCTTTCCGAATGTCACCCTCGATGACTGATGGAAGGCAATCATTGCCAATCATGCCAATCATGCCACCCATGGATCCTATTTCTCGACCATCTTCGACGTCAACTGTGAACTCATCTCTATTACACCATAGCGCATCTCTGCCACAGCTACCTGGTCTATCAGCACTTGCTTCAATAGCTTCGGGTACAAATTCACCACAATTGAGGTACGTTCGGAATGTGGAGGAAAATATAATTTGCTATTACTATTGTCTCGGAGATGTGGAAAGTTTCAATTCATCCAACATATTGATAGTTGGAGAAAGAACATAGACTATTCATCTTGAACTTGAAGATACTTGACTCAAGCTTGGTATTGGAACTTCTCTCGAAACTTTCAAGGACGAGAAGAGTACATTCACTTCCTTATATATGGGGATCCTGATGTACAGCATATTGCATGATTCAGAAGCTAATTCAGAACATCATAGAGCATTCAATGTTGGACAAAATGGAAATATGGGGTACGCGACATCATCGCCATCTGCTACTTCTGGAGGAGGTCAAAACAATTCACCTGTATGTATAAGTTTATATCCTCTTGTCTTTCTTGACCACCAATTCCCATACATCGATTTCCTTCCTAGTCATTAGTCATTTGTCATTGGTCACTGTTCTGTGTTCTGTGTTCTGAAAGTTACTAAAGAAACATTGACAATATTCCCCCTCCTAACTTCCTATCTTCTTACCCTCCTACCCTCCTACCCTCCTATGTACTGGTATCTCCATTCAATTTATTCATCTCATCTCATCTCATCTCATCTCATCTCATCTTCCTTTTCCCTTCCCATTATTTTCTTCAATCTATCTCCTATCTTTTGGGAAGAGTTATTCCGATAAATACGGCGACCTTTTTTCTTTATCGGACTTGTTATCGCTCCGTCACTAGTCGTCTTCGTGGCCAGCCGTAGCGGTATTTCCCGTTCCTTTTGATTGAGTTTGATCAAATTAAGCCCCAAGCGATGTCAGCAGAGCAACAATCTGCGAGAATTTTCGTCCCCGATAACGATAGCGATTTCATATCCATCAATAACCACAATCATGGCTACAATGGCTAACAATGATCGCGAAACTCAACAGCCTACCTGTCAGAACTGTCAGACCTCAACAACTCCTTTATGGCGAAGAGATGAGATAGGATCCGTTTTATGCAATGCCTGTGGGCTCTTCTTAAAGCTGCACGGGAGACCTCGGCCGATAAGCCTCAAGACAGATGTTATCAAGAGTCGAAATCGCGTTAAGAGTTCCGGTACTGCACAAAGTGCAAAGAAAAAGGTATTGTACTTTATTCTAATTGATATTGTTGAAATGGCATGATTACTAACGTGTTTTGTTGCAGATTCTCTATGAAGCTAATGGTCTCGACCAAGCGCGATCGCAAGCTGGCACACCACCACCCGGTTCTCTTGGACATAGAAGAACATCAGGAAAGTCTGCCAATGGTCATTCGGATGGATCAAACTCCCCTATTTCTAGAACTGCGACTCCTTCGATGTATGGTAATCATTTGCCCGCATTCAACAGTCATGGGTTAGAAGAACATCATTACAATCATTCCCCCTCTCTCCCGCCAATGCATATTCGACAACCTTCTCCTGGCGATATACGATCTGCATCCCCTTCTATGAATGGCCCGCATGGTCTCGAAGTACCCCAGACATACGAACAACTTATCGCTCAAAATTCATCTTTGAAGACTCGTGTTAGTGAGCTCGAAGTTATAAATGAGCTCTTTCGTGGTCGAGTCACCCAACTTGAACAAGATGAAGCCAATGCCCGTCGAGGAGAGGAGATGCGTCGAGAATCAGAACACAACCTCCTGAGTCGACTCGAGGAATCTCAACGCCGAGAGAATCAATTAAAACGTCGCTTGGATGATGTTGAGCGTGAACTCAACGAATTGCGTGACGGGGCACCCCGCGCTAAGAAAATGCGTGTCGCAGACATGGTTGGGGACAGCGAATCGTCAACTCCACAATCAGTCACTTCATAGTACAGCAAAATCACCATCTCCTCTCCTTGATCTTATGCGAATTATGGAATGTCAAGATTGGCGCGTGGTTTTTCTTTTTGCTTCATGTCGATGATACCAATCTAACGAAATCTTCCTCTATCCCTAATGCAGCACGTTTACCTCCAATGGACATTCGATTGCATTCCCTTAACATCAAAATGATACTCGCATTCCAGTATCCACCTCTATTGATGGCTTGTACTACCACGAAAATATGCGCTTCCTTTCTTGCATTTCTTTTCACGTTCAGCATCTTCATCACATCACCGAAAAAATATTCGGGCAGAACGCATGGATGGTCGCGTCGCCACATTAATGTCAAAATAATAACTCACGTTTCCCTTTCCGCTCCTCCAGCTATTTCAATTTGACAAAGTCAATTTTAGTACTGGACACGCAAAAATATGAAGCTCGACTTCTTTTTAACGAATGATAAAAGGCTTTGGGGTACAAGGGCAAATCTAACCCACGAATTTTTATCGGGGTGTTAGGAGTAGATATGAAAGCCGGATACTTTTCCCGCCAGATATTTCCCCCTCTGCTCATGCAAGAGCGAAAATAAAAGCTGGTGTTGGCCATGCATGTTCATGCATTATCACTTCTCTTTCTTGCCAATGAATGCCGCCAGTCAGATATCTTATCTATATAGCACGATAAATATTCAAATCTCGAGAGAGCGGAATAAAAAGTTCATTGATTCTATAGAAATCCTTGTGATGGGAAATGACATGATCCTGTACGAGTACTCGAGTACTATTGAATAAATTGCAGAAAAAAATCCTTATCTTTTCATCTCTCTATCTAATCTTCTTGCTATCCATATCTTCCCGACGATACCGACGATATTGATCAAGACAAGACCCGTAGTGATAAGAGATTATTAGCTAACCAACTCATCATCACATACAATAATAACATATACACAATCTACTCGAGTAATATTAATACCACAAATAATAACTTATTTATTGGTCAATTGCAGTCTAGATTAGATGAATAATGGATTCTGATACGTGTAGGTAATTGATATCTGATATACTCCCGGTGACCTTACCCCGCTAAGTTTTAAGTTGAGGGAAAAGAAAAGGATTGATGAGAAAGAGGATGAGAAGACTTATACAAACACCACTGAGTCTCCATGTTTTTCGCTATATAAGTACTTGATCACTTGACCTAGGTAGGTATATTTTCTGACTTTTTAGACAATTAATTGCTTCCTCCTTTGTTTTGAATATATAGTATTTTCACTTTCCGAAGCCTCTCTAGAAGTGACATTCGTGACGCGAGAATGAACCACTTTAAAGTCGTATACCTTCAGGCGCGTCTTCCCAACATCAACCGCGTTCAACCATCAAGGAAAATGCTATGGCTACCATAAAACCCATTGAAGGCCGGACGGTGAGAAACTCTAGGAGTACAAACTTACTATACAGAACTAATCATCTTAACATTGATAGATCCATCAGATTCAGTCTGGCCAAGTAATTGTTGATTTATGTTCGGTGGTGAAAGAACTGGTGGAGAACAGTCTGGATGCTGGAGCAACGAGCATTGGTAAGAACAATTCGACATTCATATCACCTAGCTCCCACTACTAAGGATCATATAGATGTGCGTTTCAAGAACCAAGGGCTGGAGGCAATCGAGGTTCAGGATAATGGTGGTGGGATTTCTCCGGCCAACTACGAAACCCTAGCACTCAAACATCATACCTCGAAATTGGTAACATACAATGATCTCACGACCCTCCGAACGTTTGGCTTTCGTGGTGAAGCCCTGTCTTCACTCTGCGCTCTCTCAAACTTCTCCGTCATTACATGCATGCCAGAGAATGCTCCGAAAGGTACGAAGCTTGAATTCGAAATATCTGGGAAGTTGAAAGGAACATCCGTGGTGGCGGCGCAGAAAGGAACGACAGTGATTGTAGAGAATTTGTTCAACAATCTGCCGGTTAGACGACGAGAGCTTGAGAAGAATATCAAACGAGAATGGGCCAAGGTTACGGGGGTTTTGGGTCAATATGCTTGTATACAAACGGGTATCAAGTTTATTGTTTCGCAACAAGCGGCCAAAGGCAAAAAGACAACCATTTTTTCTACAAAAGGAAACCCTACTACTAAAGAGAATATTATCAATGTTTTCGGTGCGAAGACTCTTATCCAATTGATTCCAATGGATTTACGTCTAGAATTGGAGCCTACGAGTGGCCCTAGTCAAAGGTGGAGCACACAATCTGATGGCGGCACGAAAGATATCCGAATCATTGGTCATATATCCCGTCCAGCTTCGGGAGAAGGACGGCAGACTCTCGATAGGCAAATGTTCTTCGTGAATGCAAGACCCTGTGGACTCCCCCAAGTGGCAAAGGCTTTTAACGAAGTCTACAAGTCATATAATGGATGGGGAAGCACTCAGTCTCCATTCATATTCGCTAATATCGAATTAGATACTCACTTGTATGATGTTAATGTCAGTCCTGATAAGCGTACTATCTTACTACATGATCAGCATCGTATGTTGGAGAATCTCAAGACGGCTCTCGCTGAGCTTTTTGAAGGCCAGGATCATACCATGCCGGTTTCTCAGTTACCTGCACAAAAGCAACCACAGTATAAGCAATTGACAATTTATCAAGAGGCTGCTAGTGCATCTAAAGCTTTGCAGAGACGTGTCCAATCACCAACTGAATCTGCTGAAGAGGAAGACGATGATGAAGATGATGTTTCAGCCGCATTCCCGACATCCAGGAGACCCAGTGGAGCACAAAGTACAGATGGTGAAAAGTCTAACGTGCAGTCTAATTCGAAGGCAAAGCGTACTGCCACATCGCGGAATTCAATGGCGCGAGATGGTGAGGCTATTAGCTTGATTTCTAATTGGGCTAGTCGTGAATCCGAGGATCGGAGCGAACAGCGGCCTGCACCTCCTAAAGCTGTGCAAGATGTTCGCCAGGGTCTGTCAAAGGGAAGACACAGACTGCTCTCCAAGTTTGGCAGGGAGGCTGCACAAGCTGAGGATGCTGAGGATGAGCTTGTAAGCCCAGAAAGCTCGGTTACGACTACCCAAGACTCTCAACCCGCACCAACGTATAGACCTCCCAGACACGTTACTGATTTCAATGACCGTATGGCCGAGGTTAGTGTCTCAAGGGAAGGATCAAAAACAGAAGAAGATCCAGAAGACTCGCCTAGTCCATCTGAGCCAGAAGCCTCTATCCCCCAACTCTTGTCACCGTCTCCAATGTCCACCCCAGGAGTTCTTAGTTCGCTTGGAAGTAGTAGACCACAACGTTCTCAGCAGGAGATGGCCACAATTACAATTGGTGACCATACCGTGACTAGTTCCATTGGAACACCTGCCCCGAAGAGATTGAAGGTTGATGGTACACCTGGAACCTTGCATATCAGCGGAGCGCCACAACGAAATGTACCTATGCCCTCTTTTGGGAGTCGGCTTAGTCGACGTTTTGGCGCACCTGGTACTCAAGCCTCAGATAGTAGCGATGACTCTGGAGAGTTTCACCAGAATACAGAGCCAGAATCCACGCTGGAAACGGCTGGTCTTGATTTTCCGGGCGCTTCTGATGCCAATTCAGTGCTGACTAATTTCCGAAATGCGGGGGGTGGAGAAGATTCGCCGATGGCCCATTCGATCGACGAGGAGGCTCCTGTATCATTAGAAGGTCCTCCAGGCGATGACGCAGCCAGTGACGATGAAGATGAAGATTACATTGACGAAAAAGAGAAGAAAGTTCGGGAAGAAGCAAAAGTTCAAGAGATGATCGAAGAGGCTGAAAGAACGGCTGCGCTACCATCTCAAGAGAACAGCACTCGCGCAAAATCCCTACTGAAAGGTGGCGCAAAGAGGAAAGAGTCGACGTTCAATCTGACACAGACCGTGAATACTACTCTCCTCGATATCAACCAACAAATCCAATCTTTGAGTGATGCACTTTCACCATACGCAAACCATACTAGTTCCAATTCACAAGACGAAGCCCTCGACTCCCACAACGCAGAAGAGCGCCTCTCCCTCACAATCTCCAAAAGTGATTTCGCCAAGATGAAAATCATCGGACAATTTAATCTCGGCTTCATTCTCGCATCGAAAGCCCCTGAGCCTCCAACCGAAAATGGCATACAAACTGCAGACAACGTATTCATCATCGACCAACATTCAGCGGACGAGAAATACAATTTCGAACGTCTACAAGCTACTACTATCGTCCAATCACAACGATTAGTCTACCCCAAAACTCTGTCTCTCACAGCCCTCGAAGAGGAAATCGTAGCTGAAAATCTCGATATTTTGGAGCAAAATGGATTTATCCTCACTATTGACCCTTCATCGCAAAACGTAGGTGGGAGATGCCAACTCGTGTCCTTGCCCGTGTCACGCGAAACGACATTTTCGATACACGATCTTGAGGAATTAATTGCGCTTTTGGCGGAAAGTGGAGGTGGAGGAAGAGCAGGAGAAGGAAGAGGAATGGTGCGTCCGAGTAAAGTGCGTAAAATGTTCGCAATGCGCGCGTGTAGGAGTAGTATTATGATAGGGAAGACGCTGAGGAAGAGTCAGATGGAAGGTGTGGTGAGGCATATGGGGGAGATTGAGCAGCCGTGGAATTGTCCGCATGGAAGACCGACTATGAGACATCTTTGTGGGTTGGGGTTGTGGGATGGTGAGGAAGAAGGGGAGGGAGGGGGGTGGAGGGGGGATTTGAATTTTGGGGGTGTGGGTGTTGGTGGGAGAGGGAATGGAAGGACGGATTGGCGGGGGTATGTTGGGAGGAAGAAGAAGAAGAAGAGGGGTGTGGTGTGATTTTTTGATGGACGTGGTTGGGATTGTACTGCGGTTGTACTATGATTTGCTATGCTATGATTTGCTATGCTATTCTACACTATTCTCCACAATATCAGAAGATAGATAGATAGAAGAAAGGAAGGAAAGAAAAAATAAGTAATCTTTTAGCACTCACTATACTCCACACGTAAAATCACTCGAGTATAATCATAAATCATAATCATAATCACAAGATCTCCCTCCCTTCCCTCCCTACCTACCTACCGAATAAGCTATGAGTTATGAGTTATAAGCTACGAATAATCGACCTGAGAGAGAGTCCTTGTACATTACATTCCGAATATATCAATCATATTGATTTGAAAGCACAGTTGAATCAAGCAAGCAACTTTACTATTTCTTTACTATTTCATCTCATCTCATCTCATTTCATATTAGATCAGACCAAACTACTCTAGTAGATAGACAGATTAGACTAAACTACCCTATATTAGATAACCTAGCACTCACTCACTATCTATTTAATTTAATTTAATTCCACTCAAACTACCAATTCAAACTACTAAACTACTCGAGTGGGTGTATTTTCCTTATTAGGTAGCTAGCTAGCTACTAGCCTACTACTCTACACACTCCATGAAATGTGCAAGTAACTTACTTAAAAGCTCTCTAGATCTCATTTCATATCATATGTATCATAGCATAGCATATCACATCACCCATTATTTTCTCCCATCACATTTTTGCATGCAAAAAGCTCCATTCCATTTCTCTCTCCCAAGCCAGAAATAAACCAAAATCCACCACCACCATGCAACGCTTTGTGTGCGTGCGTAACAATTATCAAGATATGTATATCGTCGCTCCCAGCAAATTATGGCCCAGGAAATTTAAACTCCGGGGAAACAAAGCAAACAAGAAACACCACCCACCCAGCCCATCAAATCAATTCAAATCGTCACACCCTAATTAATCCATCCGTAGATAATTTACCAATCAAGAGGTTCCTTGATCTCTTCACCACGATTTGTTTTTGGTACTGGCGCAGGTTTGATGGCTAATTTACCATTCTTGCCTCTCTTCAAGTATCCGCTTCCATTCAACCATGGGGTGTTCTTGGTCATCTTCTTCTCGAAACTGGAAATCTTGTCTTCCATTTGAAGAGTCAATCCAATATCATCAAATCCATTGACCAAGCAATGCTTTCTGAATTCCTCGACCTCGAAACCGCAGATTTTCTTTCCTGATGCGTCGTTGATGGCTTGGTTTGGAAGATCAATTTCGATTTCCTTACCGGCATAGGCTTCTGCTGCAATGGCGTCGAGATCGGCTTGGTTGGTAATGGCGATTGGAAGCATGCCGTTCTTGAAAGTGTTGTTGAAGAAGATATCGGCAAAGGAGGGGGCGATGATGCACTTAATTCCGAAGTCAAGAAGTGCCCATGGAGCGTGTTCACGGGAACTTCCACATCCGAAGTTAGGGCCAGTAACAACGAGGACCTTGGCTTTGCGGTATGGTTCTTGGTTAAGAACGAATTCGGGTTTCTCAGATCCATCTTCATTGAATCGAAGGGCGTAGAAGAGAGCAGATCCAAGACCAGTTCGCTTGATAGTCTTCAAGAATTGTTTAGGAATGATTGCGTCGGTGTCGGCATTAGCTCTATCTAATGGTGCTGCAATTCCCTTGTAAATTTCGAATTTTGGAAGACCAGCACTCGAGCGAGCAGCGATTGTGTTGGTGTGTGGAGAGTTATCTTCTGGTTGATCACCAATAACCTCACGCTCATCGTCATCAGTCTCAACACGTTCGTCAATGTGTGCCTTGCCTTGGTAGCTAGTCGGTAATGCCTTCTTTGGTGCCGAATTGCCTTCTGTGGCAAACTTTCTCACATCTGTGAGCGTACCAACAATAGCAGAAGCTGCCGCCGAAACCGGCGATACCAAATGAGTGCGACTTCCAGCTCCTTGACGACCCTCAAAATTTCGATTACTGGTACTGGCGCATCGCTCCTTTGGTGCCAAAATATCGGGGTTCATGCCAAGGCACATACTGCAACCAGCTTCTCTCCACTCGAAACCAGCATCAGTGAAGATCTTATCAAGACCTTCATCTTCGGCCATACTCTTGATAAGACCGGAACCTGGAACAACCATTGCTCGCTTGATATTGGGAGCAATCTTTTTACCCTTGACAATACCAGCTGCGGCTCGGAGATCCTCAATTCTTGCGTTTGTGCAAGAACCAATGAAGACCTTGTCCAAAACAATCTCTTCCATTGGAGTTCCGGCGGTAAGTCCCATATATTCCAACATCTTGATAGCGTTCTCCTTCTTTCCTTTGTCGGTATAGGACTCTGGATCTGGTACGGAACCAGTAATTGGAACGACATCTTCTGGGCTGGTACCCCAAGTGACGGTTGGAGCAACATCCTTCGCATCGATAAAGACATCGATATCGTACTTGGCGTTTTCGTCGGATTGTAAACTCTTCCAGTGTTTAATAGCTTTGTCCCATTCCTCGGAACCATACTTTGGTGCAAGTGGTCTATTCTTGAGATATTCGAATGTGATCTCATCTGGTGCAATCATACCAGCTCTCGCACCACCCTCGATCGACATATTACATATCGACATTCTACCTTCCATACTTAAACTTCGAATAACCGAACCACAAAACTCGATGACTGCGCCGGTACCACCAGCCGTACCGATGATTCCGATAGCGTGTAAGACGACGTCCTTTGCTGTGACACCTGGCGCAAGCTCGCCGTCTATCTGAATTCTCATGTTCTTGCTTCGTTTTGTGATCAAAGTCTGTGTAGCCAAAACATGCTCGACTTCACTCGTACCAATTCCGAAAGCCAAAGATCCAAAAGCACCATGTGTAGAGGTGTGACTGTCACCACAAACAACAGTGGTACCCGGAAGAGTGAAACCCTGCTCAGGACCAATGATATGCACAATACCTTGACGCTTATCACCAAGACCAAAGTACGTGATACCAAAGTCCTTGACGTTATCTTCGAGAGTCATACATTGAAGTCTGGAATCTTCTTCCTCGACGAAAGTTTCGATATTTTTGAGGGATTTTCGGGAGCTGGTTGGGACGTTCTAAGAAAGATATTAGGTCACATTCTTGGAATTCTGATGAACTAAGAACTTACATGATCAGTGGTCGCAAGAGTACAATCTGGTCTTCGAACTTTTCTGTCTGCATTCTTCAAACCCTCGAAAGCTTGCTATAAAGAACTGGTTAGAATGTTGACTTGATAATAAAGGACAAGAGAAACATACCGGTGAAGTAACTTCATGTACCAAATGTCTGTCTACAGCCAAAAGTTAATTTTGATTCTCCCTAACTATTTTGAATTTCAACATACCGATATAAAGTAAGATTGTACCATCCATTCTCTCATCTACGATATGGTCCTGAAGAACCTTATCGTAGAGAGTTTGTGGTCCACCTTCAACAGTAGGCATAGTGATGATTGACGAAGTCTCTTGGAGATATTTGTTTCTTCGATATGTATTGTATCTTGCTTGATCTTGATCTTGCTGTTGTTGTAAATAAAGTACAAATTCTCAAAGAAAGGGAGAAACTTTTGAATAGAATAAACAGAGTGAGAGAGAGAGAAAGGATTTACAATGGATAGAAATTATATCTTTCAGGAGAGGAGGGAAGTGCGGGGTGGAAGTATTTTATGATGGCTTCAATTCAAAGACAGTTTGTGCCGATATCGGGGAGAGCTTCAAAATGATCTCCGGCGGTGAATATATGAAACCAATTAGAATGAGGGTATTACCTTTTTTGCCATTTATCTGATCCACTTGAACTGAGATGTGAGATTAACCAATGGTATCGGAGATATTATAAGCTAGCATAAATGGACCTATAACAATCATAGTGATTTGTAATCTGAAATGTCCGGTTGATTTCGAAGTATTATAACATCCCAAAAACAGAGTGATATTATCCCGCAGTACCATATCTATTCTCCGTGCTATTCTCTCCCGCAGTATCCATCTAATCCAATCCAATACATACCATACCATAGTATACCATCCCATACCAAGTACCAAGCCATCTATCTCATCACGATTAGATCTAACTCTAACTCTAACTCTAGCCTCTCTCTACAAGTAGTAACTCACGGGAACCCTTCAAAGGTTACTTACTAATAACAACCTCCTTCCCTTTTCGAATCAACCATCTCATCCCATTCCATTCTATCCCATCCCATCCCATCCCTTCAAGTTTCGTTTCCCAGTGTCTAGCAATCCAGTACGATATGTATTAATGTACTCGAGTAATAATTACTCACATGTTCTCATCCCGATCATCGGAGGTCATTCCTTTTCTTCATTGTAGTACCAATACTATATTTATCTACTACCTAGTAAACTAGGTTGATATATATACTCGAATACTTGAGTACATAATAACATTGTCTCTTCCCCCATCATATCATTCATCCCATACATACATACATACATACATACATATATATGCACACTCTTACTCTCTCCTTTACACCCATACACTCACCCCCCCCCCCCCCGATATCCGGAGCTCCATCTATCTCTCTCTCCTTCTTTCTTCCCTTCTCTCGTATAGTTTTATAATTTTACTATCTCCAAGTTTTTACATTACAATACGAGTGCTCTACATACCTAGGTAGGTATTACTGAACATACAAGCATTATTTACATACCCGCCCATCTTCCCCATCCCCATACTTCTCCCCCCCCTCTTTCCAATATCTCTCCTCTCCCCCATCTCCTCTCCCCTCTCCCCTATCACAGAACACCACACAACATCCTTCGCTACTACCCACACGGTATCACAATACATCACAATACATTCCATCATCATCATCATCATCATCATCATCATCATTATCATTATTCACATCCCAAATATCTCCACCGATATACTATCGCATACATCATATTATATCAAATCAAATCACATCATATCATATATATCTACATATCATATCGTCCATCTCCCTCATTCTCATTCTCATTCTCATCACTGAACATTTATTACCTTGTTAGATTCATTTGTAGGTACTCACTCGTATATATACATGCAAGTAAAGAACATCATACTCGAGTACATCATACTCGAGTACATCTACAAAACCAAACCGCCCCATTCTAATTTCCTCAATTCCTCAATAACTACTCGAGTAAATCGAATATCCAGTCTTCAATCTCCAATCACTAATCTCCTTTCATCCCAGGCACCTCCTCCCTCGCAGCTCAATACTAATTACTTGCTCCCACTAGCATCTACTCATAGCGTAGCGAAGTATATATACCGGTATACTCATATATACCACAATACACCAAATCCACCCAAATTCTCAAACTCCATGTCGCTATTTCGAATTCGGTGAAGAGTTATAGATTTGCGGGAAGCCTCTCATAGACATCGATAGGAGAGAGAGTGTGTGAATAATTCCACCCATCAACATCCCCCCATAAGTTTATTAGTCGGCCACTCATAGCCTGTTTCATTCCATGCCTAAACACATCATACTAATTAGCCCAACTCACGCAAGAAACCCAATCAACCCAACCCTCCCTCCCCACCCACCCCACCAAAAACAACCCCCCCTTCCCCCAGAAAAAACTCCAAAAAAACATACCGTCAAATTCGGATTCCCATACGCAACCGGATGCCTCCTAATATACTCCGTCGTCTCATACCCCACCGGATCACACGTGACACTCACTTGTCCCGCCCTCTGATAAATCCTCACATAATCCACATGCATAACCGTCGGAAACCTAAGACCCGCCATTAAAATCTGACTCCACGCACCACTCATCCCCAAATTCAACACCATACTCATGGGTTCCTCGCTCACCAATCGCGCCCCCACATTACCATTCTGACCCACCGCCCTCCCATCCATCATGAATGTCTGTTGATCCCCCACAAACCAGGCGATTTGCCCCGTGCTCGATGTACCAGGCGTGTACTCAAAGGCGTATTTTTGATACGCGGAGCCGTCGTACCATGCGTTGTTTAGAAGCGTCGTGCCGGAAATAGCCTGTTGATACGGACCTCCGCAGTACTCGTTTAGATTCGTGGTATTGTAGTTGGGAATCTGTAGAAACTGGTGATTCGGTCGGTACCACACGTCGAACGGGGCAACCTGGTAACTTTGCGTGACGACTCCAATGCGATTATTAGGATCAACGCTCGCTTCCAGAACATCGATTTCCGGGGCTCCGCGACCAGTACCAGGCGTAGGATGCTCCTGGCCTTTGCAAGTACAAGAATTGAGTTTCTGACCGGGCAGACGAGAAATACCATCGGGAGAGGATTGGTTGGGCGTGATGCCATAATCGCAGCTGTTGTAGGTGTAGGGCCATACGCCTTCGGTAGTGGCTTTGTAGCCCGGACGCCCTAGATTTCCCATGCTCCAGACGCCAGGCCAGAGACCGGGAATACCTGAGGGACCCGGTAGTGATATCGATACTTCCATGATGCCGCCTTTGAAGCAGAGCTGGTTCCAGGAGTTGAGCATGCCGGATTGGTAGCCGAGGTTGTGGGTGGGGAAGGCTTCCATGCGTAGTTGGAGGGTGCCGTCTGAGGTGGTGACGGCGACGGGATCTGTGGGGGGTAGGGTTAGTATGGCGGGGTGGAAGAGCTTTTGCTAGATATGATGTATATGCTTGGGAGTTAAATAATGATATCCCCTCATGCACGCCAAGAACCCCACAACCCCCAAGTTCTCCCACCATGCACAAGTTCGCCTCGCCTCCCTTTCCCTCTCCCCTCCCCTCAACTTAACTCAACATGCAAATGCAAAGATGGAAAGATTCTCACTCACCATACCACTCCATATCCTGCGTAGCCCCATACCAAATATTCGGCGCGGTCCAAAAGGGATCATCACCAGGATAGAAGGTCCTATTATTATTATTAAACTCATCGCTGAAAACTAAATTCAACGTCTCTCCATTAAAAGTGCTTTTTCTAGTCATGGCGATTTTGGGCGTGTCGGGATCTACAAGGGTTGTCCGAACGTTTTTAAGAAGGGGATATGTATTCTGCGTGGGTCAGTTGCGTTTATTCCTGTTATGTTTTTGAGAGAGGAAGATGGAGAAATATTGAAGATTGTAACCACTGGCAAGAAGAAGCTTAAGAAAAAGAGAGAAAAGCACTCACATTATTAACATGCGCCCAAGCCGGACCATAATCCACAGGTCCACCGTTTCCGGCCCCCTCCCCAGGCATCGACATACCCGTCGTAAAAGTCAACACCGGCAACAGGATAAAAACACACAACAATCCAATAACCATAAATACCCCCCCAATAGCATTAATCAAGCTCCTCCTCTCCAACCACTCATGCCACGTCGGTTTGAAATCCTGATCATCATTCGCATGAGGCATATGCATGTCATCATCATCCTCAATCTCATCATCATACAATATGAATCCCTTTTCACCCCCGAAATACGGATCAAAGGCTCCAATGTGATCATCAGGATAATTCCATTTTTCAGGATCGAGCATGGCGGCTGCGGAATCGCGAAAGGGGTTTCGAGGGATGGAAGGTAGGGAGTCGGAGGATGTAGATGTAGATGTAGATGCTTGACTGATATAAATTGGAAGTGGTGTATTAGGTCCTGAGGGTCCGGAAGTAGAACTAGACCGTGAACTCGGATACCGCGAATAATCATGTCCCAAATCTTTTAATCCTTTCGGTGTACCCACTCGCATATCTCCTATTTGTGTGCTAATTCCAGCCAATTCCGATTTCCGCCGTAGAAACTGTTGCGGGGAACTTAATTTCTTTCCTTTCTTATTTGAGTTTCCGTTATTCTGTGTGTTGGTGCTTGAGGTTGTGGAGGTAGGGAGAGGTAAATCACTAGATGATGAAGAATCCCCTGGGGATGTGGTGCCACCCAATGGTCCACTTTTTGCTTCGTCGCTGCTGTTGATAGATATCGAGGAGGTGGAGGGATTGAGAGGGGACGGTATAACTGGCAAATATGATTTTCGATTCATACTCAATATTGATGGCCTTCTTTCCATTTGTGAAGCACTCGAGGACCTCCGCTTCTCTGGTTGCACAGAATCTTCCGTAGGCCTAGGAGCTCTCGACGGACTTGTAGCAAATTCTGTTGCTAATGATATGTTTGATCGTCCAGCTTGTACCATTTCCATAAGAGGTTGTTGAGAACTGCTCATGCCAACCTTTTCAGGAGGTGATACATTTTGTATTGGCGACATGGTGTTTGTGAGTTCTTCCTTCTCCCACTTCAAATTTCCAGACCGTGTGATACTCTCAATATATCTCTATAGCTATTCCAGCTGAACCAAGCTAAACGCAATATTCCTCATCGAAACCACGTAGAATTGATATTTCTGAAGATCTTCCTCAGACAATTGGATAGTACATCTGCACTGAACATGACATTCTATCACACGAGCGTGAATCACCTATAGCCCAAAAAATCGCATTGCGAATTCGGCCATATACTCAACACACTTCCTAAACCGCCCGCCAAGACCGTGACGTCTTGAATTCGACTTTTTTTCCGGGAGCAACAAAGAAGAGGATCGATGACTTACGTAGCTTTCCGGACTTGGGTTGCTATGTTTGGTTGAATTGGCTCTGGAATGTGAAGAAATGCACGCTAAGGTTCCGATAAGAGTTCTAATAAAAGAATATTTCCCCGGAATTTGATGCTTATCGGGACTTTAACGAAAGAATCGATTTATCTTTAGTAAACGACTGAAGCTTTGTAGACGCTACTGTTAAATTGCTGATATAGAACGCGAAATGGCAAATGAGAAAGCGACAGTGATGATCGTGATAACGCAAAGACGATGGGATGGTAGTTAAGTAGGAGAAGACAAACATGAAGAAAAAACAAGGTAATGAGAGAAAACCAAGTACCCAAGGTACCTTTACACGCAGTAGATCATTCCAAATGCAAAGGATGTCGAATGCAATGATATCCGTCGTTATCCCAATTATGTCTCACTTCAATAGAGTGGAATATGCAGGTGTGAAGGCATGCTTCTGCATACAATGTGAATGCCCAGCAAATCAGGTCATTTTAAGAAATGAGAACATCGGAATCAATTCTCCTTCGTCCGAAAACCTGCAATGTTGATAGGGGCGATTAGTAGTATGAGATGAATGCGGCTATGAAGATGAGCTTCGAATATACGTACTCACGTACTCACGTACTCGACTACTCCATATCAATTGCCCTTGCCGAGAATATAAATTGCGCCCGCGATTTATGGAAAGTAAATAAACCCAACGAGGTCACGGGAAGACTATCTATGTGGTGTTTCCGGACAAGAGATTCGTTCATGACAGGGGCCTTGACGGCTTCATGTACTATACCTACGAGTTGTACTCCACAAGCCATTAGCGAACGTTGTACTTCATCAAGTTAAAACCAATCAATTGAGCCAATAGTATGCGTATGCGTATATCAATTTGATAGGGCACATGCATTTTGTACTTTCGTATAGCATTTTCTTTGCCAAATCGCATCTTCTTCCATTTGTTTCTCGCTGTACTATCCGTACCACAAAGTCTGCCCTCTCTTGCTCTGCATGCCATCCATTGAAGATCTCCACAATGCCCCGTCAATCAAAAGCTTATACATTAAATTTCATGCTTCCATCCCGAAATTGCAGTGCCCCATCGGTCGTGTTCTCAAAGAACTTTCCGAATATTTAGTTGTCTTCAACGTGATATTTCCACACTTCGGGGATTCTTGGCCATTTCTTTCGTTCTCTTCTCCCTCATTATATAACTTAAAACTCAGTCTCATATTCTCGAGCAACGCATCAAGGCCTTTCCATGGATACCAAACTTAAATGATACAACCATTGTAACTAACTAATGTCGAGTTTCTTGGTGAGTAGAATCTGAATTGTGTAACTCTGGGTTTCAGTAGATCTAAAAATCCGCGAAATTGGACAAGTGACGTGGACAGTTTCTTCGTGTAATACCTCTACATATGTAACCTCGAAATGGCCAGTTGACAAACATATTTTTCCTCATATTGATGTTCGTTTCATGGCCCTGGTTGACCGTCTTTGCGCAAAGACGTTTGTTGTCGACGATCGACTCCTGTTTCTTCATATTCCACATCCCACCCAAGAACTGCCTTCAATGAGTTCAGTTCTTTTTGTAGTTGCTGGAGCCCCCCTTGAACCCCGCTCATAACGGTAAACAATTGCCTTTGTGTACTCTTCGACGATTCGCCAATAAGAGATTTCTCCGTCATATGGGGACTACCAGCCGCGATAGGATTTCTGGTAATCTGGCCATTGGGAATGGTGTGTATCGGCTGGGCAAGTTGTCTGTTTGTAAGGGGTGGATAAAATCGTGGACGGTGCATCACGATTGGAGCAGCTCGCGCCTGCTGCCCATTCCCCATTGATTCCCCTTCATCGAGATTGCCTTGATCAAATTCTTCGCGGGCGATCTGAGCCTGTAGCAAGGAGTCCAATTCCGCATCTTCTGCTTGCCTCAATCCTGGTGTTCTCAACGGTGGTCGTGGTATAGATGGAAGAGGTGGGTAGGGACTGACATAATGGCCAGGTGAATTAAATCTGTTAAATATGCTGTCGTCGTCATCATGTGGTCTCTTTTTGGCTTCTCTTCTATTTCGTTTGGTTGACGGGTCATTTGCATATCTCAAAGCCCTGGCATCTTGATTCCCTAAAATTTGAAGAATCCAACCATTAGTAAAAGTATTCTCTCCCAAGGAGACAATAAGTCAAGGGAAATAAATACCCAAATACTGTATTCTCAAACTGCATTTATTCCCTTTGCTCGTGAAAATACAAGTCGCGCAAGCTCCTTGAAACCATTCATCCAACACAATACAATGAGCGAATCGTCCAAACCCTTGTTCACAATGCGCACATTGTTTTGTCATTATTCTTCCTCTGGTGGCTACCATACATGCACCTCTCTGCTGAACGCGTTGACTATCAGTTGATTTTTCCGGTGGTAATGATTGACCGCTACGCCATGGTAAGTCGCGCATTTCGGGAAGAACTCTTATGCGATCGAGAAATGTTGGCTCGTTTCTATGATTGCTGAATGAATAGCGCCTGCCATTCCCATCATCTGAAGACGATGTAGGTTCCCCATGGCTAGATTCTCGTCCATTGAATCTTTCTTCGTTCTTATTTTCCGGCGCTCGTCCTCTCTCTGCATGATTCTGATTTTGGTTCATTCCTATTTGTGCTTGGCTGCTGATTGCACTGTTTGTTGTGTCCATTTTGGACGCGGCCGCCCTATTTCTCTTTGGACGCATATTATCTATCTCTCTGTTTCGTTTCGATTTTCCCTCTGGTGATAGCGAAATTGTTTCAAAACGATGTGAAGGTTCAGGAATTGGCTCGTTATCTGAAGCTTGTCGCGTCCAGAGTCCTGGCCCGTTGGCTGAATATCGTGTTTTGGCAGAGGCGATGCCACGGTCGCGAAGTTCCATTTCAAAAAAAGAGGTGGTTTGGCTGTGTGGTTGGGTGGACTCGATGGGGAGAGATTTTGTCGATGTGCAGGGCTAAGTAAATCAATTGTGGTTAGGCATTATCTCTTATCGCCGTGCCTAGCAGTTATCTATTTACACTCAATATACCCATTTGGAACTGGGAATTAGATATTACTCTATTGCCATTGATTGTTCTGTAACTTTCTATATAATAATAAGATCTTGTGGAAAATGAGTGCAAAAGGTAATTATTCTAGTTATCAACCCATTTTGGTTGATGACTTTATCTCGAATTGATTTGGAACCCTTGATTGTACCTTAACCCGTTACCGATTCCGCCTGTTTTCGCTTATGTGGAGGGAGACCCCTCCATCAAATTAGCATATCATACAAAACATCATTGTGAAAATCATATTGAAGAATTTCGCAACTTTATAGATATTGCGTTAACTAACCAAGATCATTTAGATCACTTGTAGCACTGGAGAATCACCAAGGAGCACAGTTTGTAAAGTCACGCATTGTGATGGCTATTAGGGTAAGGTTACTATTTTACATGTGTATGTACGCCGCAATGCTTTTAGAATTCACTATGTCATTGTATCAATTATCATCATCCTCCACGCCAAGTGTCTTCTTCAAATGATTGAGTTCCCTTTGAATATTGTCAATACCTCCCTGAAGACCACTAATAATTCCCATTAGCTGTAGCTGCTTTCGCTTTGGCAAGGTATCAATGAGTGGAGCGGCGGCAAAGGATAATCCAGTTGGGGTTGTAACAAAGGTTGGTTGATATGGAGGTAGCTGTTTAGCTCTTGCTGCGGGCTGCGTCATGATCGGTCCATTAGTTCCGTTGCTCATCCTGACAGTTTGTTGATCTACGAAGCTCCCGAAGGCGGTAGTAGGTGCGGTATTAGGTTGGGTTTGAAATTGTTGGGTTTGAAATTGTGGTTGAGGACGAGCTTGTTGAGCTTGACCCTGTTGAGCTTGTGCTTGATATTGCTGTTGTTGAGCTTGATGTTGCTGAGCTTGATGCTGCTGAGCGTGATGTTGCTGTTGCTGAGCTTGGTGTTGCTGTGGTTGTGGTTGTGGTTGTGGTTGAGGTTGAGGTTGAGGTTGAGGTTGAGGTTGTGGTTGAGGTTGTGGTTGTGGTTGTGGTTGTGGTTGTGGTTGAGGTTGTGGTTGAGGTTGAGGTTGAGCTTGATGCTGCTGTGGTTTCGCTTGCTGCTGCTCTGGTTTAGCTGGCTGAGGTTGTGGTTTTGGGACTTGTGGTGGTTTCGCTAGGTTTGGGAAAGTAGGTTGAGATCCTTGCTGGGTTTGATTGACAGAAGCCCAGCTCGTGGATGCTGGTCTGCTCGGAGCTGACTGGGGAGGATTGGTACTTGGCGTGTTGCTTGGTTTTCTGGTTGTCTCCTTAACGGCTGATTCCTTATCAGCTAAAGAATTTTGGCCAACCGACTTCCGCGAACCACCGTTTCGAGTAGTGACTGGTGTAGAGGAGTTGCGCGTAGCCATATGTGGAGAGTTGACATGTGCCCATGCGCTCGCAACATGAGTTAGGGATGAACGGGGTGGGCGTCCTCCGCGCGACTTTGCAGATCCCAAACCTGTATCTACTACAGGAGGTTCTTGCCAGCCGGTTGAAACTGGCTTTTGTGGCTCTTCGACGCGGGCTCTCTTTGCTGGTGGGCCAGAAGGCATGTCCTCCTGGGCGTAAGTCGTTGAATTAGATTGATCTGATGTCTCCTTAATCGTATTTCTTCGTGAACTTGAGCCTGATGCTTGGATAACCGGCGAGGAGCGAATTCCATCTGATGGTTTAAATTCTTCAGGTTCGACTAGATAGAGATGCGATTAGTAAGTTGGTGATAATGTATTGTAGGAATGAACCTTACTTTCATCATTAGTTTTAATGCTGCAACGATTTGGTCTGCCACTCAATTGACAACTAGCACATGCTCCCTTGAAGAATCCAGGAAGTGCAATGCACAACTCGAATTTGCCTCGACCATTAGCACAGGAATGGCAAGGATTTTCAACTTCATTTCCTCGAGTCGCAAGGAGACAGCCAAAACGAATTTGCTTCCTACGTGAATCGCCCCCAGTTTCAAGTTCAGAGCCAGCTTCAACTCCCTCTCTCCAAGGTAAAGGACGTTTTGCCGGCATCATTTGTAATCTTTCCTCCATTGTTGACGAGCCTGGATCTCTGAACGAGATTTGGTTTAAATATTTTGGTTTGGTTGTGGTGTCTTGTTTAGATGCTGAACTGGCTGACGCGATCGAACTTCCTTCGGCCTGTTCTGGCTCGGGCGACTCGAGGTTTTGAGGACTATCAATCGCCATCTTTTCTCTAGGTTCGAAATCAATATCGGATCCTATGGATTCTGGTGAAGATGGCGCTGCCCACTCTTCGTCACCGTCTCCCTTGACAACAATAGTATCGTCGTCTCGGGTTCGTCGTGGCGGCATGATTTTTTTTAAGTCGCGTTGATCGAGCGCAATCGTCGCGATATTTAAAAAACCAAAGGTGAAATTAGATTGTGCTAATCCTTGTATTTGATCTAAATAGATGCCGCGGTTATCTCTTATCGGAACGGCACAGTGCTAGGGTGGGAAATTGTTGAAATAATTCAAGGTGAAATTAGATCAACTTGAAGATTTTTTCTTGTACAATAGACAATGTTAATGAATTAAAAAGGTCGGGTAATTTGTTGAACGACTCACAGCTGACTATTAAGTACGGGTTGTGGACAGATTTTATCTATTATGTCGGTAGATATTTTAGTTCGGAATTAGTTTCTAGTTCTTTCTCTTTCAGGTAAAGAGCCATCTAACTCTCGAAATTCAGGAAACTAACTGGCCTTGATCGGCGATTAGTAGCACTATGACACGATACTCTTATAATGGGAAGTGAATAGTTGTTTTATATTTTCTATGTTGGGCGTGTGATACGCTCGCTATACCGTATTCTTACAGTGCGTCATTTCTCTTGCTGTGGCATGCTAATGTGGTACATCGGCAGTGATACATGCATAGTAAATACAAAAGCCTGTCTATTTTTTCTTGGCATCTTCATCAACCGAACCCAGTCGTTCACTTTCGTCCCGCAGCTTTCTTTTAGCTGCTAGATCATTTTCTACCTGCCACACAGCTCGATCAAGCTCCATTTGCAATTCGGGTATATTTAGTGCCGTCGCAATTGCTTTCCCATCCGATCTATGAAGTAGCATAGTCTCAACATCCGATACATTTGGATTTGATAGTTTAGGATGAGCCATATCTTTCGGTTCGGAAAATGGAACCTTGTTCCTTGCATATAACTCGTCTAATATCTTAGATGGCTTTGTTGCAATGAGATTCTCCTTCAAGAGAAATTCAATGTGTTTAGACCCTGCCAATGCCTTCCAATGGCTATATGCACGAAAGCATAGATAAAAGAAGGGCAGATTGGGGATACTGGGTGGTATTAGCTCTCGAAGAATTTCGTCCTAGGCTGTAGCTGCAACTTACATAGGAACAAGCGCAAATGGGGCAACAATAGGCATCCCAATAATTGAACCCCATAACCTCGTCTTATGAAGTTGTTTTCTCTCCGTTCCAAGTTTTCTCAAAACCTCCGTAACCTCTTCCTGTGGAAGGAAAGTCGAGGGAAATGAGACCTCAACCTTCTCTTGACCACCTAATTCTTTCTCTTGCCTTCGTTTAGACAATGGCGGTATCGACTTCAATCCCCATTCCTCAAATGGTATTCTCTTCAGCGCCTTGTTCCCAAACTCAACCACCTTTTTCTGCCATCCCGAATCCTTCTTCTCCCAATTAGTCCAGAGGTTGTTGGCCTTTGTGGTTGTCTTATCTAGTAAAGAAACCTCACTTGTGGTTGTAACATTAAGACGCTGGCAGTAGATAAGAGTCCGACGCGTCGAGATGGGAAGTAGGTAGAGGCGCATTATTCGTCCTTCGTGAACAAAAGAGGAGATAGAAAACCTGCCTATACAATCATACCGTTCCGGTAGATACTTCGTTCGGGAGAGTGAGAGTGAGACAGAGGGGATGTCGTACAATCGTTAATCGTTTGCTCGTTGGAATTGTACTTTATTACTTCAGCGTTGTGATGTGATGTGCTGCTGCTGCTTTCTTGCTTTCTTTCTTTCTTTCTTTCTTTCTTCACTATTAAACTATTAACTGGCTAGATGGATTAGAAGGAAGCAAAAATGAATAGAAACCTTTTTTGCCTGTATTTTGGAGGCCCAACTTCCAATTGTAGATAGAATGACGCATTAGAACGAGAACAACCTTGAAGGGATGGAGTAGAATAATTTTCAGGTGGGGGAAACCACGAAACACTTATTATCATTTTGAAGATTCACAACACCGATATGCAAGTATGCAGTTGGATATAATCCTTGTTTAACCTTAAAATCCCATGCTTATGAGCCGCCCATGTATCATAATGTACCGACCGGTATGGGTTGTTTCTTTGTCTGTACTGTACTTGTACTGTACTGTAGATCATTATACGGAACAATCTAATCTTACTGTACTCTATTAACCAACTAGCCAAACCAAACCCAACCCAACCGCAGACAACGTCAAAAATTAAAATCCCACTCCTAAATTCTTTCCCATCTTTCATTTCATTCGTACACTCATTAACCTCATCCCCGTTTCCATCAATTCACTTCTTATAATATTTATTTTTATGACTAACTCTGATTCTTTTTATTTATTACTTTTTACTGGGAAGGGGACAATGCAGGAATAGGAGAGGCGTCGACCGCGATTGAAGCGTCACTCAGGGTTGCTCCATCGCGTGTTGGAGGGATAACAGAAACAGAAGCAGAAGCACCAGAAATTTGAAATATAATACAACTTATACTCTGCGACACAGGTTCAGGTTCGGGGAATATCCTAGTACTATGGCAACATCAGACAGATTGCCACGGACCACAATTGGGCTGGGACTACCGCTGGAGACATATAATAATTTTCAACATGATTCCCTTACAGTGCCACCCCAATTCTCGGACTCTACGAGCATCGGTTCATCTGAGAATGTTGCCATGAAAGGGAAAAAAAGAGCTGATTCTCAGCATGCCAGTCGACCTAAAGCCTACTCGTCCTCCTCTCACAAGACTTACAGTACGCAAAACACACATTCGACAAGTGGCACCCAACCTCAAAATCGTGCAGCCCAAAGAGAAGTTCGCTCGCTCCCTTGTAAGTCGTTAGCCTACAGTCGAATCCCCGATCAGCGCTGACCTGTCAAAAGCTTGGATAGACTCATATGAAGAGGGCGACGGCCCCGTTCCGTTACAACCTAAAAGAGTTTCCACCCCTTCGCGAGTACATCCAGCACAGCATAATTATACCCCAACTCAATCCTCACAGAGAATTTCCCTCGATGGATACATTGACTCCGATGATGATATGTACAATGCCATAAGCGATAAGAAGGTGGAGACGGGCTTCTTTGGGGGCTTGCGCGAACCGGTTAGGGGTAGGAAATGGGATCATGCTAGAGATGCTGAACCTGTCATCATAAGATCTGGGGTACAACCGAATGCTGCCGTATGGCGAACCTTTGTCAAGGCATCTACGTATGGTGTGCCCGAAGGAGAGGACCACAAACTGGTTGACCAAGCCTTCCTAAACGACCTGACTCCTGGCTACAACAGACCATGGTGCGGGGATCTTGAGAAAGGAGATGGTGGCGACGAGGACAACCTCACGTCTCTCATATACAATAAGAAGAAACGGGAAACTTTCGTAAAACGCGTGCAGGTAGGTTTCAGTCTCGATTTTGGTCTTCGGTCTTCCACTAACGTTCCCTAGCAAACCATTCTCATGAATCCTTATGTTCCCCTCATTTTTCGACTCATTGTGCTTACAACTTCTATCATCGCCTTGAGCATTGCCGGATCGGTTCATCATCTTTCGAATAAATACTCATATTCTCAAAGTCCATCCACAACTATGGCAATTGTTGTAGACGTAATTGCTATTCCGTATACTCTCTACATTACCTGGGATGAATATACGGGCAAGCCCTTGGGCCTTCGGGCACCGAAAGCAAAAATTCGACTCGTTCTTTTAGATCTCTTTTTCATTATCCTCGAAGCTTCCAATTTGACCTTAGCTTTTGATGCGATATCAGACAGCAACGGGAGCTGCAAAATCGGAAACACCGGGTATAATGGTGTGGTTTGCCATAGAGCTAAGACGCTCTGTGCTATAATAACGATAGCATTGATTGCATGGGGAATGACTTTTGCAGTTAGCATATTTAGGTAAGTTGCCTCACTCTGGATATATTTCTCGATTGTTGCTAATGACCTTTCAGGCTCGTAGAAAGGGTAGGTGGTCGAGAAGAGGCCGAATAATTGGCCTCATCCCCTGTCTCTTCAGACAACATCATTTTCTTTAGTAAATACGGGGCCATTAAAGGCAAGGCGTTGGGTACATATCAGTTGGGTTGAAAGTTAGAAAAGTATAGTTGGAATCGTTTATATGTCAGCGAAGATTGGGATTTGAAGCAACTTGGCTCATCCTACTTCTATTGAAATCTATTGTCTCAACTTTGTGCAACTGTCGTTGACAATAGGGGTAGATGAGAATTGCCTTTTCTTTTGTTATTATGATCTAAAATCTAAAGTATAAAAATGGAAGAAATACATAACCGCCAATCAGGATATTTCAAGCAAGTAGTATCTCAGTTATCTAGAATCGAATCGAATCAATGCTCAGATAACTATTAGAATTCAACGGATAGGTGCTACTACTATTTTTACAGACATGACATACGCCAATATTTTTAGGTCTTAAGATATAATGAATAGCAAATATCTCAATATACGAGTAGATTGTACTATTTCTTTACTCGTATATATTAGTTATAATTATATTTTGTAATCACTTCGCCGTTTTATTACTAATCGGTATCAAAATACGAGTAGTCTAGGTCACATTCTCATGGACTAGTCGAGCTTACGTAATCTGGGATAAAACCCATTTGGAGCGAATGCAGCTAAAACCCGAATCTGTAGGTAGCTTTTTATTATATCAGATGAACGCAACTTTCTTTAATTTCTTTTGTATCAACGCTGTCCATAGTACACGACTATTGATCAGAGCTAGAAGTTATTGAGATACCAAAGTCTGAGAGTTGATCGTGTGTGTTTAAGTTAAGCTCAGTGGCGTACTAAGGAACAAAGACATCAGACGAGATCAATTCGACTCTATCAAAATAAGATATTCACGGGAAAAAGGTCGAATACAACCAAAGTGAAACTGTGCAAAGTCGAGCCTTTGACTTTCAAGACGTACTAGTGAATAAAACCTAGGTGAAGTTAATCAAGGAGGAAATTAAGGGCCTGAGACATCACACATCATGATCTCGTGCAATAAACCATAACGATGGCGGGCAACAATTCTGACGCCAGCTTGATGAACAATAGCCACGCTGTGATAGGAGACAACAATAGCAATCTCCTCACCCTGGATAATGAACTATCAGGACCCGATCTACTTAGAATTGGGAGATTCAAATTTAGAGGAAAGACGGATGATCTACCACAGTTTGTTTACTTTATCTCTTTCACTTGGTGTTATGTATTAACCCTTGATTTAATAGAGACTGGTGGGTTGCATCAACTGCTTTTCCTCTCATCGCTGCCACAATTGGCCCGTTGGCAAATGTTCTTTCTATTTCCGCTCTAGTGACAAAATGGAGGGCTGACCTACCCGACGATGGACAACTACCGTTTGGCTCTGATGAAAATGGAGTTGGCGTACCTGATCCACAATGGTGAGAAATCCATTTGAAGTTTTTGAATGTTACTGATCTAAGATTCAAGGGAGATTATCCTAAATGCGGTTTCCCTGGGATGTGGGTTTGCTGGGAACTTTTTCTTGCTGCTGAACTTCATGCGCAGGGTTAGGTATATCGTCGCATTGCCTTTAACCATAATCTTCTGGTATATATCTACTGGCATTGTAAGTCTCAAGTCCTTGAATCAGCGTCAATTCTAACATACATTTCACAGCTTATTGGTATCTTGGTAGCCATGAACATATACGCCCCCCCTATTCGTCCTGGCCAAACTTACTCTCAAGGATTCTGGTCCGCAGTTATGGCGGCTTCTTTGTACCTTTTTGGATCAATGGTTTTGATGGTCAATATGCTCGGCTACTTCCTTGGTCATTATCCACAACATTTTGAACTCGATGACGTTCAAAGGACCCTCATCTTACAGAATATGATGTTTTTTTTGTGGCTCGCTGGTGGAGCTGCAATGTATGAGAGTGTCTGTGGTTTTCAATATGCCGATGCCCTCTATTTCTGTGATGTCACGATTTTGACGGTCGGTTTCGGAGATTTCGTACCTAATAATAATCTTGGTCGAGGACTTCTATTCCCATATGCTGTCATTGGCATCATATTCCTTGGTCTTATGGTCAACAGTCTGCGGAAGTTCGCAGCTGGTATGTCACAGGAGAAGATTGTTAAACATCATGCAATGCGTCAACAACAGCAAACGTTCGGTCGTTCGGTTACAAATGAGAAGGAAATTCGAGATCGTCTTGGCTTGCCTCCCAGATCTAACGCACGTCGGCGTAGTGAAATTGAAAATTCCTCTGGAGCTTCTGAATTAGCTCTACGCCGTCGATCTTCGCTTGACCAATATGGTCATTTCGATATTCAAGGCCGAACAGTTATTTTCCATCATCAAGAAAGAGTACATTCCCACGGTGGTCGAGGGGAGGCTGGTCGAGCACATGAATCAACTCCTCCCCTAAGTCGCGATGCTAAGCTTCAGAAACGGGCGAATAATAAATTTCTGCTGGTGAAGAATCACAAGCGTCGAGAGAAACTGATTCTGCTTCGAGAAGAAAAAGATCGCTTTGATGCTATGCGCGACATTCAAAGTAACGTTCGAAAATTCAAGCAATACTACGCACTATCTATGTCTGTCATCGCATTCGTTATTCTTTGGTGCGGAGGTGCCACTGTCTTCTGGCGAGCCGAAAGGCGTGAACAAGATATGACGTACTTCGAGGCTCTATACTTCTGTTACGTGTCTCTTCTGACTATTGGATATGGCGATTTTGCACCGAAATCCAACGCTGGGAAACCTTTCTTTGTCGTCTGGTCCCTTATCGCGATACCTACAATGACAATCCTTATTTCAGACATGAGTTCCACCGTTATAGCAGCTATCAACCGTGGTACCTTTACACTAGCCGATTGGACAATCATGCCGAAGGAGGGCGTCTGGCATGATTTTTTGATAAACCATCCAAAGATACATGCATGGTTATCAAGGAAGACTAGAGAGAGAGAGGCTAAAAAGCGTATTCGACGTGGCTTCGATGTGCAGAATCCCGATGAACCACAAATATCTATAAATAATGACGCCGATCCAGATCCAGAAATACCTCCGCTCGGCCAAGTTATTGAGGAGATCGAAGAACCAGCTGATCAGACCGAACATGATCTAGCCCGGAAATTAGCACTAGCTATCAAACATGTTGCGAATGATTTGCGAGCACCTAAACTCAAGAGATATAGCTATGAGGAATGGGTGGAATTTACACGACTCATTAGATTTAGTACGCATAACGCGAGGGAAGTAGAGGAGGAAGAGGAAGACGAGGGACTAGTGGAGTGGGATTGGATTGGGGAAGATAGTCCCATGTTAGCGGATGTTAGTGAGAGTGAATGGGTGCTAGATCGGCTATGTGAGAGTTTGAACAGGTACACGAGGCGACAGGGACGGGTTGCACGACAAGAACAAAGCGAGATGAAGCAATTACTAGGAGAGAAGAAATATCTTCATCGAAAGGCACATCATAACATGCATTATCCCGCACATCCAGGACCGAGAACACCAAGTCTGGAATTTAGAAGAAATTCTGCGCCGAGTGGGAGCGGGGATAGGACGAGTTTACGAGGTGGCCCATTGTCCGAGAAGGAGGACGAGAAAGGAGAAGGTGACGAAGATGATGGTGGGGTAAAACGTCACATTATCTTTACTGGTGGTGTCCGTGACAAGGAAACAGGAAATGACCTACCGTCGAGCAGTAGCGGAGAAGGAAGTGGAAACGGCCGTAAAACTCCCATTGATTCAACCTCGGAAGGACATAAAAGCAGTAATAGCAACGAAGAAAATGATACAACCGAAGCTCTAGAGGATAGCGCAAGAGTCCTTTGAGAGAATGGAAGAAAAATGTCGAGAGGATGAATAGTTAATTCGGGGTGTAATGGTATCATGATTTGCTTGCTTGCTGGGGCTGCCTGGATGGGTGGGTTTGACATGGGACTTGTCATACATATGTCTTCAATATGGGTGGACTTTTGAAGATTTTGGCGTTAGGACTAATAGTGGGATTAGCATAGCTTGCTGACTTACTGGCTTTTACGGATGGGCGGAATGGGCGGGATGTGATGATCGAGGGAGATCTCTGGGACTCGGGAGTTCAATGGCTGTATTAGTACAGGTATGTGTATGAGTAGATGCGCTGTGGCAATAAACAAATAAATGGCATTCGCTATATAGCGTGTGTGGATGGATGGTTTAATGTGTATGTATATTTATCCATCTATCTAACTGTGATTGTTAGATTTTTCTAATGGTTCTAACGGTTCTAAAGACTTGGGAAGTTGGAAATTGCTTGTTGAGATGAGATGGGATGAGATTTTTTGTATATGTGTATGTACGTACTACGAGTACTACTGTACTGTGTGTATCCTGAACGGATTTATAGATTTAATTTATAGATTCTATATATTCTCGTCTATATATTCTCGATGATGTACATAAGATTAATATAATACTGTACAACCTTACGTATAACATATATTAAATTCTCTCTTTTAGCTCTACTCGTACTATATAGTGGGTAGGTATGCTACTAGTAGAGATGTAGATAGAGTTACTCGAGTATGTGCAATATAATCTATACTCTATAAAATATATAATTAATCGAATTTTATTTAGCGCATCGAGCTTCATTGGGTCTCATCGGGCCTTATAGGGTTGTTTGTGTTTGAGAAGGGGTATGGTGTGGATTTGATGTGGATCGAATCGGGGTATGGAGTTTAGATCGGGGGTATGGGGTATGTGAGTATAAGGGAATGAGGAATGTAGTACGAGGTGTAGTACCGGTCTATGAGTGGATAATCCAAGAGGAAATGAAGGATTTGGGTTTAGTCTGAAGTATTTGCTTATATATCTTATATATGTGAGATGAAATGAGATGTGTATTCGATATACTTATTTATTTAGTTACTTATCTGAGCTTATCTTAGCTGTACGAGTACTCTAGATCTTTCTGGGTCAGTGGATAGGGACAGGAACAGGATCTGCTGCGAAATAGCTAAGATGTGTTGGGCGCCTAATTACTACCTTGCTACCATGCTAGGCTGCGGATGGGTGGATAGGTGGGGAGTGAGGAAGATGAATTGTCGAGTTTGCAGGTGTGTTGTGTATGATATGGTTTATATATATCATAGAGTTAGCTAGCTGTGTTACTGCTGGATGCCGAGTGCTGAATTGACATAACAGATTTGGAACTTGGAACTAGTGATATGATGATATGATAATCAACACTATAAATATAAATATAAATCACAAAGGATCATACCATACATTCCACATGTACAGTGTACTCGAGTATTACCCCGTAAATTAACCAAGCAGAAAGAAATGGATATCAATTAACTAACACCCCCTTGCGCCTTTCCATGCTCAATATTCCCTCAGAATATGACTCTGTCATATTAACCCATGTCCTCCATCTGATCCTACATCATAAATCCTAACCCCAAAAGAGCAAATAGTATACCCCATCTCGCACTAACTTTCACTCCATCATTGGTACTAGCACGTGTGAGATCTTCTTTACTGGCAGCAGCAGCTGTTTTAGCTGTTTCGTTGGTACTGCTGGAAATAGAAGTAGAAGTTGATGCGGAATTAGATGTAGAAGTAGTTGTAGATGTAGATGAATTCGATGGTCCAGAAACTTGATCGGTGATGAATTTAGCAGCTGCGGTGCCGTAGGTGGTGACGTAGGAAAGGTGGACTTGGAGGGAGGATCCTGAGTCGCAGAATCTGGGGGAGGGAGGGTGGTGTTAGTTTGACTGTTTAGGGGGTGGGGGTGAGAGATGCGGGATGAGAACTTGGGGAGGGTTGGAAGGGTGGAAAGGTGAATAGATGAGAGGGGCAATCTGGGTTGGAAACTTACTCATCCATGTCGTCGCAGTAAGAAACTGTTCTATCAGTAGGACAGGCAGCTGTGTTTTGGCGGGGGAAGAGACCGTTTTTCTTGGATGTTCCGGCGTTGAATGTTTCGGTGGGGACGTGGGATGGGTCACCCATTAGTACCATTGCGACGACTGAATTTTCTATTAACAAAGATCCATAAATAATACGTTTCACTGAGAACAATCATACCATTATTAGAAACAGCTGCAGACAAAGGCGAACTCGAACTAATATTAAATCCCGTCTCCGAAGTTCCACACATAACATCCGCCGCAACTTGCGCGCCCTGAGAGTATCCTAAAACCGCAATCTTAGAACTTGGACACTTCGCCGCATAGTCCAGGATGAGTTTTGTCATAGCCGCTACACCAGAAGCTTCCGAGGATTGATATTGGGTGAGTGTAGCTGGGTATACCACGGCTTCGGAGTCGGAGCCTGGTAATGCTGCTTTGACCATGGTGGCTACTGATCCAATGATACCTTCGCCTGGTGCTTCGGTACTGGCTCGGGCAACAATCATGTGCATTGCACCGGTGCCAACGCAGCTGGCATTGGTGCTGGTATTTGCTGCTCGTGGGTAGTATCCGCCGGCTGATACTAAGGTCGTGAGGCCGAGACCTAAGAGAATAGACGAGGAATGCATAATGAAAGAATGGTATGCAGCGCAGCCGGTACTGCCGTTGATTGAAAAGAGTGAATTTTGATTAAAAGATGGTTGACACTATAATAAGATCAAAATTGGGATTTGACGGGAAATACACATCTTATAAGATTTCCTCAACCCTATAATTCGATCTTCACTATTGATGGGCTACCGCATTCTCGCGAAAATTCCGTTCTTGGGACAACTTCATGACTAGGAAGTGCGATATGCAGAAGAGTGGAAATCGTCCCGTGTAAGGGCTAATGTTATGCACTTGCTATTGTGGATCATCCATATTTCGTGGAGAATAAGTTCTAAAACTTGAGGCCATGACCAGGAGGCATTTTTTACAAAAAAGTTCTTCTCGCGATTGAGTCCCGTTTAGGAAGAAAGAAGCCAGTTTGCTGAACATTGTTGTCGCACAAGCCACGGCATTCATTTAATATGCAAGGGAATCCTTTGAATCTAGACTGCGCTCCACGTGATCTAAATCTTGATGAAACAACTTGTCTCTTTAAATGCCGTGCGTTTCAATAGCGTTGTCTGTGCAGCTAAGTGAAGTCAAGGATTTCGGATGTAGAACATGAACTTGAAGGTTATTGGCTTAGTTGTAGCCAATCGCAACTTTGCTTTATGGATTTCAGATCCACACTCTCGTGATGGAACATTGACCTCCTTCGAATAAGGTTCGAATCCATTCTCAAAAACAAGTCTCGAAAGATCGATATAATTGATCCACCCGCAAATTCCAAGGTTCAATTGACAAGATTGTGGATCTGAGAAATTAGTCTCATCATGATGCTTGATGTCAGCCTACACTTATGTGAAGCCGCATTTGCTGACAAGGAGTAGTTCAACCATTCAACTAGGCATATCATCTTCATATACCGGTATATAAATTTGATAAACCCCAAACAAGTGACTCTGGTGATCCTGCTCTAGACTCGGAATATGCATCCCTTCGCAGCCTTTGCTGTTAGCAACAATTTAGATTTTTTTTTGGAAAACAGTGAAGTTGTTCCCTTTCCCGAAACCTAATACACAGTCGTTTCATTCGATAGTTCAGGTGAGCGTTGAGATGCATCAGTCTGAATCGTCAAAACCATGAACGCTTTGCTCTATTGCAGACCGAGGACCTCAATGATATTTGTAATTTTCATCTGACAGCTTCTGAGCTGTCCCTAGGACGTTTAGAGGACGAAAAGTGTGAGGCTATGATGTACGATAGATAAAGATCAGCTCACTAGGGTATCTCTTGTAGGTTCATAGGGATGTCGTATTGCGAAGAAGAAAGTTGGCGAAAATGATAGCATGTCGTTCACTGATACGCTACGAAACTTGGATCGCCTGCTCGACAGATTGCTGCTTAAACTTTGCAGCTTGGAATCTACCACTTGTGGCCAAAATGAGTGTAAGTCAATCCTTCGATGCACTTGCTATCGATGTTGATAAGAAGATGGTCGATTCTGGAAATACTCGTGGAGCAAGCGGAAAAACATACCCGCAGTAACGGACTTTCGTGATGAATTCATGATATATTTGATTTATAACCATTTTAATTGGACAATGTAAAGCAACACTCCAGCCATGAGCAATACTAAATCGAGGGGTTTGCGAAGAAAGGGAGGTCATATCTGTGTCCTAACAGACAAAAGTTTTATGAATGATTGTTTGCGCAGCTCAAAACATCATGCGTCGGTCTATCTCTTGATGGTTTTCTACTTCTAAGATTTCGAAGAACCTCCTTCTCATTGGAAGAAGGAATCGAAAAGGGAGTGACCACACTCTTTGCAAATGAGAAGAGAGAGAGAGGTTGTTAAAAACATTGGGTTCGTCGTCTTTTTTGAGGTTAGACAATTGAGCGGAGCTCGCTTACTCCGAGCACCGAGGTCAAACTCCGTTACAAACGGTATCTTATTATCCACTCGATATATGGTTTTTCCGACAACATCATTTTATTGTTCCTTCTCGTTTTATAATGCCACACACAAACTTTGGATAATCATCATTTGTGTAATGCCAGAATTATAGAATAATTTCGTATCTTCAATAAGCATGTCGACCCGCCAAGAAAACGGACACGGAATAGTCCCTCGGAGACGAAATGGCAAGCAGCAAGCTTGCGAGCCATGCAGAAAAGCCAAAATTGCTTGTGATCATAGTCTCCCTATCTGTGAACAATGTAGGCGACGAAAAGCATCGGCAAAATGTATATACCTCACAGCGCCCATGACCCGTCGACGACCTCCAGCAGATTCCAATACAGGAATGGAGCTTGAACATACCATACTACCAACCCCCACTCAAACCCCTTCTAGTATATCTATTCACGAGCGTTTGTTTCCTCCAGATAGTAGGCCACCTACCGAGCCCGGTCGAATTCAGTCAGGGGGCTTCTTCGGTCCAACAAACTTCTCTGCAGTGTTCGAAGAGAATCGGGATAATATCGGCAACGATATACAGATCTCCAATGAGTCTGGTGCACTCCCATCTTATGATAGTCTCCAGGCTCATAACTTCCTCATGCTACCAGGAAATACATTTGTTGGTTCCCCTCGAATCCAGCTGGGAATCAAGATCTTAAAACAGCTTCCCGACCAACGAACCTGTGACCATTTGCTAAAATGGTATCTTGCAACAACTGCCGAGTGCACTCCTTATATTCCGAAACAAGCTTCGGCTTATATAGCACACTCAGTATGGATTACGTGGGGAAAAGAATTCAGAGAACCGAGACATCTCAAAGATGTCGAACGTATATCTACTCATCTATGCAAGAACTCCGAGCATCCTCTACTGGAGGTTGATGATTATCATTCCTGGTTAGAGTGTATCACTGGAGCTAATATGAGATGGGAAGCTGTGGGGCTCGTATTTGCAGCTCTTTGTAAGTCTGTTCTGTCACTCCCGGAGAGGGATGCCTTTTTCACAACTCAGAATGGTCAGAGAAAGGATCGAAAATACTTCGCAATGGAGTTAAAAGATTGCATTCAAGCTTGTATCACGCTGTCCAATTATATGGACTATATTAATATCGTCATGGTTGGGCTCTTGACTAAAAATCTGATCATCTGCACTGTGATCATGGGCGATACAAGTCTAATCGTCTGGAGGCAAATAGGAGATCTCGTTAGCATGTCAACAGCACTCGGTCTTCATCGCCAACCGGATAATGATGGGCCTGTTACATTCTTGTCCGAGTGTAAAAGACGTCTATTTACAGTGATATTTAACATCGACAAGAGTTCCTCTCATCTCACAGGTCGCCCACCAGCACTGAGCTACCGTTACACTCGTTTCCGTTTCCCCCTCGATATCGAGGACGAAACACTTACTCAAGGCCCCGAAGCCATAAACATTGCCGTGGATAAATTAGACGCCAATGGCTGGAATCAAGAAGGTAGATTCACAAACGCGACCAACACTCGTGCGCACGGTTACCTAGCTATCATTATCGACGAAATTCTTGAAGTATCCCTGACCGGCAGCGCCAGTGATAATCGGATCACAGACCTCCTAGCACGTCTCCAACAAACTTACGACAGCTTTCCCTCCTGCACTCACTATCATCCTAGTAATGCCAACTCCCCCTCCATCTCTGACGGTATGCTTTGGCGTCGCATCTGTCTCCGCCTCGCATACCTCGAACAACGCCTCACACTCGAACGCCTAGCCCACAAATCGCTCCTCCTTTCTGGGCAATCCATGATTTCTTGTGCCCTCGAAATGCTCCAACTAACCGTTCTATTCTGGGTGCAACGCGATCGGTTCGTCGAACACCATCACGATTACGATTGGATGCTAATGTGCTGGGGTGTTCCATCCAGCGGGGTCCTCTGCGTTGAAATCCTCAAACAGATGAAATCCCCACACGATTCCTCCATGCAACTTCCCAAATCGGAGATTGTGCAGAACTTGAGTTTGTTGGTGGGGTTCTTCGAATGGATTAGACCGAGTGCGGGGAATTATCAATTGTGTGGGAGAATGAGTAGGTTGGTGAAGAGAATTCTGGATCAGATTTTGAATAGTGGGATGGGACCTCAAGGTCATGTGCAGGAACAGGAAGGGGAAAAGAGTGGTTCGGGACTGGATGATAATAGGGATAGTGGTTTTACGGCAAATGGAGGTATGGATGTGGGAATGATGGGGATAGATGAATTAAATGGAATGGGTGGCGATGTGGGCGCATTTGGAAACTTAGATTGGTTGAATGAGTTGGATTGGAGTAGGGGACCTTGGATGAACTTGGATGGTCTTACTTGATTTTCAATCTTGACATTACTCCGAGTTGGAGAAACAAGGATGAGTGCGACACAGCGCGAAGCCAGGAATTTCTTTGGACATAGTTGATCCCCTTGTATCGATGTATCGAGGGGCATTATCCGAAAATATGTAATAAAGATTCAATTACACATGCTGCATAGGTCGAGGAACATGCAGCTCAATGCTTCGAAGACAAGCGAGTTTCATACCAACAATGCAGAATTTCTCAATTTTGGAAAGCGCAGAAGGATCTCTTGCTGATTTGAATTAGACATGAAACCAAAGATAGCCATCATCTCAACTGCTCATATATTAATGCTAATTTCTTTTTTAGAAAATCTAAAAAAAAATTATATTTCTCTAGGATCAAACCCAAAGCAAGAATTCATCATTGAATCAGAAAAATCCGATTTCATCGATTGAGTTGGTATGAAGGTATCGATCTAATAAGTCCAGAATATGTCATTTTAATATGCGCGGACGCAGTATTAGGAAGGAACGCCACAAACATGTAAAAAAAGATGGAACTCAAGTACGAGTATGAGTATTTTTGGCTACTGCAAAGTTGTAATATGATCTATAGAGTTGATATTGAACTTGATGCAAGACTTACAAGTATAACCGTGACATGAGGAGATATGAGAAGCAGTTCATCTAATTCGTCTGAGGATCTGGACCTTTTGGACTTCTTGTAACCCCTTTTATAATTGCTCGCGAAGAGTTTGCTATTAGTACAGTGTTGATTATAAATTTAGGAGCTCTTGAAAAAATCTACAGTAGTTGATCTGCATAAACCATGACCTGCATAAACTATCGACGAAGAAACTATACCAACTTGAAGGAAACTAAAGTAATAGAACAACACACGAGGCCATTGTCTCCTACATCTCCCAAGTCTGGTGAGATGTGATGTGATGGATTAGCTGAAAGCACTGTAAATGGTACCAAAGATATTCACAAAACCAGTTCTAGATATAGATCTGGTGTTAACTCATATTGGAAAATTTGTCGACAACGACTCGAGTAGTTCAGAGGTCAAGAAATAACTGTTAAAACTTAGATACTACGAACGAGTGCGAACTCAATTAGACGAGTATCAATACTTAGTTTCGGCTAGCCACTCTACGAGTACCAGGTTCCAGTTGATATTCTACACAAGGGCTATAAGCCTAAACTCACTATATATCATAATCATATTCCTCAAAATCCTAGAGGAAGGATATAGCTAAAAAAAAGTTGTACTAGTCAGTCCTTTGGACTACATCAGACTAGAATTTTGCAAAGTCTTATGATAGCAACCGAAACAAATATGAATACTAGAAATTTCCTGTCAAATCCATTTCAGATAAGAGTGACTTATATTAAACAACGCAGCGGACTTCAAACAAACAAAAGGACAATATCAGTATATCCCACAAAACCTTCATCTAACACCCCGAAACCGAATTTACAATGCATTCCATTCTCATCCTCATCACTTGATCATCCACAAATACTTGTTCAAGTAGATGGATAGATGATACCCTTACCACCACCTTCCCGCACAGCAACCGTCTTAAATCTTGGGGGTCATTTTGAGTCTTGACTACCACCTAATTATAAGATTATTCCACCGCCTCGACTATCAACTAGACCCCGAATTCAGGTAAACAATTCAACTCCCGCGCCCTCAAACCCTGTATATTAGAGGTAAAGAAATGATTAAAAAAACAAATACCGCACAGAACTCGTCAAGTCTGAAATAATTCAAGATCAAACCCAGCTCTTTCTCTAATAACGAATATCATATATAACAAACAATAGCTAGATGATAGATGATATAACAAATCTTTAGTCAATCCAATCTCATCTCATCTCACAAAGTAATTCACATTCACATCAGCAAACATCTTAAATCATTACCGTGGCGATCATCCATGACGATTATTCGAGATACCATTATACCGGTATAATCATATCATCGCAGACAGAGCGCTAAAAGCTGTAATCTAAGCCGCTAGCTAGTGTCATTCGGAGACAGATACAGATAGGCCGTCACATACTAATATCTAAATCACAGTTTTTTTTTTAAAAAAAAGAAAGTAGATGTAAGTCTTACAATAACTTCAAGATCAGTGCTCATGCAGAGGGAACTCAATTATAATTTCTTCATCTAAAGCGTCACGTCCATTATGAGAATTTCCGGCATCTAGCTGTATTACCTGGACCCCTGAGAAAGATAAAGATCTAAGTCACTAATCTAATAGCGAGAGCTTTCTCAAGAGTTGCAAATATGGTTAAGAACTTAAGATGAAAGGGAAAAAGTATCTCTGTCGAATGTACTAGAGTAGGTAAATCACGTATATCCATAATCAAAATATAACCAATTTCCTCGCTATAGCTGCTAACAGGACTAAAAGAGCTTCCTGAATCCTGAACCCTAAATCCTGATCTATTTCATTATATGCCGACTATTGAATTGAAATTTGAGTAGTATGGTTTAATAAATAGTATGTAGTCTAGTGACTCTAGTCATACCAACTTTGAATGTCTAGTTATGACTGTGATTATGATTTAAATGGAACGATTAATGCAGCTTTCAAAAAAAGTTCTGGCTAGGTTAGGTTAATTGCCCGGTATCTAATATCTAACATCTAACATCCAATATCCATTTCGCAAGAAGAAAGATCCAGAATGTCCGAGGGGTGGACACACTCCAATATTGTAGTCTTACGAGGACCACTCACGCAACCCCAGTTTTCTATTGCGAATCTTCTCTCCACGCTCATTTAATAAGGCTTCCAAATTCTTTACATAGCCATAGCAAGCGATAGAAAATATCGTTGGGTTCTGGTTCTGTGGAGTGCACACAAATCAAACACCTACTGTACCCAGAGACGATCTTATATCAGCTCAAACCCAAACCAAAGCAATAACAACCAGCACCATACTCGTACTATCGTACAATTCATACCTTTCCACCTCAACCTTAACCTCAACCTTAATCTTAATCTACTTCCTACTTCCTATAGCTATTCATATATTTATATATATTTAGAAAAGAAAAAAAAAGCTATTTCTAGTTGCCTAACACACACACAACATGACAAGACAATACCCAAAGCCGGGAAGCTACCTGACCGAGTAATCCCACCCTACCCTACCCTATTGAGGGTATCTGCATCAAAAATCCACATCAAATACGCATATCAATATCAATATCAATATCAATATCAATATCCCCATCAAGAGCAACCCGCAGACTAATCTGATTCATGATCACTGAATGATAATTTCGAATACTAGTAGCAAATGTAGCATACCATCTACAACCGTCACCCGTGACACGATAAATCAAATTACTATAGCTTACACGTTCCTGATAATGCTCATCTCATGTCAAGTTTCACAAACTACATATCTTCTGCAATGCTATTCGGGACTTCCCAATATACATACACACATGAAGATATCAAATAGTTCGAGACACACTCTAGATCACCAGGGAAAGAAACCAATACAGCAAAGAAACACTGGAGATTGAAAATCTTAGGATGACATCTCATCTCATTCCATCACTACATATTAAAACTATCGGTCATCATTCCTCCTATCGTTCCCTACGACACCACTCTGATAACCCTATCTCTCTATTTACATCCACCTATCAATCCAAACCGCTCTCCCACCGCTCTCTAAATATTACAGATAAATATTATACATATACTGTAAAGCCATCCCATCACCCAGCCGCCCACCAAGTAAAGCTCGTTCCAAACCCGCTCTACTTTTACGTGCCCACCCGCCTCCGCCAAATACAGCACTGAAACTTCCAAGAAGTGGATAGTTCCAAAAGTCTGAGCCAAGAGAATCATGTATGAACATCAATCACATATACCAATCGTAAAAGGAAAAAAAAAATAAGTACTTGAATCCATCACACTCCGCCTCTCTCCCCAATCTGTGATAAAATACTGAATAAATGTAAGGATGTAAATCCAAAAGAAAAATTGCAAGAAACATGGTCCCGATAAACCTCGGCGAGTGTCGTATCTAGCATTGTTGAAGAACTCCTGCACCTTTGGTGATATGTGCAGAGATGAATAAATAATATAAGAGAGAAAGCAAACGTTGCGTTGAGCATAAATAGTATATATATATATGGCAGACAGAAACTGAAGTCATGACAATGGCAACAAGGCCGAAGAAGATATTACGTGGTCCAGACGTATTAGAAGATGGTATGTTGAAAAATTATTCAGAAGATGCGAGAAGAATACAATCGGGATAAACATCATATGGCAGTGCTTAGATCAAGCAGCCAATGGCAAGGAGTAGGACGAGGCCAAACATCGAATTCGATACTTCGGTTGCTGTAGCAGCGGATTCTTTTTTGTTTGACGCTGTGGCGGAAGCAGTTGCGGCAGCGCTTGTGATTGGACTCATTAATCCAGCGCCAGTACCAGTGCCAGAGCCGGCACCGGTCACCGTTTGTGCTAAGAACGTACTCGCTGCACTGGTAGTAGAGTTTCCAGCTTGGAGAAACACGTGGGCTTCGTCAGTCGGATAGGTTGAAGCAGTGATAGAGCTTGTTGTATGGCTGTAAAGGGAGGAGGTTAAGCTCGCTTTTATGGAGGTTGACGAAGGAGAGGATGAGGAAGAGGAAGAAGATGAGGAGGAGGAAGAAGATGATGAGGATGAGGATGAGGATGAGGATGAGGATGAAGATGCCGACGTAGACACAGATGTAGATAAAATAGAACTTGAACTGCTTGTTGATGATGGTGGGGCAGCCGAGGTAGTAGAGATTGAAGATGATGAGCTGTGACTTGGCGTTGGGGTTGGAGTTGGAGTTGGCGTTGGCGTCGGCGAAGCACTGCTTGGAGCAGCCTTGGACGATGATGAAGCTGGAGAGCTGGAACTGCCAAGCTCAAAAACCACCACATCAGCTGTCAGGCCTGAAGGAACAGTAACAACACAAAAGCTGGCACCTCCGGCACCAGAGGCTTGATCAGAGCTGGTAACTCCACCAATTCCGTCAACCGACGGATCAATTGAACATGGAAGTCCGTTACACCCAGACCCAGAACATTCAATCTTGACACCAAAACTAGGCATGGTCTTTGAAAGCGAGGAAGCTGTCCAAATGGGATTCCAACCAATCTTCAGGAAGGTATCACCACTGGCATCCGTGTTAGCCCCTGCAACATATGGGGCCCAATTTCCAATAGGTTTTGAACCATCACCCCAAATACAAGCATCGGCAGTTGAAACCCCCGGAGCATTGATATAATAACTGTAGATATTAGTTCATTGGATCCACAACACGATGATTAATACATACTGAGCTGCAGTTTCACACCAGTAGTTTGTCCCTGGAACCGCCAATTGAGAAGATCCTTCTACTAATGTTGGAATCAACATAGCCTCATTTCCAGGTAGCACTGTTTGACAGAACGAAACACTTCCGCCACAACTATTCACAACTCCAACTGTACCGGTTCCGGACACACAATAAGGCTGGTTGGAAAATGGTTTGCTAACTTTACCATTCGAATCGCAAAACAAACCTCCATCCTGCGAATATTTAGTATTTTATTTTTGCCCAAAATTATCACTTCAACATACCATGGACAGTGGATAAGTGTATGAAGTGGCCTTTGGATTCCATTGTGCCATCACTTGGCCAGGAGGGCAAGCATATGGACAGTATGAATTTGGGGTGCAAGCCTGATCGGGACTCATCGCCCATCCCGCATTCTTAGAATCAGGTGTGACAGAAACCAATCCAGCATCCGATGGGAATGCGCAAGTACTACGCTTTTGTAATAGATCCCCAGAGTCTTCCACTCTTGGTGATGCGTGAAGTCTGTTGTGCGAATGGCGCTTCTCTAAAATGTCGAGATGGGAAAGCCCATGGCCGAGCTTGGCTTCGCAAGGTAAAAATAAGGTTACTACGGCCGCAATCGCGATTGGTATTTCGAAGAACTTCATTGCGCAAAGTGGTAATATCTGTATTGGCTAATTCTCCACGGGTTGTTAAGATATTCAAGGCGGATTCTCTGTATAATTATCTTCTTTCTCGTGTGCGTTGGTAAGAATTTTGGCGCGGTATGCGTTATAATTTCGGTCCAACTAATGATACCAACAATACAATAATAATGAAGTCAACGACGAACTACTTTTCCAAATGAGTGAGACACTATCAATAGCATATGTAATGAGCGTGATGGCGACGAGCAACCAGAAAAAGAGAGTGAAGATTGGACTGAACACGCTGAAGTTTGAGGAGGAGAGTGTGGATGTGGATGTGGATGTGGATGAGAATGTAGGGAAGTGAAGGAGGTTGAGGTGAGGTGAAGAAACGGTGCGGGTTGGAAAGTTGGAAGCTAGAAAGCTAGAAGTCACGGAATCGGAATAGTTTGGGAAGGGTCTACAAAAAAGGTTAGTGCTTTCCCCCATTTCCTCTATCGTATCGCACGCACAGCGGCGGCTTGGGAAATTGCATAATAGAATAACATTATTTAAATTCTCAATTGGGCTTTTATCTTCCTTTACAATTCGTATAATGATTGGATAATTAAAAGGCCACAGGTAGTGTTCCTGACGCTAATGCAAAACGGGGATTTAAATGGAGAGATCGACCAATGATAAGATCCATGTTAGTGAGATAGTTTAAATTAAATGGACCAAATAAGGTTTAGAGTCGGTTTAAAGGCAAGCTCGAAGATCCTTGTGTTTTCTCTTCTTGGTTGGTGAAAGAAGTTCACAGATTCAGAAAACGCTCCTTATCTCGAAGATCCTATCTCCCCTTTTCTTCCCCAGTACATACCGGTACAAACTCATTACAGACGCCAGGCATGCATGGAAGTATATCTACCTACGTAAAAGCATCCCTCAGATTGTTTGTTTATCTTGGAAATCAACTGGAATGCGGCTACATTAAGGTTATCTGTCCAAATATTGATCAAACTCTCGGCAAATCTCAGTAGATATCGGATAAATATAAGGAGGCACAGTATAGAACTGGTATGTACCGGGACCAAGCGATCGCGGAGGTGAACCTAATTTGCAACTACGCCGAAAGAAGATTGCGGCCCTTGGTGACTTTGGACTATAAGGTTTGATATCTATTGGTATTTATTTGATTGATTTCAGTGTACAACACGGATCCTTCTAATAGTCCGCTTACTACTCAGTACTGGTGGATGCATCTTGCAAATCCATATCAAGCTGAGAATCATTGTTTATGTTATGTGCATCGGCAGGCGGCAATGAAGGATTTGATATTCATAACGTGTATTGTTTTGATGGCTTTAACCGTAACTATCGTGTTACAACGCATTGGATCCTGCTTCTGTTACCTTGTGGAACAATAATTCGTAGAGTTGGTCAACGAGATTGGACGAGGAGGGAAATTCCTCACCAGATGATGCTGATCACGTGATCTCGCTCCAAATGGGCTCCAGCCTTGCATACTTAGCCTCGCGCTTGCCACTTGCATACCCCACAACTTAGAAGCTTTCGTTACTCATGGCCATTGAAATATAGCTTTCTAGTTCACACCGAATCCATGTTGAAACAATGTCAGCACAACAAATACCAAACCTTCTCTCATTACGAGGCGCATCTCGGTCGCGCGGCAGAGGTAGAGGCTATGGCCTTCGTGACCCTTTGAACCCCCATTCAGAGGTTTCTTCGAATCGCAGAGATAATGCTATTCAAGGTACCGACACGGATGCAGCTGTATCTCGCCTCAGCGCAGTCGATCTTGGCTATCTCGAGGATCCTTTTGCTCGTTATTTCGTCAATGGTAGTGGAACACGAAGGCTACCAATCATAAACAGAGGTTCGTTAGCCTTCGTTGCTGCGAGTGCAGTTCACTGAACTATTTGGAACCAGCTAATCTGTGACTTGAAATAGGTACATATTCTCGTACTACCGCTTTAGACCTCCTCGTCGAAACCTTTTTGTCTCAAGGCGACAATTCTACTCCACAGCCAAAACAAATAATTTCTTTGGGAGCAGGAACAGATACTCGCTATTTTCGACTTCGAGCGAAGAACTTGCACAAGAATGTCATCTACCATGAATTTGATTTCCCATCCGTGTGCGCTGCGAAATGTCGCTTAGTACAGCAAAACCATGCTGAACTCGTCGGCACTGAAAGATTCTTCGAGATCGGACACAGAGACAGCGAGGTTGTAGAGCCCACCACCGCTAATGGGTCACAGGTAAATATGGAATGGGGATTCAGTCGCACTCTTGAAAATCGTCCAGAAGTTGGATATGTGTGCCATCCTTTAGACCTCCGAAAACTACCTGCTATGATTGATCTCGATTCATTTCATGGCATCAAAAGCGACTTATCCACACTAATAGTATCAGAATGTTGTTTATGTTATCTTGAGGTGGGTACAGCACAAAATGTTATAAAGTGGTTCGCGGACAAAATTCCAAGCATTGGGATTGTTCTTTATGAGCCAGTCGGCGTACACGATGCATTCGGACAAATGATGGTAGAAAATCTTGCATCGAGAGGAATTGTTATGCCTACGGTGCAGAAGTACAAGACACTTGAGGATCAGAAAAAAAGATTAGTAGGTCTTGGATTCGGTACTGCAGAGGGTGGCATCAATGCTGTGAGCATAGAAGATGTCTGGGAACATTGGGTTGCAGGCAGGGAAAGAGAGAGAGTGGACAGGCTTGAAGGTTTAGATGAGGTTGAGGAATGGCTACTGTTGGCGAGACACTATTCAATCGTCTGGGGGTGGACAACCGATACGGGATTTGAGAGATTAAGGGCACTAAATCCCTAAAGTATAGTTAGGATCGACCCATGGACATCCACGGATATATAATACGCTAGGCCGAACATTTTTACTTTCGTTACTATCAAAGCGAACCTACTCATGTCTCAATGGTTGAAGTTGCCAAGATGTGTCACCACGTCATTTGTCAACGTGAAGTTCTTGTAGGAGTGCTCCTTACTCTCTACGCCAGAATCGTTTGTATCACCACCGTTTGATTTCGTCTTACCACTAGTATTGAAATCCGTGAAGACATGACCTCTATTCTGGAGTCCTTCAACAAGAGCTTTGCCCAGCATCTTATCTTAGCGATGTTTTCCAACAGCTTCGAATGATTCTTCTTAATATCCCTGTTGCTCTTTCACCGCAGGAAGTAGGGCGACTAGACGATTCACGAACTCTCCAGCATCTTCGATTATCGTTCCGGTACACCGCCCAATTGAACATCCCGCCAACATTTGTTTCTTTTGTCGCTCAAAGTAAGATCGCGGGCTTTGGCATGAAGCCGGTTGGATTCCTTCTCTAGACTTTCACGGGGATTCCACACCACGATCTAAGCTCACCCTTGTCTATTTTATATCAACGCGACTGCTTTTCCGCGATTGCAAAGGATTCTGACATTGACACGTCTGCTTCCTACTCGTCTTCGGTTAATTTGGATTTAGATGCTCGCTTGAATAATGATGAAATGCGAGAGTTTAATCATTCCAAGATGGAAGATGAGTCCCGCCAAGAAGAACCTGCATGGCGGACTATCGTGGAAGAGCTCGATCCGAGGGACCATCTCTGTGGGCTGGCTTTGCAATCAAACTGGTAGCAAAACTAGTAGCCACCGAAGTCCCACCCGCTCTTGGGAGGCTCCCATTGCGGCTCTCCTCCACCTACAACCGTTTGCTCATGGATATTGATAGAGTCATGCAAGACGAATTAGCATGTAAACGATGCTGTCAAGCAGCAGCTTCGGTGCTGACGTGAATTGTTATGGCGGTGCGTTCCATGACCAACATATATCAAAATATGTGTCGCAATTGGCGATTTATTGTCCATTGCCGATGAGCTAGAGGAAACACAGGCCTTGCATGAGAGTGTTCGCTACTGTGTCCATCTGCTCACTGTAGGTTCTGCTTCTACTACGAACCAACTAGTACACCAATCTTTTAAATATTCCCTTTTGCGATTTTCACACAGTCCGGTAACTGTACCATCCTTAATCAATTCCAAATATTCGAGTTATTTGCACATGATTTACCGATGTTTCATGTATCAACATCTAGAGGCCGAATTCGAGCAACGAGGAGTAAGTGAGCCGTGGTTCCATACTTCCTTTTTTTATAAGGATAGCTATTAGGCAGCTGTCGGGGTATGCCCTTTTCAATTGGATTGATCATGCTCGTCGCTTGGGTTGGACAGAATGGAACGTATTGATCCTATCTTTCATCATGGTTTGAGTTATATAACAGTATACAGTCTGTCGAATTACCTACGAGAATCACTCGTAGACTTTAGTTGAAAGCTCGAAATAACTATCATATCCCCACTTCCCCTCTATCAACCCCAGAGAATTGAGTGAAACAAACATACCCAATGTCTCATATACTGGGGCAGTTCATCTGGTTTGATCTCTAAACACTGGCGTATATAACATATGCTTTAATTAGGCGAGTTTCTATGCGATCTAGAATCTCATAGACTCGAAGCTCCTAGTGTTTACGATCAATGCAGTGCTCAAGCAACAATGGCATTGTGCATATCACGAAGCTTAAGGGAGTGAAGTAATATTTATACAGCAATTCTCAATACAATATTATATCATATAAAAGTACTTTTGGTACCGGTATTTCTTCTTTTACAGAATTCACGAGACATTCGGATATACCGGAACCAGGTGTGGGAGAATATACCTTACCTTAAATTAACCTTTATGGAGATTTTGCAAAGCATCTCGCCATACTTGAAAAACAACAAATTCCGTCTTTAGATAGGTATAAATACTATCCTTCAAGAGTCGAAACATACTTTGCTTTGACTCATTCATGAGTTAATCAAACTATTGGTGTTTCAAATCAGCTTGCATGTTGCAGTTATATCAATTGATGATTCGGCGAAAGTCCGGAAGACATGCTATTTTAATACCCGCTTGTACCGATACGCTAAAAATGATTCGAAATCAGTAAAATCAAACACATTCTCATCCTTCTTAACATAAATACATACTATTGGTACAGCTTTATATCATTTTGAGCGTAGAGAAATCTCCTATTGGAATTCTATTATATTCGATGATACCCACGCGAAAGCTTTAGATACATGGAAGATGGCGACTCTGGGCTACGAGCCCCACGCTACCCAGCGGAGGATACAAGTCCAACGACGGATCGGGAGCTGAGGGGATTTTTTTGTTATGGAATTGCAGCTGAGGTTTTTGCTGTTTGTGCAGTTGGTATGCAACAACTCTCTAATTCAAGTATTCGAGTCTGACATATATTACAGGTTCATTTTTACCCGTCACATTAGAACAACTTGCCCGTGAGCGAGGCGTTCTTTTCATTGATAAAGTCACACCTTGTACAGCGAAGAATGCAACCGCTATTGCAACTGCTACTGTCAATGCATTATTATCGAGAGCTGAAGGCTCAGATACACATCAGTGTATTATCAACGTATTTGGCACCGAATTGACAACGGCCAGTTTTGCAATGTACACCTTTTCTGCTTCTGTGTTCATGCAAGCTCTTGCCCTTGTCTCTGTCAGCTCGGTTGCTGATCATGGTATGTTGGTTACTAATACTGATTTCTATTTTAAGCTGACAGCTTCTAGGTACCTGGCGTAAGAAGCTTCTGGCGGGATTTGGATTTACAGGCTCTGTGTCTGCTATGCTTTTCCTTCTGGTAGTTCCACAGATTTTTGTGGTTGGATCTCTGTTAACTGTGATTTGTGTTGTGTGTCTTGGATGCTCCTTCGTCATTCTTAATTCATACTTACCACTACTTGTTTTGAACCATCCAGTTGTTCAAAGCGACGAAGAACCTTCAAATGAATCTTCGTCTATTCCCCTTCAACCGATATCCCCCGGACGAGGTGATCGGGAATTGGGAGACAATTTGCGCAAAAATGCTGGAAAGGAGGTCGATATAGGTTCCAAGGCCGACTCGTCACATCTTCAACTTTCTACGAAGATCTCCTCTAAAGGAGTGGGGATCGGTTACACGGCTGCAGTTGCCGTGCAAGTTGTTTGTATCTTTATTCTATATACCATGAACAAGATGGGAGCTTCATCAACACTTCCTCTCCGGACAGTGCTTTTCTTTGTCGGATCTTGGTGGCTTACGTTTACCATTCCATCAATCATGTGGCTCCGAGATAGACCTGGGCCACCGTTACCAACAGCTCTGTACGAAGGAAGAAATTTTGTCCATACTTGCATGTCGTACACAATCTTCGCTTGGAAGTCACTGTGGAAAACAGTCAAGGTTGCTGTCAAGCTTCGCCAAGTTCTTCTCTTCCTTGTCGCTTGGTTTCTTCTTTCCGATGCTGTGGCCACAATTTCTGCCACCGCTATTCTCTTCGCCAGAACTGAGCTGCAGATGGGGACTGTAGCAGTTGCTGTGCTCTCTATCGTGGCTACCACCTCAGGAATAATTGGTGCCACAGTCTGGCCTATCATATCAAAGCGATTTACACTGAAGACAAATCATATAATTGTCTGTTGTCTGGTACTTTTGGAATTGGTTCCATTGTATGGGCTCCTTGGTTTTCTACCATTTGTACAAGCTTGGGGAGTAGGTGGTTTACAGAAATGGTACGAGATTTATCCTTTAGGTATTATTCACGGAATGGTTATGGGTGGCCTATCTTCATATTGCCGATCATTTTATGGGCTCTTGATACCTCCCGGTAGCGAAGCTGCATTCTATGCATTATTTGCCATCACAGACAAAGGTAGCTCAGCGGTAGGCCCTGCCATTGTAGGGAAGATTGTGGATGCAACAGGACAAATTCGACCGGCATTTGGATTTCTGGCGGTATTAATTGCATTACCCATTCCTCTGATTTGGATGGTAGATGTTGAGAAAGGACAAGAAGATGCGATTCGTATGGCTGGGTTGATGAAGATTACTGATAATGGACATGAGTATTTTGAATCGCATGAAGGATCATCTGATGGTCACGAAGCTGAAGGGCTTATGCGGGATCATGATTAACTGAGTATATATTTCACAAGTACGAACGAAATTTTGATTATATATTGCAATCTTGACCGAGTATATAAGACGAAAATTAATTGATTATTCAACCTTTAGCTCACAATTACTCGAGTAGTGTTTACTTTTACTCCAAGAAGATTAGCTCGTTAGCTCGCTGAGTCAGCAATCCAGATCCCTTGTCAATGTTCAATGTCAGCAAGTTGCATTAGCTCCAGGTCTTAATTCCGTAATAAGGCTGGGTCAGCACACTGCATTTCAATCTTTCGACTTTCGACTTTTAACACGTTCTCGATCAATACTTCAACAGGCTATACATACAACAAGACCGTTACATCCGCGATCCGAAACCATGAATATTGATGCAACACCACTTATCGAGATCCTGCCTATGCCGCAGAGATCACATGTCCAAAATCATGGGGAAGATTGGACGGGTACTAATAGTACTGTTATGAGAAGGAAATTACAAAATCGTTTAAATCAACGAGCTTCTCGTTTGTGATCCCTCCTATGCAGAGGTCATACACCTATACTAATATATTGCTCTAGGACAACGTAGAAAGGCCGACCCAAAAAAGCTTGAAGCAATCATTGAAATCATGGGAACACGGGGTCCACTCATCCTAGACCCCTCATTACCTCCTCCTGCATCAGAAGAGGTGTGCATTAATCGCGTAGATTTACAACGTATCGTCGCTTCTAAATCTTTCAATACTTATATCACCAATACATCTATCTCGGCAGACTCCTATTTACTCACCCTCCTCCACTTCAACGTGATTCGTGCGTTGACCATCAATGTGGAGATCCTCAAATTACCAATGGATCGTATGGATGACGATATTCTCTCTCCCTTCAATATCTCATCCTCTTCACAATACCCGTCGTCGGATATATCAAACCTACCAACAGCGCTTCAACCCACCAACTTACAAATCTCGATAGAACATCATCCCGAAATCGACATTTTTCCATTTCCGCAATGTAGGGATAATCTTCTGTCCGCACTATCGACAGGTGATGGATGGGATGATGTGGAGTTTTGTCGCGACATCATGTATGGAGTGGAAGGTGGAGATGGCAGGACGGGATTGATTGTTTGGGGTGAGCCGTGGATACCCAGTAGTTGGGAAGTGGAGGAAAAGTTTGCGAGGAAATGGGCGTGGTTGTTGAGGGGGTGTGGAGAGTTGTTTATAAGTACTAATATATGGAGGAAGGGAAGAGGTGAGCGGGGATTGGTTTTTGGGGAAGTTTCTTGATGGGGTTTTTAAATATGGGAATTGAGGATGGAATTTGGAGCATGTGTATAGGATAGGAAGACAGATAATGGAATGACTAAGATAGTAAGCGAGTCTGAAGGGGTACTCGGTCATCTTACGTCCAGATTGAACAGAAGGAACCCAGTAAGTGGTCTATCCAAAGAAGCATGTGTTTGATTCCGACACTAACTTTACAAGAACTTTCCAGATACAATCTATGATTTTGATCAAAGATGTCCCAGTTACTTGTTATGTTACGGACTTCCGAGTTCCCGAGTTCCGAGTCTACTGTTCGAAAAATTCTTCGTGGTATCAGAAAATATTGCATCGGTCAGGCAGAATGCGAAAATTAATCTCATGTTGGTCACATGGGAAGATAGGATAGGATTATACCCAACTTTTCCACGATCCAAGGAGATTTGAACGTTTTGAACTTGGAATCGGTACCTTCACACTTTATGATCAACGGGTTAGAAGAAATAGTTGGGAATGTCGCAATCCGAATACATTTGAAGGTACACCCGACGATTAAGATAATCTGTGGGCACAAATATTGAGCGATGTATCATAAAAGCTCAACCCAAATCTTTACCTTCAAGTCCCAGGCGCATTCAAACCCTACTGCAAGAACGAGATTCCATTTTTGATGACCATTAACAATACACCTATCAACAATACATAAAGCACCATAACCATAACCACGATTTTCATTCGCTCTCCAATCCAAATTCCTCCATATATTTTCTTTTCATAGACCGCGCAGCGCGCTTCAACCACGTCACTCAATGATCATGCAGTGGGAAGTCCCATTGGCGCCTGGCCTCAATAAAATAAGCGAGATTGCAGAAGTCTGAAGTCTGAAGTCTGAAGTCACCAAGTCACCAAGTCTACCTTTTAAGTTTCGAACCATGGTTTTTGCGTTAAGATAATAGGCCCGGAGTCGGTCTGTTTTGGCTATTTCTTTCTCTTAGATTTCATAATAAGCTTGCATGAATTGAATTGTTATTATGACTTGTTGTTAGGGAATCAAAGTGAAAAGTGGAAAGCTAAATAGAGTGTTTTTTGTTTTTGTTTTCTGTTTATCGCGTGGAGGGGAGGGGAGGGGAAGGTAGGGGGGGCAAGATAAGATAATATTATATTCGTAATGAGAGTCGGCTTGGCCAGGCCAGGCTAGGTTGTCGGGATTATAGGTACACTGTATACGAGTACATTTGGTCTGTTATTCATTAGTCGATATTTATATTCTAGTCCCTCAGCTCCTTAGCTCCTCGGCTCCCCAGCTTGCATGGGGATGTATAAATCTATAATATAAATATATACACTCGCAGATTCCCAAGATTGTAATACGATCAAAATTGCTCCTCCTTTCCAGAAAAGAGGAGAATCGCATCAAATTCAATGCATCAAAATATCAAAGTATCAAAAGTCCTTGAGTAAAAGGCATCAATATGATAATGTTGCGTATATCATAAGATAAGGTTATATGGCATATGGTACATGCCTTTTTCCTTCTATATTGGATGATAATTCTGTTACATGTACGAGTATGCAGTAATGTAATGTTAATTTTTGTTTGAAGTTGGAGATGTATACTTGAGATGGATATGTAGTTGTTGTGAAGTACTCAGAAGTTAGATAGTACTTATTAGTGAAGTGAATTTTGTTCGTTGTTGCTGTGCTGTGCTGGATTGGATTGGGCTGTGGAATAAGCGAAACAAAGCCTAAGTAGCCGCCTGCTACTGCAGAAGCGTTGACGAAGGGATGTGTACCAGTATCGCTACTGTATCCATATCCTTCATGATCTCTGTGCTGCTGTGCTGGGGCAAATCTGGGTATGAAGTATAAGAGATAAGTTGAGCCTGTTGGGGAGGGTTTGTACATTTTATATGTGAATTACCTACCGGTACGTATTTCATCTAGATTATGTAGATATATGTAGATATATGTAGATATATCTAGGTAAGCAAATGGGGTTATACTCGAGTATATATCACATCAGTCTTTTTAAACACCACTCAATAAGCTCTCAGATATATCCACAGATCTACATCTATTTAAATCTCGATTCTCAAGCAAAATTTGTCAAAGAATTAAGCGAAGAGACTTTAAGTTAAGCTTGGGAAGTTACTCCTATTATCTACCTACCTACCTACCTACCTATCTATGACTTTTCTTTCTATTGTAGATATTGCTGCTACCCATGGCCGTTGAGCTAAATTAAACTTAGTACTTACGTGTGAGGAGTTTTGGCGTTCACTACCTACTCTATAAGTACAAATAGTTTTCTTGTAATGATCATGGATCTTAGATCCAAGACTAATATAGCTACCACGAGATTTCACAGAGATGGGGCTTATATGTCTAATGGATTGTTATGATATGATGGATTCTTGCGATATGTGTGATATACTTTAAGTTGAATTTTAATGTTTGATTGCTTGGGCATTATGTATGTATGTATGTATGTATGTATGTATGTTGAATAGAAGATGAAACCGGTACTCAAGTATGCGGTAATTTCAATGCTGTGTGGATGGGAAAGACGATATGATGTGAGTGCGGAATTCTGGCTAAATGTACGAGTAGTTTCAACGAACGAGGACTGAAAAAAAAACGATGGGGGATGTCCATGCTCAATGCTCATGTTGGGGGTAGAAAAGAGTCATGTTCGTTTTGTACAGTACGTGAATTCACATTGACCAAAAATATAAAGAACACGTGAATTAACGGATCTAAAGTCTGATTCCAATCTAATCTTCTGAATGCACCACAATTATCTAATGTACGCCTTAATTCATGTTCGGCACGTTATGCGTAATCATAAAGCCTGCCCAAACTCTCGTTGTGCAGCATATACAGATCCCGTAATGCCATTTGGGTATCGTTGAACGCCTGTCATGCGAAATATGTAAAGACTCCAATACCATACGCCCCTCCAGCCCAAAACTATTAACCCGCCGCCGACTATGCAACAGAGCCTAGCCACATAGTATTGCTCCGATTATATAAACGGAGTAAACTTTGTGCGCCCATCAAATCTATCCAAATCATCCTGTTGAGACTGATCCATGTTTACATCGTCATCGTCTATCTCGAGTCGTCTCTTGGATTTCAATGATACAGTCATCTCAGCCTGTTGAGTTTGGGTAACACTTCTTTTGGCTTCGAGAAGTTGTTGGTAGTTAAGCAACGTATGTTTCATTCCATCATCAAACGAAACGCAAAATCGCCGACTTTGTACATATTGTACGGCTTCGACGAGACTCATTTCATAAGTCGCCATGACATATGCTACGGCAACCGCTGCAGATCGCTCATTTCCAGTTTCGCAGAAGAGAAGAACTTTTGGTGTTTCGAACAAGGGCAGATCGTTGGCGCCTTGGGATTTTCGGTATCGAAATACTCGGATGAGATGGTCATTGATGGTCTGTATGGCCCGAGGGAAAGCGGCAATGAGTTCCATATTTCCACTAACATCGACGGCACCAGCTTCAATCCCCAACTGATCTGCGACCTTTTCACCACTCAGAATTCTTGCTTGAGCTGTCATGGTATCTCTGATCACGAGTAACATTGTGATTCCTTCTCGTCTCAATGTTTCAATCTCTCTCGCGTCTGAGGCGGGTCCCAGATAGAGGTAAGACAATACCTGTTGGATATGGCGTCGCATCTCATATTTCCACTCGGTTTTTCTCACGGATAAAGTTTGTGCTTGTGCTTTTGTGATTATGCTCAAGATCTCTCGAGTTTCTTGTTCATCACCTAGCCCGCGATATATCGATAAGACAGTTTGAGTATTTGAACCGATAGTAGGTGGTATATGGATATGAGGTAAATCAGGAGGCTAAAGCAAGTTAAGTCAGTATCATCCTATGGTATAGATTGGTGAAACATACTCTCCATGAATACACGGCAGTAGCAGTAATTCCATTCTCCACAGTACTCGTCGCAGAATCTCTCGAATCCATACCCGTCTCCATTGTAGGTGGCATTGTTGTGTAAGAGTATTACAGATAATCGAGGATATGTCTAAAATGTGTCGAGGATCTGCAGGTGAAGTTTGGGAGGTAGAGGAACGACGAGGTAGTTCAAGAGTTGGGAAGATCGAAGAAGAAAAATAATATGAGAATCGTTTCGGAAGAAGTTGACTTGAAAGAATTCGTGCCTTGAATTAAGATGAAGGTCAAGAAGATCTTGACTATAGACTCAAGGTCATTTAATCAAAGAAATAGTTGAAATTAATCGATCATTGTGTGGTACTCATGAACCTTCTGTTCAAGTACAGTATTATTTATTATTCTCTGTTTCTGTGGTGATATTCGAGTTCCAGCCCGATATGATATCCGGGGTAGTACAGTACTAACCTCCGTACCTAGTTAGTTCTTGCCTTTCGGTTCGGCAAGGGAATATTCAGTTTATCCGGATGAGCTTGGACATTTAGTCACAATGTGGCTCAATATCCTCAATATCACTTAGTGTGTGGCTCAATGTGGCTGGTGCATGCCTTGTCTTAACTCCGTCAGCCTTTGGGGGAATGGGAGCTTCTAAGCCCAAACTACAACAAATTACAAGATGTCCAACAAAAGAATTGAACAAAGCGAAATCGAGAAATATTGGGAGATCTTTGCATCTCTATCAAATGGTGGAACACATCTTACTGGTGCACAAGCAGCACCAGTGCTGAAAAATAGTCAACTGCGAGATGATCAACTAGAAAGGATATGGGATCTGGCAGATGTGGACAATGATGGGAACCTAGATTTTGAGGAGTTCTGTGTAGCTATGAGATTGATTTTTGACCTTGTCAACGGGGTATGGTAATCTCATATGGGCATTTGTAAGATTGATCTTAATGCGAGAATCTTCTAGGAATATGCAGATGTACCACCAGCACTACCTGACTGGCTTGTTCCGGAATCGAAGGCACATTTAGTCCAAGCCAATCGAGCACTTACCGGACGACAAGTTCAGTTCGAACGCGTTGAAGATGATGATGATACTCCGGGGTTGAAAGATGGCTTCGATTGGTACATGAGTCCGTCAGACAAGGCCAAATACGAAGAGATATACTCTGCGAATAGGGATGGCCGAGGAGATATCACTTGTAAGTGCATAAGTGCTATGGTCGATTTCCAACAAAGTCTGATTCCGCAAAGTTGAATCTCTAGATACCCTCTACTCTTCGCTTGAAGTGCCAGACACGGATATACGCTCAGCTTGGAACTTGATCAATCCATCTGCTGCTCTCGCCATTTCAAAAGATGCCACTCTCGCCTTCCTACACATACTCAATAATCGACACGAAGGATATCGCATTCCTAGAACTGTCCCTCCGTCGCTTCGAGCAAGTTTCGAACGAAATCAAATCGATTACCAAATAGACAACCAACGTGTCTCATCACCTGCGCAGAAATGGGGCGATACTGGCGGAGAAGAGACAAGTACTGGTCGTAAGGCTAAATTCGGAGAGACATATATGAGTCGACTTGGAATAGGTGGAAAAAGCAACTACAGGCCTGCGGGGACCGATTTCTCAGGCACGAAAACGACTGAAGATTGGGAGGAAGTAAGACTGAAAAAGCAACTCGCGGAACTTGAGGCCAAGATTGAAAAGGTTGAGTCCGCAGCTGCAGCAAGATCTGGCGGACGACGTGATACCAAGCCAGCCTTAGTCAAGAGAGAATTGGAACAGCTACTAGATTACAAACGCCGGGAATTACGAGATTTGGAATCTGGTGAGGGAAGGAGTAAAGTTGGTGCAAGCTTAAAGGGGGTTGCGGATGAGATTACTACGGTCAAGGAACAAGTCGAAGGTTTAGAAACACATTTGAGGTCACGAGAACAGGTTTTAGGGGAATTGAAGCAGGAGATTGATAATGAGAAGAGCAGTCGATAGATTCATTACTACTACTAATACTAATTGCTTACAAGCCGGCCAAGCGGTGTTAATCCTATGACTTCAAGAATGACTTGGATATTTCATAATATGGTATCGATGTTTGGAAAGCCTAAAAACGATTGTGCTATCCGAGCTGGTTAGGCCAGCATGTCCCTCTCGCATATTTTCCAATTGCTCTTAAGACTACTTTATTTTTGCGAATTTGCAAGCTGCCACCGCAAAGAGAATACATTGATCTAAGGGATTTTAAGAAGTCTTTGTTGCATATCTTGTTTTGATGGTAACCAAAGTAACCAAAGCAACCAATACAACCAATGTTCAGGTCCAAGCATAGATTTTGGCGAAGTTTAAAGTTGTCCCTGACTTAATTGAATCTGGCTTTGAGCTTTCAGTCGTTGAGGATTATGACTTTTATCAAACACCCTTTACAGAAGTGAAGTATAAACAAAGATCAGATATGCAACAAGGCTTTTCAATCATAGAATGCAGCTAGTTAGCGATATTTATATCAGGGGAAATATACTAGAGAAGTGTTTGTGTATGTTTTATTTTGATGGAAATAGCACAGAGCTTGTGTTAGGTTAGCAACTCAGGCTAGTTGCGTTTGGAAGTTGAATTTGGCCAAGAACGAAAGGAGATAGGAGGCTTTGAATTATGTATTCTTCAGAATGACTGTGCAGAACATCTATGAGTAAAGAATATGTGGGTTCCTGATTTTTTTTTGGTAGTGAAACAAGTGTTGTTGTCAGATCTAGAAGAAAAGAATAGACAAATATGGCGAATATGGCAAATGTGGTATATATACATTGTTATTACTTCAACTTTACTCAGATGCATAATGAATATCCTTTAAGATAAGATGTAGAAGAATGTGGCCAAAACTCAAAATTCCCACAAGGTTCAGTAATGAATTCGAAGCTGCGAAAAGAAAGCTGATGTCATTATGCTAAGGGATGGGTTTGGAGATGGAAGTGTGCAAAATTGGAAATATATTTAATTATAAGATGCGTGCCGCCGATAGCTTCAATGCTTCAGCTAAGATCTAGGTTTCCAGTGAATTTAACTCATTGTGCAAATATCAATTTTGGAGGGAGAGTGGATATGTTGTTAGTAAAAATGTGCCATTTGTGTCATTGTGCCATTGTGAGAAGCAAGCATTTGGATGATTAATTTGGCTTTAGATGGCTAGCGTTTAATCTCTGGTCATTCCACCATGACGTCGACAAGAGTCTCAAGTACATCCCATGGGGTATTTCATCTGATATGAATAAGTCATGGTGTATATCCATTGAGAATAGACCAGTTACATTACAATACATTACCATACAATACAATACCAACGCAATCACCACATATACATCACGTCCCTCAAAATCACATCCTCAATCCAGAGTTCCCAAGCAAAGGCACCTTCTCATCCTCTCCCCCATCCCTCTCCACCACCCCAAGCTGCCCTTCCTCCACACAACCCTCTCTCCCCACGGCCTCCACCACCCATTCAAAACCAGCATTTGCACCATAAACCCCAACATCGAAATCGCGAGTGCTATTTACATGATTGTATTTGTATTTGTATTTGTGTCGGATGGTGTTAGTTCAGGAAATTGTGGGGATGGCTGTTGTAGTGGTAGTGCGTCTGTGGAGGTAATATCTGGTAATTTTTTTTTAGGGAGAAGATCTCCTTGACACTGGTATGGCGCTGTGGGATTGTGGCCCTGGGGCTCGATGGAGTGGAGGGAATGGAGGGAGTGGATGAAGTATAGTATCAGGGATATCATGGTAATCTAGAAGATTATTAGGGTTAGGGTGATGATGATGATGAATTTGCTTTGTTCGTGGGAATTGGACATGCTGGGGTTCTTTTGGTTGGAGGGGACTCAGGGGAGGGGGATATTGATCAATTAAATAATTTGAGAATCTGGTAGGTGCCCGTAGAGGTAGATGGATATAGATGACGATAGTTTATTTTAAGTCGGAAGATGTTTGAATAGAGCAAGTAGTTCCTAGTCTGTTACATATATGTTATGTACAATGACATAGGTATTGGTGATGATTCGAACCCCGTCTCTATCTCTGTCTCTGTCATTGAATACTCATATACACGCAATTCATAATACAATAAAATTGTAATCCGACCAAGCAAAGTAAAACCTTATTCCCTTAAAAGTTTCCACACAATCCGCAAACAAAATAACAAAATATAAGTCCACGGATGGATATTTTGCAAACACACATTCACCAATATTTTATTCTTCCTCAAATGTGTATAATAACTCCCAAGTCCTCTCACTCATTGTTAAATGCCACTTCTATTTTAACATCATGAATCACGAATCACAAAATTCAATCTTTTCACCGGTACTTCTTTCTTTTTCCTTCATATTAGATCTAACCTCGCTTCTCGCTTCTCGCTAAAAACATATTTCGCGAAATGCCTAGTGCTACATTGGTGTCTAATCTCATCAGAGATTGTTAATCCAGTGGTATATTTTGCAAGATACTTACTGTGGTGAATTAGTGAATTGGTATCTAATCTTCATATTTGTCTAGATGATCTTGAGGAAGGGGGGGCTGCTGATGTGCGGCACTTGTATGCGGCACACTAGTCTATATCTTATGTATGTAGATAATTAGTCCCAATATCACAGGTAGTACGAAGGACCAATCGTTTCTTCCTATCCCATCCCACATAATCCACAACCATCCCCCCTCAAACTCAAACTCAAATCTCAAATCTCAAACCTCAAACCCCAAACCACAACCTAAAAACCAGCACAACCATCCCCACCATCCCCCCTAGAAACATCGGATTCCCTATTATAACCACCATTACCATATCTCTCAATGCGATTCCATGTGCATATGCATATGCATATCCATATACTTCCTTGTAATTCTTCGCTTGTGCTGATTTCTGCTTTTGTGTTTGTGTGGTTGATGATGCTGTTGTTGTCGTAGTACTCGTACTTATAGATGTACTCATCCCCACCACATCGCCATCCTCCACACTTCCTATCTTTGTCTGTAAGATACCTTCTGTATTTTTCATTTCCATCTCAACAGCCCCATCAGAATATCGACCATCACCATAACACGTACTCACAGTACTCACAGCACCCAACTCCCCTCTTTCCACTCTTTCCACTCTTTCCCCTCGTACTCCTCCTACCCCTCCCTCCCGATCACCAGCAACAACCGCAAACGTACACGAAAACCAATAGATATTCAGCAGACAAATAGCAGTAACGAGTAAAAGACGAGGGATCAGGTGTTTCATCTTCCTTTCTCTCTTTCTTTCTCTCCTTCTTTCTCTCTGGTGATGTAATAAGTCCGGTTGTTGTTTTTAAGTCGACTACAAGTAATGTTTACTCATAATACTACAACTCGAGGAGTATATCGAGTAGTAAGTGGATATATATATTAACATTATTAACATTATTAACATTATTAAGATTACAGAAGAAGAAGAAGAAGAAGAAGAAGAAGAAGATACGGTAGAGTTGGAGATGCTGTATGCATATATGGTATGGTGTAGAGTTGATTACTTGAAAGGGGTACGGTGGGTACGGTAGGGACGGTAGTAGGAGGTTCTCTGGTGTGCTGGAAGAGGGAAGGGGGAAGAGGGAAGAGGGTACAATGAATGAATGGATGGATGGATGTTTGATGCTATATTTGTACTCGAGTATAGTATATACAAGCAAGTAATGGAATTGCGTGTTTAGGATGACTCTTTATTTCTGTCGTATCGTACTCGTAGACTCTACGAGTATGTATGAACAAACATTATTTCGTAATGCCATTATACAAATCTACAAACAATACTCGTAGTTGTAACGCTTACCACCAACGCCATTTACGCTCAACCCATAAACAAATATCCAGTTGTCTATCCTATCACATCTTGATAATCCAGCTCTATCTCCCCTCCATGCTCGTCATTAACCCCCCCGCCTTCGTCTCTACAATCTTAAAAGCATCTTTATTTCCCAGACCCTTCTCGGCCCTCTCATAAGCCCCCTCACTCCTATCACACAATGCATCTAGATCCTCCTCTGTCAAAATCTCGTCTCCTTCTTTACACGTATATACCTCTCCATCTTTCAACAATAACGCCCTTAACGCTTCCGCATTCATTCCTTCTTTAGTATCCATTTTCTGTCCCATAGTTTTAAATCCTCCTTTCTTAATAACAAGCTTCTCTAACCTACGTTTCGCATCGGCACTCATGAGCAAATCTTCTTCGACGGTGCCCTTGGTAGCGAGTCGAAATATGACGACAGGTTTAGTTTGGCCGATACGATGGGCGCGATCTTGAGCTTGGAGATCTTGTTGTGGGTTCCAATCGCTGTCGAAGAGGATCACAGTATCAGCACTTGCGAGATTAATTCCTTGTCCGCCAGCTCTGGTGGAGAGAAGGAATAGTCTGAATTCTGGGTCTTCATTGAATTCTTTGATTTGTTGACGGCGGAGATCTTGTGCCACACTTCCATCGATTCGACATACTTTCCAATTTCGCAATTCACGAGCGTAATCTTCAAGAATGTCGAGTTGAGTTTTGAATTGTGAGAAGATGAGAACTTTGTGACCGCGAGAGAATAGTGATGGGAGAAGTCGATCGAGAAGTAACATTTTCCCAGACGACGTTATGAGGGTTTCGTTGAGTGGGATACCAGAGTCTGCCGACCAGGGATTATAGAAATTTAATGGAGAATTGCAAACTAATCTCATTTGCATAACAGGGTTTCCTAGCTTTTTGCTAGAAATCTCCTTTCTGGCAAGTTCTAGAACTTTAGCCGTTTGATCTTCGGTTTGATTCTTCTTCTTGAGTTCTAATTCCTCTTTTTCCACAAATTCCATTGCGAGTTTCGACTCAAATTCATCATCACTGAGCTCATCCTCCTCAGATGTATCGGCTTCTTCGTAGACTCTTCTGCTCCGTGAGTCTCGACTGCGAATACTAACAGCTGGTGACGCAGTTCGACTAGACTTGGCGGATTTATTGATTGGCAAGGAAAGCGACTCTTCAATTATCTTGCGTTTTCTGCCAGGCTTTCCCTTCTCTACTGAAGATACTGGTGAAGAGGCTCCACCTTTATTCTTAGCCGGTCTTCCTGGCTTTCTCTTCGCCATCATTTGTTGAAATGCATTCTTTGGCGCTGGGGTAGGTTTCAAAGCAGCGTTCTTGTCTTTAATTCGAATTGCTAGTGGTATCTCGTCTTCGCTGTCAGAGTCTTCCACATGGATTTCTACTTTGACGGTAGCTTTAGCTGGATTGCTCGATTCTTTCTTGATGGTTTTGCTCCCAGTCAATCTTTCTACAACCTTTTCTTCTAGATAACTCCGCAGGTCAGCAGTCTTATCACCAATCTTGTTGTACAATTCCATCTGCTCCTTTGTCATTGGTGCATAAAGCACATATTCTCGCTTCTTCGGAAGCATGTGCTCGACATCAGCCTTTACACGTCGCAACAATAATGGCTGAAGAATTAAGTGCATCTTCTTAACTAGATCTTGTTTCATTTGATCAGCAATAAAGTCCTCCGTACCTTGCTCATCCTGCAAGTCACTAAAGTCGAACCAGCTTTCGAACATTTCCCATTGTGTAAATATTGTAGGTAAGAGGAAATTAAGTAATGACCAAAGCTCTTTCAGATTATTCTGTAATGGTGTTCCGGTGATCAAAAGACGAGTAGCAGATGTAAAAGTCCTCAGTGTTTGGAACAATTTAGACTCGGAATTCTTCATTCGGTGGCCCTCATCCTGTATTTTTTGTCAGTCATTGGAGATATCATCATGATTTTTAGACCTACAATAATGATGAATTCCCAATTGATCTTTGAGAGATCCGCATGATCCCGAAGAACAATCTCCGGACTTGTACAGACAACAGGAAACTTTTCGTCCGGACGACCATCCTTAATATGATTCAGCACCTGCGTGCGAAGAAGCTCCTTTCGGTGTGGCGGTGTGCCATGATACAATAATACCGGTACACTTGGCGTCCATTTCTGAAATTCTTCAATCCAATTCGAAAGTGTACTTAATGGTGCAATGATCAGATGCGGGCCCAAGTAATTCTCCTTTTCTCTAAGCAATGCAATAAGCGAAATTGTCTGGATTGTTTTCCCCAAGCCCATTTCATCTGCCAGGATTCCAGACATTCCTTGTATGCAAATCTCATACATCCACGTCAAACCCTCCAGCTGATATTCTCGCATCGTTCCACCCACCATACACTTGGGCTGTTCTGCCATCGTCAAATCATGTTCACCCAGCGCCTTCCCATCCATTCCACTTCCCACACGTCCCAAAACCTTTGTCTTTCCTACCAGCATTTCCCCAAACGCTGCGCTCTTACTCAGTAATTCATCCAGTTGTTTTGCCTTGGCGTCTCGTTCCCCTTTTGACTCATTGTGCTCTGCTCTCTTTCTCGCAATTGCTTTTCGTCTTCGTTCTTCTGCCTTGGAGTTTGCCACCCGTGCTTTCTCTTCTTCTTCAAATATCTTCTTTTCTTCTTCGGTGGCGAAATTTACGTCGAACTCGCAGAATTGTTCAGGCTCGGTCTCCTCGGGAGGAGAAGATGGAGCACTGGTACGCGGTTTGGAGACGGGGGTTTGTGAGCCACTCATTCTGGATTGCGAACTCATGCTTGATGGGAAACGGGGTCTTTTATTGTGGTTGTTTGTGTATGTAGTTGAGGAATTTCGTTGGGACTATATATAAAGCTGTGATCAAACTTGACTCGAGCAACCACAACAATTGAGTAACAGACAGCTATACCCTCATATATTTGGTATAAAACCCTAAATACAAGTCGATAAATCTGAAAATACTTAGTTTGGTTCACAAGCCACCTTCGAGAGTTTGAGGTTCGTACCGACGAAGTCACTCAATGACTTACAACCAATTGCCACCCAAGATCCGAAACAAAGTTTTCCGATGGTCGAGCAAAATCAATATCGGATGAGTAACCGTAAAATGAATGATGCCAGCAAATTATATAATTCGAATAACCAATGCTCAAAAGTTATAAGGGTTTTGCGATTGGCATGTATGAGACGCGTAAATTGATTTTAACGCGACGTGAAGTCATGTCGTCACTGATTGACGGGACAAAGTGTGACATGACTAGTAATCATTTACTAAAATGTCGTTCCCGGTGAGCCCCTTTTAGTCACATTTTTATGATATATCTAGATATCCTCCTATCATCCAAAATAAATAATCATCAATGAAACCATTAAGCAATAGGTACTCGATTAAAGTAATACCTCAGTAGTTAACTAAAAACCTAGTCAAAAAAAACCTAGTGTTAGATAGTTTACTCGTAAAACTTACAATCAACTAAACTTAGGTAATTCCATCCAAACATCATATCATATCGTTGATTATGGCATACACTCACCATTATGTAAATCATAAGTTATTGAAAAGTCATATGAATAATTCAGTTGACAGAAACCTCAATAAAGCATCATGACAGCAACAATTTACATTCTCAACATTCATTTTTTTCTTTTCGTCGCCAAGCTTCATATTATATATACACAGCTTCCACATGCATAGGTATCTATCGCCATCAAATTCAAAGTTATGATATAGAAGCACCAATCACTCACTGCATTCACATTAACAGTCACATTAACATTCAGATATCCAATTCCATTCTCTATCAACAGACTGCAACTGCAATATCATTTTCCATTATTCATGAATCATTGATTAATCCTGAAAAAAAAAATTAGATCCATGCATAATCATCAATCATCCCATCCCATCCCATTCCGAATATCAGAATAAGACAATCATGTAATCTCATTTTGTACCAGTATTGGTATTGGTATTGGTATAGAACCCCATCGTAGAACCCCATCGTAAAAATCCATCGTGCAAAACAGAGGACCTAAATACATCTGTACCATCCATCCATGCATAACCGTTACGTTACTAGCATTTTCCCCTTAACATATTCTATCCCCGTAGGGACGGAGTACTCTTTCTGTGTATAACTCTTGCTGCGTATGTATAATGGTCCTCCTGAGGCGATCGCCGTCGAAACGAAAAATTGTGCTAGAACTTTTGGCGTTGGGGAAAGAAAAGAAAAAAAAGGAGAAAGGCCAGGCTGAAAAGTAGACAGTTGATATGGTGAATTCGGAGAGCGAAAAAGCCAGGCTTAAAAGTAGAGAGTTGGTATGGTGAATCCGGAGAGAAAATACCAGGCTAGAAATTGACGATGATAATACCGCGCCGAGTACTCCGTGACGTTAATGTTGAATAGACAAATGATGAAGTTCACTGCCGAGATTTTAAAAGCGCAAGTACTAATAGTGGATAACAACCGTCCGATTTCTGTCGACAAAAGTTTAAAGCGATGCATAACGCTTAGCACAAGTTGTAGCATCATGCACAGGTCTGCCATCATAAAGCTCTGCGTTCAATATTCGTGCAACCTGACCCCATTTCTCGGACTCAACCTGCTTGACGACCTCAACCAATCTATTCTCCGCCTCGACAGTCCAGCCAGCTTTACGAGTCGTGGAGCCATGTGCTGCTGCACCGCCGGATCTTCTACGCTCACTCAATGGAACGAATTTCAAGCCTTGCGTGGCGAAGAGAATAGGCGCAGTGCGGTTGTAGCGTCCGTTGACACCACAAACCGTAAGACCTGGGCGCTTTCCCGCCGCCACTCGCTTTAAATTGAGGTCATCAGCAATTTGAGCGAAAGATAGGCCTTCATTCTCCTTCATATTGACAATTGCAACATTTTCTGGATCATTGGCACCATAACTTCTCTTGCCAACCTTTTCTCCCGGCGGAGGACGTGTGAGACCTCTTTTCTTGAGGTGTGCATCCGAGACTGTATCCTGATCAACTAAGACAGGTTGCTGATTGACACCCCATGGCATAACAGCTCCAGAATATCTCGATGGTGCTAAATCTTGGCTTGGGGTGCCGAAAACGATGCGAGGTTTGCCTGCATCTTTGCCACGTCGAGTTGCGGCTGGGTGGGTTCGACCGGCACCGGTGGATGCCATCTTGTTGGTTATTGGTCGTCCGCGCGATGGCTGTGAAGCCCCAGCACGCTTCTTCTCGACACGATTTGGGCGAAGAAAACCGGACTCGGAAGCAAACATATTCTCACCTTGGTCCTCGTCGTATTCCTCATCTTCGTCCATGGGTGTACCATAATCAGGGGATGGATCTTGAAGATACTCATTAGGGTCAGAGTATTCATCGTCGTCCATGTGACTATCTTGGAAGTCGGAGTTTTCAATAGCTGCATCTTCGTTATCACGGACACCTGTGAATGGATGATCGCCGCGTCGCAAGGATTGTTTGACAACTCGACCATGGACGATGGGGGTAGTCGGAGCAACGGGGATACGAGGCCCCGGAAGACCTGCCGTAACTGTGACTGGTTGGAATTGTCGGGGAGCATAACCATCGTTTTCACGGCGGTTATCCACTGCGTCGAGATCGTCACTATTATCACCATTCAGCTGAGAGCGACCCGAAACACGACGATGATTTCTACCATCGCGCTGTTGCTGTTGGTATCGACCCGCACGACGACGAACATCTCGACTAGCAGAAGGGCTGTCGAAGTCATTGATATTGGCTTGGCCACGGCGGGTCATCTCCAGAGGAGATATTGTGTCGAGACCTCCGTCATCGCTCTGTTCTTGAAAGGGGCTTGAGTAACGTTGGACATCTCGTCTGGCACGACCGATGAAGTCGTCATCAGCCTCATCTCCACTATCACTATGCTGCTGAAACGGGCCCGAGTTTCGACGAACTTCTCCATCGCCGACTTTGGATTGGTTGGCACGACGGCGATTATTCTGGCCCACAGGAGAACCCCCAGAGGCGACATTGGGTTGCTGACTCTGACCCTTCGAGACATCTGTTGAAACTTTGCTGATGCTCATATACGCTAGTGAGATGTTAGCCAAGAAGATTAGATTTGCCAATTGCCGCCAAAGGAATGAAATGATAAAATGGTATATTGGCCAGCGATGAGACTCTGCGATTCTGCTATGTCACAATGACCAACTTCGAATTTGCGGTGAGGTATCTCAACCGATAACAGGAGAGTAGCAGCGATATCCGCCTATAACATAATCATCATAGCAGTGAAGTAGCCCAATGATAGAGCAGAGGCATAGATGAAACATCATCTGGGATGGGGGTGGGATGAAAGCAGGAATATATGATAATCCATCTAAGAGTGATGCCCAAAGAGTGTAAAGGTTGTAATAGTTGACAACTCCAAAGAGCTGAAATTGTCGCAGTGTACGCACATGAATGCAAATGAAAGGAAGGATAAGGGCAATATACGATAAAGACAAAGATGGCTTTAGTAAGTTCGAAATATTGAAACGTACCATTTTGATAGTGCCCATCAGGATCAAACCCGCCCTTCCCGTGCTCTTCGGATACCTCAGTGTGATCTTGCTCCATGATAAGTGGATCAATAGGTGGCTGGGCCGGAGAGAGTTTGTTGTCAGAGGAAGATTGCGCGCTGGTGGGTGGGGTTTTCGATGTGGTAATGACAAGAGATTCGGGGGTTTCTGAAGGAGAGTCGGTTTGACGACGGCTTGTTTCAGTCATTTTGATTGTCTATTGGACCCTTTAGTAAAAGTATCAGATAATAGAAGGCGTGTTGTCAAAAAGAAAATAAAGTGTGATAGAAAGGTAGCGTTGGCAAGAAGTCCAAGGTCGGAAGTTATTGTGATTGTTGGTGTTGTTTTGTTGTTAAAGAAAAAAGGTTGTTCGCAGCAGGAGAACTCTTATGTAGATAATTCGGAGCTGCCAATCCACGCTAATCAACTATTCACCCGTAGTCATTGATGATCAAACTTTGTTAACATGGAGCACATCGTCGAATTGGAGACAAGACCCCGCAAAAACATTCACTGAAGGCGGGGTAAATATAAAGCTTGAGTTCAAATAAACTTGTGGTAAGAAAGTCGATGGTACGGCTCACTTGCACTATGGCTCAATAGCTGTTCGAGGAGCTTCCATCAAGATCAGACGGTATACACTGCCGTGCCAGACTATCATAAATAGATGAAACTTGTGGTTTGCTCGAGGATGTGCTTGGGGGGTTTGTTTTCAACACTTCGAAAAATACAACAGTGCAGCAATACGTCAAGGTCTAAACCAAGCCTTCAAGATACGACAGGATACAATAAACTACACAGTAAGGGACTAACGGTTTCCTGGAGCAGGCCAATGCTCTAAAGCAACACATGAAAGAGTGACACACCTCTGATGGGTTGTAGGATATAGGGTAGCCAGTGCCAGGCAAAATGAATCGAACACATCGAGGACTCATATTTCGAGATCTAGGTTGATAGATCCCACTCTGTGAACTAATGGGTAAGCCTTAGAGGCTTTGTTTTTATATATAAGAGAACGTAGAGGGTGGGAAACGCCAAAGTCTGATTCGCAGCTATGTCAGTCGCATTCTTCGACACGAGAGAAAAGCTTGTTAGGAAAGACTTACATGAAATCGATGTGGCTGTGAGTGATAGGAGGAAAGCACAGTGGGCTGCGATGCTCGACAACTTGTCATTCGTGGAGAGCAATAGTATTGCATTTGAATACTGTACTAAAGGTATGTATTCAAGCTAAGCCTGGATTCATTATTAGTGAATCATGAACGGTCTTTTGGTCTGAAAGATACCGACTTACCCAGAAAGTTCTGTATTCAGCAAATCATCCACTCCTATTTGCAGAGCTAATTGAGGGGTCAATGGCGTGCTAATGAACACACACTGTCAAAGACTGACTACGATTCCGAGGCGAATCAAGTCAAGGCGTAACGACAACGAACTGCCGCTGCCATAGTCCTGCCTCAGTCCTGCCTCAGTCCTGCCTCAGTCCTGCCTTTCGGATTATATGTACTGTCATCAGAAGATTCTGTATCGAACCTGCATCATCAGGATAAATTGATACAATACGTCGAGATGACGATAGCATTCACTAAATCTCGTTTCATGCGATGTAAATTTCCTAGAATGCGATAGTTTATTTCAACTTATATATGACAGTAAGTGGTTTTAAAACCTACTCTCTTAAAAGGTTCTCAAATTTGTTTGTGTCAAAAGATATGCACATAATGAGCTACGAAAGCTCAGATGTATTATCAGATATCAATGGATACATGGGTGTTTGTCTCACAAACATCACAATGAGCTGTATGGTGTCCAAAGTACTGGAGTTGTCCTTTAGTATCAATTAAGAAACCTCTTTGATTGTGCCAAACGTGCTGATAGTTTGGCAAATCTCAAGCAAACACAAAACGTTTCCAATTCTCTGCCAATCTAGTCACACCATCTTCAAGGTCCCAGCCTTTGATCTCGCAGATTTTCCGACACATATCTTCTAACATGTTGTCCATTCTATCACCAGCAATGTGGAGGTCACTCTCAACAAGTATACGGTCATTAGGCACAGCTTTAATGACTTCAATAGCCTTAGAACTAGCTGGTGAGGACATGTTGATGGCTGCTGAGAATGAAAAGAATATTTCAGCTGGGACTGAAGGGTGAAAATATTGTTTGAGAGTATCCGGAGGTCCAGAGTATGAATGGAGACAGATACGAGGAGGGAATGGTTTCTCCGTTTCATATTTTAAATATTCATCGTCATCTGTATCATCTAAGGCAGGCGGTATTCCAGCAATCTTTTTCTTCTCTCGTTTACTGACGACTCGCCGCTCATGGCCCTTCCAAGTCTCTTGTAAGGTATCAAATAGAACACCGTGCGCTTGCACACCATGAACAGACACGGATCGCTGCATTTCACCTGCAAGGTTTAACTGAGCCTTAAGAATCAACTTTTGATGGTCCATCTGGACTCGGTATGGCGTAAGGCGTCGACCTTCTCTTCCACCAGGTGTAAGTCCTGCACCTGGAGGCCCTTCAACATTCTCGGACCAATCTCTAGGCAAGCGAAACTGCTTGTCTAGTCCTATTTCTCCCACTAATGCCAGCGGATACTTTGAAAGATACTGTTTCGTTTGACGAAGAAATTCTTTTAGGGGTCGAGGATGTGGTAATGATTCCAGAAACCGTTTGTCGTCTGGTCTTGGTGTTAGAACCTTTTGATAATGATCGATCTTAAATTTCTCTGTATTAAGTAGGGATGGATCAGGCAAGTCTTTATCATCATCATCGAATATTTGATATGAGAACCAAGGATGCCATCCAAAACAAGGGATCACGCATTCCGTGCTCGGATGATCATTTGCTTGCAGCTTTTTCAGACCATAAATATTGGCAACTTGAGCAACGAGCTCTTGATCTTGTGCTCTAGTGGCCATGACAGTCAGAACTCTTGCTTTCATCGAAGGCATAGACTCGATAGAATCCATAGTATCGGTTGGATGGCAATGGGCATCATAAACACCGATATGCCAAGGAAAGTCAACATTTTCAGACATTTAGGCTGAGCTCGCCAGATAAGATGTAATAAAAGGGAGGAGGGAGATGACAGGCTCTTATCTGTGGACTGAGCCGATGAGAACTGTTTGGCTTGATAAGTGAGGTCAAAACAAACTTGTACTGACGATCTCTTAGTGCACTAGTGGACTAAGCGTTGAGCGGGTCGAACGGCCGCATCAACCACACAGACCACATAAGCAATCACCCCACACATTCACATGCAAATCATATCATGTCATATCATACTATACTAGCTAGGTAGGGTATTATATCAAACAAAGCCCCATCATGTCATGAACTTCAATCCTTCAATTTGGGAAGGAAGCGAAGTGCAGTTCAATCACTCTCGTTGATATGTTTGGATATCTGCTCAATTGGTTAGAATCATGAAGTTATTCAGCGCCTTTTACGTTATAATCTTACCCTTTCTCTTCTTCTTTACAGTTCCTATCGCAATATTCGCATCCATCACAACAACTTTCGCGTTCTGCCTCCTTTGCTTTCGAGTCGTTATCGTATACATCGAACTAGCCCTTGCCGTTATCCCATACTATCTTTGTCGACCCAAGACAGAAATCAAAGTCAAACAATCCAAAAGAGCAATTTACAACCCTCCAACTTTACCCCTTCGACGTAAGAATCGAAGAAGCAGTGCTAGCGGCAGTCAATTGGCCACTGGTTCAATTACACCAATACCAGTACGCATCTTGAAGGGTTCAGAATCAATGCTTGGGCTAGGTCAAAGCGTTGGATTTGCCAGAGATTATGAGGGTGTAGGTGGATGGCGTCTAGACACCAGCGGTTCGGATGACGATGCGTTGTGGACAAATATGAATTCTAGACTAGAACTACCCGCAAATTATGGGAGGAGACATCATCAGAGATCTTTGACGTCTAGTAGTCTGCCTTTAGAAGAGTGGAAAATGCGTAGTCCAGAGACGACTATGAATACATCAAAGACTAGGACTCCGCCTACAATAGGATCAGGGTTGGGAGGGGAGAGTTATTTCCCAACAATGACTCCGAGTCTGAAAGTCACGAAGAAACCATCTTCCGGGTCTGCATCTGGGTCATCACCTGTCAGCTCGAAGGCTAGCTCCGTCGTGAATATGAAGCAGAGATGAAGGAGTAGTGGGTTGGTTTATTGCGATTTATGACGGGAAACGGTACACAGCACGTATTTCAGGCGTTTCAATAGGGAAATTCAGGCCTTGCATTAGTCCGAATTGCAATTCAACAGCGAGGAGTTCCTCAATATACTTAGTATACTGGATTTATTGGGACCATTGAGTTTTGTATTTTTCAAAGACCGACAGCTTTTGAAATATTGAAATATGTCGATTTGGAATGCAGCCCGGACTGTTGGCAAATCCGAGGGGATATTTACGATCTTGGATTATGATGCAGGAATCTGGGTCACATGTATGAGATGATGTTTATACATTGAGATTATAGTTCATAAATTTCATACAGCGCTCTCCGTCTGCTAACCGTGGTATCAACCAAAATCGGTCTGCTGGTAATGCATTAACCAAGGATCCTAGTACCAGAACGCCAGAACAACTCCAAAACTCTTCCCAGATCATTAAGTAAACCATCTAACCCATCACTACAAAGTCTGCCAAAAGTAATTCGCGTAGAAAAAATTCGAGAACTTGTTATCCATATTCACCACATGCACATCTGCTTTTTTCCCATTTCGAATAATAGCCTTGGAGTATTCTCCACTCTCTCTATCCCTCTCAATATCAATCCCCAGCCCTCTATAGACCTTCAATTTGAGACTAATCTCATCGTCCACCTGTCCTCTCTTAACATTCTCCCCTCCTTCCATTCCCTGTTGCTCTAATTCTTGCAATCGAGCTTGGAGATCTGCAAGTTGCGAAGAGAGACGTTCGGATTCTATCTCTAAGTCACTCGCTGTCTTCGCGATGCGGAACTTTTGTGTGTCGAGAGTTGCTATTTCGGAAGCATGTGCAGTTGGGGAGTGGGTGGAGAGTGTCTCTAGGTGGTTGTTGTTGAGGGTGTTTAGGTTTCTCGATAGTTCTAGACATTATCAGTATTCAATCTTGACAATCAATTTTGAGATGCGGTTACTTACTTTTCAATGCGCTCTCTGCTTCCCTCACACGGAGATCTCGAGCTTGTTGTAATGTTGATAGAGATTCATTGATGCGCGCAACCGCGGACTTGTCGGGAACAATATTAAAATTGCCAATCGTATGACGAATAAGAGTCGCGGGGTCTTCGTCGAGAAGCATATTGTATATCTTTCAAGTAGCAAATGTGGATGAATTTATTTGATGTAGATTTGTGATTATTGTAGTGAAGGTAAAAGCCGTGGTGTTAAGTTTCCATTCCAAAGTAAACAAACCTAACGAGCCCACTTCTTGGAACGGCAACCAAAAAAAGGCAAGCCTAAAAATCTCACGGGCCGCGCCACACATGACGCCACAGTTATCAATATCAAGCAAACCTTATAGCAAAGCACCCTTCAACCACTTCAATTAAATAGCTTCATATCGCAACTTCCACATTAATTTTTGAAGAATACTAAACTCGAGGAAAACTACTTGAAGATGAGTGGTGGACTTCCATGTAAGTACAAATATGGCTACCGAAATATTGGATACCAGGCTTCATACCCTTTTTACAATATTCCTTTATACCTTTCGCCTCGAATCAGCTATGCTAACAAGACTTGTTATACTAGATGCCGCGGATGCCGAAAGGTCAGTTCTGCCGAAGGAGATAACTGTGGGAAATCCATTAAACGTTAAGTCTAATAAGATATCAGCCCGTTGAAACCCGCAGAACTCCAAGTTCTGAGAGCACAGTTTGAGAAAGAGGGCGAACATGTTGGCCTACAGACACAGTTCAACTATGCATGGGTTTGTCTATCCTTCAATTTCTATGGCCAGTCCCTGACCGAACTAGGGTTTGATCAAATCGAATATACGAAACGAACAACAAGAAGGAGTGCGTCTCCTCTCAGACATATTTCGTACATCTCCAGAACGAAGAAGGGAATGTCTCTATTACCTTGCCCTTGGCAACTACAAATTAGGAAACTACGCAGAGGCACGGCGTTATAATGATTTGTTGATGGAAAAAGAACCGGAGAATCTACAAGCGAGCAGTCTTAAGGGGCTGATCGATGATAAGGTTGCGAAGGAAGGCTTAATAGGTGTTGCTATTCTTAGTGGGGTTGCTATTGCTGCTGGAGTTGTGGGCTCGATACTTTTCAGAGGCGTGGGTAGAAACAACAGATAACGGAAAAGGACCTGAACTGAAGGCGGAATAATACCCCCAAGGCAATCGGCTGGTCGAATGCTCAGAAGGCTTGGATGAGGATGATGATGAATGTGTTTATGTATAAATTGGGGGGGTTTTGTTTGATATACCATTAGGAACGGAAGTGCAATCCTGCATCATGAGAATGACTTCACTACTCGTCTCTCAAGGTATGACTTTGAAGTGATTGTATCGATATGTTCCACTTGTATCTGTGAATCATCACTCTCAGCTTTGATTACTCAAACCTGTGTTCCTGTCTCAGCCTCGGGAGTTAGAATGAACAAGAATCTTGTCGAAAATGGTAACGTGGTAACCTTGTCCTGCAAGCAAAACCGAATTGATTTCATTGTATGAACTTTAGAAGCAGATTCAATCTTCTACAATTTACCTAATAAGGTTGATGCAGATTTCTTGTCACACATTTCAGATCTGAAAAATCTTAGATAGATTGCTCAACCTAAGCTGCTGCATAGCATAGCCTTGTCACCATCATTTAGACTCATCCACTATCAACAATCTGAACCCCCCTTCCCCGCCCCTTGTCATATTCTGACAGGAAGCCGAACAACTTTCTTTGCGTCACTGACCCCGAATTTCCGAAGATCTCAATTGCATGGGACCACCGTGACTTTGTCGGACTTCAAAGTTCAAACTTCCTTTTCCAACAACAATAACAACAATAACAACTACTAGGTACCTAGTAACTTTAACACAACCTTCAAGAAACTTCAAAAAAGGTCGCTTCTTCACCTTCTAAATAAATCTACCTATACGGTTAATTTCCAAAGCCAAAATTAGATAATCAGAATACGACATCTTCCCCATCCAACCAAATAAATTTCCGATTATCATCTTCAATCATAACGAGGCAGTTTCCCGAACTGCAGTGAAAGCTTACGCCACAATAACTGTAGGTTGATTGCACCTTGTGCTTCACGCACACATCTCAGATCAATCACACACACCGATTACGATCTGTTCAAATTCCCTGTAAATAGGGAATAAAGGTTGACAAACTTCCCCGCTCTCATTGTGAGATAGTGAGAGGTCGTAGCAAGCACGCTAAAATTAACCACTCTGGCTTTCCGAGCGCTGCGCACGACGGGCCTGGCATTATCTCTCGGTCTGACTGCCCTTGGGGCATATCAAACGATCAGAGACGCCATGGCAGATTCACGAAATACAAGTGGTGGAAATGGTAATGGTGGCGGAAGACACTTGGATGCTACGGGGGCTAGGGAAGTGGTTTACTGTCATCAGTGTGAGAATGAGTGGTATCAAGATGAACATGGCTTAGTATGTCCAGCGTGTGAGGGGGAGATCATTGAAATAGTAAGTCTGCCGAAAATTATGGCCCTTTCCTTTCCACTTTTCATTCGATCTTATTTCTGATCGTTTCATCAGGTCAATCCAACTAGCGACCCTCGTGCTGGCATGAATAATTCCCCAGATATGTCGCTATTGCGCGATCTTCAAAGCCACAATCCTTGGGCCGACGACTCAGATCCTGAAGAAGCAGATATCGAAGAACATGTTATACATGGCCCAGGTGGCAGTATTAGAGTTTCGCAAACAATAAGAGCCGGCGGACCAGGATCATCTGGAGGAGGAATAAATGGGGGTCGTCGGAGGCGGAGCCCAGGTGGCGATGGAGGAGAAGATGATACAATGCGAGATTTCCACAACATGCTAGGAAATCTAATAACTCCGAATCTAAGAGGAGGTCGTACCGGTCGGTCGGGTGAAGTCGACTTGTTTCCACGCGCCGGAGAGTTTCATATGGGTGGTGGTGGAGCTGGCGCCAGATTTGGTGGAGGTCCAGGGCCTGCTATTGTGGGTGGTCGTTATACTTTCGAAGGAAGATTCGAAAATGGTCGATTACGGCCCAGAGATGCAAACGGTCCCCAGGCTGAGGGAGCACCCGTTGAGGATTTGGCTACGTATGCTCCCCTTAATGATCCTTTTGTTGATTTCCGTGAGCTGGTGCGCCTGCGCAGAGCTCGCTCTCCTTTTATTCCCAATTTCATGAACGAGTCTCAGGTTCTACAAAACCCGGAACCCAGACCTTTTCTTCGTTCTCGTCTCGTTCAGTACCATTTTTCTTTCTGTGTTAGCATAGAGACCGTTTGCTGACCAAACTACCAGACTTATCACTCACTTGTTTACACAAATGGGTGCGGTGCCCGCGGGAGCTGGAGCAACTGGTGAAGATGGCGGAGCTCGTCATGCCGGTATGGCTCCTCCCGGTGCTATGGGCTTACCAGGACTTCTTCAATCACTGTTCAATCACCCAAATGCAGTACATGGCGACGCTGTTTATTCACAAGAGGCATTCGATCAGATCATGTCTCAATTGATGGAACAGCATCAGCAATCCAATGCACCCGGTCCTGCCCCTCCCGACGCCATCTCGGCCCTTCCAACGAAAGCTCTTGACGAAAAGATGCTTGGTCCCGAAGGTAAAGGCGAATGTAGCGTTTGCATGGACGACGTATTTCTTACTACCGAAGTTGTCGTGCTCCCTTGCAATCACTGGTTTCACGAAACCTGTGCCAGCGCCTGGCTCAGCGAACACAACACCTGTCCTATCTGTCGCAAAGGCATCGGAGCCGAAGAAGCAACTTCATCTCCTCGTCGAGCTAATACCAGAAGATCAAGCAATAACGCCACTAGCAATTCCCCAATCCTTCAATCTCCCAACTCTCCAAGTAGCCGTCGTGCTCGTCTTTCTCGTTTAAACTCGGAACAGAATGACCGAATGGCCCGAAACGAAGCTCGATTGGAAAGTATCCGAACTGGTAACTTCATGCCACCTCCTTCGGGATCTGGGTCATCACACAGAAGAGAAACGGAGAGGCAAGCAGAATGGGCACTAGAACGCGCCTTGGAGGATTCCTTTGCTCCACCTCGAAGCGAACACATGCCAGGTCATTTTCCTGGCAGCAGTGAATCGACACCTACGCCACCAACATTGGGTAGAAGAGATTCAGGTATAGGTTCGAGTACAAATGAGCAGCGAAGAGGATTTTCAAGCTCTACGTCGAGTTTTTCAAGAGAGAGACCGAGGAGTGAGAGGAGTGGAAGTGATAGCTCGGTTAGGAGAGAGGGAAATGGGAATGGTGGGTTAAGTGGCTGGTTTAGAGATCGCTGGAATAGGAGGCAGGAATAGATAGGAGGTGCTTCGCTGGAGGGATTTGAGAGTTTCTGAATTGAGACTGATAATCAAGGTAGAGGGAGTAACAATGAAGAAAGCAGTGAAAATTGCCTGACGCAATCTTTCTGCTTTCTGCTCTCCATATGGATTCTTACGTTACTACGATATGATATGATACGATACGATACTTACAAATGAAATGGCGGAAAGAAAGAAAGCGAGCATGGGCTTGATTTCTATATCATATATGCTTTTCTTGCATTGTATGTTTTCTGCAAGTTAAGAAGCTAAGATAGGCTAAATAACAATGATAGGGCTTGGCGTTTCGAGGGGGGTTTTATATCATCTTTTTTTCTTTTCTCTTGAATTTTCTTGACTTTTCTTGACTTGAGTTTTCTTTTGCAGGCGATGGGATGGAGGATGGGTGGAAATGGAGGGGTGGAAATGGAGTGGGAAGTGGGGAGTGGGAGTGAGGGGGAGGAAAGTGGGAAGTGGGAAGTGGGAAGTGGGAAGTGGGGAGTGGGGAGTGAGAGAAAGGATAGTAGAATGGAATAGCGCAGCAGAATACTCAAGTAAATAGCAAAGAATAGTTAAGCCGGCTGTTCATGTAGTTTTGTTGTTTTGTTGCTTACTTACTTGATTACTTACTTACATAGAAGTATTATGAGATGAGTTGAACCGAGAATGATGAGAATGATGAGATGAGATGATTTAGGAAAAAAGGAAGGGAAAGGAAAGGAAGTAGGGAGAGAGAGAGGGAAATGGATGGAGAATGGAGAATGGAGAATGGAGAATGGAGAATACAGAGAAATATTATATTATAATATACTCGCGAGTACTATACCCTACGTTGTTTCTTGATTGCTATTACGGAGTACTTGGTCTCGATATTTGATGTTAAATACTGTGTGATGTTACCTATGTAATGTACGAATAATGTAAAATGAAGTATGAAAAAGAAGCCTCCACTTCATCTATCTATCCACCCTTGTATCAATCACACTGCCAATTCGTACTCCATATACTCCATTCATATCCGTATCCCTATCCCTCTGCACAATTATTCGATTATGTAATTTTACTGTCATCTTTCCTTCACCTAACTCAGTACCCCTCCATTCTGAGGTTTCCTCGCTCTCGTAGTTCAAAGCGATGATTAGACTAAAATAGTACCCCTCCCCTTTCCCATTCTCTGCCTGCGATGAAGCTTGTAAATAGCCTATACATAATCACTCAGAATCTGTACTCGGGTCCTCGCTACCTGCGATCCATTTTCGCCTTGGCCGATTTCAGTCATGATTTGGATCATGCGTACTACATTTTTGTTAGCACAATTTATTCTTACGTATTATACACGTTCTTAAGGACGAGACGAGCGAGCGAACGATAAGATACGAGACGAGAATATAGAAGGAAGAAGAAAAAGTAAAGATAAACATACCAATATCCCCCTTAGCTCTCACCAACAGCGGATCCCTCCCCAACTTATCCGCCCCGTCTCCCTCACTCGCCACACTCTGCAATATATTCCCCATCGTCATGCATTCCAAAAACGCTCTATGATTGAAAACCCACCAAACCTTACTTTCACTCTCAAGGAGTTCATAGAGTAAAAAGAAAGCTTTGATGGCCTCATGGGCTGCGTCGAGAGTCCCTCTAATATTCGAAGGGACTTCAGGACTTTCGCTTGATTGTAGTAGCATTACATTATGGAAGTAATTACTGGTCAGGAAGAGAATTTGTCGTACAAGACGTTTGTTGGTTTGTGCTTGCAGAGCAATGGATTCGCGGTCCCATGAGCGAAAGGCGTCGGGTAAAGAACGGTAGACGGCGCGGAAATCGGCGAGGAGTTTGTGTTTTTGGCGGGGGTTGGCGCAGATGTGGAGATCGAGGGAGCGGGGAGAGCAAATGGCTTCTTGGGTGAGATTAGCGAGGGCCCAGCAGCCACGGATATAAGCTGTATCGTTGGGGTCACAGGCGGCGATGGAACCAGAGTCGTCGATGAGATCTTCTACGTTGACATCTGTGTGCGTTGCGCTTGGTGGGAGAGAAAGAAGGACGGTGAGAAAAGTATCTTGGAGAAGAACTGCTTGCCACAGTTTTCTACGTTGTTGCTTGTCGAAAATGGATGCATTTGGTGTCACGATGTTGGGATCGCGATGGAGACCCATGGCATATGCTTGTCGAAGCAGTATACCAGCGAAGGCCCAGCCATCAGAAGCATGATTGTCGTTAATGAGGAAATATGTAATGAGAACCATGGCTTGAAGTGAGTGCATTGACGCTTTGTTGAGATATGAACCCAATCGAAGTGATTGGTGAGCAGCAGATACATAAAATTCGGCAGTTTGCTGTTGTTCTTTGGGAGGAGAATTATTGACGAACTGAGTTCCTAAAGCCATCATGGAAAATATCATGGCAACTAGGGAGGCATCCGTTCGATCTCTTTCCGGTCCTTGTAGCGACCAGAAATGCTCGTATTCTGCATAAAAGGTTTGTTTGTGAAGCATAGGATAAACGGGGTCGACACACTCAAAGTATCTTTCCATCAAGATATCTGATTGATCCTTAGCTGGTAAAACCGAAATCACTTCCGGAAGTCCTCCTTGACATGTCCAATAATTTGCAAAGGGATGCTCTGAACCAATGCCGAAGACATTCGAGGCTTTAGGATGCGAGTAGGGTACGTTCGAAAGCAAACCGGTCGAGGAAGAAACCGAACCCCTAGATGCACTTCTTTCATTAGGATCTGGTGCCTGTCTTGATCGATTGATAATATTTCCTGCTACCGAAATGGACTTCTTTGGTGGCTTGGTCATACGCCGGGCATTTGCAACAGACCTATTTGTCTCCCTATAGCCAATTTTAGTTACCATGCAAAAATCTTGAGGATCATACGAACTCGAGAATAATTGCTACTGGATGATATTCACAATCTGATGGCCGCTTTATACCTAGGAGTCAAGTAAATATAAGTATCAAATCGGAAAAGTACCTATACTTACATGCAAGGCAATTTGGTCGACCTCGGTCGCACTAGATATGAATTAATATGGAATTATATATGAATTTGGAAGAACAAAACAACTTCAAACCAGCTATATTCATATGCATTCATATAAATACAACAGATGATAGCATGGGGATCTGAAATGTGAGATGGAGGGATTGAGTAGAATGATAGGTTACAGCAGTACAACCGAGTAATAGGCCCCATCTTCGCCCATTTTCTCAAATGCAAATTAAATGCATTGATCAATTGAAAGGGCTTGTCGCTGAGGAGAGAAATCTTGATGCATTCATCTTTTACCAAATCAGACCATAATATGCAAGTGTAGTAAAGAGTAGAAGCAACTTTGCCGGAAACCTTACTATGAACGCAATCGAAAGTCCAAATTCCATGAGTTGAAAAAGATGTTGTTAAAACTAACCTTTGTTTTGCGTTCTACACACTCTACACAAGACAAAGTAGGTTTGTTACGCTTTTGCCTCTTCTTTGGAGGTTGTGTCGCCGATCCATCTGATCCATCTTCTGCCTGTAGAGGACTTGTTCCTGGAGATAGTTTGAAAGTTGTATTTGAGACTGGCGTGGGAGTTGTAGAAGCATATGCATTATATACAAGTGCAGGGGAGAGATGTCCAATAGGTATAGCTTTTTGGTCCATTTTCCTTCCTACAGGATGCAGTTCGCCAGTTCGCCAAGTTCCCCTGTACCGGTCGAGTCGGTGTGTGTACCTTGGCTTACGAGATATAAAATATTTCCGACGTTTTAATGTTGTTTCCCTGGGATGAATGTACAGTACATGTACCGCACAGGAGAGAAATTGGTTGATGGAAATAAGAGTATAATATGCGAAGATAATGCGATTGTTCGGGAATATTGGAAATAGGTAGAGTAGAATATAATTCACTTCTCCTGAATAAGCAAAAAGCGGGGAAGTCGCCATCCAAACGAAACTCAAAAATCGGTTGACCGAATTGAGCTGAAAGGATATAGATTCACGTGATGAATATGAATAAAATAACTATTACCAGTAATATGAACTTATGAAGGTATTGGTTGATATTTGACTTTTTGACTAGGGAAATTCACCAAAGATGAGATGAATTGAAGGGGTAAAATGATGTCTTTCGCAGAAGTTACCTATATAAAGATTACATAACCTTATTTACATCGGACAAGCATCTTATTTATGATTATGTAATATTCCAGCTTTTAGCGCTTTCACGTCGCGTTACCATAAACGCGCGTTGGTTCGTGCTGGACCGCTTGGTTTAAGATAAGGGAATTCAGCAATCGATATATGGAATTTAAGATAAATTCGATGGACTTTACATCAACACCAGATTTTCCTCCAACATCTGATCCAGCATTATTAGAAGATTGGGAGGAATCATTTGACCCTCTGATTTTACCATTAAATACTAAATCGGACGAATTCGAAGCATTACATTTGTTTGAAGAGGAAACTCGGCTGAGGAAGAATAGAGAAAAGGAGGTTATTCAACATAGAGCTTGGAAAGTTGCAGAGGTCTTTCGAAGCGAAGCAGATCATATTCAGGGTAGGGTCCCGTCTTTTTGAGAAGGGTTATGGACAATCTAATCTGGAATCGTCCACAGAAACACCAATTCGAATAAAATCCTCGAAGCAGCAGCATTCCTTTTTCATACCCTCCTCCCCGCCAGATCTCAAAATGCCTTTAATATCGTCGCCAATCGAATACCCTCCGAGTTCCTCACCACCTGCGGTGAAAAGACCACATCCAGTCAAAGCATCAGACCTTCGAAGGCCACTTAAGATTGGAGGGTTTCTGCTAGATGATGGCTCAGATATGGAGGAAGACTTTGAGCAACCTGCAGCTAAACGAAGAATGACTGAGAAACCAGCAAGTCCGATACTTGTACCAGAAGAAGATCCACAAAAAGACTCCGCAAACGATTATGAAAGCCGACCACAACCACCGAAAATTGGACCACGTAAGACTGTTAGTGGTTTCATGATTTACGATGATGACGAGGAGGACGATGAGGATTCAAGGGTGGAGATTTTGCGAGAGACGCAATTACTACAACCGGACTTTGAACCTACGACACATTCCCATGGGGGCAATAATCATACTTCAACATTGCCAGCTTTTCTCAACAATAAAACAACAAAAGCTGGAGATATACAAACATGCTCGGGGAAATCCTTTTCGATTAACTTGAAGAAGAAAGCTGCACCTATCCCATTCGAGAAATTGGTAGCAGCAAGATCTACCACAAAGGCTGGACGAGCAAAGAAGAGTTACTATGGGATAAATATACATGAATTGGTCGAGGAAGCTTCGAAAGAGACTAAGGCGAGGGAATTACGAAAAGCCGAAACCGACAACAAAATCATACCTTCGATCGAGAACTTCGCAGGGAAAAAACCTCGCAAGTCATTGATGTGGACCGAAAAGTATCGGGCGAGACATTTCATGGAACTTTGTGGGGATGATCGCACCCATCGTCAAGTACTACGATGGCTCAAAGCCTGGGATCCTATTGTTTTTCCTAAATCCGGAAAGCCTAAAGTTGCGCCGACGAAGAAATTTGGGGAACCAGATGATGAAAAACCTCATCGCAAAATTTTGATGCTTACCGGACCTCCCGGTCTTGGTAAAACTACTTTGGCACATGTTTGTGCAAGACAAGCTGGATACGAAGTCATGGAAATCAATGCCAGTGATGAACGAAGTCGCGATGTGGTGAAGGGTCGAATTCGAACGAGTGTTGGTACGGAAAGTGTCAAGACTGGTTCGACTGTTACGTCCAAGTCCGGACACGTATCGAAAAATGCCCATCCACTTTGTGTGGTTGTTGACGAAGTCGATGGAGTTGTAGGAGGTGCCGGTGGATCGGGTGAAGGTGGATTTATCAAAGCTTTGATTGATCTAGTACTTCTGGATCAGAAGAATTCTTCGACAGTGAAGACGAATACGAACTACTCAAAGAAGAAAGGTGATGATTTCCGACTCATGAGACCACTAATCTTGATCTGCAACGATGTGTATCATCCATCTCTACGACCGCTACGCAATTCGAGTTTCGCCGAAGTCATACACATCCGAAAGCCACCATTAGATGCTGTCGTACAGCGGATGCAAGCAGTTTTCGAGAAGGAGGGGGTAACCTGCGACAATGACGCTATCCGTCGGTTATGTGAAGCAACGTGGGGAATAAGTCCCATGGATGCTAAGAAAGGAGGTGAAGGAACCGGCGAAGGCGATCTACGAAGCATCATGGTAGTTGGAGAATGGGCAGCAGGAAAACTCAAAACCGAGTCCAAAGGCCAAAGACCTCGCCTGACTCGAAAATGGGTTGAACAGAACATGACTGGCGATCTATCCCACGGCGGGGGTGGCTCTCGCGCTGTTGGACGAGGAGGTACCAAAGAAGTCGTGAATCGTGTCTTCCTCGAGGGTGCTGGTTTCCCTCGGCCTACAAGCTTCAAAGACATAATTCCCGATGATACTTTTAATTCAGAGCCCAAGACCCAACTTGGTGTTGCCGAGCTTGTCCGTAAAGCAGGTATGGATCGTCTAGGATCCATGATCGAGACTAGCGGCGACACTGATAGGATTATGACTGATATCTTTGGCGAATATCCCAATCAACCCTTCAACGACGATTCCATACTCTCTAAACCCGATGCTGCATACGAGTGGCTTCATTTCCACGATAGTTGTTCATCGCGCGTCTTTTCTGGTCAGGCGTGGGAGTTGGCGGGATATCTCACACAACCCGTTTTAGCATGGCATCACTTATTTGCCTCGCCTGCTCGTCACTATTTCCGGTCCGACTATCAACCCAACAAGAAATGGAATAAAAATGACGAAGATGCTGAACCGGAAGCTGAACCCTTACCATTCACTGGCCCTCGCGCAGATTTCTCTGCCTTTGAAACGGAAAAATTAAATCGGAGTACTATTCAAGAACTACAATCCCAACTCGACGCCAAACTTCTGAGAAGTTTTCGAAGTTGCGAGGATATCGCTATGGATTTGTTGCCGTATGTTGTGCGCATCATCAGTCCGGAGGTCAAACCCATTATTGTAGGAGGAAGCGGTGAAACGAAAGGTATAGCTAGTGTTCGCAAGGATACGGAAAAAAGAATGGTCAAGAGAGCTGTGGATGTGATGAGTGAAATCGGTGTCGTGTTTGAAAGAGGAAGATTGGAGGGTAGTGATTCGGGAGCGGGGAAATGGGGGGCGAGTGAGTGGGTTTATAGGATGGAACCGCCGCTTGATACTTTGGTTACTTTTCTCACGTCGCCTTCACGGTCTGATGCGACCTCGGTTCGTTATGCGGTTCGTCAGGTGCTGGATCAGGAATATCAGAAGAATATCATTGTAAGAGAAAACGCAGCGAGGCAGGCGAGGTATAAAGCGGGGAATGTTGATGGAGGGGATGAGGAGTACTCGTTTGAGAAGGGGAAATTCGGAAAGGGGAAGAGTGAGAGGAAAGCGTTGGGAGCAGGGACGGGAAATCTTGTAAAGAAGGATTTCTTTGGGAGAGTTTTGGAAGATAGAGTACTAGGGAATAGGGATGGTAATGCTGGGGGTGGGGAGAATCGTTCAAGTGGAGAGAAGGGGAGGGAAGAAAAGAAGGTTTGGGTTACGTTTCATGAGGGTTTCTCAAATGCGGTTAGGAAACCTATTACGATTGGGGAATTGATGAGGGGGTTATAGGGCTTTTGGGGAGTGAGATTAAGTGATGTGAGATTGATTGTACAGTATAGATATAGATACCTTGAGAAGAAATAATGAATCCCAGCTACTATACCATCACACCCCACCTCTTTTAGCCGAGAACGCAAACTAGTCAAACAGAGGGGGGTGGGCGGGAGTTGAATTTGAAAGAGCTATGAATGAACGATACTTTGAAATTTTAGTCATAGTAGGAAACCGATTCCATATTAGACATTTAGACATTTTAGATCGGCAGTGGACTAATGCGGTATCGAGAATTAAGAAACGATAGGCAAAGCCAGGGAGGGTACTAATTCATATTCATCAACAAGACTGCTCAAACACATAATGAAATGCCTTGAAAGAATCTCAACCTTTGACTTAGCGGTTCCCAAGACAAAACCTTATTCTAGCTTATCGATACAATCGAGGATATCGAATATATCATGCTCCACTCGAGTACTTTCCTACCCTTTCGTGCTATTCTCTCTACATATGCTCTATATATTGAAACTTTGGGGCTATTAAAGTCACCTCTTAAGGCCTGGTCTTCCATGATATCTGCCAAACCTGGCTCTCCACACTTGTGGTCCAACAGAATCATTTTATTCAAATCATGACCATGAGTTCGCCTTGTTGGTTCCACTCTGAATCTCGCGGGGACAGAGTTCACTATGAACAATAAGGGATAATTCCCGGTGTAAAGAGTGCTAAAATTCAATACCATATACTATCAGGCAAAAGTCTTTCGAACTCATTTTAATCCCCATGCTTCGAAAAATACCTTCATATTTCAAGAGAGCACCGCAGGCGGCGCGGTCTCCGCACAGACAGACACCTACCGTAGCCACCAAAACTTACTCGTATATGATATCCAGTTCATTGATAAGGACTTCTCAGTGATCGCCGGATGCATTTTGAGCAGGAATCGTTGTTGCGGTGTATTTATGGTTATCGCTCGAAGACGAGGAGATATAAATAGACATGTATCATACTGCCGATTTATTTTCATTTCTGTTTTGTCATTGATTGTTGAGAAAGTTCAGGTGGGATGATGGCACGGTGTGAGACGACATGAGATGGTTTGATATGTGACAAGGGGGAAATAAGAAAACAAATTTGTAGATAAACATCAAGTAGAACCATTAGGATCACGAGATGTCATTTTGATGGTCGTGATGGAATGTTTGATACTGAGCCATTTGAATTATTCCAACGTAATGACCCAAATGTCCAATCTCTAGAAGTTCAGGGCAGTTCAATTCAATCGTTCATCATCATGTTTGTGGTGACCGCCCATTTCTCCTCTGCATCCTGAACCAGAGTCAGGACCAATATCCCTCATCTTCCGGCTCCGTCCCTGTTCCTCTCATCTCAGTAGCTTCTTGGCATCTCTAACAACCTGTTAGATCATGTTAAACTACTGGGCCCAATAGTATTCACCTCGCATAGTCCTTTCGTATCTTCAATCTCTTGTCTCAGGAATACACCGCCGCAATCTTTGGATGGCTTGTTGCACGGAACATCTAGCGAGGTGCTATGGTGGCCACATTCGAATAATCGGATGACTTGATAGCACATTGCGATTGCTTGGAAAGTGTCTTGCAGCGGTCGAGGAGGTTGTTTAGCAGGTGTTGTAGATCGTGGTAGCTGCTGAATGGTCGTTCGTAAAGCGGAGCGGATCTTGTGGAGAAGAAGAGAAGAATATACATAAGCCCCTCTCAGCCCTCTTACCCCACAGAGATCTGATCTATCTACAGCACAAATATTGTCATCTGTGAAGCAAAGATATCAATCTACTTGCTGAAGCGATTGCCCCTCTTCCCGCAATCCAAAAGCAAACAACCTGTCCTATGTTTACTTCCGTAAAGTGGGCTAAAATTTTGTCGCACCAAACATGATGTTTCAATAATTGATAGCCGCTCCCTTGTGTGTCAAAATGGCTTCCTTTTCATTCCGACCACCACCAGTATATTGCATCTCAACCTCTAAACCTCCCAAACCTTCGTCTGCCGCTTTCCGGTTCCACAGCATCTGCATGATCTTTCCATCCGATCCGCAGAGTACATAGCCCATCGGCCATCGACTTCTGCCTAGAGTTTCTCTCACACCTTTGGTAGCTGCTTGCTGCGAAACTAGAAATGCTAATACACTAGTTGTTCTCCATCCTTGCGGGGCGCCTACAAAAGTCCCTTCTAGCTCTCGAGCTTGCGCGGGTCTGAGTTTGCCTGCAAATGCTTTGCATTGTATGAGGACTTTCAAAGGCTGGAGCGCGGTGGGCAATGACCATGTCCCAAGTAGATCAATTCCACAATCTGATTTTCCACCAACCTGCTTGAGGGACATTCCCAATCGCTCTAGAGATTGTTTGACCGTATATTCATAATGAGTTCCCACATATGTAGTACTGCTCGTGTCCATATTGTTGCGTGATACATATTCCAGAAAACTGGGCAGGTCGTGATGCTCTGCACGCGGTGAGTCAGGATATGTTAACTCATCCACTTCTTCAATGATAGTTTCAGGTGCAGTTGCAGTTGCAGTTGCACTGTTTGCAAAACATCTGCGTGATGATTGCCTTCCCAGTCGAAAGAGACGCAACTGAGAACGTGGTGAAAACATGGAGAATTGGCTGCGTTTGCTAATATCATGTGACTAGCATGATTCTACGCACTGTAGTTCGTTCTATGTGATGCAAAACGGGAGTAGAAGAGGACTTTGTTGGGTACCTGCATGCACTCCATCGGAAGGAAGAAGAGCGCAGGAATATATATGTATCTTAAGAAGGTTCCTGGATGATTTTTTTGATAGCGATGCACGGAAGTCGGAAATTATGCAAGGCTACGCCAATCCCTTTTTAGTCAGCTCCCCGCAAAAGATTATCTGCAAGGCTGATGATCATGCAACCTCAGAATCATCTTCCTCTGAAGTCCATCAACATCGAATTCCTGTTCTTCTTCCAGTAATTAGTTATGGCCGACCGGTTAACTCAACTTCAAAACGCTATTGATGAGGTCTAGCTCACTATTCTAATACATTGTCATTTTTCCTGTTTGCTGACTTTCTCCAGCTCGCCCTTCAATTTGTCGCATCACTCGTCTGGGTAAACAAGCACCATGACTATCAAGCTCTCAGTCCTAGCGACATTGTCCGAAAAGACACCAAGAAAGACGAAGCGGGTGAAGCAATGTCAAATGAAGATGGTTGTGCGTAATCCTCCATTTCTTCTCTGCGGACTTCACTCACCTCTTTAAAGTAGAACCCTTACCTGCGGACAAATTCGAAGAAGGCCAGCGGGAATTGGCACAGGATCTTATTATCAAGGAACAACAAATTGAGATGCTTATCACTTCACTGCCGGGCTTAGAAAATAGCGAGAACGATCAACAGCAGACGATTCAACGATTGGAGCGGGAACTGCAAGTGGAAGAAGAGAGGAGGAAAGAAGCCCTGAAGGAGAAAGAGGCTATTCTGGCTAAATTGGACGAAGTTATAAGAAGTGTGCAGAGACCATAGGTGGATCGGCATGGATCACATTCGAATAAATCTACACCTGCATAATGTGGCGTTTGGGTAAGCACAAGGAGTTTAGGAATATGGAATTAGTGAGGCTATGGTCTTTGTGGGCTTTCAAATGTGAACAAGTCTACGAATATGGGGGCACCGCGAACTGTCCCAAAATTTCGGGCAACTATTAAGTAAGACGATTATCCCGGACTCGCTGCATTGGCCTAGACACACAATGTTAATCAGATCGGACTGCGACCCTAAGCACCCTTGATTGATGATTGAAGAGTGTCTCGCTCGATAGGAAGGCCGAATTATGGAACTGTTCAATAAGGGAGGGAAGACCCTTGGGGCGTTTGTATCTCAGGAAAATTGGGGTTTCTTTGGAGACGATTGGCTTGGGAAATTATATTTATTAGTCTTGATCTAGTCTATTCTACGGAAGAACAAACTTCGTTCTCTAGTCGTCCGCCCGATTAATGAAAACTATTTCTCTAGGGGGTGTTGTATGATTCTCAGCACATCCTCGACACATCACGTAGTAGTAAAGAATTGTGGGTAAACGTTCCTGAGCTCCTCCAAAGTGCTGATCTGGGAATTGGCTACTGGCTTAGCAGGCGATTCAACACCATTCTCAACCAAATGAGTCGCTGTCCAACCAAGTTTATGAGCTGCCTTGCAGTTTATGAGCGAGTCATCTGGATGTGTAAGTAGTAATATCAATAATTCGGGATTAGAAAGTGCCTACCAACAAAATAACAATCTTTGTAATCCTTAACTCCAGCTTCGCTCATGGCCTTCTCAAATGACTCTTTGTAAGGTTTGCAAATCATCTTCTCCTGGGCATAATCACAGTATGTCATACCCTCAAACATGTCCTCCACACCCAGTAAGCGGACAACACGTCTTCCATGAGTAACATAGGCATTGGTGAAGAGCCAGAGCTTGACCTTGGACCGATCGATGTCCTCGAGAAGCTTACGCAGCTTAGGATCTGGCGAGAGAATTTCTTCTAAGGGTACGGCATCATCTACTTGACGATTGTATTCCAGAGCATCAATCTTGTGATGGCGTACTAAACCTTCGATGGCGAGACCGTATGTTTGGTAGTACTCTTGATGGAGATTGAAGGCATCTTCTTGACTGAGCTCTAGATGTTTCATGAAATAAGTATCGATCAAGCCGGTCATATGGTCATGGACGTTGTTGCCTAAGTGTGATCCGTCAGTTGCTGTAGGGAAGATCATATAGCAGTGGCAAGAAAAAGGTTCATACTCTTAGAATATAGCTGTAGTATGATTAGCAATCATGAAAGTAAATGGAATAATAAGTATTATCTTACACAATTGTCAATATCAAAGAAGAATAGAGGTCGTAAATCCCGCATCTTGTTGGTGAGATGAGAATTAACAGAGGTCTGTTTAAAGGAAGTAGTAATGGATCTAGTTGCTCTAGGAATGGTGTAAGTGTAAGTTGTAGGACGTGAAAGAAAAATGTGAACTCTGGCACACTTAAGAAAACTGTATGAGTACATCTATTAACAAAACTAAAAGAGAGTGTTCTGGCTGGCTCGGGTTATGATAATTGTCTTCTACAGAGTAGAAGAGTAAAGAGTAAAGAGCCATGTCGGAGTATATTGATGCCGACCTGATTGGGCATTCAACTTCAAGTACTTGACCGACCGACCGACCAACCAACCAACCAACCAACCCGTATCCATCCAGAACTGTCCATCCAATTGAAAATCAATACAGTCACCCCCTGTGTAGGTACCATTGGATGGATGGGAAAAACTATGCTTAGTCATACACAAATTGGGACTAACTTGCTAACCAACCTTTAATTTTCTAGCCGACATTCTTACTCTTCAATCAAACTTCGTCAACAATCCAATACGAATAATTAATTATTCAAACACAACTTGGCAATTATAGTCAATCTTTAATTCATTTGTTAGAGTTCGAGTTCAATATTTGCAGATGCAAGCAGTCAATTTTTCATATTCTTAATTAATTCAATTGCTCGCTTTCTCAATCATGGCCCAAGGGGCTGTTGCTTTTGTGCCGACCAATGGCACAAATGGTGTAACACTGACAACAGAGAATATTCGTGAAATTCAGGAGTACGAGAAGATAATTTCATTTCGAGATGCTATTCTCGCAGGAACTCATCCGCGCGTCAAAGTTCCTTCTCATATTATAGGAGTGGGAAAACAGAGCAGTTTGGCTCGTAATATTCCATCGTCCAATACATCAGCAATGCACGCAAATGCGCAAGCTGCCATCGACTCGGCGCCGTCCTCGAATAATCATTCACCGGTCAATTATCGTGCTGCCGCGGCGAATGGCCACGTTGCGAAACAGTCTGTATCTACGATTTCTACTAAATCTGTGAAAGCTTCAGAGATTAATCCAATTCTATTGGAAAAATCTGACGATCTTATAAAGGCGGAAATACAATTGACGAGGCAGAGGTTGGAAAGAGGTCTCAGGGATCAAATGGACCAACATCGTCTGGCTCAGAAAGCTTTGCTTCAGACATCTGAATCCCTCCCCGATTTTGATCTTACCGAAGTCTTGCAAAAGGCTCTTGCTATAGTTCATCCCGCCACGGCTCCAGAAGTCGAACCTTCTATTGTTGCTGGAAGTGATTCGTTTGATGAAAATTCTTTCTATTCTAGTCAGCATGATACCCCAGAGCCATCCAATTCATCGCATAGCCACAAACCAACCCTCAATGGGCAAGTACGCGGTGAGGTATCGATTGAAGCGCGGACAGCTCAGACTGATCCTGCCACCATTCAAGTTGAAGACAATGAAGTGGTTATGATTGGTAGTTCACTATCCCAAGATAACCATTTAGCATCTCAAAGGCAGTCACAATCACAGTATCGTCCACTAGGAAATCTGAACAACTACCCCACTGAACAACAATCTCCAAATGACTATCGTGGAAAAGTCACCCAAATACCACCACATCTTAGGGGCGTGCAACGTAGAGTATCGGCCATTGTTGATCTTTCCCAGGACAGTACAGGTTCTGACAGCGCGGGTTCTCAGCAGTTGAGTGATCGAGTGGCCCCGCCAAAGGCACGCGATATCGATGTGCAGCAACCGCTTAACCACCGAGCCCATAACCTATCTCCCTTTGCACCACAACCCGCTCGAGTTTCACCATTAGCTACTGCAAGAGATCCTCCCATCCTGCGAGATGCCCTTCCTGTTGATGAGGCACAACCACCTCAGGTTGCTGCACTCCGAAATGCGGCTTCGGGCTTATCAAGTGCAGAGAGTTCCCCTAGTGGGCGTGCGCGCAGGATGACAAATAAGAAGAGGGGAAAGAAGAAGAAGCGTAAGGCTATTGACAGTGGTCAAATCGATACACCAGATTCCCCGTACATTAAGGTAGAGCCTCGCTCACAATCTCCTATTACTGCTGCACCTTTGCCACGGCCACAAAAGAGACAGCGACAGTCTGGTCAACACGCGGAGCTTAACTATGATGAGGCTAGGTATGAGCCAGTCGAGGTGGTCCCAGAAGCTGCCCCTAAAAAATACGAAGACGCTCGAGCTTCTGCGCGTTACGAGGATCGTTATGTGGATCGATATGGAGAAGTTCGACGACCCGAGCCTGTATATCAGCGTGTGGAGCGGGATGAAGCGGAATATCAAAGAGTTGATAGTGGAGGACAGTATACAAGACGACAAGCATCTCCAGTTTATGCTTTACCATACTCTCGACCAATTAGAGAAAGCTCTCATGCCATCGTGGACCGACAAATTATGGAGGAACCTAGATATTACGCGGAAAGAGAGCGACCTGCATTGTCCAGAATGAGCGTTCGCCCAGATGCTGATCGCGAGAGATCTCGCTCACCAATTATGAGAGAAAGAAGATCACCGATTCCGATGGGACCCCCACGCCAACCTGTTAGGATTATTGTTGATGCATACGGCCGTGAGTATATCGATCCTGCACCCGCACCTCCCATGCGTCAATCGGTTGCTCCAATTGCCCGGAGGCATGATGACGGAGAACTTTATTACGAGCGAGCCCCTGTCAGAACAATGTCCACTCGCCCACCTGTGGAGACGTTTGAAGAGGATGGAGTATTATACAGGAGAGCTTCTCCCGTCCTTGCCGCCCCACGACGTATCATTACACAACCAGAGTACGCCCATCCAGAATATCGTTCTTACCGTGAACGTGAATATTCCGTACGACCAACTCCGATGGGACCACCAGGAGAAGACTATGTGAGAGTTAGAGCCCAACCTGAACGTCGTCAGGTTAGCCAATTTGAGGAAGTTCCTCGTGAGTATATGTCTCGACCACAGAGTGTTCGACCAGAAGCTATTAGATATGAGGTACCAAGAGAGTATGTTGGAAGACTTCCAAGTGTCCGGCCCGAAGCGTCTCTTAGGGAATATGCCCCAAGCGTTCACCCAGAAGTTCGTCGGGAAATTATGGCTCCTCCACGTCGGGAGTTCAGCGTTCGTCCTACGGATATAATCCCTCGTAGTCATCAACCGACGGCAGCAGAAGGGGATAGATACTACGAAGTAGAGAATCAGGGGCCGGCTATTGTTGAGCGACCCCGGGACAGGGAAGGTTCAGTGTTTATTTATGCGGATGATATTCCAAGGAAAGTTTATCGTTGATAGCTGTAATAATTGATGAAAGCCAAGACCCGGTCTAGCGGCAACTCATCCGGCAGCCTGTTCCGAGTCGAATGTGGCTGGTGTTGCACTACCGGATGTGGTGGAGAAAGTGCAGGTCTACAGTAGCGCAACGGATTTGGGGACATTTTGTACCAATGATTCCCTGTCACAGCAGTCTTAATTTTGGATATCGAGATGGTAGATTATATTATTGATTATCAAATAATTACAATGTATATTTAATCCACACATTATGCCATCAAGTTTGAAGAATAGACCGGATTTTTTCACATATGTCTAACTCAATCAATGATCATCGTGGTGAAGAGTCCAATGGCCAATTTGTTTAGTATCATACCCAACTAAATCATATCACATCACATCATAGTAGGTAGATACATGATCCAAGATCCAAGATCGTAAGTAAGTAAGTAGGTATGTAGATCAACACAACACAACATAATGCAAGTGTAAGCTACCTAGGCGTAAAGCCTTGGGAATCTAGAACGTATTTTGGGCTTGAGTTTGGATTTGAGTTTGAAAGTTTGAAAGTTTGAAGTTGGATTTGGATTTGCCAAGGTGAGGGGATGGATGGATGGGTAGGTTGGTTGGTGGGTTAGTTAGTGGGTGAGTGAGTGAGTGATTTTTTTTTTTTAGTTAGCTGGTAGAGCTAGTAGTAGTAGTTGATAGGGGCTGGGGTTTGGAGTTGGAGTTGAGTTGGATGATCTCTATGTTGTGAAGTTCGTGTGTGAAGTTGTGAAGTTGTGATGTAATCGGAGGGGGGAGGCAAAAGAGGCAAAGAGGGAAAGAGGCGAAGAAGTAAAAGGTTAGTTGGGATTTAGGTCGATGGGTAGTATGGTGGTGGTGATGGAGGGATGGAGGGATTAATAGAGGGAGGTTGTGTGGGAGTGTAGTGATGAGGTGGTGATGATCATTACGGTCCTTGATTTTTGTGGGGGGATATTTACTTTTGGGAGGGGGACGGGGGATCTGGGGGTGATGATTTGTTTTGAAACGGAACGGATTTGATGTGAGTTTTTTGTTCTTTTTTGGGGGGGAAAGGCGGGAGACACACAAACTTTCAATGTTCCTTTTGAATATGAGAGATTGTATCGGTATGATATTGGGCCTTTCGGGAATCCTTACTTACTTGCAATAGGTGGTTTGTGATATAGTGGTATAGAGAAAGCTACGCGATATAACTCGAGTTGTATATTATTGATGAATGAATACATGTGGGCGTGTTGCAATACGGTGGTTTATTGATATGCGGACTAGAACTTAGTATATGTAATAATATGTGGAGAGTACCTAGGTACTTAGTGGAGTAACGTATGCTTTAGAGCGGCGATGATGGAGGGATTTTCTGGGTATATATGGGTGGGTATCCACTTGTATTTTTATAGGTATATTGGTGATGATGATGTATTGATGATGATGTAGATAGGTAAATGTGTTGTTGATTGAAGATACTTGAGTATGTATTATTATATATAGTGATCAGTGAGTAGGTATTGATTAATATTATTGAGAACAGAGAAGTAGTGACAGTTAGAAAGGAGTTTTTGATTTTTTTGAGTTCTGTCTACTCAGTTAGAGAGGTGAAGAAGTTATGTTATTGATTATTCATCAATTATATGATGTGGGTGGGCACTGGGTAGGTATGACAAGTTGTTGTTGAAGATCTTGAACTCTTAATACCTACCTAGTAAGTTGGTGGTGTACCGGTATCAAACAATTAATGATACGATATCAGATTGTTTAGAATACCTATCTACTACATAGATATCAACAACACATTCATCTACAAAGTACTCGAACGGTCCATTGATGTCGATCCCTTGCTGTTCGTCATTGACTTCTGCTTAGCGAGTATAGTATTTGGATTATCTGCCTTGTTGTTCATTCAGATAGATACTAACTAGGTCTTGTCTTGGCTCTTCAAAGTTCCTCTTCCTCCAATCACATCCAGAATTCTTCAGGCTTTTCTGAACATTATTTACGCTCAGACGATTGCCTTTTTTTTCGATACATCGAGGTGAGAAATGAATTGGGGATAGCCTATGTGGGAGTTTACAACCCAACCCATACATTCGTTTATTGGCGAAGCCGAATCAAGTCGAATATCGAGAATTATAGGTTTTTGGGTGGATTGCACGCGCATTTCTCTTTGTATCCTTCCTTTGTGTGTGCCTTTGAACACAACGAACAAGAGAAGAGATTCAAACTCACTCGATACTTGATGCCCTTGCTTATCTACCTACCTCGCTCGATAACAATACTATTGGGCCGAGACTTCACCAATTCAATTGGATGGCAAGTGATGGCGAGTTGAATGACAACGATACCTGTAGCTCTAATAAGACTACTGCTGCTCTGTACGATATTGGGATAGTACCAAAGTGTGAAGTGGGAACTTGAATAAGATACTTTTTACTATACAAAACTTTAATTCCTTGATAGAACAACATGGAGCACCGATAACCATGTATGTCTCTTGGAACATTCTCTCTACCTCTGTATATCACATACAAATCCCACTAGTGCAAATCATACCAATATCGATACTCCAACTTCAATACCTACTTATCTTTCCACTACTACTAAGATATACATGCATGTCTGCTATTGGTGGTGTTGTGTAACCATTTCATTTCCTCAAAACCTTCTTGGAGATACAATACTACAGACACCCCAACAATTCGAGAATTGATGAGACTACTTTGTAATTGACAATAATCAATAACAATATTGCATCACTTTTCTCAATTCAATTCACCTATTAACTTTTTCTACCTACCTATCTACATTCGCTTCGATTCCCCTCACATTACAGCCCTCTCTCTCCTCTTTACATTTACCTCTTTACCTTTCATCCTCATATTAACCTCTTCTCTCCACTTCACTTCACATATATACTGCTTGCTACTTTATATTGCTTTGTCTCTGGCTGCTTTATCAATTCTTCTTCTTGTCTTTCCCAAGTCAATTTCAATTCATCATAACTCCCCATCAGCCCAAAATTCTCGCTTGTCATTACCGAACCGGCCTGGCTCCGTTCACTCAGCTTACTTCTATCAAAAGCAGCAGGAGCCCAGTCTTTCTCTTACATTATCTCTGGTACCCCAAATATCTTATTTGGTCTAATTCCCTTTGACCTTCTTCGACCTCCACATCTCATCTTCCCCCCCCTCTCCCCAATTTGTGTGGTCGAGTTTGTCAACAACATTATCGGAAACACACAATAAGGATGAATAAATTATCAAACCTCGGCCGCGATATGAGGCACTGGTCAGGCCCAGGATTCGGCATGTCGCGACAGAATCAAATGAATGGCATGTCCTCAATGCCGCCTCATACAAAACCGACACCTACACCAATACTGGCACCGACCCCTGCGGACTCTACTATCCACTATTCATTCAACATTCCCTTCGCTTCCGATCTCGCCGGCCCAAACACGGAGGACATCCTTTACGCTACAGCCCATGCGGTTCTCAGATGGACACATCCCGAAGACGCGCCTGATGACATTCCAGTATGGAAATTGCCCGTACATACCTCAAATATCGAAATTCTCACGAAGCTTTGCGCAGATATCTCCAATGGCCCGTTGCCAGTTGCGGCAGATGTCGCCGTCACCACGCCCAAGCGTCCCGGTGCCTCCCCAGCACAAGTGACGACTGTCACTCTCTCGGGAAGCCCGGAATTGGTACACAAGAGCAGAGAGACGATCTTGAATGATACTCCTATCGCATTGGTAAGGCATATACTGTTGTTTTTGTGAATTTTAGAGTACTGACGCGTACGTAGCGTTGTGCAGTTGTCGACGTCGACGGAGATTTGATTCTCGATTCCGCAAAGTCAGGCTTTAAGACATCCGTCATTGAACATCTGGATCAGGTCGCTGCGTTCTGCGGAGTTGATATATTCCTACTAGGTCCGAAATTCACCTCCTCGTTGACTGATGGGCTCAGCAGTAATGGTGAGGCAGGAAGGGATCAACGCTGGAGAGTAGCAGTCTATGGAGATATGGAGAGTGCTGAACACGGAAAGACAAGAATCTTGGTCTACATTGACAAGCTAGTATGTGTTTATGCTTACCGCCTGTCGCAGGACTATTCACTAACAATTTGATTTAGCTTGGACGCATTGTTGACGGAGCAATCCTCGAGCTCTCCCTTCACTCTATTATATGTGGACGATCCCGAAAGAACATCAAAATTATTGAATCCGCTACGAACACAGCTATCTATTTCCCACCACCATTCTCTCAAGTCTACAAATACTGCCCAAAAGGTGCTCAACGCCGAAATCCAGAGGAGATTTTCATCACGGGTGACAGGCTAGAAAACATAGCCTCGGCGAAAAGCAGAATTCATGAGCTTGTTAGAATGACGAGGCTCTTTATGAAAGACGCCCATGTATCTGCCGCTAAGATTGACAGCATTCTCCTTACCAGGATGGACAAGGTTCGTAAAATCATGGAGACGAACGGAACGTTTATTCAGTTCCCGGCTCTTGCTTCTCAACGTAGCATGATCAGAATTCAAGGCGTCGAAGGTCTCCACGTGGAACGAACAGTTCGAGAGCTCATGCTCATGGTAAACAATACAAATCCTTTCGTCTCTAGTTGTGACTAACGAATTTTGTAGTCTGTACAGTTTTACAGCGCATCGTGGTGGATCCAACAGCCACCGAATCAAGCACCTTTACAACCAGCTCCACAAGCAATCAGGGCGATGCTAGTGGATATCTGTTCATATTCATCAGCAGATGTGACATACGATAAGCTACAATGGACAATTACTGGCTCCGATGAAGCTGTAAAAGACGCATTGATTGTCATTAGCAACATAGCATTGAACAAGCGGGGCTTTGCCTATCAAATTCGAGTCAAACTCGAGTTGGCAAATGAGCACAAGGAATTTGTTAGCGGTAAGAAGAATGGAAAGATCAACAAGATCATGGGTCAAAGTAAGCTCCTCGGAACTTTATTTCACTTAATTTACTAACAGTTTCACTCAGGCAATGTTCAAATCATATTTGATGGATTCAACGAGTACAACTTCAACATTGACGTTTGCGGAAATAATTACGATCAGATGGCAACTGGCCTTGGCCTTGTCGAGCAAGAGATGCCAGCTTCGATTTCTTTCCATGTTCCAGATCAGTACCACAAGCGCATCATCGGCATTGGTGGTCAACACATCCAAAGAATCATGAAGAAGCACTCGGTTTTCGTCAAGTTCTCTAACGTCATGGATCGTGGTGGACCCAATCGCGAGGATGATGACATCAAGGCCGACAATGTTATCTGCCGAACACCAGCTCGTAACGCTCATAATTTAGAGCTTGTGAAGTCTGAAATTCTTGATATGGTTGATCGAGTTGACTCGGAATTTACTTCCCAGAAGGTCAACGTTGACCGATTGTATCATCGACAACTCCTCACCCGTCTCAACCAAATTGAGGAATTGGAAAAGAAATGGAACTGCAAAGTCATTTTCCCAAGCACCGAGCAAGCTAGTGACGATGTCATAATCTCGGGGCCAGAATGGCAGGTTCCCCATTGTCTTGATGAATTCCTTGGGATGGTTCCGGACAGTCATGAGCTTGTTTTGGCTCGTACTCCGGAACTCATGAAATTTTTGGACTCCAAGGCCTTCAAAACAGACTTGTCTCCAAAGCTCAAGTCCCAGTATGTGGTTGAGGTCCAAGTCAATGAGGACTCTTCCGAAAGTACTGAAGATGATGGACCAACTATCATTCTCCTATGGAATTTCACCAGGAATAATGCCGGTGGAGTTCGAGATGCAATCGACTTCTTGTTCTCTCATATTGCTTCAGCTGGTATTGAAGTTACCACTGTCAAGGGAACGATTCCTCGTCCCAAGTCCGACTCATTCGAGGAATCTTTACCTTACTTCGATTCTAAACTCTTACAGCACGCTCCTGCACCAATGGCAACTGATTCACCCACCAAGTCTTCCTTTGGCGATGATGCTGCGAGGGAGAGAAGCAACATTTTCGATAAACTTCGCAAACCTGGTAGCATGTCATCAATTTCTTCATTCTTGAATGGCCGCAAGAATAGCTCCCAATCTCCTGCCGGTTCTTTCTTCAGGAATGGGTCTCGCAATGCGTCAAGGACCTCTTTGATCTCCATCGAATCTACACGAAGCTTCAACGCGGACCGTAATCCATGGAACGACAGTGGTGTCAACTTGCCGGACGATGAAACTACACCATGGCCAACTCGCCAATTTGGAAGTGGCAGTTTCAGTAGCCACGATAATAAGCACACGCTTGTGCATCCAGGTGATGCAACACCAAGACATAGCATAAGAGCTTCGACCGACAGCGGTCGCCCTTCAACTTCTAATTCTACAAACTCTGGATACCCCGGTCCAATTGGACCACCGCGTTCTTAGAATATCCACAAAACAATTCCCTTATTTCCTAGATTGTCTTTAAGTACGTCAATTACGACATACACAATGGCTGGATATATACCCTGGCGCGCAATACCCCAAATACCAATTTTTTTATGCTGTTTTGATCGTTTTTCATCTCTCTTTATTCCAATTTGATATTTCTTTCATTTCCCGGGCTGTTTTGTTATTTGTTCTGTTTGCGTTTTATCGTGCTCCAATCTTTTTCAAGGTCGAAAAGAAAAGGCATGCGGACGCTCTCAGAGCCGAACAGAAGACAAAACATTTAGAAGATCCTTCTTGCGTGCTTGAATATTCATGGGCATATTAAGAGGAAATACCTATTTGCTTTTAGGGGCGTGGGATTGATTTTTTACTTTTCGTTTTGGTTGCTACAAGATATTCGACTTGGGTTGCTTTTCGCGCGTGTTTATTTGGTAGGGTTAACAAACAGGCAAATGGGTACATGGGATGGTGAATGATGGTTTGAGCTTTGGAAGGTGGGTTGTGATGAGGAGATGAGGGACGACGGATGATTTTCACTCTTTTTTTTTTTCCGAGTTGGGATGGAGGTATAGGAACGGGGAGGGAATGGAATGGTAGTGGTAGTTTAGCGAATTGGAATGGGGTCTTGTGATCAGTGGTTCTGCAACAACAGACAGCGTGGGATTCCAATCCGGTCTGGTATAGATGGATGGGTTGGGCATCCGGGTCATTCTTTAAGTGGACTTTTTGTGGGGTGTGTGTTATGATACCCAAAGCAAGAGATGATGTATGTTGAGAATAAAAAAAGTTTTGTGCGAAATGTTGATGTTTTTGTTAGATTGTGATGATGTGATGTGTGTGATGTGATATGGGTATTGTAACTTGGTGTGATGTGACTTGATTTAATTTAATTGGAAAAGTTTTTGTTTGCAAGGAGGGGTGGTAGGGTTGGAGATAAAGATGGAGATGGAGATGGAAATGGAGTCGGAGTTGGAGATGAAAGGTGGAGATGGGGAAATGGAAATCGGGGCGGGGGCGGAAATGTGGAGGGTGGGGATGGGGATGAGGGGTGAAATGAGAAGTGGAGGGGGGCAGGGGGGGAATACGACTGTATAACAAGTATAACAAGAGAAGAGTAGAGGAGAGAAAGAGAAGAGCAAAGGAGAGAAGAGGTAAGATGGGAAATGTAATGAATATACTGCAATATAGTAAGTAGGTATGTCTTGAAGTTTTGTGAGTGCGAGTAGGAGTGGGAGTGGGAGGGAGGGATTGTTATTGTTGGTGGCGTTATTGTTGTCGGTGGTGTTGGGCTGTGTGGTAGGAGGGAGGGGGAGAGGGAGAGGGAGAGGGAGGTGAAAGAGAAGGAGAAGAGAAGGAGCAGAAGTTGAAACGTGCCTCTTGCATTTTGCATTGTGAATTATGTTAAAGGGTTGAGGATTAGGTTTGAATTTGGATTTAGATTTGGGGTAGGGATTTGGGGAAGGGGTAGGAGTAGGAGTGTATGGTGAGGGGTAAACGTACTTGTTGCGCGCTTGTGGTCCTGGATGGGTTAGGGAATTGGAGTTGGTATATGGTTATGGATTATGGATGATTAGTCTTAGTCTTAGTCTATAAGAAACTACTCTATCAAGAGGACATATTTCTTTTTGTTTGGTTGCTTGCTTGATTCTTTGGGGAATTGGAATGGAATGGAATGGAATGGAATGAATGGGATGGGATGGGATTGGATGTGTTGTATTGAGTCGAGTTGATGCTGTGTTAACAGTTATTTGTGTATTGATATGTATCACGGTTCTAGGGTATTGGAAAATTGAGTTAGTGAGTGGTAAGTGGTGAGTGACTTGTGAGTTGGTCGGGATGAAGAGAGAGGAGGCAAGGAGGCGGGGAGGCGGGGAGGGCTTGTAGGTTCTCGAGTTCTGGGCGGGGAAAATTAGGTAGGTATATATTTTGTTCGTATTTTGTATATGGATGGAGTTTGCTGTGGATGCTGGGGTGGGATGGGTGGGATGGATAATCTGGGTGGCGGTTGTATTGGTTGTGAGATGGGTGGATGGATTACTTGCGATGTGATGGGATAGATGGTTTGTTTGAGAGGTGAGGCAAAATGAGGTGTTGTTATGTATGTATATGCTGCTATTGAAGGGTATAGCGGTTATGGTTATTGTGATGAAATGTAAAGGAACAATAAGGGGTTGCCAACGTATTCAGGGGAGTTGGTTATATTAGGTATATATTCAATATGATATGACCACTTACTCGTATATATGTGCTCATGATCCTATATACGAGTAGATGGTTCCTGGGATGGATGACCTTCCTTCTTATCAACAATTCAAGTAAAGCCAATCAATAGCTATTCTGGTCTCACAAGTTTGTTGAGGAAGTTTCCTTTTGTATGACTGACATCGATGACGTTAATTATATATGATTTCTTATTATGAGTAGAGTAGAGTATTAGAGTACCGGTATATTTATCATATCTATATCACTCCCAATTTCCAATTCACATCCACATCCACAACCAACATCCAAACAAATCTTAATCTCATACTGTAGAATAAAGAAAAGAAAAAAAAAGCATCCCCATCCTCTCACCACCTCGCTTCTTCCAAAAGATATCCCAAAATCCCAAAATCCAACCCCAGTTATGTCACGGTCACGACTTAAACACGCTTCCTCAATATAATATGCATGATGCTCCCATTTCCTTTAGACAATAGAAGGTATTAAGCCGAGATACCTTCTAGCACTGCCCTGAGTAAATGTCCCAATACTATACTACTATACCATACCATATCATATCATTCTTTACATCTAAACTTCGTAGCTCTAATACTGAGTATAAGGCTGGGCTTATGAATCTGGTTTTCAATCTCGTGTATCGGTGGTTTATATTTAGGGGTTCTTTGAACTGTACCTCTTCTCCTTGTTTGAGATTGGGTTTGGGTTTGGGTTTGGGTTTGGGCTTGGACTTGGTTTTTGGGGGTAGTTATTTTTTGATTTCTTGATTATTGGTGGAAATTGCTTAGATATTGTGGTCTACTTTGTTACCAGTTATGAGTGGGTAAAGTATGTTTGGACATGTTCTTTAAAGGTGGTGGAGGGCATGGCGGTTTTTGAATATGGTCACGATTCGGGTCTGGAGTGGAAGTACTGGTATGTTCTCTTCTCTTCTCCTCTCATTCATTCGATAATGCTTATTGGAAAGTAGCATGATGGATGGATATCCTGCGATTCTCCGGACATACTTGTTACATGTTCGATGTAGGCAAATACAGATGCTGGACGGAAGGTTTGAAGTTAAGTATCTTCTAGAGGTCTCTTTTCCTGGTGTTTTGGCTTCATTATTGGATTGTGGTTTGGATTGTGAGGAGTGTTGAGGTGCAGGAAGATATGGGTTTGGACTGGGCGACATTTAGTAGCATGTAAGAGAGCTTGGATGGCTGGTGGAGGTTGAGAGTTTGGGGGAAAGGGTGGTGTACGGATAGATATCACCTGTTAGCATATAAGAGAGCTTAGAAAAATGGTCGAGGTTGAGAGCTAGGGGATAAGGTGTGCGGATGTGACTGTAGGGCGACTTTAGGTGCAGAAGAGTGGTGGTGAAGCATATGATTTTCATAAACGATTTGAAGAGGCAGTATTGATACTCCCACCTGGCGGTATATATCGGAACTCTATCTGTTTATTTCTCACAACAGTTGCAATGAGGAGATATCCCGATTATCAATAGGTCCAATGAACGAATGAAGATAGTTGGCATTTATATACGATTGTTTGCATAGTGATATATGTATGGTAGGTAGAATAATGCCAAGGTGATTAACTTCAGCGTGACAAACAACTCCTCTTTTCAAGTAGAAGACTAGGCTAGGCAGAGGTACTACAGATCTTTGCAGGAAGCGCAACACAGAAACCGAACCGACCACATAACCCTTCCTAATATCTTATCACCCTTCGAACAATTCAAATGTTTGAGGAGCTGCTTTTCCCAGTAGGTAGAACAAACTGGTGTCTGTCTCACGGAGCTTTTCAACGTCCGAGTACTTCTAATTCATTGAGAAGAATAGGTTTTAGATGAAAACTCCAAACAAAGGGATGGATGATCTGAATATCAGAGAAAGTCGAATGTAGCATTGACAATCTAGAATTTGTATGAATGACAAGGTAGAGTACCTTGAAGTTTTGGAAAGAGAGACTTCTGGCTTTCAGATATGTCGATCCAATCTATGGTAAGCACAGTATTTGATGTAGGTATATCATACCTGATACAGTTGCTGGGAGTACACCGAATTCTGAGTCTGTTTGAGTACTCGCAAGTCCGGTGGCAGCTACATGCTTGACATAGGGTTATTGAAAAGACATAGAGACAACTAGTAGTACTGTTTAGACTGGATGTAGGTGTTCTAGTAAGCTTAACTTCGAGGACGAATGCTAGTATGCTCTCCGCAAGAGAAAAGGCTAGCATTAACCTTATCGTCATCTCAATGTTCCTGATTTGGATCTGTTGAATGGTAAGAATCTTTAGCACTTTCTATTGGACTTAAACATTGGAATTATTGAAACGCAACTTTTAGACGGTTCTTTTTCCTTAAGAGATAGGTTTGATCAGAACTTCATTACAGGTTCCCTCGAGAATGGATGTACAGAGATGCTGACTAAGCATGACGTTTAAGCAAAGATCCCGATGATCCCCGGGCGGTGAGCTTATCTGGGGAAATTAGTCTCATTATAGACTAGTTTCACCCGTTTTACCTAGCGCGGTGATCCTTAAGCTCCATTACAATCTTATCAATCCCTCGTAATCAATAATAAACAAATCCTCCATTTCATCAAATCATCCCACACACACAAAAATCGAGTAACTCAACAATTTTTGCTTACTTGTTCAATTGCAATTGTCTTTTGTCTTTAAACTTCTTACATTTCACATTAAAACCGTTTCTTTCAATCAATCGTGTGTTCTTGAAAGCTCTATCGCCTTTTTATTGTTGTTGAGACGCGTCTTTCAAAACAAATTCGAGGGCGTATTTCAACGCACTTACACCAAATAATAATCAAGACAACTACTTGACTCACTCAAAGATGGCGCCTCGTAAAGAGAATTCCACAGCATCACCTGCAAACGTGGGTGTCAAACGCACTCGAGCAGCTCCCAAGTCCGCTGTCGCTGCCACGGCCGCGCCAAAGCCATCCAAAGTTGCTAAGAAGGTAACTAAAAAAGCAGCTCCAGCAAAAGCTGCGGCCAGCAAGACCACAAAGGGTGCTGCTGCTGCCAAAGTTGCTCCCACAAAAGCTGCTCCCAAAAAGGCGGCTCCTAAAAAATCCAAAGTCGCGCCCAAGGCAGCAGCAAAATCCAACCAAACACCAGAGGCGAATGCAGAGAGTGACGAGGAGAAGCCTGCTCGTAAGTTTATCTTCATTCAATCATAATAAATTTGGAAAAACGCGTCTAATATTTTGTTTATAGCACCAAAACCCAAAGTCAGCCGGAAGAGAGGCCGAAGTCAAGAATCGGAAATATTGCCTGTTGCTAAGAAACTCAAGATTGGCCCAACCATCAACACTCTTCCTGTCGAGCGTCTTGATGTCTATGTTTTCGGAGGCGGAGAGAATAATGAGCTGGGGCTCGGAGCGAAGAAGATCGATGGAAAGTCACCATCTGATGTGAAGCGCCCACGGTACAATGCGCTTCTTAAGGGCGTCACCCAAATTGCTGTCGGTGGGATGCACTGCATTGCCTTGACAGACGACCAGAGAATTCTTACATGGGGAGTTAGTGATGGTGGCCCATTGGGTCGAGACACTAGTTCATACGAGCCTCCATCAAAAGATATGGATGCCGATTCAGATTCGGAGGATGAGGACGAGATGATTTTAAACCCAGTCGAGAGTACCCCAACGGCTATCTCTACGGACTTTCTCGATGGGAGAAAAGTCGCCCAAGTGCTCGCTAGCGACTCGGCCAGCTTCGTGCTCACGGGAGATGGTTATGTTTATGGCTGGGGATCATTCGTCGTAAGTCAATTTGTCAATTGTCCAATATGCATTTGCTAATAACTGCAGGGAAACGATGGAATCATCGGCTTCACGGCTGAAGGCGCGGCAAAGGCGGCCACAGAGCGTGATGGCGACCTAAAGAAAAAGCTTCAAATTCAGACTGAGCCCATGCTTATTCCTGGATTGAAAAACATTGTGTCATTGTCTCGCGGTAGCAACCATGTCATCGCTATAGACAACAAGGGTACAGTCTTCACATGGGGTGCTCATGAACAAAGTCAGCTCGGAAGAAGAGTTAGCGATCGTTTCCGTTTTGCTGCCCTCAAACCCTCACCTGTTCTTAAGAACTGCAAAGCTGTCGCTGGTGGTGCTTACCACTCCTTTGCCATCAACAAGAAGAACCAAGTCCTCGCTTGGGGCTTGAATAACTATGGCCAAACTGGTATCGATTCAAATGCGGGAGATGACGAAGCAATCATTGGCAACCCAACTATCGTCAAAAGTTTGGAGAGCTACGACATTCAGCAAATCAAAGGCTGCCTCCACCACACAATCGCCTGTACCAAGGATCAGCAGGTGTTGGTAGTTGGTCGATGTGACGAAGGTCAGACCGGTCTTGATTTGGCTAGCATTGACCAAGATAACCTCATCGTCAGCTCCACCACATCAAAACCAGCTATCCTCAAGAAACCCACGGTCGTTCCTGGTATCACAGCCACCTTTGTCGCCGGAGCTATTGATAATAGCATTGTTGTGGCAGAGGACGGAAAAGTCTGGGCATGGGGATACGGAGAAAACTACAGGACTGGTCTGGGTACTGATGACACTACCTGGACCCCCACTGCCATTGAAAACACTGCGATCAAGGGTAAGAAAATGACCTTTGCTGGATGCGGAGGGCAGTTCAGCGTTCTCGCTGGACCAGAGGTCGAAATGACGAATGGCATCTAGGCCAAGGGGGTGAGGAGGGCGACGGGAGGGGGTTGTTATTGGAGGATGGATTGTAGTTGACGGTTACGAATTATGTTTGTGTACGAAAGGAACGAAAGGTTACTGCTGCATTATTAGCTTCGGAGGGACAGCAGTCCGAATCTTTCCACGCCGCGGCTAACCCAACTCGAACTCAGCCTTCCAACATAGACCCGATATCGAAAACAATCCTACTTTGGTTGTGGGGATACTAACCTTGATGGGTTTCTGGTTTTTACCTAGGACTTGATCCGGATTCATCAAGGCAGTTTTCTTCACGAACAAAGTAGGTGCGTTTTTGGTATTGGTTATATACAGGAAGGGTGATAATAGGGAGGGCTGGTCGTGGTGTGGAAGGAGGGTGGCTGTTGGTCGCTTGTTTAATAGGGATTTGGGCGGAGTTTTCTTGTTTCTTTTTTTTTCTCTCTTCTCCTCAGGGAAGCATGATGGTTCATGGACGCATTGCGTGGGCGTTTGATAAGAAAGGTCTTGGTCTAGAGACTACGTTCGTTGTTGTATGATTAGAATAATGCATCGTGCATAACAATAAGAAAGGATTACATTATAAACATGTTTTGTAATGCAAGTGACTGACTGACTGGGCTCTATGAAATTGATACCGAATATACTTAGAAATAGTACTCGAGTATCAATGTCCGATAGATATTGTGTGTGTCTTGTGTCTGTCTCAACATTGAAAAAGAGATCGATGGTAAAGTATGTAAACTCTGGGTGAGAGATTGGGGTTGAGATATAAAACTTACCTTTGCATTTGATGAGGAAGGATTAAGGCGAGATTTAATGAATGAAATATGAAGATATCTATTCATAACTCCTGGTGAAATTGATTTTGTGGTGGATTAGAGCAGGGGAGATTGAATGGGATGGAGGAGTTGGAGTTGGAGAGATTTTTTGAAGCATTTTTTGGGGTGGTTGATGGAGATGAATATGAATATGAATGTAAGATTGGGATTGGAGTTGATAAAGATGGAGATGGAGATTGAGATGGGGATGGAGATAGAGATGAAGATACCCCTCCGGGTGAGTTCCTGGTGAGCTCTCGGTGGGCGGGGTAAAAGGTAAAGATATTGGATGAGAGGGGTTTGGATGTTGGGGATTTGGGGGAAGGGGGTTGATGTGAGCGGTGGTATTGTTGTTTGATTGTTGTTGGGGGATTAGTTTATTAGTGTGGGATTCCTGTATTGAGTGGGAATTTTGTATTGGGGGTTGGAAGTTGGTGTTAGAGGGATGGCGGGGGGAGAGGGGGAGAGGAGGAGAGGAGGCTGATGTTTGAGTTTACTTGGGCGTTTTCTAGCCAAAGGCAACACGTTAATCTTTACACCTCACCCTTTAGTGCTTATGCGGACAATCTCAGTCTTCGGATTGGCACAATCAAGATCAGGGCTTTGGCGACATCACCATCGGTCTGCAGATTAGGTCTGAAGAGCTGTTGTAGGTAAAGACTATTTATTATAGATTCTCACAAGTGATATATTGTGAAGCTGCTAATATTGTTCAGACTAATAGCAATTTATCTGGCTGTGGTAGCTATTCGAGATCCGGACCGCTTTCGATTATCGAAGGACAATGTCTATGAAGGTTGGGAATAAGGCACTGAGTGGAGAAACAGAATGGATAGGGGCTCAATATTTTGATGTAACGGAGGATATGACGATGGAATTTCAAGGCAGATCACGCACCATCCAAGATAGCGCCCAAAACTTCATCGAAAAATTAAACGCAGAACACGGACAAGTAACAACTGAGGTTCTAGCTGGGTATCGAGTTTATGTGCTAAAAGCATGGGTTAAGTTTGAAAAGAAGTTATTACCAAGTGTATAGCTATTATCTATGGGACTAGTTTTTGCTAGCGGTGCAAAAAAGTAATTCAAATGCATACCTAGTACATGAATCATAATTGCCATTTTAGCTTCTGCCATTTGCTATGCCTTCCTCTGGATTCCCAAGACCGAGCCAGTTGCAGATGTCAATTCCGTTGGAGCAACCCAATCTGATGACAAGGAAAGCGTCTGCTTGGAGCGTTTCCGGCAGATATATAGAGAGACAATTTGTAACCTCTAGTCCCCCACTCTCATTTTCCTTCTTCCATAAATTGCTTACCTTTATCCCAGAATGCAATGGCTCCGGAATGTTGGTAATCATGTGACACCTGGTGAATTGAAAAGAATAATACTGACCCAGCAAGACCAGATCATCTATCCCTGTTAAATACAGAATGCAACATCTTACTGATAATAGTATACGTACCCAAGATCTGTTGGGGAGGCTTAGGTGATTGTTTATCTGTAAATTGAGAGTGTATACCTGTACTGGCTGGCTTCTCGGAGACGGGTTTCGTATTGCTGAATGGAAAGCGGTCATGAGGATGGGTTCTTATCTCAGTGTCATCTAGAGAGAATTAGAACCATTATGGTAAATAATAGTTGAGCTGTTCATACCCGAGTGAACTTGAATATCCCATCCTAGTGTGAGTGCTGCTGGCTTCTCACCACTGTTTAGTTCTGTTTGCTTGAGACAGCTTTTATTCCATGTAACTTGACTTTCTGGTAGAGATAAATCGACTGTCTGTTGTTGGGTACAAGTACCGCCGCCATCCTTACATCTCCGTGGGTGTTTTTGTGTCGTGTTTTTGTGGAATAATGGTAAATAAGATGTTGGAGATTGTGGAGCCTGTATGTGATTGTTGCTAAAATCGATGGGTTGGGATCGTTGTCTTTTGACTCCTCTATTTTCCTTGGCATGGAGATTCAATCGTGGGAGCTTTTGCTGAGATGGCAGAGCAGTATTATTATATGTCCATGACAAACAACACTATTGGTCTGGGTCGATAATGGGAGAGTCATCGCTGTGAATCGTCCGAAGAATCAGTGGGTGTTAAATCAGAATGGATGGAGCGAGACTAGCAGGATGAAGAAATGGCGATATTGGGAGGGAATAAAATGTATCCTATCAATAAGTTCGAATAGGTTAGTGCTACTTGTGCTTGTGTCGTGCAATTGCACAGTAGAAGTTTGAGATGCTTGTTGCACTTTGACCTTTTGCCTCTGCTTATTGATACGCTATCGATAGGTACGAGTACAGAGTACACGGTCAAATATAGCGTTGAATTCCCAATGAGCCTCTACCATCTCACTCTTACACCGATTTACATCTACATCTTGAAGTTCGTGTTCGCAACCCCCCACTATTCTTGGACCCCATCTGATTCTCCTACGATTGGTCATTATCGTTATACCGTCGACTTGCGACAGACCAAACCGCGCCCTTTGTTTGCGAATAGGCGTGGTCGTTGTGACTTCCAGGTCCATGATTTGCTCGCCCTCTTCAAGGGTGTATGTAGTGCCAGTCCCTGTCCATTGGCCAAGTATTTCTGGATGACTTGGATCGTCGTTTGTGCGGAAGAGGAGGCCAGTGACCTGCCCGGCGCGGCGGTACATCGTTATCGCTGGAGAGATGGATGCTTGAATTGACTGATATTTCTTCCTCAGAAGCATATGAGACTGGTGTTGGCCATGATTCTTTATTGCGAGGGGTATCTCCGGAAGTTGTCCCTCAAGGGAACGTATACGAAACTGGTGTTGGCTATGATTCTTTAGTCCACCGAGGGGCATTTCCTGGAGTTGACTCTCAGAAGGTAACTTGATAGCAAAGAGATTCGGAGTGATCTCAGAAGATACTGCCGAGGTTGTTGGTATAACTCCAAAACAGTGCAGCTGATTGAATGGGGCCTGTGATTGAGATGAGCTTGTGAAGTTATGATCAGGGAAGGATATGTGGAGATCAGCAAACCATAAAACAACCGCAGAACCCGGTAATATATCCACCATTTAAAGCCTGATACTCGATCAACTTGTAAGATGCAATTGCACTTATCGGTAGTCTAGGAAAGATATCACTTGTTCTGCTAATGCTGGTAGTAAACTACAAGATTGGGTTAGAGCGTATAGAGAAATTATTTGCAGAAGAAAGCAACTCAACCTGTAAATGATGGATCATAGAACCGATCTTGTAGACTGTGATCTTAATCAGTCGCTCTGTCGCACCGAGAAAAAAAAACCAATGAAGCAGAGTCGTGAATATAACCCCATATGGTTTCAATGCCTGTATCATAAACGAATCCAATACCAGTGATACCAGCAGAGTGTCCTAACGGGCTGTAAACTTTGATCGCGATAAGGATTCCCTTTTCTTGGCCTATACAATGAAATGAAGCTGGCGCGAATGATGCAGTCTGTAATTGATATAAAGCAGTAATATCATCTTCATGGATAGAAGGTGTGGATGCAAGGCGAGGATGTTTCCAGAAAATACCGTCAAATTTGTCTTGTCTCTCAATATCCATCGAAACTTTCACAATTCGCATGGCCTAAAAATTGTTAGAGATATCTCTGGACATTTAAAAGAGAAAGCGCTGAGGCTTACGCCGAGGCCAAGATAAACCCCCTTGAGATCTTCTAATGGCCATCTAGCAATCGCGATTTTGGTTCTATGGCTAGGCGTGAGGCTGTCAAGATAATCTTGGGGATAGGTATCGACTGCAACTGCCTCGAATCCCAATTCACTGAAAACCAACCATAAAAAGCTAGGCGAAACCGTAGAAACAACGCGCTTTTCCGGTATATCTACAATATAGCCCACATCAATACACCCACCGTCGTTAAACTCAAAACTGAGGCCGGAGATCAATCTCCGGTTTGAGAAAAGGACATAGGATGGAGTAATGGCACAAAGTCGAGATATATTGCCCAGGCAAACAGATCTACGTGTCAGCTCTCGACAACCTTCGGAATAATATCTTTGGGCCAGGCAACTTGCAACATAGCCTGGCGATATCTGGTCTTGTTGTACAATACTATTTCCATGTAGAACCCGGTTGGGCTCCTGAACGGCACATATCAGATCAGTCAATCCCACAACAAGCTTGCAGGTTCTTTTTCGATTTCGTAGATTAATCCTGTTTGGACCTTTCCTTAGTTCTGATTCTATTTTAAGAAACCACCCCTTCCAAGAATATGTCGAAGGACGGATCGATCGCGCGAAACCCATCTCGTTTTGAGCCCAGAACCTAGACTCCCAAAATAACGTGGGTAGATTTCGAAGATTACCTCCATATCGTCTAAATATTGTCGCACTGGCCTGTAGTAGGTTTCGAGTATCGGAGAAGTCAAGGCTGCATAAGATTGATTCAAGGATTTCAGTCGGAAGACAATGAATGTCAGGACGCCCTTTCTGTTGGCCACGAACGCTTTCCGAATACGAAGTACTAGCGGTGAGGATTGGTATCGTGCCTTTCTTTTTGGTCAATACCTGTGATGCGAATAAAGGGTATCCAATGTACTCCTGATTCCATGTCTCTTCATTTTGAGCGTCGAAACTCAAAGAGCTAATGAGTTCAGTTAAATCTGCCTTATTAGCAGGAACAATATCCTCCTTAAAATCATTCGGATCTTCCTCGATCAAAGAAGAATCCAGAATTTCCTCGAAATAATAGTTGTGGCCCCATCTCAAAGCACGAGCATTCCGTTGATAATGAATACTCTCAAAAATATTGAATAGAGTGTGAGCACTAAGATCAAAAGACGTCCTGCAACAGTTTTCCTGGAGCATAGCCAAACAAATGGTGTGGAGTGGGTAGCAGGAGTCCTGAATTCTGCTCAATAAGCTTTGTCGATAGCGGAATCGATTAATTCCATGTAGTGGTATAGGTAATTTTATTAGCTTCGACATCGATGTAGCCTTTTCCACTGAGGATTGGATAGTCTTCAAACCAACATACTATAGACCAACATCAGCTCACTTCTTGCTTATAGAGGAACTAGCGTACCTGCAGAAATGTCTTTGCTCCATTGAGGAAAATCACTCTCTTGAAATGCCAGGACCAGACCACAGATACCACAGGAGTCGCCCATGAGCTGCGAAGTATGAAGAAGTAAATTCTTTGAGGAGTGTACACATTTGTATTCTGAAGGACATACTGAAGTGATCAGCCCGGGATAACTATTTTCCATAACATAACTAACCACATCTGTTCAGCCACATTTGATCGAGTCTTGATACTTTACTTGTGGATGTGAGATAACGTGAGATTATTGTGATTTATGGCTTGTTACTATGTATAAATGGAGGTGCCATTCGAGTGAAGTTGTGTATAACAATGAAGCACTTGAATCTTCAAATCCGCTGATAGAATTGGGAGTGTATGAAGCGAAATCCTCATATTGCTTACCTAGTATTCATGATACCGGTACTCTATGTAACATTACATTATAATCGAAACAAAACGGTATTAGTCCCCATAGAAATAGCCTCCATCATCTCTCGCTGCAAGAACCACCCTCATAATCCCGAATACCCAACACGGTACCCCTCAGGCATCACCCTCGACCTCGCAACCATCAAACCCCGATCTCCCACACACAATCCATCATTTTCCACACACTGTATCTCTCCCCTGTGCAACCCAGTAATGTCACCAATTGCCTCCTCTACACAATCCACTCCGTCTCGTAACAAATTAAACACCAAATAAACACCCGTTACCCCCTCCGGTAAACCACCCGTTCTCGAATCAAAACAACTAAATTTGTTGACTAAACTCGCACAGGTTTCCGAAACGAATGCTGACAGATAGGGAGAGGGAAATGGGCCCCTAGAGCGAGGTACACAGGATGTGTGGGAGGGGAAATTGATAAAATATTCGTAGCCTTGGGTTGCGCCGTGGAGGAGAGCTTGGGAGGTTGTGGTGGACGTGGATATGGGAGTATATTGGCAGCAGGGTGTTGCGGTGGCGATTGAGAGGAGTGAGGAGATGACGAGGGTAAGGAGCGTGGTTGGAAGAGGTAGAAAGAACATTTTGGTTTTGATTTGAGAAGATGAGTGGTGATGTAAGAAAAGGCTGAAAGTGTCACAACGTCAAATCGTGAAATGTCGAGGAAACAAATGAAAGGTCGTGTGTTTTAACAAGTTTACTAATCTTGCCGTTAAACCATCGTCGAGAAAAGTCTGCAACGATTGTTCAAGAAGATAGTATGGCCAAATCAACCTAATTATAGATCCAGGAGCCCGTATCCAAATAAAATGCCAATTTCAAACATTTATACGAGAAGGACCCACTGGAAGGATATTCCCAATGCACATACCACAATACAAGAAATGTCAAGCGCTCAAACTAATAAGCCTTTGCTTGGCCATAGTTTGAACAAGTGGTTCAGCCATCGATAGGCTAATTCTTCTCCCGCATTCTGAGCTTACTTCGCCACATATTTTTCGGGATCCCAATGCATGTTGTGCGTATCAAAATGACAAAGAAGCGAAAGCGACAGGAGTTCACTTGGTCACAATTAGAATCGGCCCCACACTCGCGGGATAGTTGAATTAATTTACAACTTCTGGGAACAAACTTGGAGAATATTCTCCAGGATGCAGGTAGACAGATGTAAGTTTGGCCAGGATCGATGATATGCAATTAAGCCAAAAAAATATATATACTTCATGATTGGAAAAAGGGAGGTCAATTGCAGTAAGCGCCGCCAAATGGCTTGGCGAGTTTCATAAGTAGCTCTGTACATAGGAACTTGTAGTTCTTTTAAAAAACGAGGTGGTTGGGCTTAGTGGCATAAATGAACAGGGCCATGTATAAGGCCAAGCGCGAGCCATGTGGAAACATGGGGTGCGCCACTTTACAAAGTTCGAAATGAACTTGTCGCCGGTGAAGTGGGGATATATACACAAAATACCATAGTGCTTATTTGTACGTAAAAACTCTCGTCATATTAAACAATCCTCAAGATCGTATTCTCTTCATATTTGCATCTCGCATCCTGCATCTATGAATTGGAAACGCCACTCTCGTTTTTAATGACTTCCACTCCCGGCACTGCACTGTCCAGAGAGCACTTACTCTCAAAATGGCAATAAAGATGATAACATCTAGATATCTAGTTGCGGTATCTACAGCGATCTGGTTTCATTTCTCTTCAGAATCCAACTCGTGATATCCCAGCTTTCCCATTTGCTCTCTAAAAAGAGCCGCCTCTTGATTCATTTCCTCCACGCTACACCGTGGAAAGTGGATTAGTACTTCCACTCTAAACTCCCGAGTTCAACGCCGCAAACCTCCAAAGAACACGAGTATGATGATTGATTATAAATCAAAACTCACCTCCTAGGCATCCTCTCTTCATCATCCACCTTCGGAAATGTTCCCTTCTGCACTGGTCTGTCCCCAATCTCCTCAGCCCTATCCCATAGTCCACCCCCAACATTTCCTTCCTCTCCCTGCAACTTGTCGTATATTCCATCTCCAATTGCCGTACTTTCCTTCGTCCTCGGTATGATGTGGCAGTGAAAATGTGGTACCGTTTGTCCACTTTCCGGTCCATCTTGAATTGCGACATTGAAAGATCCTTCTTTGAGGTCTCCATTAGGGAAGTAATGGGATGCGAGCATCTTTTGCACTCTCTGGGTAGTAAGAAAGACATCGCTGAGTTCGGAAGGTGAAAGATCGGTCAGGCGTGGATGCTGCTGATATGGAATAACGAGCACGTGGCCAGGGAGGATGGGCTTGATATTTACGAGGCAATAGCAATGAGTGGACTTGTGGAAGATCTGGAATGATATTTAGGGAAATCAAAAACGTATAAGTTGGGTGCACTTTGTATGAGACTTGCCTGATCTGTTATTTCGAATTTCCCAAAATGAATGAGCTTTTTCGAGAGAGTGTTGGAATTCATGGTGCGAGATTGGAGGTTGCGGAATGGAAAGGGTCGAAGTCGAGGTCGAGATCGAAGTTGATTGAATACTTGTCGTGCTATCATATCCCAAGCATCACAGCACAGAGTTGAATATCAAAGGATGTTCTTATTCGTCTGATCTCGATACAGGCTTATATATATATATATATCAATCATGTGAAGGAAGGAGACCTCCATTTGGTGAGGCGCTTTTTGCTTAGTCATCTTGAACGCTGGCAGACCTCAATCTGCAGGGTTCTGTTGTTTACCCTCTCGAAACAGCGACAACAGCAACAGCAGCAACAACAGCAAGTCTGAAGGTACTATAGTAAATGAATAGTATCAATGATACATATTGTGTGTATTATCATTTGTTTCAAGCAAGTGCTTTGTAAAATTATACCTTTTCATCACAAATTTGTGAATTTAGTCGGTTGTTCCGATCATAAGTTGAAGAAGCAGAAAGCAGTAATGCCCAACGCTTTGTGGCACAAAAAGGGGAAACTCGCGGTAATTCTATATATCCGAATCTTAATCTCCGAACTCCCAAAATTCTACACCGTCCTCTTCATTAGGAAAGGGGTAGGCCTGTTATGGCATTTCAACGTCTGTTTTTCATTGAAACTTTCAAACAACGAAACTAAGATTTCGAAATGATAAAATGTGTGTCTACTTTTCTATGTCTCAGTGGACAACAAGACCCGAAAGATAGAATTTAAGCACTTTAACTGTTCAATTCGATTCGGAGCAAGAAAACGGTGATATCGGCGACCTTTCTCCCTGCGGAGAGATCGTCCACTTAGTCCATGACTATCGCACGTTCCCCATAAGATCTGCCTCTTTCGTATCAGCTGCGTTCAGGGAGAAAAGTGTCTCCATCTTGATCAATGGGCCACGGTGAGAGAATTCTAGATTTATAATCCTCAGCAGCAGCAGCCCACACATCCAGAACCTCTTAATTATAAATCTACACGAAACAAAAAGAGTATCATCGGTAACGACGGCAGTTTCTATTGGTGAATGGCAATGGGTAGCTACAGCGGAACAGCTCTAGCAGCTCACTGTCCAAGCTCAACGCTACCAATTGAGGGGCTCGACCCCACATGAGATCATATCAAGCACGATGACATTGACTTCGAGGTGGGGACGTTGCAAAGGTAATGTATTATATGTATATAGTGAAAGCTTTCCCCGTTTCCAAGTCGGACATCACCATTCCAATCTAACTTCCATCTCAAACATCAAAGCAATCACTCTACCAATATGAGCAAACCAATTACTATGTATGGCCACGGTAGGTGACACCATTGGAATGTACATAGCAAGAATACTCTACTGACACAAAAATAGCCACCGGGCCAAATCCATGGAAGGTAGCCATCATTCTTGAAGAGCTCAAGATTCCCTATACCACCAAGTTTATGGGTTCGTTCCAATGATCTCATTCCAGTCTCGTTCCTCTTCCCTAAACCGGACGCTGTCAATATCAAGATTTTCAACGTTTGAAAGGCTATCAACATTTGATGATTTACTGTCAATAAATATATCAAGTGGTGTATAGAAAGGATCCAAGAATAAAAAAGCCATCATTACCAAACCATCAACTTGTGAAAACCCCACTAAAACACCACCCATCCAGAAATGTCGGACCTCAAAAAAGATCCCTTCGAACAGCTCAACCCCAACGGCCGTGTCCCCGCCATCACCGACCCCAACACCGACGTTACACTCTGGGAATCCGGCGCCATAATCGAGTACCTAATCGACACCTACGATCTGTCCGCCGCGCTAACCTACACCTCGTCCCCCGAACGGTACCAAGTAAAACAATGGCTGCACTTCCAAGTATCCGGACAGGGACCATATTACGGACAAGCTGCCTGGTTTTCCAAGTTCCACGGCGAGAAGATCGATAGTGCTATTGAGAGATATTACGAGCAGATCAAGCGCGTGCTGTACGTGTTGGATAAACATTTGAATGGCAGAGAGTGGTTGGTGGGTGATAAGTGCACGTTTGCGGATCTGTCGTTCGTTCCTTGGGATATGGCTATCCCGTATATTTTCGGCGATCGAGTGGGAGAATTGCAGATTGAGAAGAATTATCCTAATTATTTTGCTTGGAATAAGAAATTGATGGAGAGACCTTCGGTACTGAAGATTATTGAGGATAAGAAGGCCGCTGCGAGTAGCTCTTAGATTAGGTTGGGAAAGTAGGGGCTCTTAGTTTGACGATATATTATTCGAATTAAGATGGTCATTCAATAGTATCAAACATTGCAGTAGATTTGAACATCGAGGCAAATCCAAATACTGAAATCAAGCGGGACGTACAAAAACCACCGAATATTGACAGAAACATACGTGATGGAATGGATCCGAACATTCTACTCGAGTACATGAATATGAAACTTCAAACAATCTGCTGATCTTACATTGAACATAACATTCGGATATCCGGACGATTCTATCATTCGGTACTCACGTTGCTATAAAAGTGGTCCTCATTGATACTCTTACCGTATGATCCATAGATACTTTTGATATCTCTCATTCTTTTCAAGGCCAATATCAGTGTAAATGACTGGATAAGTTATCATCCATTCCATGTGAACCAAATGAATAGCTTTTGTCTTGTCACCTTCGGTGTGTGTGTGCATACATATGTAGCATTTCGCTTCTCCAGACTCCGATTGCCTCCAAAAGCAGTTGGCAGAAACGCATTCCATGGCCGGAGGGAATATCACCTATCGCATAGTGTTATGCCATGATGAGTGAAAACCACGGTACTGTAATCATATTCTAATAGACTAAAATGAATCATAACACGTCTCCAGTACCATTCATTCAAACCCTCCCCCTTCCCTCTGAAAAATCATCCAATTAAAAACATCCTCAGTCTCAAAGAACGAGCCGTTAAGAAAAGAAGAGCAAAAAAGAACCCATAAAAAGCCCTTCTTCTTCACGGCTCCTCATGCCAAAGCAGGAGTAGATAAACGAGTGTTATGGTGATGCGCAGTATCCAAAACTCTGGATATGAGCATTGACCAACTTCTATATTATGATGAGGCTTTTATTCCTTAATCTTTGAAATCCGAATACTTCAAGTTGCTTCTACAAAATGAAGGTTGCTTCGCCGAAGAGTGTTCCTTGCTCCTCTACAACTGTCTCGCCATCCTTGATCTTAAGAACAAAGGAGTCTCTTGGGGGGATAGCCCACTATAAAAGTGTTAGAATTGACAGATTCGGGCAAATGCTCTGACGTGGCAGTCTTAAAAAACTGTCGAATAGCTTACCTGGTAGCAAAAGGGTCTAGTTCCTACAACTCCTCCAACGACCGATTTGATAAAACTGGGGATATGGGATAGAATATCAACTCTGTCTGTTCTTTCCCCGAGAGGTCCACTCAGAACTGCAGAAAATGCACCAGATTTGCTCTTGCCTTCCCATTTGTACTCCGCTGAGAGGGGTTCTGGCCAAAGAGTATCTGGATCATCCTTCGATTCAGTATACTTGACGGTATTGGTAGCACCGGCATATACAATTTCGCCGTCTTTAACAACACCTCCAACATTCACAGAGGTGTGACCATAAGAGGCAGGGGTTGTGAATTCCATCATGATGGCGGAGTAGGTAGGTGTTTGGAAAGTCACAAACTTCCATTTTGCTGCAGCGTGGTGAGGTTTCATGCCTTGGATGGCGTGAATGAAAAGACCGCGCCCTTTGAAGTCATAATTGTTCTCGGGTGTGGTAATTGTACCAGTGACGGTGCATCGAGGCCAGAAACGATGTCTCATTTCACCCCATGGTGCGGCAGGGTCGGTACCGTAATAGGTGGTTCCATTCTCACCCACCTGGAAGCCAGGGGATGCGCGTTTGAATACAAGATTGACAAGTCCAGACTCATTACGAGCGGCTTTAATGGTATATTCGTCGCCAGCTTCATTCAAGGCGATTGAAAGGCCATCTGCGTAGAACGAAACCATCTCCTCATCAAATCCATAGTTTTCGAGTGAATCAGAAAGCCAAAGATGGTCAGATTGTTTGGGACCTTTGTGGTTGAATACCTTAACATTGAGTTGACAAGTTGTTCGAAGTCCGCTGTATCCGGTGTCAGTGTAATGTTACCTCGATGCGTGATCGATCTCAAGTGCATGGATCAGACATACGCCACATTATTGTAAATCATCTGAACAGATGCAATTTTACCCTCATCAGAGATCATATAGAAGGTCTGAGTCTCAACATTTGTGCTCTCTTGAGCCTTCCATTTTAAATCCTTCTTGGTTAATTCGGTGTAGGGAGTCTTCTCGGCTTGAGCTGTCACCGTTCGAATGCCTGCCGAACCATACTCGGGCTCCTCGGTTCCCACGACATTTGCGAGTCTGTCAATTTTAGCTGGTGCTTTTGTCAATATTAGGGAGAGGCACACGTCTGTTTAAACCAATTCATCGTGTTTTGATTTGTCAAGGATTCTCTTTTTGGTTGTGTTGGGATGTTTTAATTAAGAGGAAATCCTTCTCCGAGGTTCAGGGTGACACATGATATTCGAGCTAACACCTTCTGGGAATAAGGTTATAAGCTTAAGCGAACGTTCTTGCCACAAACGGCCGGGTAGATAATTCCACACCGCCTTCTATAAATAGTTTAATTCATGCCAATCATCATATTCATATTCATCACTACCGGTACATATATAAGTCTATATATATATGCACACTAACATTGTCAATCATCAACCACTTCATTTGAAAAAGCCTCAGAAGGAGGTCAAGACCATACTCATACTCATACTCATGCTCAGAACATTCATATTCATTACTACCAGTACATATATAAATCTATATATATGTCCACTCATATCAACCAACTACTTCACTTCACTTGGAAAATCCTCAGAGGGAGGTCAAGAACATAGTCATACTCAGAATATTGATATTCATCGCTACTGGTACATATGTAAGTCTACATATGTTACCAAACCAAATCATGGTATACTCAAAACAATAATGACAATTGATTAACCCTCTCCCTACCGTTTCCACGCTCCGAACATTTCCCTTCGCCACCTGTCTAATCTAACGATTATGCAGCTCCATTGTGATTGCACATCTCATCCATCAACTTCATAGCCTCCTCCATACTTTGAGATGCTCTCAGCTCCTTGAAATTGAAATTCTGTTCTGCATTTTCTTCTCGCGGACCCTTCTCCCACAAGCGCATCTCTTCTCGGCGTTCCTTCGCCCACAATTTCAGCTCCCTTCTTGTCTTTTTATCCTTGAAGATGAGGCTCTGTACTTTGTCATCTTCTTGGCCTTCTTCAATATCTAGTTTTAAACCCTCCAACGCTTCTACATGATCAACCAACGCTCCCCTAGCTTCAACGATTTCGTCAGCCGCAGTATCGGGGGACCAATGCCGCTCAATCTCGTGTATTTGTCTGGTTGCAACAGCAATGCGAACAGAGAGATAATTAATGTGCGAAGTGCCATCAGTGGTATGAGGGCCTAGAAGAGATCCCTCCATCGTTTCGTCGCTTGGGGTTTTCGAAACCATCATTCCCGGTCCTCCTTTCCATTGCCTCAATAAATGTTCGCCAATCAGAGTATGCTTAACTTCTTTGGTAAGGTTGCCAGACTTGACAGCCATATGGCTAGCCACCAACTCATCTTCTACACATTGCTTCCACTGACGCAACTGTTGATCAATCCAATCACAATTTTTCTCATACTCATCGATTCCCCTGTATCCCTGCACCAATATACGTTTTTCCTCGTCCCAAAACCATCCGAAGACGTTCATCTCCCTCGCCGTATTCCGCCAAAATGACTGCAAGGACGTCAAGGTGACATCCGCGGCATTTGTTTCATCTATTAGGCGCTTTTTTAACGCGGAAAACTTACCAGCCAGATTGTCATGGATTTTCTGCATCGAGAATTCGCTGATCTTTCCATCGTTCGCCGTCCATCTAACATGCTGTGGCCACCCATGTTCTGGTCTATCGTCGTCGTTCCGCCTCTCGTACCAACTGAAATCCAGCTGCTTCGTAGGTGCCAGTCGGACATAAGTCGTACATGATGTCTCGTCATTCTCATCTTCGAAGTAATCTTTGATTGAGACTCCGTTCATATGACGACTACTCTGCAATGGTCGTTGTCGTGATGGCAAGGCTGAAATTCTAGCCGCACTTCCAATCCAGTCCGGACCTTGCCAATCCACAGGATCGAATTTGAGTTCTACAACCTTTTTAATCATCCTCAACACAGCCTCAGTGTTCAACGGTCCATCCACCAGCCTCTGACGACTTCGCTCTCCTCCATCGACATTCTTAACCGCCTTTTCAACCGTCTTTTCAACCGCCTTCTTCACCACCTCCTGGAACGAACTCCCCATCCCCGCGCTCTGACTCTCGACTAGCATGTCCAAATTATCATTTTCCCTTAATATACAGAGTGTATTAAGCCTATCCAGCGCAGCGTCCTCATTAATACATACCTTCTCCAGGACCTTCTTCACCTGATCCATATGTCTATTCTTGCCCAAACTGAACGACCAACGCATCACCCCTGCCATTTCCCACTCTCCTCTCACCTCAAGAATACCCATATCAAACCCAAATTCTCGATACGCATTATACATGAGCAGCGCATTTAGACCAACAAACGATGTCGCAAACTTTTCTTCGCAAGTCGTGATTGTGAACAAGTGATCGTTGAGAAGCGGTGCAACACCTGATGGAAGATAAGTATGACCAAGAGGATATCTCGGATCTTCAGGCCCGTTAAAGTTTTCATTGAACGAAGGCGAGAAACATAAAGCTGTATCAAAGCCCTGTGGTTCATTCGTCGTCAATTCTATCATATCAGCAGCCTGTGCTACCTTCGCCTTCGACGCATGATCAATCGCCAGTTGCTGCGCAACACCCTCAAAATCAATACTTTTCATCAAATTTTCATACCCCTCCACCACAGCCGATATCGCCGCGATTCTCTCAAGAGAGCTCTCCAAAAACGCCGGAGGTGGAGTACGAAGCGGTTTTCCAACAGGACGTTTCGCCGATTTCGCCGGTATAGACAATGGGGCGGGCATTAAATCCGCATTCAAATTCGCACTCAAAGATGTATTGATAAAACCCGCCGCCTGAGCAGAAGCAAAGCATTGCCCCAGTGGTGAACCAGCTGGTTGATTGGGAAAATATCCGCCGCCCATCGCTGCAAGAGTCGAGCACCCTCTGCAGTTGGAGGGACACTTTCGGACGGGTTTGGATAGCGACATGGTGTGAGTGTTGTTTGTTTGTTTGTTTGTTTGTTTGTTTGTTTGTTGGCTTGAGAGGATTGATATTGCTATCTTGTTTTTGGTCTGGTGGAGATCGATGGTGTGTGCTGTTTGGTGGTTTGAGGAGAGGAATGAAATCGCTATTTTGTTACTGGTTTGGTGGAGATTGATAGAGCTGTGTATCTGTAATTGTTGATATTGATGCTGATATTGACGTTGATGGTTGTCTGTGTATGTGTGTTCATGGATCAATAATTATTCAACTTGTATTAATAAACCAGTAATAAAAAAACCCAAGATCAAGCAAGTCAAGCCAAGTAATCAAGAGGTCTATCCAATACCGACCCGACTATCCAATGAGATTGTAGCTAGTGATCTGATTTGAGAGATTAGACGATAAAGTGAAGTAAAGTGCTGCTTGTATGTACTGTATATCAATGTCGTGCTTCGATTATTCCCCAAGGCCACTCACTCACTATTCACCTTCACCTTCATCTTCACCTTCACCTACCTCAAGTTTAGCAGAGCCCATTCCATTGCCTCGCTCGCACTTACCCTTCTACATTTCAAAACAAATCCAGATCTAGATCCAACCAGAACCTGCGTCTTCGCATTCGTGCCTTCCTCGTATCGCATATCACATAGAAATAATGACCAATCCAATCCAACCCTATACGCATCACCAAATCCCACAATCAACAATCAATAATCAACAACGGGGGGTACATGGGAGTTTTAATTCTTTATAACAGTATATGTATGTAGTTAATCAAATGAACCCATCCCATCCCATCCTAGGGATCTAATCCAGGAGAACACTTCCCGGTACCAGACAGACGCAACGCTTAAACTACCAATCGACAGACACTTCCTTCCTTCCTTTGCAAAAAAAGACACATAATAAAATCGCCCAACGATTGGCGATGATGGAGGTACTGATGATCCAAAGTACACGGCAGAGGAGATGCAGGAAGACCTCTTCGCCTACTTCCAAATATCTAATTCTTTCTTTGACACACCTCAGCCCCCTCACCCTCACCCTCCTCACCCTCACCCTCAGCACCGAAAAGAAAATTCGCCCATAAAGATGCATCTAGACCAGACCGTCGTAGAGCGAAAGTGCCGATACAATTGTCTCATCACGTTTGCTTCCTTCTTTGAATTCTTCCATATCCAGACTGCCGTTCTCATCCTTGTCCATCATACGAAAGATCTTCTTGACTCGCTTCTCAGGGGTATCCTCATCGGGTGGAAGCTTGACCATTGACCCAACCTACATAAATGCTAGTCAATACTTGTACTTTTCACAACATGATCATGAGGAGACGAAGGGGATCAAAAGGAGGGCCAAGAGCTACAAGAGCGCCAGCCATACAGCTAAGTATTTGGTGAAGTCCTGCTTATGAGGGGTATCGTCGCTAGCGCGTCGTGCCCAACAAAACTATGCAAAAACACCACCGGCGCACGCCCAGTGCGAATTAAGGCTCTGGAACTTTCCACATAACCATCAAGGTAGAGATTGGGAGGGGCTCACCATCTTGTAAATTGCCTCTACAATTGCTAACATTTCTTCGTAGCTGATCTTTCCATCCCCGTCGATATCATAAAGCTGGAATGCCCAGTCGAGTTTATCCTCCATCTTTCCTCGACTGGTGACACTCAGGGCGCAGATAAACTCTTTAAAATCGATCGAACCTGATTTATCGCTATCGAAGACATTGAACACATAGTCTGCAAAGGATGATGGATCTCCGAATGGAAAGAATTGTCGGTAGATCTTTTGAAATTCTTCCTTGGTGAGCATACCAGATGGGCAGTCCTTCAAAAAACCTAGAAAAACCACATTATTAGGTAGTCACCCAACGAGATTGACAACATTCTTGCACACCTTTATACCATTGTTGCAATTCCTTCTTATCAAAGTGAGTGGATTTTTGAAGTTCGGTGATCTGCTCCGCGGAGAGCTTCGATTGACTAAATTTGATAAGTCAGCCTATCTGCCAGTGCGCAAACTGTATCACACAAGATGTTCATCATGGTCCTCGATCAAGTGGTTGAAAGTAACTCATAGCTAGCTTTAGGATGCGCAAAGTTCGACACTGTGGTGGTATTCTCCCAGCCCGTCATACATTTGACCGAACCGCCTCACTCTGAGGTTCGACACCTCGAAGCTTGTATGTTCATTGACGATAAGACTCGGAGTTTCCAATTGCCTCGGGAAATGCGGTGCGCGCTGTTGAGATCGGCGCATTGGCCTCGTGGCTTTCGGCGGTACTCATGTTGTGCAAGCTGTGCAAGCTGTGCTGGAAGTCTCGGGAGACGTAAAAAGGAATCTGGTACTCACGATTTACCCATCTTATAGATATTACTTCGGAGTGTCGGCTGAAGGTATAATTATGTTGAATCGATCGAAATCGCGAACGTCTGGCGCAGGTAAGAGCGCGGCTCTTGCGGAAGTTTCTGAATGTCCGAGTATTGGCTGGTAAACGTACTGGTGTCAGCGATTTGGGTTCAAAGTGGATGTATGTAGTTACGGAGGACAACTCCGTTCCTCCTTAAGGGGGCCTGCTTGTTCGGTTGCCAAACATACCTTCACTTGATCTCTCGTGTGTGGAAGAATTGTCTTAGATATGAGGGTCGAAAATAGAGAGAGAAAGTTGTAAGGTTGTTGGCAGTTGGCAGTTGGCAGTTGGCAGTTGGCAGTTGGCAGTTGCAGTTGTTAATCTGAGATATGTGTAGCAGCTCCGTCCGTGGGGTAGGAATTGGCCTGAATGACTGAATGTACTGTCTCGGCTGACTAGATGAGTCTTCGTTTTCTTGAGAATTGGTTTAAATTCACTTTGCGCCTTTCAACATGTATTTGATCGAGAAAGATATGGGTATTGTCGAGGTCAAAGAGGTGTGTCGCAAGTGAGTTTTGAAGTGGGGCGTGGAGTTGCGTGTACAGAATTGATTAATTGCAATAGTGAAGTGAAGTGAAGTGAAGTGAAGCGGCGATCATTGATAGATATTTTGCAGGTAGGCTATTACGATTGCTATGCTATGAGGGGCTCACTGGGGCTGTGCAATTGCTGAATCATACAGCAGGTACTACCCATACGTATATGAACTAAATCGCCTATCAAAGAAAATCTACTCAGGTACCGAGTACGAGTATTCGAATATAATATCTGATTGTTAATTCTGAGTTGGACTATTGAAAAGCATTGTGAGGTATGCTCAGGTCTTATATCACATAATACCCAAAGGTTGACTAAAGATTAACTATTCATAGCCTCATCAATCCTAAGAATGATTTATCAATATCTATCAATCATTGAGCCTTATCATTCCTTTCATCAAAATTAAACCTTCGAAGGATGTTCAGGATATTCGGGTAGGGCTGAGAACCGTGATTTGATTAATACGAGTAAAAGGTGCAGCGGTATGTGACTCGTTCTCAAAGATTACGATAAAGGTTTTTTGAAATTATTGTTTATATCCTGATGGAGTTGCATTGATAGTTTGATGCCTCTTGTTCAATAAAGCACAGTATTGTATGTATAGGATATGCCATTGTACTTACCTATACATCATGAATATTCGCCCACTCCTTGGCAAAAGGAGACTGAAGTCTGGTTCAATCACAAATTTTAAATCTTATGATAATGGGTATAGAATAATGATTTACTTTATGAGACATTAGTTGTAGGTTAAGACATCCCAGTCATCGAAATTTATATGAATCTCTAGGAAAGTAATGCTGATATGCAGGGACAGAGCACTGATGTAGTTGGCATCATCACCATGGAGTCACGGGGAAAGTGAATGACTGGCGTTCTGATGAGTGCAATATTTCTTGGCATATCTCGAAAATCTTGAAGAAAAGTCACCAAGTTAACGCCGTCATTACCCTCGTTGCGGTTATTCAAACCGCTGAATCCATACCTCAATCATTTCGTTCCGTCATAAGTTCGGCTTCTCTAGTCAAGCTGCTCTAACCTTCTCATATCTTTCCAGCTGTTTCTTTGCTATAGCAGGCTCGTCCCATATATAGGTGACACTCTTCTCTTTGCTTGTGGCATTGGCCCATTTCCAAAAAGCCGGAGCTTTTTCTTCCAAAGTCAAAAGGCTCTTCGGTAGTAAGCCATCATATTTGGAGAAAGCCAAAAGTCGAAGGATGAATGATCCAATTTGAACCTATGAAACTCATTAGTAAAGGGTAGCAATATCAGAGGATCCGGTACCTACTTCAACAAATGTCAATCTCTCAGAGCCTCCGAAGAATGGGGCTGCATTCTGAAGCAAGGGCTCAATCTCCTTCACTATCGCATCTATAGCATTGGTGGCAGCTTGCTCTCTTTCCTCTGATGTTTTTCCTATTCCGGCCTTCACAACATGCGAGGCAACCTTCGAGAAGTAGGTTTCAATGAAGAAGCTGTACTTGGCACGTTGCAATGCACCACCTTCTTCGCGGCTGGTCTTCTCCAAGTGGGAAGGATGAGCATCTACCAAAAATTGGGAAATGACTCCAGATTCAGTGAGAATCTCTCCATTGTAGGAGAGAGCAGGGACGAGACCACGAGGATTGATGGCCAGATATTCTGGTGTACGTGGTATGCTAAGGTCGATAAGGACGGTTTCAAATTCCAAACCGAGCTCAGCAAGAGCTATTTGGGAGCGATGAGCCCAAGGGCATGCATAAGAAGTATATAAGATAATCTTTGGAGCAGGATGAGAACCCATTTTGAGTTCAACAATTGTTGATTTTCCGTCTGGTGTATCGTATGTATGAAGGCTGATATGAAAGTCAGGTGGAAGAGCTGGGGTCACGACTAATTCGGCGTTTAAAGATCCTATATAAAGTGTGAGGGAGGATATTTATTTGGAAAACAAAAGGGTGATGAGATTGGGGAATACCAACCTTTTATATGCCACTCTTTCTTCTCAGGTTCTTCGGACATGTTATGTTGTCCGCAGCTTACATTGATAAGATATCAAGAAATGTTGAATAATACTATTTGATTCGAGGTAAGTAAGGGAGTTATCATAATCCCCCTCATTGTGTCAATATTCGACCGAGTTGCGCAATTGGATTTCTAAGCTTTCGAATATGACGAGTTCATTACGGTTGCCAAAGAAGACTAGAGATGTCAAATTCATTAATTATATCCGGTTATCCGGTCACCGTAATAAAGGGGAAAAAGTGGCTTGCAACATCAATGATTCTTCCTCCACTTAGGTATGTTGTTCAAATATTCAACGAAAACCACCACCACCACCACCACCATCATTAACAATGTCAGGGAACCTCATGTACCTATGTATTTCCATCAACTCGGTGGTTATAATATCAGGTATTACAATGGCAACTCCCGACGGTTACTAAGTTGCCGTCTGAAGGTTACCGTTCCAACTATATCACTTTCCCCTCTTTACCAAGCATTTTTAAAGCTCTCGCTTTCCTCATTCAACTGTACAGACATGCCTTGTCACTCATTAACTGGTACCTACATCAGGCCAGATAAAGTCCGGTGCCATGTTATCCAGACAACTTTCCAAGAAGCAGATGGCACAGAGCCGTCAATGCAATTTCCCGTTAGCCGTGTGATGGCAGCTATACATCGTTACATGATCAACTGCCTTTCTCGTCCTTCTCTGCGTCGTTATGGGGGGTCATCAAGTGTAACTACCCATGCCTAGACGCTTGCTGTGAAGCTTTTGTGTCGTCACAAATGTATGAAGCTATTATGAGTGCCTGGTACAAAAAGAATCCAACGCTTCGGAGAATTATTTGACAGCTCACTGCATATTTGTTTTGCTTCTTGACTCAACCATCTGCCTCGATTTTGAAAATATAATTTTCTGATCCAGAGATTTTATTTGGCAAGAATGGCGTTATCTAAAGCTCAAAGATTGACGATTGTGATCTGCATATCAACGTCTTTTTTTCTAGCTGAGTTATCAAGTATGTCAACATGAACATTCGCATCGCTTCGACCGCGGAAGCTAAATTGTGTGACTATAGTTGGCTTCTATACGAAGTCCCTTGCATTGGTAGCCGATGCCTTTCACTATGTATGTTCTTCCCGACCATCTAGCAAACTGTTTGCCCTTCCTTTCGCCTATGTTTGATCTACTTCCTACTCCGTTTCTGTGGGACTTCATCTAAAGGACCCCAGCTCAATGATTTGATCGGATTCATAGTCGCTTTGACTGCCTTGAGGGTAAGTGATCCGTTGACCATCTTCCCGCTTTCGAAACGAAATCTGACGATGTGCCGCAGGTATCCCAACGTCCTGATTCTCCCGATTCCCTCTCGTTCGGCTGGCAACGCGCACAACTATTGGGTGCTTTTTTCAATGGTTGCTTTTTGCTTGCTTTAGGTGTCAGCATAGCACTGCAATCCATCGATCGCTTCGTATATCTAGAGAGTATGAATCTCTAAGCACTCGAACCTTCAAAGCTAAATCTTTACCTTTTACAGGAGTCAAGAATCCCAAATTGATGCTCATCATCGGCTGCACCGGGCTCACTCTAAACCTTATCAGTGCAGTCTTCCTTCACGGTATGTGGACATTCTACAAGCTTACAGGTTTAGCTAACTTTGTTAAGATCATGATCACCATGGACATCACCACGGGCATCACCATAGTCATGGTGATAAATCTATGCCTAGCACCATTGACATCGAACAAATGAGCTCGGACACTCTATGTGCCAACACGATAAGTACGTATATTTCGGATGCCTCCAAGAATCTCCAAGAAGATCGTCACGAAGGTCATCACCATATGATTCAACCATCAAACGACAGAAGTGAGCCTCGAGATTTAGCCTCTCTAGCTGTGCTGCTTCATGTGATTATGGATGCAATAAACAACATAGGGGTAATCATAGCCGCCTTGGTTATCTGGCGTACCAAATATGGTGGCAGATTTTATGCGGATCCAGGAGTGAGCATGGGCATCTCAATAATGCTAATCTTCTCATCTCTTCCAATAAGTATGTAGCTCCCATCGTGTCTGCCTTCATGCCTAACCAATTTTAACAGTCAAAAACGCCGGCGCGATTATGCTACAGTCCATCCCATCCAGCATCAATCTCAACAATATTAAGCACGACATCGAGAATGTTCCAGGCGTCCTATCTATACATGAGCTACACATATGGAGTTTATGTCAGAGAAAGACGGTCGCCTCAGCCCATATAATTACAATCGAGACAGATATCAAAGAATTCATGAAGCAGGCGAAACTCATTAGGGAATGTTTGCATGCTTACGGGGTTCACAGTGTAACACTACAAGCTGAAGCATCAAACGGTGCAATCTTGGATGGAGTTGTTGCACAGGAGAAATGTCAAATGGTTTGCGGAAGTTTATGTGAAGATTTGGCCTGCTGTCCATGAGTGTAGCAGGTTATTACACCATCGAATGTTCTTGTAACTATCGAAAGGTTCCCTTGGAACCATCTATCCCCCAGATTGAAATGAGGGTACTTACAATCTCTCGTTCTAGTAACGATATGTTCACACTCAATGTAAAACTAAGTAATAAAGTTACATTTCTCCTTCACATGTCATGTCGTATTGGGCTAAAAAGTGGCGTTTTCATCGTTCCATCGTCCCATATTTGACAAAACCTCGGATGAAACAATTGTGCAAACCAGTTTTGCGAACCAATTTTGCGAACCAGAACCAGTTGTTGTACAAATGAGGTTGTAATTGTACAATAATATTTGATGCAACGATGCAACTCATCTGCACACGCTGTAGTCACGCCTTACAGACCACATTATCCGTCCAATTAGGCAAACGTACTTATCGCCATGTGGTCAACCCCACAATTCTCCGATAAGAAAGTCTCATGGATTTCCCCTCCTATTTTTTTCTTCCCCGGTTCCACCACCCTTCTCAAATTCAAAACCACACCAACTACCCCCAACACCCAAAATGAAGATCGATGAACTCCCCGACAATGAGTTTACCTCTGCAACCCCTCCAGCACCAGGCCAAGACTTTGACCTTCTAGCCCAAGCCATGGCATCCTCCTTCCCCGGGTTTTCCCCCTCGGACCCCTCGAACCCCTCATCCACCACCCCCTCTCTCCCCCCCTCCCTCGCATCCCTACGCGATAAATCCGGCCCCGAGATCCTCCAATCGCTAAACTCTACTCCCCTATTCATGACCGAACTAGAAGAGAATGACGAAGTCGAAGCTTTCAAGGCATTAGCATATGAAGGCACACCCCTAGAAATCGCAACGAACTTCAAGGAGCAGGGAAATGATAGCTTCAAGGAAAAACGGTTGGCGGATGCCAAGGAGTTTTATACTAAAGGGGTGAGTATTTTATTGGCGGAGGTGAGGCGGAGACAGAAGGGTGAGAAGAGGGAGGGGGATGCTCCTGAGGAGGGGGTGGATGAGGTGGTTGAGGAGGTTAAGGTCCTGGAGGTGTTGCTTGTGAATAGGGCGATGTGTCATTTGAGACTTAAGAACTATAGGAGTTGTGTGCAGGATTGCGGGGCAGTGTTGCGGATCAATAATTCGAATACGAAGGCGCTTTACAGGAGTGCGAAAGCATTGTTGGCGTTGGGGAGGATAAAGGAGGCGGATGATGCATGTGTGAGGGGGTTGGAGTTGGCGGGGGAGGATAAGGCGCTTTTGGTGTTGGCAGGGGAGATCTTGAAGAAAAATGAGGAGATTGAGGCGAAGAGGAAGAAGGAGGTAACAAGATTGGTGAAAGAGAAAAATGTAGAGAGGATATTGAAGACGTCCTTGGAGGCGAGGGAAATCAAATTACGGATGTCGGATAAACCACCCGAAATGGAGGATGCGAAGATTGAGCTAGTGCCAGATGCATTGGATCCGATCAATTCGACATTATCTTTCCCAGTCCTTCTTCTATACCCTCTAGCAGCCGAATCAGATTTCATCAAGTCGTTTAATGAGATGGATACGGTAGGACAGCATTTAGCCTACATATTACCGCTTCCGTGGGATACAAAGGGGGAATATAGAGATGAGAAGGTGGTGGAGTGTTATGTGGAGAAGAAAAAGGGCTCGTTGATAAAAGTGGGAAGAAAAGTTACGCTATTGAAGGTTTTGAATGGCGGAGAAGTACTGGATGGTGTTGTGAGTATATATGTAGTGCCGAAGCAGAAGGCGGCGGGGTGGATAGAGGAGTGGAAAAGAAAAAATGTGGTGGCGGTTAAATAAATGATATTTTGAAATATAAAGATAAGATTCAAAACAGGTTCCTGGAACTAATCAATGCTTTAAATCACATCATGCCATGCGATGTGATCGAGGAAATGAAAAAGCCTAGTTTCTTCCGCTTCACATGCGAAGAATAGACTTGCTGGGAGGGAAACACATTGCACGGATCAATCACATCACGACTCTCACCAAAGTTCCATCACCCCAACAGTTAGGGGCCTAGGGCATAGGCCCAATAATCAACGAGTACATAGCCATTCAAACCCAAAACACAACACTACATATAAATACATACAATGCAAAGCAAAGCAAAGCTGCAAGTCTGGATATGAACAACCTCCTTTCCTCTTTCTTTCTTTCTTTCTTTCTTTCTACTCCATTCCATTCCACGATCCGTTCCAGCCCAGCCCCTTTCTACTCTAGTACCCTATCTCCTCTATTATTTTGCTTTCCTTTTCCTTTACCTCTGCTGTATCACCTGGCCCCCACCACCCAACACCACCAACCAGCCTTAATATTTTTCCGAGTGTGAGAATGAAAATGAAAATGGAAAGATATTGTTGAAAAATAATACGATGCGCAAACCATGTATGCCCGCAAGATTGAAACAGAGATAAAGACAAAGACGAAGACAAAGATAAAGACAAAAACAATAGGAAAGGAAAGAAAAGGAAAAGAAAAGGATCTAAGTTAGATCAAGTTGGAGCAGAACAATGGTATCTCCGTACCCAACACTTCTTCGACGACACTCATCTCAACCCATATCAACTCAACCCACTCAAAATCAGACGTATGAAGAAGTTCGAGCCAACCCCACCCCCCTCACATACTAAGAGCTCTCCTCCTCTTAACCCTCGGCCCATCACTATCCACCTCATCCTTACACCACTTGACACACCCCATCGTCGGTGTATTGAACACAGATGCACTAGGTACCATGGGCAACGCAGCACCTGCTTCACCATCCTTCACACTGAGTTTCATGAGAAGCCATGCTGCTTTCTTTTCATCACCTACAGCCATGGATGTTTTTTCCCCGGAGAATTTATCTTTTGTCTCGGTGCTGCTTTGGCTTTGGCTTTGGTTGTGCATGATGTTCACGCCTTCTGCTACGTTTGCTCGATTGGGTGTACGACGAGTGCTAAGTCCAACGGTTTGATCGTCGCCTTCGGCTCGGCTGGGACTCTTCTCATCGCCAGTAGCGCTGGCGCTTTCTTCTCCGTCGTATTCTTCGTCTGCGGGGTGAGGACGCTGGATCTCTCTCTCTCTTTCTCTGTCATCAGGAGTAATTTCTTCGAATTCTTCAGCGCGTCGCTTGGCTCTCCATCCAGTCATGTCGGCGAGCCCACTTATGCTTCGTGGAATGGCACTTAACCATGGGTTTGTACCGCCGGGGCCTACGACCATCGTGCCGTTCACACCCGTATGGGTACTCATCAATTTATGATTATGACCATGACCGTGAGAATGACCCCCCATCCCCATCCCCATCCCCATTCCCATGCCAGAGATATTGATTCCCGAATTAGCAGAGTGGGAGTTGACATTTTGATGATGATGACGATGATGATGATTCATCGCCGCCGAAAGAGAATGTGAAGGACCATTAGGAAGGTGGGATCGTGTGTGAACCCCCCAATTTGCAACCGCGAGACCAGACGTAGGCGTCACCGGCGAACAAAAATATCCCGCATCACCACTCGACGTCTCGCTCGCAGCATCGTGATCAGTACTACTCTCTGCATATGGAGTTTCACCCCCGTACGTTCTCTTGAGTCTGAGTCTTCGCTCGAGATGACTGCTTGAACTTGTAGGTGGCGTCATTGTATTTGTGCGCACAAGATAATTAGAACTTTGTTGTTGTGGGCTGGCGGAATCGCGGGGTGTAACGCTGGTTGACGACTTGGGGGTAAAGGATGTGTATTGGAGGCGGTAAGATTCAGCTTCCGCGGTGGCAGCATGGATGATGTTAGGATCGATGATCATTCGGCCGTGTTCTGGAGCATCGGGATTGACGCATAGAGAGGGGAAAGAAGGACCAAAGATGGGAATTAGAGCTGGAGCGATGTGGGAGCAGAAGGTGGTGCAAACGGCGAGAGCGCATGAGTAGGGCATCCAGTAACCTGGAATGGAATTAGTGATGGAACTTCAGGTGCTTCTTATGATTGCATTGTGATAGTAATGGAAGGATCTTAGAATGTTCGATGAAAACAAGAGTAGAACCGTGCATTTGGGGTCGATTCTTGATGAAGGCTGAGATAGAAAAGGATGAAAGCTTACCTTGTGCTGCTAGAGCGCCACCAGTGATGCTGTGCGTGATTTCCTTTAGGCCTGGATTCAAACCAAGCATCTTCGCTGGAGTTGTCTATAATTACCACACGAAATTAGCTATTTTGAGTACACGGAACCTGAAGGAATGAAGCTTGACTACCTTAGAGTATTTGCAACACTTGAAGAAAGGAGTGATGCGAACAAGCCCAACATTATAATCCCACATAACAGTGTAATCCTTGTCATCTCCTGGAACTTTGAATATGTACTGAAAGACTGCAAGCAAAAAAAGGTCAACTCTGGTAAGCTTATCGGAAAAGTGTCAGCTTTGCATAGACAGGAGCATACCTTCGAAGCTCTCTCGACCAGTCTTTTCTAAAAAGTTCTTTTTCTCGCTGTTATAAGGAATATGGCGGCAATAATCCTGAATTTTACCAAGCGGATACACCTGAAATTTTTGGACCCCTCGCATAGTCTCTTCGCTCAGATGCTCAAACGGTGGAAAGTTTACGTCGCCCTTAATCTTACCCTTGGCGAACACTGCGCCGTCCTTAGTCATCTTCTGTTTCTTGATGGATGAGGATTGAATGGGTAAGAGAGGATGTCCATAAGAGGACGATGAGGTGCACAGCGATGGTGGAGGACTTGATGGTATCCGAGTGCTTCGCGGTTCTGACTTAGCAGGATTGAGTAGTGATGCTACGGACAGCATTATGGGCGGTGAGTGATGGGATGCGTTCAATAGAATCTTGTTTCCTCTAAATCTGCAGGCTGGATGCCTCTTTTTCGATAGTGACAAATTTTCAAATGGAAAACGCAGCCAGGTAATTTCATAAACTTCTCGGTACAGGTAGATGAGGAAATTAATGTTTGAATCTGGCAAACAGGAAAACAAATGAATGGACTATTTTTGAAGAAATTTGAGGGACAATAATGAATGAGCTTCAACAGCTTCACTTTCTTCGGTGTCAGCTAGCGATGCAGTTCCTGCAGTCCAAGGATGGATGTCTTTGGGTCAAATCGGTATTCTCGAACTGGAGGTACTCTTTGTTGGCAGTTGTCTGAGAACCGACCAGTAGAAGATCAATCGTCCGTTTGTCGATGCCCACCGCTCTTCCAAAGCTCGAAAATAAGAGGCATCCACTCAGCAATAGCAGACTCCGGGGTAAGTTGGGCAGGGATGGCCTACTTGATATTCCAGCAAGCCCAAGGAATGATTTCTATCAATTTTTTACAGTTTCAAGGTTGTGGGAATTTTCTTGAATTGACAAAGGCCGAGGTGACGAGACCATGAATCCAAACGACTCTTAAGAAGCTTCTATTCAGATTCGCCGCTCCCGTGCCCGTCAACATAAAAAGCCAACACGGCCACCAAGCAACCTGCATATGGATTGCGAGCATATCGAGGCAAGACGTTTCACCAGACTAAGAAAAAAGCAATATTTACCGACTTCAGTACCATCAAATCGGCTGCGTGACTGCACAGGGGTGGCAAGCCAGGCTGATCAATTAAGTTTGACAACAACAAATACTGTGCTACAGCCCGATCGGGAACAGGGTTGTTTGAATGTGGATAACAAGATGTCTTGGGCCGGTTGGCTGCAGTAGTTGCGGATGATTTACAGTGAGTGAAAGCCACAATTTCAGAGATAGACAAAGAAATCCATCCATCATAAGTGGCACTATCTAAAGCAAGATTGCTTGACTCGATGCACGTGGACAACACATCTTCTATCTGTGTCTCTGCCGGAAGGTAGAGATGCTAGAGAATAACATATCAGTTTGTGAGAATCAATTTCTGAATTTGGAAGGAGGGTACCATCCATCACTTCTCATAATATTCGTTGAGAAACACCTCTTTAGGGATGCTTTAAATAAACATCATGTCCCCATCCGCTGTTATCACATTAAAGCAAATTTTACTCTGTTCCCTAGGAACTTCTTCTACGGGCCTTCGAGAATTAAATGAGAAATTTCTCTAGTCACACAACTGATGCGAGGACTAGTACTGCAGCTGTCACTTGAAAAGCATGGTAAAGTCTACGGGAATATGCAGGTAAGCGCAAAGCCGGGATGCGTGTTTGGCTACTCTACTGCTCCAACTTGGTGATGGGAATGGTCATTAGTGTGCACGTCATAAAGACATGGCAACCAGGCTGGCATTCGTGGAGATTTCTATCTCAGTAGATGAGATGACATAGCAAGCTAGAGCTAGAGAGCAGTAAGATGTGTGTTAAAAACAAACACGGAAGCCGGGAAAGAGAGACAAAGAACATGATATCTGGAATAATCTTCACAGTAGGGTAGCTAGCCTTGTCTGATCAACTAATTTCTGAAATGTTACTGTAGCCACACTTCCTCGAGTCGCAGTTGCTGAGACAATGTCAGTGCGGGTGACCCAAATTGGATGAAAGGTGCAGTTACCCGCCGACCTTGTCGCAAAACGCCTTGCCATAGGTCAACCACGTTGTCGCCAATGCACCCGGACAAACGAAGAAGAAGGATAAGTTTAATGACAACATGCGCCTTATGCAAGTCATTACGCCTACTTGTAATGCCCACAGCCCCTGGAAGAGACTCGATGAGATCTCCATGCAATGAAGAGAAAAGGGGAAGGACATTCATGGTTCGATGAGCTTTGTGAGACCAAATCACTTCCCCTTTTTTATTCCCTCGGTTTCAATGTTTACCTGGATCTACTGAAAATTTGAATCAGAAGTAAAACACATTTTTGGGTCGTTATCGTCTTGCACACAATGTTCCGAGTTGCAAGCAATAATATTCCTCCCATCACCATAGCTAGCATTCAGGAAGGGAGGGATCGATCAATACCCATTTACCCTGCCCTGCCCCTGCCCTACTATACGATACGATGCTTTCCGCGATTGAGGGTCAGTACTACCAACCTGTAAGGTTCTGTCTCCTAAGCTATACCGGATGATCTTCTGACAGCCGTTGGAGTTTCAGATCGTGGAGAACGCGTGGAGTACAATAAATCTTGGTATACCAGATCCATTTTAAGGAATCTGTAGAACGAAACGGGAGGAAAATGTCGGGAGGATGCATTATTCGCATCGGAAACATCTTTTGTCAACGTGCAATTTCTATTTCGAAGGAACACAAGAAATGAGTTCTTCCGATATCAAGTTTGAATTGAGTAACACTAAGCTCTTTCGGGGCTAAAAATAATTAACGCATTCGCTAAAGGTTTTTATAATTAATTTTATACTCTTTTTAGTTTATATTCAATCTACCGATACTAGACCGATAACTAGAGCGATACTAGAGATGATTTTTTCTCTATCCGCTCTCTTCTTCTTTCTCGTCTAGTGTTAGGTACATATTCATCTCTTTCATAGCAGAAACCAATCAAACTCCTACGGATAATCCTTTTGTTTTCACGATATTCATTGTAACAGGTACAGGTACAAGTTATTTGCTTGTACTGTACCTAAGTACCAATCACAGTTGCAATGCAATCCGGTGTAACATGTTTTCTGAGACGACAGATGTTTATGAGCCTCAGGCCACAAAATACACGTGCAGCTATTTCATTTATGGTTAATAAGGTCAGAGCTTTACTTTCTTTGTACTAGCATATTTTGAGCCATGCGATTACTCAATTGTTTATTTACTTTTTGGAATTTACTCTTTCTCCAAAACAAAACATTTGACAGTTTGATCAATCTTAGTTACCTAGTCCAGGGAATTCTATTTATTGTACTACCATTTTCTTACCTCGAGACCTTTGCACAAGTTAATCTCGAGGCGCGATCTGTTTTTCTCTATAATTCATCATGGACGACTCGATGAGCGATGTGCCTAGCTTTCACGTGTCGGATGATGACTCTGATAACTTTGCTCCCACAGTAGTACGTTGTTCACACACATACTCTGCTAGTTACACAAATGCGCTCCCCAACAACTCACTCGATCCCCAACTTTAAACTGACTTTACCATCTAGAAAGCTAAAGCGAAGACTACTGCAAAGAAATTCGCAGCACCAAAAGCGAAAGGACCAAAAGCAAAGGCAACGAAGGAGTCAAAAGCACCAAAGGCCACCAAGGCTACGAAAACCACAAAGGCCATACAAACCACCCTCAACATGGCCCCCAAAAAGCGTGCAAGATCAGGGAGTGATGATGAGGGTCAGCAATCGGATAATGCCTCTTCTAACACTGCGTCGCAGTTGTCTAATACTCCGCCCGATGCGAAGAAGCAGAAGAAAGCTCCGGCTGCTAAACGACAAGCCGCTGAAGCCTTGCATGATATCGAGAACGATAGCATACTGGAGACGGTGGCTAAACCAAAGAAGACGAAAACCTCAACGGAACAGTACCAGAAACTTACTCAACTCGAGCACATCATCAAGCGTCCAGATACCTATATTGGCTCTGTTGAAAAGACGGACCAGACCATGTGGGTATTTAATTCTGAAAGTAAGGAAATGGAGCTTCGAAAAGTCACATTTGTGCCCGGTTTATACAAAATCTTTGACGAGATTATGGTCAATGCCGCAGACAACAAACAAAATGACTCTAATATGAAGAACTTAAAAGTGGTTGTGGATCGTGAGAAGGGTGAGATTAGTGTTGAGAACGATGGTAGAGGTATTCCCGTTGAAATCCACGAGGTAAGCCGTCTACTTCTATTTTTCCCCCCCTTCCCTCACAATACCCCACGACGACCAGACACGAGTTTCATACACCACTCATATAATCCTTTTGGGTTGTTGATGAGAACCAGTACCATTAGTTTTTCAGAATGAGCGAATGGATATGCTTTGACTTCAAGGGATATTTTATCGCCGAGATGACATACTAACAATTTATCTAGAAAGAAAAGATTTACATACCGGAGATGATCTTTGGACATCTCCTCACTGGTTCGAATTACGACGATGAGGAAGCCAAAACAACTGGTGGTCGCAACGGTTATGGAGCAAAGCTTTGTAACATTTTCAGTACCGAGTTCACGTTGGAAACACAGGATTCTAATACCGGCAAGAGGTATAAGCAAACCTGGACCGACAACATGAGCAAGATTGGCAAAGCAAAAATCTCCTCTAGCAAAAATGCCGATTTCACCAGAGTTACCTTTACCCCAGATTGGACAAAATTCAGGATGACTGGAATCGATGACGATTTTGAGGCTATGGTGAAGCGCCGAGTGTACGACATGGCTGGTACTGTCAAAGGCGTCAAAGTTTACCTTAACGGATCACAAATCAAGCTTGACTTCAAAAAGTATATCGAAATGTACGCCAAGGCGATCAACAAGGAACGTGGTCTTGAGGATTCAAGCGCAAATACTGTCATCGTTGAAGACTCAAAGGGTCATCCAACCTGGGAAGTTGGTTTCGCTGTCTCCGATGGTTCTTTTCAACAAGTATCATTCGTCAATTCCATTGCTACAACTTCTGGTGGCACTCACGTTAACTATATCGCTGATCAGATCTGCGATAAGTTGCTAGAGATCGTCAAAAAGAAAAATCCTAAAGGTGCAGCTTTGAAGTCCAATCAAGTTCGCAATCATATCTTCTTGTTTGTCAACTGTATGATCACAAACCCTGCCTTCACCTCGCAAACAAAAGAGCAATTGACTACGAGAAAACAACAATTTGGATCCAAGTGCGTTCTAACGGACGATTTTCTAAAGAAAATTGGCAAGACCGAAGCTGTAGAAAACATTCTTAATTTCGCAGCGAAGAAGGCCGATCTGGAGTTGGCAAGGAGTGATGGAAATAGACGCTCACGCATGAACAACCCCAAGCTCACAGATGCAAATTTGGCTGGAACAAAACGCGGCCACGAATGCACCTTAATTCTCACCGAAGGTGACTCTGCAAAGGGTCTTGCGGTTGCTGGTCGAGCAGTCCTCGATCCAGACCGTATCGGCGTTTTCCCACTTCGTGGAAAGCTGCTCAATGTGCGTGATGCTTCACACGACCAGATTGCAAAGAATGCCGAAATTCAGAACATCAAACAATTCTTGGGGTTGAAACACAAAACCACCTACAAGGACACTTTGGGTCTTCGATATGGCCATCTAATGATCATGGCAGATCAAGATCACGATGGTAGTCACATTAAAGGATTGTTGATCAACTTCCTACAGGTGCAGTATCCCAGCTTACTGAAACTGCCTGAGTTCTTCCGAGAGTTCATTACTCCAATTGTCAAAGTCTGGAAAGGACCAAACCCTAATAAACCTATCAACCTAAAGTCCTTTTTCACAATGCCCGAATATGAGGAATGGAAAGAGTCTCACGTTAATGATAAAGCCTGGAAGCATAAGTACTACAAGGGTCTGGGCTCGAGCAAAGCTGAAGATGCGCAAATCTATTTCAGTAATCTTGATGTCCATCTGAGAGAATTCGAAGTCATAAAACCCGAAGAAGAAGAAATGTTGGATCTTGCTTTCTCGAAAAAGAAAGCAGATTCTCGTAAGACATGGCTAGGAAACTTTGTACCTGGTACCTTCTTGGACCACACGGATAAAACGCTCACATATGACAAGTTTATTAACAAGGAATTAATTCTCTTCAGTATGGCGGACAACCTTCGTTCCATTCCTTCCGTCATTGACGGTCTCAAGCCCGGACAACGGAAAGTCATGTATGCTTGCTTTAAGCGCAACCTAATAAATGATATGAAGGTTGTTGAGCTTGCTGGTTATGTCAGTCAAGTCTCGGCCTATCATCATGGCGAAGCTTCGATGCAAATGACCATTGTTGGGCTTGCCCAAAATTTTGTTGGTTCGAACAATGTCAATTGTCTTGAGCCAAGTGGAAATTTCGGTAGTAGGCTTCAAGGTGGTAGCGACGCCGCTAGCGCCCGTTATATTTTCACAAGACTATCACCCTTCGCTAGGCGAGTCTTCTCCGTTCTCGACGACCCAGTCCTGGATTACAACGTTGATGATGGTAATTCAATTGAGCCTGTCACTTACTTTCCAGTGGTGCCCATGGTTTTGATCAATGGCGCAGATGGCATTGGTACCGGTTGGAGTACAAATATTCCAAACTACCATCCCGTAGAGGTTGTGAATAACTTGAAGCGCCGCATGGGTCGTCTAAACGGAAGTGACGAGAAGCCGTTTCAAACAATGATGCCGTGGTTCCGCGGGTGGAAGGGCACTACCGAGCCCGCCGGTCCAGATCGTTATAAGTTCAATGGTATCATCAGAGAAACTGGTGACACTGAGGTCGAGATTACCGAGTTGCCCATTCGGATGTGGACAGACGACTTTAAAGCTAGGCTTGAGGAAATAATCAAGGCCGAAAAGGTTCCATCGTTTGTCAAAGATTACAAGGAATTCAACGACCATAAAAACGTGCATATGATCATTCAGATGGACGAGAAGCATATGAAAGCTGCTCTGGTAGAAGGTCTTGCCGAAAAATTTAAGCTGAACAAAACCGTCGCTACTTCTAACTTGGTCGCTTTCGATCACAGGGGTCAAATTCGCAAATACGATAAAGTTGAAGATATTCTCGAGGAGTTCTATGAGCAACGTTTCAAGATGTATACCATTCGAAAAGCACATTGGATAGAAAAACTCAGTGTCGATTATCGCAAGCTTACTAACCAAGCTCGATTTGTGACCGAAATCATTGAGAATAAGCTGATTGTCTCGAAGAAAAAGAAGCCAATTCTTGTTGCGGAGCTTCGAAAGCGCGGCTTTGAGGGGTTCCCAAAGGTCAGCGATGCGAAGAAAGCCGGCGAGACCGATGACGTGGTTGAAAACGAGGACGAAGTGACTGCTGATGAAGATGCCGGAGTTAGAGATTATGACTATCTTCTTGGCGTAAGCAACTTCCGCGTTCCCTTCGTCATAACATACTGACGTTTAACTAGTTACCGATTTGGTCTCTTACCCAAGAACGTGTCGACAAACTGATGAAGCAGATGCACGACAAGAAATACGAAATTGACACACTCGACAAGCTTAGTGAAAAGGATTTGTGGTGTGCTGATCTTGATGCATTTATCTTAGAGTGGGAAGACCAACTCAAAGAAGATGCCGACGTAGCCAAGAATATCCGCAATACAAACCGTCGCCGTTCAAACAAGATTGGAGCCGGTGGAAAGGCTGGTGGGAAAGGTCGAGCTAAGAAGGATGATGAGGAATTCACTGTTGGTGCAAAGAAAAAGGCTGCTGCTAAGCTTTTAAAGGCCGACCCAGTGAAGGGGGTCACAAAGGTCGAGAACAAGCCCCATCAGGGATTCATGGATATGTTCTCCAATAAACCCAAAGCAAAATCTGGTGGACGTTTCGATGGTGGTGATGACTCAGGGATGTCAGATGACGATTTTGCGGCATTGGTGGCCCCCGAGGTCAATGCCCCCAAACTTGATGCCGATACAGGTATTGGACGAAGCAAGCGGGCAGCTGCCACCGCACCAAAGAAATGGGTGGTGGATAACGATGAGGAAGATGAAAGTGATGATAACCTTCTCGGGGATATTGATAACATGGTCAAGGGTATTGGTGGGATCAATAAACAAGACGCTCATACTGCAAATTCAAGACTTTCCTTGTTCGCAATGTCAACAAGCAATGGCGACAGGCCTAGCAGTAGCACAGGTCTACCCAAGCCAAAAAATAAACCTGGCAAGGTGGTCGATCTTTCCGAAGACGAAACCAACTATGAGATGCTTGCTAGAAGTTCCCCTCAAAAGGCTCCGGCTAAAGACGAAGTTGATGGTTTCCTATCTTCCGATGACGACATCATCTCGATCGTCCCTAAGAAGGCTCCCGCTCAAAAGGCAAAGGCGACGAAAGAAGCACCGAGACCACCCTGGCAAGTCCCGGTTGTTAAGAAGCCCGCCCCAGTAGCAGAGTCGAAGCCTGCTCCTCAATCACCGGCTGCGAAGGCATATGAAGCGAAAAAAAATCGCCTCCAGCAGATTTCCAACACTATCGGTTACATTGAGGATGAGAGTGAGGATGAGGACATGGAAAAAGCATCACCACCACCAACCAAGCCCGTTACCAAAGGTAGACAAGCCAGCTCAAAGACTACTGCTCCGAAATATGTCATTAGTGACGATTCAGACGAGGACATTGAAATGGAAGATGCTGCACCACCCAGAAAAGCTATAAATGGTGAAACTACTTCCAGGACAACCTATGATAGCGACGGCGACGAAGATTCCATAGCCCCTCCTCCCAAGAGGAGTGCCAAACCTAAAATTGCCCCCACAAGTTCGGTCGTTAGCGATGACGAGGATGAGCCCATCGCCCCTCCCGCCAAGCGAGGCTCGAAAATCAACGCTGCCCCCAAGAAGTTAGTCATTAGTGATGATGAGGATGAGGATGAGGATGAGGACGAGGACGAGGACGAAGATGAGCTTGATTCTCCACCAAGACCAGCTGCAATCGGAGGACGTGGTCGTCCAGCAAGAGCAGCCGCTGCTGCCAAATCCAAGAAACCGGTTTACACCATCGACTCGGAGGACTCGGAGGATGATGATGTTGATGAATCCGCGTTGGAGGAAGAGGACGAAAGCGAGGATGACTTCAGCGAATAAACTGATGAAATGTGTTTCCTCAGTTACGGCGTTTATGGTGGGATACTTACTACTCACTTTTGTCTTCTAGGAAAGGCTGGTATGCGCAGTAGTCTCTTTACATAAGAATATCAATTTGTGTGACAGGGAAGTGTAGACTTCGAGGAAGTTTGGGAAGTCGAATAGGGTCTGCTTTCCACTACACTCCTTTTAGTAGACCATTTGTATGTGTATAGTATAAGATCAATAGTCAATTATGGATTACATTTTCTTTATGAAAATTTTAGTGATAGTGTACATCTTCGCTTGATATGTTTGAAGTGTTTGAATTATTTGATGATCAATACTGTTTTCCATCTTTAGGTTCCAATGGTTTGATGGCCTGTGGTTGACGATCATCATCTTCCAATTTATTTCTTTTGATTTGAGCCACTCATGAGAGGTACCAGACTATCAGTTCATCCGTATCATCCATCTAACCTTACCTTAGTGTAAAAAGTAATCTCATTAGTTGGTAACATAAGAAGGATACTAGGTAATCAATTGACCATTCATTCACTTTAGGATCGAATCTTATAATCTTACAATCTTTACATATCTATATTCTGACCTCAAATGAAATGGAATAAAGTGATTGTCCCCCCCCCCCCCCCTTTGATGATTGATGATTGATGATTGATGAGTAATGACTGTTCTATGGTATGGTATACTTGAGTTAGGTAGTCATAGGGAATTAGATGTAGAAAGTTAAGAAAAAGTAGCTGTAACACTGGTATACTTACGACTAATGATCTTTCTGTAAGTACCCACCAAGTCTAGACATCTAGACTCGAAATAAATGCTGTTAGTTTATTGACTCCACTACCTACTAGGTAGGTTTTGTGCTCTAGAATATGAATCGCCTAGCCTAGGTACATTTGGTATATGTATTAGTAGCTGTGCACTATTACTAAAAGGGAAGAAATCAATTCAGGGGTAATTTTTTGGTTTTTGTACTTTTGTAAGATCTTACTTTATTATACTATAACCTGGGATTCCGCCTATTATATTATATCATTGATGTTTATAGAGTTAGCTATAGCATCTTCTAGGCGTCTTGGATATCTCATCTTGTATTACCTTGAGGCTTGAGGATGAATGCATGCATACATACGGACCTTAATTTATGAGGACTAGATTACTGGATGACTGGTTATCCTGCAGCCTGCACAAAATTAGTTTAGTATAAGTAACATTTTCCCCTGAAATTAAAGTTCTACCCGTTCCTTTACCCCTACTTTTACCTCTAATGCTTGTTTATCATCTTATTACACCTTTCCTATTTGGGTTATCCCGGTTACAATAAACAACTGGGTTATTCTTACTTCCCAATCAAGCTTCACTCAATAAAAGTTATGATACCCACCCCTCAATTGATTTGTATCTCACCGCCGCATCCTAGACCAACAATTCCTATCACTCCTTCTTCATCCTTTTCATCATACTGTATTCTGACTTATATTATTGGTACTGTAAATAATTAATATAAATCATAATTGATTGTTTATATGTACTGTACTGTACAGTATATACAAATGTTATCATAGTATATTGAAAAATTAAACTAAAACCGGTACCCTCTTTTCTTCCTGTCAGTGGGATATAATTTTGTAGTAATACTCATACTTAATTTAATGTTATGGGAAAAGTCGCTCTTTTCAGTCATCACTCAATGTCACTCACACAATACCCATTTCATTTACCTTCCTAGGTACCTACCTACTCACACACCTACTCACCCTCAACCCTCACACACTCACCCTCACTCACTCACCCCCTTTCCCAAGAATACCCCCATTTCGATTTTGTACTCTGTACAACTTTCACGACCCATTCACGATAACCCGGTTCACATTTAACGGCTTCTTCTATCCAGCATTGCATTTACCACCCACGTTTCCTTGAAACATCCGATCTCCGTGCGCGCGTCAATTTCCTACCTTTTGCATCAGATTACGAAGAGTGTGACAGCTTGTAAATATCGACTGGATCCATCGATTCGTACAACCAGTAACAAATCAACTTCTCCGGTTACGCTCAACGTTCTACAGTATATCGTTTGGAAATTCTTCGTTTCGGGTTATCGAAAAGCTGTTTGCTTGTGTGTTTGTTCGTTGGTGGAAAGAGAGTAAAGGTGAAGGTTGATTTTTGGTTTTACGTGGATTGAATCAAATTTTGAAGAGAGGTTGGGGTGCCTTCATTGACATTCCGACCTTTTTATACTATTTCATCCCGACGACGTTCATTTACAGACTCCAAGGTTAAAATGGAGTCCAATCTGGATCAAGTCCAGGTTAAGGATGGAGTTCATTTAGAAGGGCAGGCTATGCAACATGATTCTATGGTTACAGTGCGACTATCCGAGCCGCCAATCCTGACACTCGACACGAAGAGACATTCCGATAAGTTTAATACAAATGAGGAATTGCAGACGAGCGAAGAGACGAATACTCCTACGGACAAAAGGCAGACGATAATGAGTATAATGGATGTAACAGGGAAGGAAACGGGAGCGGAAATTGGCACACAAGAAGAAGACTCGCCGAGAATTACCATGATGGATCCCAATGGCAATGAAGTGTCTACGCCTACGGGCTCGGAATCGGCAGAATCAGAACATGGCTCGAGGCGAGAAAGTGATAGCTCTGACACCTCGGTCGAGGAGGTCAATTGGGAAGAATTGGAGAAGACTGAGGAGCAGCAACCGAGGAATCAGGATTCCGACGATGTAAGGCTATGAGAGACGCGTACATAATTCCTTTACTAACACGATGCAGTCAACCGCTTTACTGCTAGCCAGGCTTGAACAAGAAAACAACGCGATAGCCTCGAATCCAAAGGCGGGCATCGCGAAAGTTCAGAAGGTTGAGAAACAACGAGCTCGAGCTCAATCAAGACCACCCTCCATACAGCATCTCAAGAAATTGGTCAATGGCCCTACACCTTCAGCCCTTCGATACTCGGTAACCCCTCCGCCTCCTATGACCGACCTCGAATTCTATGCCGCACTCGTGCAAGACTACCCAAGAACTGCTCAATATTTGCCTACACTATTGTCGAAGAAAATCAGAAGCGGCATACCTCCACCATTGCGGGGCGTGGTATGGCAGAGTATGTCTGGGGCTCGGGATCGATTATTGGAAGAGCAGTTCGATAGACTATGCGGCGAATCAAGCCCGTATGAAGGGATTATTGGGAAAGACCTGGGGCGAAGCTTTCCAGGTGTAGAAATGTTCCGTGATCCGGAGGGGGATGGACAACGTATGTTGGGAAGAGTTCTGAAATGCTTCAGTTTGTACGATCATAAGATTGGGTACTGTCAAGGTTTGGGCTTTCTCGTTGGCCCTTTGTTGATGCACATGGGTGACAAGCAAGCCTTTTGTGTTCTCGTACGGTATGTTACTACTTCAACTCCTCGTTTCTATATTTACTAATGATATGCAGACTTATGGAACATTATGACTTGCGAAACTGCTTCCTGCCCGATCTCTCCGGTCTTCACGTTCGAATACACCAATTCCGAGAATTGCTAAAGCTACATCTGCCGACACTGTCAAATCATCTGGAAGTATTACAAGTCGAACCTGCATACGTTTCCCAGTGGTTCTTATCGTTTTTCGCGGTTACTTGCCCTCTCCCAATGCTTTTCCGAATCTACGATGTCATATTTGCCGAAGGTGCTTCAGAGACTATCATGCGAGTTGCACTTTCGTTGATGAGAAAGAATGAAAACAAAATCTTGTCTTGTACAGAGTTTGAGGATGTGATGCAATTACTTCTCTCTAGGGGTTTATGGGATGTCTATCATTACAACGCAGATGAATTTGTCAATGATTTCGTTAGCTTAACAGGGATCGTGACACACGAAAGCCTTCAGAGTTTAGAAGCGGGCTACAGGGTGTCTCAGATTGTTGATACTACTATACCATCTGATGTGGGTTCAGCAGCCTCACGATTTCTCGGACGATTATGGGCTGGCTCAAACTCATCCACGAAATCGGCAAATCTTACTCCTAGCCCAGGGCTTAGCGCCCCATCACGTCCTGTCAGTTTCTTGAGGAGATCTCCTTCAAAGCAAAGTTTGGCTTCTACATTAAATTCTATGGAGGGCAGCGGATCAGATAGTATGCTCAGTTCTTCAACTGATGCGACCAGCGTTTCTCGAGATTCAGCAAATACTGATGGGGCCTCAATACGGGCTCAGTCTGTTGCTAGTGTCAGCGCCACCAAGACTCCAGTCAACAAAGACAAGAATTTGCACAGTCAAATTGAAGATCTTCTGATGGCGCTCAGTGAGATGCAACGAGATCATGCTATACTTGCGACAGAATTGCAAAGGGAGAGAGAGGAGCGCGAGGAAGATAGGACTGCTGTGCGGTCGTTGCTTAATACACTGAGGAAAAAGAGTGGGGCGGAGACTGGTGAGTGTTCGGAAAGTGATGTCAGTGTCGAAACAGTGAAGGGAATGAGCGTAATCACAGAGGAGGTGAATCCGAATGAAGTCACCGAGGACGAAGATATTTCGGCATCCGATGTCATTGACAATACGGAGGTCAAAGAAGTGTCTACTCTCCCAATTACTACCGACGACTTTTCTAGTCTACTCGATGTTGTGGAAGATCGTTTCCAAAGTCCAATCGAAGAGCGGAGATCTTCTATGTTATTGACAAGATCTCAACTTCGAGAAGAACTCAGTCGATCAAAAGAACAACTTATCATCGAGACTTCGAGGTCCCAGGAATACAGCAGGCGTATTGCCGAACAAGACCAAGAAATCAGTAATTTACGAGATCAGATCCGAGAAACTCAAGCTCATGTTCGAAATTCACACCAAGATAGAAAACGATTGGAGAAACAGGTTTATGATTTGCGAAATTCAAGAAAGAGTGCCCAGTCGACTCCAGATGGTACAAGGGATCATGATATTGAATGGGGTGTCAAAGGTGCAACCACAGGAGGTTTACGAGAATTAAAGCTTGTTCGCACGAATTCCCAACGTTCGGTGGCCACAATTTACAATAAACGAACTTCAAGCCTCATATCTCATCCGCCAAATTTCAAAGAGAACGAAAATCCCCGCGCCTCTGCATCCTCTGAACGGCAACGTTCTTCTAGAGATGATGAAGATTCCGATTCATTGGTTCTCGAACTTGTACAAGCAAAAACAGCTGAAGCTGTTGCTAAACAAGAAGCAGAGGAAGCTAAACTCAAACTTGAAAGCTTGAAGAAGATGCTAGCAGGGCTACAAAATGGGGAGATGCCAACAGCAGCGTTTGGGCATAAATCAAACCTTAGTCTTGAGAGGTCGATGTCGGCAATGCCTGCGAAAAGTGCAATGCCGAAGGTAGAGACATCAAATGCGGCGGCGAGTGTACCTAATACTCCAGCGCCGGCCAGCGGAGGTGGATTCTGGGGTTGGGGAAAGAAGGCAGCTGTTAATACCGAGGGGAAATAGATGATGTAGATTTTTGGAGAGAGGTCTTGAGATGTTGGGATATGAATGATAGTTGTGGTTTCGAGGGATTGGAACATTTGATGAGATGAGAATGAATTGAAAAACGCAGGAGGTTCTTTTTGCTATACTCGAGTACGCTTGTTTTTTTTTGCTTGCTTACTTTGCTTTTTTGGTCTTTTTTTACTACGCGCATTTGACTTCCTACTAAGCAGAATACCCGAGAGTGCGTGTGCTTGCGTAGATTCAGATTGAACTCTTCTATGTGCCTTTGCGGAGGAAGAGGAAATCATTATATTTATTTTTTATTGTTTGTTGGGGGGCAGGGGGGGAGGGTTGTGAATTAGTGGGGATGGGGTGAGATGAGATGAGATGGGGTGAATGAAGACTTGAGGGAAGTGAAGAGGAATTTTTGCTTAGTATGTACAGTGTGTGTGTGGATCGTGGTAGAAACGGTAGAAACTTGGTGGTGTTTGTGTGTACAAAGGGGGGAAATGAGGAGATGAGGGGGGGGGAAAGAGAGTTGTGGGTTTGGTGTTGTGGATATAGAGGGGGGAGAATGGGAAAGGGAAGGGAAGGGAGAAAGGGAAGGATAGGGGGGAGGGGGGGAGTAGAAAGAAGAATGAAGAAAGTAGAACGTCTTAGATAAGAATGAAGATGTTGATACTCTTGAAAAAGAAAAATAAGATGTTGTTACTTGAGACTTGAGACTTGAGTAGATACTCGTAGATGACTTGCATAGTGTCGTGATGTGATATGATTTGATTTGATTTGATATGATGTAGTGAGTTTAGATTCTGGTTGATGATTCTGGTTGATAATAATATTAAGCGAATGGTTTATGTAGTTTAGAGTATATTATCGAATAATCAAGTAGTTAGTTGATATAAGTAAGTGTGTGTATACATCGATTGCGTCTTGAAAGAAAGGTAATGGTGGAGATGGAGATGGAGATGGTGGGAATGAAGTGATGAAGTGATGAAGTGATGAAAACCTATGATGTATTTATTTATGGTCCGGTGGGTGTGTGGGTGGTTGAGTGGTTGTGTATGTGTATGTGATTTTGAGGGGATACGGATGGTTAAGGGGGGTTATGGATGTGGATGGATGTGGATGGAATGTGAATATAGATATGGGTAGTTTGAAGTTTGAATAGAGTAGTTAGGGATATACTCGAGTACATATATGGATGGTATCGATTTGTCTCTTTGTCTCTTTGGCTCGTGTTTATTATGTGTATTACAATTGGGATTGGGATTTGGGTTAGGGTTAGGGAATTCATTACTTACTCGAGTTTGCATATAGATAGATGGATATTGTCATATTGAATACCTACCTAGTAAGTGAGAGAGAGCTGGATGCTTGTAAAGAGGCTGGTGTGTAGAGGCTGGTGTGTAGAAGATGGATGGATGGGTGGAAGGAAGGAAGGAGGGAGGGAGGGAAGGAAGTTAGATGCTGGGGGGGGAGGATGAAAATCGAGATTTTATGGTCTGTTGTGGGTGGTTTTATGTAGGGAGGGCTGTTTAATGTATATATGTATCTATGTATATATGTACATATGTATTGATAGATACAGTAAGATGATTCAAAGTGTATGATGTATGATGTATGATGTATGATGTGTAGGATTAATTTTATGTCAAGATATATGTGTGTTGATGTGCAGAGTGGTCAATCAGTCAGCTAGTTAATTAGCGTTGACTGATAGTGATTAATGTAAGTCAGTTAGTTGATCTTATAAAAAGTCTTTAGTTAGTGAGGATACCATTCTTGTTGATTAGTAGTATATTAGTTAAGAGATTCAATTTTGGGGTTAATAGGGTTTGTTTGAAAAAGGTAGAGAGGAGGGTTATATAATAGATTTTGATGATTTTGATGGGTGAAAATATATAAGATATGTATTACTAAGTAGAGTTAGATCATATGATTCAATACTAAGTTGTATTGGGAATTATGTATTAGAAGGAGGAAAAGTGATGAAGGGAAGGGTGGTGAAAAGAAGGGTGGTGGGGAGGAGGAGAGGGGGGATAGATAGAAAGGGAGAGGAGTGGTGAGGGGCAGTGAAGGATAATGTGAAAGTGATGGAATATGAGGGAGGAGAGAGGGATAAGGGGGGGAAGAAAGGAAAAAGGAGAGAAATAGTAAAATAGGGATAAAGAGTGGTGAAGATTATTTTGTATTATATAAAAATCATCTGCTTGATTAATTAGTTGTTGATTAGTGAATATCAGCAAGTTAGTGATAATGAGGTGATTTCGTTAGTCAATCAGTTGTTATAAATAAATTCGCTGATGATTGATTGACCACTCTGTTGATGTGTTGATGTGTTGGTTGGAGAGAATGGGTTTACTCGATTTCACAAGTAAGTATTTAACGGTTCGAGATGCAATGGTTGACTTACCGGGGTGTCCTCATATTCACTTGGAATGAATTTCCGTACGCCATGCTAGAAAGCATTATCTTTGTTGGGCATATCATTACATGTATTTACAGACCTTATTCGCCAATCGGTTGAAGTATATGGAGATACTGTTGGGTATGAAGGGTTGAATATGCTGTTCTGTAGTATGGTAATAGTTCTGGATGATGTGTGTTTGTGTTGCTGTCATGTTATGTTATATTGATTGTGTTAATAGTGTTGACTTAAGATCTTATGACTGCCCTAGTTGTTGATGGAAGTGTGGGTAGATGGGTAGATGGGTAGAAAAGGACTCTGGAGGAGGTAAGGGGACGAGGATGAAAATGGACGCTGGGTGTATAGAAGGAAGTTTGAGATTGAAGTTCTATTATAAGTAGATGGATGGGTGGGTAGCTATAGATGGGTAGTCAGAAGAGAAGATGGAGATGGAGATACTTAGTAGAGGGATTGATATTGTGAGGTATGGAGTGGTATGAGGTGGTATGATTTGTGGCATTCGTTGAACTTTTTTTTTATTTAGGTCTGGATGTCTGGTTTGGATTGCGAGTGGAATAGATGAAGTCTGTGGTGTGTACGGAACTATGGAGATTGAGAATTGGGGATTGGAAACTGGAATTGGGAAAAGTGTGTCTGAGTATACTTTTTATAATAAACATCATCAAATAATATTGGAAAAGCTTGGATTATAATTAAAGGGGTAAAATCGCGTGTTTTGCGTAATATGTGTCTTTTAAAACCCGCCCGAGTATTCGGATTCAATTGAATTTCTTGGTGAGTGAGTGGAAAATGGGGATTTACATACTCGAGTAATAAAGGTTGATTCTTGATAGTTAGTGAAAACCATATATGAGTAAAGTTTAGGAATGGAATTATGCTTTTATGTTTTTTGTACATTTAATGTGGTTGGGGGTTGAGGGTTGGGCGCTGTGATGAAGCATTACGAGTAGAGTTGGTAATTGGGAATTGGGAATTATTTGTGAGTGTGTGAGTAAAGTGTATGAATTCATGTTTTGGTATGTTCATTTGGATTGGATTTATCATAAATGATAAGAACCGAATCTGAAATATAAATAATGGTTTTGACTCTGGATGATCGGGATTCGAATAATATAATAAATATGGAATCTTGTTTTGATGTGGGCATTTAAATTGGATTTTGTTATGTATAAATGAGTAGAATTTGAGGTTGGAATACAAATGGAAAATTTGGATTCTTGATGATTGGGACTCATATAGAAGTAAATTGCATAGATTCATGTTTTTGTATATTCATTTGGGTTGGATTCAAAATTAATAACTAGACTTTAGGATATGCGTAGTGGTTTTGGATTCTTGATGATTGGGAATCATAAAATGTGTTTCTACTGATCTTTTTATACATTCATTTGAGTTTATTTCTGTTATGTATGAGTAGAAAATGGAGTTGTGAACAACGAATTTTGATTTGTAATATTGAGAGTCATATAAAATGCATGGATCTATATTCTTATACGTCTATTTGAGTTTGAATTCTGTGATGGATGATCAGAAAATGGGTTATCAGGGGTGAATTTTGGCTCACGATAATTGAGAATCATAGGAAATGGGTTCATAAGTGATGGACTTTGATTCATGATGCCCATGAATTGCAAAAAACCTACCTACTCACAGTATTATTTACCTACTGGAGTTGTACAAGACTGTCTCTAGGAAGCTTAAAAGAGGCCATCCCCGACTTTGGGAGGTCTACTTTTTCATTCTCAAAACAACCACTTGATACCAAGAAGAACCAAAAGACTTAACACCTCAAACGAATACTCAAAATACTACACATTTCCCGTGAGTGAAGATATTCCCGTATTAAACACACAAGTACTTATTTGTTACAGTCCCAACCCACCATAATCTATCCAACAGTTTCACCGTACCTAGACACCATGAGTTCAAACAGCGAAGACGCGGCAACTTCTCCCGTGGTAGTCGCAACCGGACTTCCCATGTACCAATCTATTACTCAAGTCGGGGAGAATCAAGCGTTGCCTCGGACCGCCGACAACATGGAGATCACGCATGCCCCTGGACAATCGGGGCTCTATGATGCAAGAGGTCATACTCGTCCAAACGTTGCGAGGAACATCATACCTGCAAGACCATATGGCTATGGTGAAATAGAAACGGATCCCAGGTATGCTGCCTCTGCGTCTTCTTGGGAAGCTACTTTGAGAGGATGGGACTGCGAATTCAGCAAGGAGAAAAAGTGCTATTATTTCTTTCAGAAGAATAGTACCGGTACCCGAAAACTACAATGGGAAAATCCGTATGCGTGCTTGCAAGCATCGCAAAGTCATACCGATGCGAGGCTCAAAGAGGAAGCAGAGAAACATGCGGCGGCATCTAAGCCACAGAAGCTGGTCCGTACTGCGGGTTTGAATCCTGCTGAGATGAAGTATGCAAAGGATGTGAAAGCAAGTCAACCTCGCGATGGATTTCCGTCGGCACATGGTACTCCTGTTGCTGCCCCTAGTGGTAGTGGTGCCTCCTCTCGTAGAAGACACAGGTCGGACTCGAAGGATAAGAAGAAAATGAAGTCAGAGCAGCCTTGTGGCATTCTTTAGATTGGGCGGGAGAAGGGGCGACGAAGCCGTGTTGCGAGGTTGGTGGACTTGAATGGGAATGTAATGAAATCGGGAGTTGATGATGAAAAGGGCAGATGTATGGATATGAAAGGGAAATGTCATGGAATGAGGAGTTTATGGTAAAGTGGGGCAGATGAATCGGTTAGGGATAAAATTTAGTTGTACTTCGAGGTAGTTTAAATCACATCTCATTTTCACGCAGAAATAATGCAAATCATTTTTGGAGGATGGTAAATGAAATGATTTGAAATTGTACTCGTAGAAGGATCGCTAATTGAAACGCTTCATTCGATTCGAAACCATAAACGCTGATTTTTGTGACGACAATTGTGATGTTTGTATGTCGGAAAAAACCCAAAAAAAGGGCAAAAGAATAAACCCGCCGTCGTAAGAAGCATGACCACCGCGCCGAGGGGATGGGGGTTATGCGGGGTTTAGGCTGTGAGTGTATAGGGAGGAGGTTGGATTGGATGGATGGATGAGCGCCGGATGTCCACGGTCCACGGTTCCTACAATTGAGATGAGGAGGCTGTTGATATGTGCCTTGGTGTTTGATATGTGTTTTTGGTATTTGTCCTATGCAAATTTAGATAAGCTGTCTACATACATCAAAGGCATCGAGCAAAGAATAAAGCCCGAATTCCCAAGTATATTCTCACACCTCGAAAGCTTTTGGTGGTGTGGTAAACAATGTGGTAAACAGGTGATCACGGGTTGACAGTTCCTCATAATTTGAGCTAATTTGGATTGGGGTCTTAGTTTACCAGCTAACCAGGGGGATGGTTTAGCTTTGGGGTTTAGGTATATATTTCTGCGTGTTAAATGATTAGGGTTGATTTAAATGGGGATTAACTCGTTCGGGAAAAGATATTTGGAATTTAAGGTTTAACTAGCTTCAACTTCGACACCGAAATCTCAACACTAAGATTTTAAGCTTCGAACCTCAAATCCAAGCCTCAATTGTAGATTCAAATCTTCAATCCACTTAGTAATTCCCTGCAATCATCTACAGATTTTGATAAGAGTCTAAACTATTTGCCATTTATAACGGTCTACAAACGACAAGCTTGAAAATATATGGTTAATTGCTTGTCGACCACACTGGTGGTGGTGGTAAACGTGTCTTTTTCCATTACGGTTGCTACAACTACCGATTAAAGTGCACGCACTAGCGCGGACATCAAGGCTAAAATTTGAGATGTGTAATCTAATACGGCTCTTCAGTTATAGGACACAATTTTTTACTTAGAATTAGCCATCTGATTAACGTATATCGCGGCCTTGTACGAGTGGGTGGATGTTGTCGTGTCTTTTCAGAGGATGAATTAAGGTTACCCCACCGTCTAAATGGAGCTTGGTGTCGTAACCTTATGCTTTGTCATCCAGAATTTGAGCCTCATCTATCACACGACTTCAACGAACAAACGAAAATGTCGTTAATCGACAACTCTGCGTTTTAGATATCGATTAAACCATCAAGTTTAATACTCAGCTTCATAGGCAGATTCTTTTTCTACCTATGTCCTCGAATTGTTGTATTTTTCTCTCGATGTGATCTGTTTATGATGGACCAGTCATGACATTCGAGAAACTCGCAATGTATGTGTAGGAGTATCTACACCTAGCACAGACATCTGTGTAGTATTACTATATGGAGTGCTATCAAGACATTTCAATACAAGCGTCCCGATTCCTGTTGGCAAATCAATGTTTGTTCGTGTGAAGACAGGTTGATGCAAGGTCCCCGGTTCCAGTCTTCCAGAACTATCCCTTTCCAAAATCCGAGTCCATTATTTCGAGCAAAGGACGTACTTTTGCATGGATTCTATCATATATTGCTTGTATCAACCACACAGAACATACCGGATTCTTTCGAGAGTTACCAGTGAAATGACCAGTGTCACGTGTCGTATCTCTTTCGATCATGAGAATGTAAGTTACTTGAAGCTTCACATTCGGTAGATTTACTTTCACTGCTCTGATGGTTGTTTTCGTTTGGATTGATTCCTGTTGTCTGTAAAACTTGTTTGACTGTTAGACCACCAGATAAAAAGCCTTACAGGAGTTCAAATCCCTCTGAGCATGCGAATCGTTGCCGATGATGAGTATCGTATGGTACCATAATTGCTAGATACTCCTACAAAACGTGGATATGAAGTTTCTAAATGATCTTTGTAATCTCCCTCTATTAGTTTATCAGAACCGTTCTTGTGTGATTGATGTTTGTGAGCTTGAGGTTTACCGAGGTGGTGTAGAATTCGGTTGAACTGGTAGTTATTCACCAACCAAACTTGACTATATATACTCTCCTAACACCAATTTCTCCATCCAGATCGCAAAGGCGACAAACAGACTTCTTTGTTCAGGTCAAATGCGGTCTGGTGGTGGAGTGGTAAAACGCCTGGCCCGAATACGATCGAACGAAAAAAACCCGTCCGAGGGTTTCTGTACGGATACAGTTTTGCCATGTTGTTCGTCCCCAACAGTTTTTTTTGATCTGTTTATCATATTGGTTGATTGATTGATATTGTCTTTTGTTTTCAACCTGCTTTTTTCACATCCTTCTTTTCCGTATCGTTTATAGTGGGGCAAAGAAAAGGCAGAAGCCATGAGGCGACGATGAGATGAAGCGGAGATAAGAAAGCAAGATTGTGTAACTTTCTCCGAGCATCAGACGGTTACATTCAGTGGCATCAATCAATATTCTAAAGATCAATCACATAAACAGTTTAATATAATGGTTATTTTATTGATCTTCTATTCCTATGGTTGAAGTTCGAAGACGTTGTAATAACTTGTACTTTGCTCCTTTTGCACTCCTTTTTCCAATGTTCATAACAATGTTTTGCTTTGGTGTTGTATACCTATCTGCACCAGGCAGCAGAATTGTAATGACTTGTCCTTGGTATCATCTGTTCGATACCTCTCATTTCGGCCTTTGATACTAAAGCCGAGGACCACTCCGTTCACCTGTTGATTCATGTGTGTTTATATAGATTCAACCGATCACAAAATTACCCCTCTTCAATCTAAGAAGGCTTGTTGTGATAATTCACCTTTGCGATAAGTAAGATTACTAAATTTTAATTAGCGCAGAACTCTAGAAGGTACTCCTCATTCTCTTTCAAAATTCAAACCACCACAACCACGACAGCAACATCAAGAATCTGAGCCACTTCGATCTTGACTTATAATACCATATTCTGTTGTTTATTAACATCTGCTTTCTCTCTCTCTGGTCTTTTAAATTTCAATCAAACAAAATGCGACAGGCTGCCTTCAGTGGCTCGTCGCGTGAGCGTTCAACTTCTTCGAGTCTTGAAAATCTCTCTGTCAACCATCAATCAACTTTGTGCAGTACCTTTTTGTTTATCAATAACTTCTCACACAGCGTTCTATCTACACTCTCATCAATCCAATGCGTTTGACACTTGTATGTAAAGTTTGCCGCAAACGCACTTCCATTTGATTACTGACTTTCATCACACAGTCGGGTTTTACAACCACTCAAGTCTTTGATCGAAGCCTCTCAACAAAACTTCAACTTACCACACCAGCAAGTGTCTGTCGGAATATAGTCAAGTATTTCATCTATCCTAATACCTCACTCCAATATGCTTGTATGCTTATTGTGTTGCTGCAAAGTTTTTTCCGTTCAGTTGCTGACCTTTATCGCGCAATACCGTCCTTGTAATCTACTCAAGCGATGTGCTCTTTTTACAAATACTTCAATTTACTATAGCGTTCGTCATCCAGAATACTGTCAATCTTTTATCGTATTCGAACCTTCTTCTCCAATGACACAAGCATACTTCTTATGGTACAGATCTTAATACAAAATCATTTTCATTCAATTGCTGACTTCTATCACGCAGTTGCGTCTTACTCAAGTACCACAATTCTCAATTCAAATGAGCAGTATGCTTGTGTCAAAAAACAATCATTTCTTTCACCTTTTCCAATATTTCTCTGCCGTCACGCATGCTTCATACATCACTGCGAGATTGAACACAATTTCAAATCTTTCATTTGAACGCGCGAAATACCTTTCAAACCCTTTCTTGATAATACCTTTCTATCACTCTCACCAACATTCAGTTCAATTCTTACATCTCACAATCTTCTACTTCAGTTTCTAACAATACACCTCCCTAAAACAATTGATTCAATTTCCAATATCACCTTTTGCGAATCTTTACTTCAGTTTTCAACTTCCGACATTACGCTTCCTTCGAATGGCCACCTCAATTTCTGACAACAATAACAAAAACAATAATAACAATAACATCAACAACCACCCTCGAAAACCCTTTCAACTACCCTCAACAACAACAACAACAACCTCCAACAACCATCTCCAACAACCCTCGAATTTCCTTTGTCCTTAGTGTATATTCTTCTGTGTTTGTATGTGTGCGGATTGGTGGTGTGCTGAGTAGCACGCACCGTCTAAGTAGCATTCCCTTTCGGGACAAAGTCTGCTAGAACCTGTAGCTAGAGCGGCTGAGTAGCCAATCCGAATGTCCAGTGGAGATTGCTATCTCTGAAGTGTTCGTCGTCTATTTCAGTGGTGTAAGAGAGGGTTGGCATTTGGGGCGCGAGTAAGTTCTATCGGCGGCGGAAGCTCCTGTTATGTCTACCATTCGATTGTTGGATATCCAGCATGTATGGACTTGTTGAACTTGGAAGATACGCCTATCTTGGGAGCAGCGTACAGTTGCTCCCCGCACTCAAATGGTACGTTGCTTGATTGATACCTTTTCTTCTACTTCAAATCTCATCCGATAGAAACAACAATGCTGATACCCCAAGCCGTCCAAAGTTTCATCCTCGGTTGGGAAACTATCGTATGGTAAATCCAGCCTGCCGAGTACACCAATTCGTCAATTCAGTTGAGCACAAGAGCTTGTGTGTTTCAGAAAACTTATGTTTTTTGGACGCTTCCAGTACAACTGTTCCACGATTCGTCGTGATGCAAGTAAACCGTATAGCCACAAACTTCGAATCTCGTCAATACAGAAAGCTGTGTCTCACCGCACGCACAAGTTTTACCTGTATTGAGAAATGTAAGAAAGTATGTGTCGAAAAGGACCTAGTCCTAGGAAGCCATATCGGTATTCATTTCACTAGATTACGCAAGTGTATGTTGACGCTTGATGGTAATGGCTAGGGTATGTGTATGAGGTCTGTGGTTCCGTTTGTGTCTTGATTGTTCCTTGATCGCGAGTTTGTGAATAGTTGAAGATCTGATGTGGGTTGCTGGCTTTACGAACCGATGGTTCAGATCTGCTCGCAACGCAAGCACGTTATTTCCGTGGACTAGAGATTATTGTGGGGTTTTGGCTTTTGTGGGTGCTGGCTATGAAATTTGGTTCTTCGGAACTTAATTTCTTGATCTCTAGTTCTAACGAAAAATCGTGTGTTGTGGGCTTGATCTTGTGGGTTCTGGGGATTATTGTACCTTGGTTGCTGCCCCGCGACCTATTGGTATTTGGGAGCGCGGTATCACTCAAATGTGAAGCCACTACGAATATCACAGGTGCAAGGGGAACAGGTCTTCAACTTTCACTTTCTGGCTTTCTATAGGCTTCAAGAATCATTCGGGTCCATGCTCCAATTCGCATAGCTCCATTCGAATACGATGGCGCGATCCACGTTCATCGCAATCGATCCTAGAACTACTGGCACTGGCTTGCTGAGTGTGCGATAAATCCCGTTTTATCGTATGCAACGACGCTCGACAGTACTATGTACAACTCTGATCAATTGTACGGGCTGAGAATGATAGTGATGTGGCGTGTGGAGTTAGGAATATCTCGGTCTGCTGCGACATTGTCGCCAGTACAAGAGATGCTAGCCTGACCTATGATCGCAGATGCTAGCGCAGATGCTTCATGGGGAGCCCTCACATCCCTGGCGGTGCGGCTTGCGGGGTACTAGTGAATAATTTCTTCCTAACCGAGAAGCTCGTCATTGATCTTCATTAACTACTCAGTTGGTGCAGACAGGAGTCTAGCAATGCGCCGAGTCACCGGACAGAGCGCAACGCGAGACTCATTCAAACTGTCTGCAAGAGCTGTTGATGACCTGTGGGCGATATGGAAAGCCACCCAGCATGAAGTGCAGTAAGGTGAGTAATAAGGTGTTGCTCGGCGAGGAAGTCGTAGCATATCCAACAATGCTATTGGACTGGTCACTGCCCGAGTGTGGAAACACCTCGTGGGGTCAGATCAATTCAATAGCTATCGCACGTCTTTTGAGAGCCCTTATTATTTAGTCAGATACTGCATGCCTGGATAGGAGCGTGCAGAAATCTCAACCTACTTCATTCTTGGAGCAACGGAGTGCTGTGGGTATAGTGCATTGTCTGTATGAGGAGAATTCCGAAGGCACATTCTCAGGTATACCTACTCCGTTGCGCTGCGTAAGTCTTTTCCTAGTGAGGAAGCACGTCATGGGTCCAAAGCGCGGACTCAACAGCTCTTCCCGGTCTCAGGGAGAAACCCTTCTTCCACGTTCAGTCATTTCCACCTGGTCTCCAGCAAAAGGTATAGGTATGGCTTGTAGTGAAAGTCTTGTTTCATTGTTCTGCGTGGGGGCTTTGAGAGGCTTATTGGTAGTTACTTTTCTATCCACCATTTGCAGTTCTACCTTAACGGGTTCTACTGTCGGTGCAGCTGCGGAGGAGCTGTTCGGCGTCTACCTGCTCCTGAGGGTTGATAAACGGACGTGCTGAGACTTCTCTTCTCGGTCCACTCAGGGATTTCGTCGTTCAACCACCGGGCACTGAGGCGAAATTAGGGCTTGCTGGTCGGTCAATCAACATGTCGGAGTTGTGTCGGCGCTGAGGCAATGTCCGTCCTGTTAAAAAACAACGAGCCTTGACGACGTGGTTCTTATGGCACTTGTCGTGTCCAGATTCTTAGTCTCTGCTACTGCCTGAGAGTGGAAACACCTCATGGGGTTAAGTCAGTTCTAGGTTTGGAAGACGCGGGATTTGTTACTGCATTGATGGTGAACGACCTGTGTCGTACCGGAGTAGCCGTTTCTTTGTCTTCTTTCGTTCCGACCTGCCTTTCTGGCTGAACTGCAGCAGCGATGCCTGGTGGAGGGTACTGCTTGTGGGGACGTTTGTTTGGTGGAATATTCTTGCGGTTAACTTCCAACGGTCGAAGATTGGTTATCGATCTTCGATGGTCGTCAATCTCGTTAGAGGGCCTTGTTGAGACTCCTTCGTGAGTCTCTGATGGGTTCCTCTTGAGGTTGTCGGTCGGCGAAAGGAGATGCCGGTCCTAGACCAGGGAGAGATCCAATGATCCGTTGTTCAGTCACTTCGGTGATGCTGAGGCGGGGATGGTGAACTTGCGTTTTGACCTGTTGTTCAGTCTTCTGATTAGACGAAGGTTTCAGATGAGGTTTCCTGTGAGCTTAAAGAGTCGTCCACGAGTCACTTTCGAGTGACTCACAGGGCGTCTCTGTGAGCTTTAATGGTCCCTCATGCCAATCCGAATGAGTTCTCAATGAGTCGTCCAACCAGTCGCCTTCGGGTGGCTGACCGGGCTTCTCACCGAGATTCTCGACTGGGGCGGTAGAAATTCTCTGGCGGGTTTCCTTCGGGATCCTTGAAGGGGTTTCTCTGTGCTGGGACTGAGGTTTCTCAGGTGAAGATCATGTTGAAATTCGGAGTTGTCCACGAGCCGCCCTAGGGTGGCTCACCGGGCTTCTCTGGAATTTCTGATTGTTCTTCTTGCTGCACCGACTGAGATTCCAACGAGGAGTTCAACGAGTCGCCTTCGGGTGGCTCACGGACTTCTCCGCGGTTCTCTCGACTGGAGTAGCGTGAGATCTTCTGATGAGTCCCTTCGGGGTTCCTTGAAGAGATTTCTATAGACTCTTCGACATCTATTTTAGTTGATGCTGAGGCAGTAGTGAGATATCCAGCGACGAAGTATTGAGGGGCTTTGTGGATGACTTCGGTCAGAAGCAAACTCTAGATTGGTTTCGCTTACTGTCCAGTGATACCTTGGGTCCGGGTAGCGTTCTCTTCGGGGTTCGTTACGTCGCGCCGGGGTCGTGGGTGAGACGCGCGACCTTTCGTTTTACCGAGTCGGCGGTGACTGGGCTTTCTGGTAGGGCAGTGCTATCGGGGTCTTCGGACCTTGTGTGTGCTATACCGCCGTTTGGTCCTGATCTGTTAGAGAGGGCTTGCATGATTGTTTTGGGTGGCTTTCACCGACGATATAGTATTTCCTCGCTGTCACAGGACGATTGGTGAAACGCACTCAAGCTACGCTGGTTCTAGTAGTTCTGCGTCTTGATTGGGTTTGCTACGAAGATGGTGTCGTTGCTTACTTGAATGGTTTGCTGCTTGCTGGGTGGATTTGCTGCTTAAGTGGATGGATTTGGTGCGTGGATGTGGTGGATGTACTTGATGGGAACACGGGATTTACTTGGAGGACCTCCTACTCAGCGTATCGGTACACCTATTCGAAAAATTGAAGAATCGGCACTTCATTCCTCACTATCTACAAGCAAAGTCTGATTCGGTGCAGGGTTCGACGCAACAGTCAATGCAACAGTCAAAATCAATCAAGACATCAATCCAAACCTTAAAAAAACCCCAATCATCACAATGATCAACAAAAACAATCAATGCACCTTTCGAACTGTATCAGGAACCATCAATTGTTCCACCGATACGCTTTCTTCAAACACCGCTTTTAATTCCTCAACATGGGCTTCGGATGCATGGAAATGGAGTTGGTTATACCAGGAGTTTTGGCATGGCAGTTATTTTGAATTTGTTACTTGATGTACGAGTATTGGTGGAGTTTGGCAGCAGCAGCAAGACCCGAGCACTTTAGATAGATAGAGAGATGGTAACTACACTCTTGTAATATTCTGGTAGACTTCATCCTCCTGGCATAAATTGCTGTATCTACTTAATGGAATATTTGTACCTTTTCTACAATTGGTTTTCCTTGTTAATTTGCAGCAACGTGAAACGTGAAACGTGAAATTTTGATGTGGTGAAAAGTGTGCTGCGTGTAGTTAGTTAGTATTCATATTTGACCATTCTCTCCATAATCACAGTATTAATAGCACCTGCCAAAACGTTCTCAAGTTGGGATGGAATTGTTACTTGCATCATCCATGGAATTGTCCCAGAGTTTTCGTATTAATACAATCTGCGTCTTCCACAATCGTAACAACGCATAGAAACCCTCGAGTTTATGAGAGAGCCGTGAAATTAATTGGAGAGTTCTCAGAAGAACCTCGAATGGCTTTTTGTAAAAATTTCTTGGGACTGGCGGTCTTCCTTACCACTTTTATTTTTCTGCGCGTGGGCTAGTTCTATCATCTATGATCTATGGAGGGATATTGACAAGTTCAAGGTAATAATGCCGCATTTTATGCGTATGACTTTGCTTATAGGTTCTTACCTATTCTCCGCTTCTCAAACCTTTCAAAGTAATTTCTTGATAGAATTAGAATGGTGTAATGGTGGAGGAAAATGAGAAATATGAAGCGAGTCAAATACCGCGAGGATTCATTCAATACTACTAGGTAGTTACCACATGACATAATAACAGGAAGGAAGTATTCATACTTCCCATCATTTTTCTTGATATGTAATCCTCCCGAATACATTGAAGATAACTTGGATCCTCACAACCTGAATATAATCTCGGATAATGATGTGATAGATACCCTGAGATACCAGCTACTTCAAAATACAAAATGCAAAATGCAAAATCGATGATGGATTGTGGACTAGGAATAATATCTATATCACCGGGGAATTTGCATCGGATTATATGTGTGTCTCAAGTTACAGCACACTCAAATTTTCTTTGATCTGGGAATATTTGTTTCTATCTGACTCCGTGATCTATTCACAAATCAGAATATGTGCCAAACCTGCATATATATGGTTCCGATATCCAGAGATGGCCAATCTTTTTGAACGTGACACTATCTTTTGAAGGGCCATGCTTTGGTAAGGGTATGCCGCGGATTACATGTTTTAATGTTGTATACTGATGATTTGCAGTCTAGATCATAGATGGATTATCGGAGAAACATATTAATGAGCTTGCTTTGAAGGGGAGAACTTTCTTCTGTTAACTCTTGCCCGACATTCATCGGTGTAAAACACTACGATGGATTTTTCGGCAAACGGAGTGGCTGAGATACATAATTAATCATTAGTAGAATATCTCCTGGACAGACCAAGATGACACAGGATTCGAGAAAATTCTTTTGGTGAGGTTGAAATTGATGTAAAATCATTTATTCAGGGGTTCTCCTCGCTAGTGGGAAACGGGGAGACGAATGATCTCCGAAATTTTTATTAAGGACTGCACTTTCCTGATATAGCATAGCTAGCACCACTGCTCGTAATAACAGCTAGAGTCTAGAGCCTAGAGGTCGAGAGATTTTCTACCAGTATTTGACCGATATAGGAGATTGATCCCGACTCGGATGTCATATTGTGGTCTCAATTAATTTGGTATTCAAATTGTGGATAGTCAGGATAGGTATGTGTACAGCGACCTCACTAAATTGATACCGGCATTCATTCTCAATTCTCAACCACGAATACGCATCCACCTAGTACCTGCGGTCCCATACCCAAATTTAAGTAACTGACGGGAATTAAATATCTTGGTCTACTCGAGTAAGCATAAGCTAACAGATGTAGCGCTGGGTATCGTACTGCTTATCAGTACTTATCCAAACCCAATATTTTGGATGCAGAGACTTGGTTTTGATATATATACAGGTATGGTGTAGTGATGACTTTACCACTTTTGTCAGTTCTTGTATCCTCATTACTTGCAAGTTCAGTGCGCTATAAGGATGAAGAATTTTGTGGGTTGGCTGCTATGAGAACTTTAAGAAGAGTTATGTCGACTATCATATAGTATATTCTGGAAGTTACTTTTGGTTGAAGGAGCTTAGGCGAAGTTGGACCAATTCGGGGGCTGCATGATTTGGATTGGGTTCTGGGTAGCTAGCTCACAGATTTTGTGATAACGGTAATTGAAGGTGTCGTATGCAATTAATAAGGAATTGAGTGGTTGACTTCAAAGATCGGTGGAGTGTATCTTCTTCCATTGTGTTACTCGTGTGAAATGACGAAATGGCTGTCCTGCTTGGGCTAGCGCTACTCTTGTGGATTTCTTTTTGGCAAATGTGCTTGTATTGATCTTAGCTAGTGAGGAGTTGCAGATGACTTTAAAGTGTGTTTTGGTGATGAAGAAGTCCTTGATATTTAACCTTGTTTAGACTTTGAGTCTTTGGCTAGGGATAGGTTTCATAAGGAAAGGTTAACCCACTCCAACTTATCAGTTTATGGAATTCGTTATCCTTTGTGATGTTTTGTGATTTTTTGGGTATACTAAATGTTCAAATGGGGTGGAATGTATGGGGATGGATTCAATTTGAGAAGTAGTGTGTGAATTAACTTTAGTTTCCAACACTGATGTACGAGTCATTTGCATTCAGGGATACTTGATGGTAGACGTTGACTTGCTTGAAAGTCAGGAGAACCGTTCATGAAAGCCTTGTTCAAACATCTAGTCCCCAGACTCAAGTTATTCTGATTGTAGCAAACCATATTTGTTTGCTATATACAGTTCTCATTGTCAAGGAGTCAAAGGAATCAAACAAGAGGACCTCGTTCTGATAATTCCCCCAAGGGAAGATTCTCCAAGGGTGTTTCTATCCTATTTCTTCCAACTGGTGCAAGTTTTTGGTCTGAGGTGGAAAAACTGACTGAGCAGGTATAGTTTCCAGAGAGAAGTTTGTGTTCCCAAGTGCCAGATTGACCCTTTGTCTTGTTTGTATATCTCTATGAAGTCCACATGAAGTCTCGATGCCTGGATCACTATCCTACTAGACATGGCACCTCTCATAACCTGCATCTTCCTCTTATTCTTGTATTTCCCCTCCCAAAGACCTTCCCTTTCATACAATATAGACTTCAGAGATACCTAGCTTGAAGTTTGCCAACAAACAATGGTCTAAGATTGACAGAGGTAGTGTCAACCTCTCATCAAGCCAACATGCCAAATATGAAAATTCAAAGACCCATAACTTCCAACAAACTCAACTTTCCAGCCTCAAACCACCCTTCTCAGAATCTACTAAGTGACCTCTTTCTTCAATACAATTTTCATCCCCAATACTCCAATTCTCATTTTCGTTGTACTTTTGACCAACTTTACCCAAGTGCTTCTCTAGGTAAAATTCCAAGTCAGATCTGCAACAGAAAAGTGTGAGTCCCGAAGTGGCCCCGAAGTCCCATGCAAGTCACAAGAACCGATGTTGGTTGGTTGAAAAGTAAAGGCTGTGGGGATGAGGCCCGAGCGTCGAGCAGGACTTGGGGAATAAGAAACTTTTGTAGATTTGATAAAAAAACAAACACTGTTGCTTGATGAACATGAGAGATTGAGTAGAGTCAAAAGTTCCATGTCCTCAAGGTTGAAGCAAATCCTGAGTGGATGTATAATGTCTAGGACCAAAGACTTTGAATGGCTAGATGCTCCCTTCAATATGCTAGCTCTTGGCAAGTGCAATCTATTACAAGAGAGTGTGTGAAAGCTTCCTTTGGAAAATGCTTGTTGCGAGTCAACCTAGGATCTGAATGGGTATGAAAGAATTAAATGAGATGTATCAACACTTACTTCGTTGAATGGGAATAAGGAGAAAGAGACTGAGTATACTTAGATACAAGTCAGGTTACAGGGGCCACTGTCCACCTGATATCACCAAGGCAGTGATGGTCCATCTCATACCCAGTATTTGCTGTACCTGGTCCCAGTTTTGGTGACTCTAACTCAAGACAAGCTGAGATCACATTTGTGTTTCTTTGGAGGTTTGGTCTGAAATGCTAGGGAAAAGGTGAACAGGATTTTACTTGCCTAGTCCTGTCCTGTGCAGACAAGTCCCGCTTGCACATGTCTTGAGTTTCTCGTGATTTTCTTGTGGCCCTAAGTATGGTAAGCCAGAAAATTTTATCTTGGGAAAAGCATCTAATGATACCAATATCTAATACTCTGTTTATTTTGTGTATTCCTTGAAGTTTGAGATGAGGTTTGTGGGCAAGTATTGACGTGGTATGTGGGTGTAAGATTCAGGATAAGGAAAGAGGGGCTCGCTAAAGACTCCAACTTTGGAATCCAAAACTATCTGCATATTCCATATTGTGGTTTTGTTCATTAAACATCAATTTCTCGATTCTCGAACTTCTGTCTTGTTGTTGATTCTTGGGAAAGGAGGAGCTTGCAACCTGAATGTGGTTTATTTTGTTAGTAAATTATGCTTTGTCAGAATTTTCAGAAAACTCAACACTTATCTGTTCAGTTTGCCTGAATATCGTACATCGGGGGGTACGAATTTGCTTCCGGGCTTGGATACAAAGACAGTCTTCACCCATATACCCTTTATCAAGTGTGGAACCGATCTAGAGACTTCCGGGTCTGTGGCAGCATTAAACTTTAAATGAAAGTCCGAAGTTCCGCATGCTTTGACACAGAGTGGCTTGTAGCATATATTCGAGACTCGACCGCATTGATAAGTTTATCATTTACTACTTCGCAAAAGTGGTAAGATTTGACGCCATCCTGAGATCCACCTAGAGGCAAGTTAAATACCCCTGTGATTTGAATCGAAGCCAATCGCAAAAACCAAGTGCGTTCTTGATTTCCAAACTTCCAGTCCCGTTGTATTATGATATCCTTCACTCGATATTGATAAGTATGCTCGTCTTCGCCGCATCAACGTTTCCATCTGGTAACTCCGTACTGTCAAAGTGACCTATCAGATCCCACATTCAGCAATGTAATATACGTTTGTCGTATGAAGTTCAAAGAAGGTGATGATATTTTTCTCGGTTGCTGCAGGATTTTCGATGGGACCTAAGAACAGATTCGAATTAGCTATAGTATAGTGCCAAGAATTGGAAGAATGTAGCGGTCCTCGAAGTAAGAGAGAATAATTTAATCCACCTTGAGAAAACTTGAAGTTCTGCGACAACTCAGTGGTCTATGGTTGCAAGAAAACTCTAATTACCATGACAATTTGATAGTTGGTAACTTGGTAGGACAGATTGTTACCTAAAGAAAGAGATATGCTAGATCTGCTTGCAGAACGAAATCTGAATGCGTGCGTGTGTGCGAACAGCTTGGAGAGGCGAGAAGGCATATCACCAATTGGCGCACCAGCTTGGGATGTGAAAGTTGCAAAGTTTCCACCAGACTTAAAGCCCCAATTCTCAAATACGCGACAGAGCAGCCAGAGTAAAAGTTTCCTTCTCTTCTGACAGGCTCGCTACAATCAGATGTGCAACATTGCGGACGAGGACGGTATATGCCGGCCAATGAGGGCAGCAGAGGGCTGATCCCCGCGTGATGCACAGATTTGCAGAGGGTGGTTTCAGGCAGCATCTTACCATGCAGCCGAAACTACGTGAGGCAAGGAATTTTCCAAGTATACACTCTTAATCTTACTGCGGCATTGGCTGGAATGTATGTGTGGGTTTAATTGACAGTTTAATACTTGAAGACAGCGTAGTCAAGGATCAAATTTCAGAAGTCCTCGATCTGCTCAATAAATCGGTGGGAAATTTTCTTTAGTATGAAGTTGACAAATGTTACAATGGTAGAACTCGAGTCAGAGTATTGTATTCAACCCTTCCCCTTACATTGAATGAGTGTAGTTTGTAGCGTTCTCTGGAATGATGCTGAGAGGTTTATTGCTCAGGAGCTCGATTGTGATATGCAACTTTCCACTATTGTGATTCTTCTTGCTCTTCACGACGGAATTGGGGATATGGAGAGAACAAAAACTACGTAACAGATATATAGAGAAGACTTTCGCATCTTTGCGGCAACAGAGACTATTAATTGTGCCAATTCAAGTGAAGTGATTCTCACAGGAGAAGAGAACGCGTCGCCACGTTCCAGTAAGCTCCAGGGCAACTTCAGCATCAGCTCGATATCACCATACAACTAATATACCCACATATAACCCTTCCATTCGGAATATTCTGCCAACCAAGAAGTAGGAGCAATGCGGCCGCACCTTCCACGACGTGCAACATAAGAAAGAACGAGGCAAAACCGTTCTCTCATTGGCTATTCGGTCCTTCTGCCATCTATTAGGGTGCTACTCAGCGGCCACACCGCTTTCTGACGTGCAACAAGAGCTTTACAGCGCAGTAGCTCTCTCTCTCATTGGATGGCTTCTCTGTTTCGCTAGGTCTGTTGATCCGATGTGTATCCGGACCGCTATATGACGCGCAGTTACAACAATAATGTTGGATGGTGGAAGCTTCTCGATTCATTCGATGGACTCTTGCTACCAATGGTATTAAGCCAATGAGTATCCGTATAGCTGGCACTTCGAAAATGGCGTAGGTTCTCTGAGTGAGAGATGGTTCGGAGTTCCCTTTAGCAGGATCTGAAATTACATAGCAGTTGAAAGGTCTGTCAAGAGTTCTTATTTTGTCTTCAAGATCTCACGCATCCGCTGCTAAGTTTGAAGTAACTCATACTCCCATGTTGAGGTGAGTTACTACATGATAATGTACCCAGCTAATGGAGTTTCCCAGATCCTAGAGCCCTCCGAAAACACACATCAATGCAATTTGTTCCTTCCGAAGTTGGCACAGCAGCTAATGATCAAATAAAAGCATTCTATTATCTGCCATTATTTCTCCCGAGGTTTGGATGTTTAATAAACGAGTTAGATGGTCCGCAGAGCAATTAGGAGACTTTTCGTTACGCTACAATATATGCAAATCTGTATTGAATCTGGACAGCAGTATAATAATGAGATGCTATGGCATAGTTAGTTAGATCAAGTTTTTTATACTCACTTCAAATACTCGGAGGTAGTTGATAGCCCTTGGTACATTGGAGTTGCACAATCAATAGAACCACAATATTGTCAATCTGCGCAGAAGTACAGATATTATTATTTTGGGATGTATAATATGGTTTCTTCTGAGGTCTAGCACACAGCACAGGACGGACCGTCCCAAACTAGATGGGAGCTCAACACGGCTCTGAGGATAACATGCAAACTTGCAGATATCAATTTGTCTTCCAGATACTCCAGAAATCGGCTGAGAATCATGAAACAGCTTAGATCGAAATGACTGAATGGAAATGTTCACGGTTACGGTTTTAGTATTATTCGCAGATCTCGTACAGATTCGGAGGTTGTATGCGAGCTCCTAGATAAGAAGATAGTCCTTAACAGTCTCTTATAAAGGGCAGGGGAGGGGCTAAGTATCTGTTTTGTGGTTAGCGACAGTATATAATTGTTTCATATGGCTGTTGTGGTATTTGTTGAAGTCTCTACACGATTGGTGGAGTATAAAGTAAGCTTGAAAGAAGACGGTGGTCCTCAATAGCCTCCAAATAGGAGCAGGAAGCGCAGAGATTGCGGATTAGGGGGCCGCGGTAGTGTGAATCGTTTCAGGTGACTATTGTATTATATTATGGGGATCTCGCGCAGCTTCGCAAGTGTAGAATAATAAGCCTTGAAATAAGATGTTGGTTCTTAAGATCTTTTAGAGAGACTTGGCAGGATGTAGAAAGCTGGCTTGCGGCAGGTCGTAGCAAATAATGGTCCAGAATCCATCTGACAGCACTGCTCAAAGCTCTCACCGTTGTGGAGGTCATGGTTGATCTCCGAATAAAACGAAATTCCAGTCTTCTTCAGAAATGCATGGTCGATTCTCGACTTATTGTTCAAGAGGGATATGGTGATAGGCAGGTTTCAAAGACAAAGATACCAGCTTCTGATCTTCTCTAGAAAGCTGCGGATATTAGGCATGGTTTCACGTAGTATCTAAGAAGACTACAACCACAAAGAACCGTTGCAGATTACCTACTAGTGGATTACTTTTTACACATAAGGTTGTCATTAAGGAATTGAACATCATCACATTACCAGTCTTTTTGTGCCACCTTCGTAAAGTCCTCCCACCTCCACAACATACACGCAGTTTCTCATCGATAGACACCACTGCAACACTCTTAGATAGGAAAGTTCTCAGCTACCACAGCCGGTCATAATCTTTAGCCTGCATCACTCCCTATAAATCAGGTGTTCATCAAGCCCTATTTCGCAGACCCCAAATTCCCGGTACAAAGGTCTCACTCGCCACCAATTTCGCGAAACTACCTTCATCCGAAAACAATAATTTTCCGACTTCGCATCTTTATCGACCACATTTACAAACTTCAGACACTGTTCCCTGGTGAGTTGTCTTCCTTTCGCTTATCTTTATTCCATCTACTCTTCCAGCACTCGCTCCAAAATGCGATATCTTTGATATTGCATTTGCGGTTTGAGGCATCATTTCGGTCGACTTTAGTCAAAGAAGTCCAAAGTTGGCCAATCTTACCATATTCCTGCACAAAGATCTGTGTTTAGCAAAGAGCATCAACCTACTACCTTCCCTTACCCATCCAAACCACATCATTCCATAATATTCTACTGCACATTCAAGTCAGCACATTTCACAACAGCTTCTCGTATATTCTTACGATTTCTTACACTTAAGTAGTATGAATGTAGAATTTCTTCTGGTACATACAAGTCAGCACGAGCCCCAACCTGCTCTTGCACATTCAACACGTCATGATTATTAAATCCACTACATCGTACCACCTTTTCACAAGGACTTAATGATTAACACTCTCCAGTTCATCCACATCCTCATACAATCAAATCAAATCACTACAACCAGCAACCACAAATCGTACCATGTCCGACACAAGCGAGACCCCCAAACTCACCGCCTCGGCTGGCGAGCAGGCCAAGACTACTCAAGCTGAGGCCACAGCCACAGGTGCCGATGATGAGAAAGGAACATCCTCTCGTCCTCGATGGACCATCGATGAGAAGGTATGAACCATATTCTAGCTCTAAGCTGCGATGACTAACAGAAATGCAATGCAGAATAAAGTCCTGTTCGAGATCTACCAACAAGCTGTTGCCGCCAAGTTTCGACCTGACTCGACCGCTATTAGCCTTCCTAATCGTACTACGCGCGCTATTGGAAACTTTTGGGGAGATTTTAAGAAGACTGCTAAAAGTTTAAATGGTATGTGTGCATCATTTTAAGTCTTGAAGCATGGTTAGATTACTAACAGGTGTATTAGATCAGGATGAGGGTGGTGCCAAGGGTGCTACTAAGGACGATGCTAAGGTCCAGAAGCGTAAGGGGACTGCTAAAGAAAATGATGATGGTATGTACTCCATCTAATTCTCCCAATACGTCATGGTAATACTAACGACTGGTTATTTAGGTGCTGCAAAGAAGGGTTTGTGTGAGTTCAAGGTCGAGGACGACGATGATAAGTTTGACTCTGGGGAGGAACGAACCATTTACTAGAGGATTGCTATATGATAGTGATGCTTATACAAGGGCTTCTTTCATGCAAATCAAGGGTTCCGAAGACACTGGGCGCATCTTGAGAGGGGATAGATTGAGTTCGTTGCTTCGTTTATGGTTGACTTTGATATATCAAGTTTCCCATCAAATGGAGCGTTATTTTGTGATGGGATGGGTTGAATCGTTGCTTGTTACATGGTAGAGCCAGACTAATTGAGGTATCTCTTGAATGCTTCATCAATAAGTGACAATTTCTTTCTTTGCCAATTGGTTGCGCTCCAACTACTCATGTTGGAACTTCTAGATCATGGAAAATATTTGCTGCAGCCAAAGTATGGCTGAATGCCTATGGTGATTTTGAAATTATCAATGACAAAGTCTCGTCAGTTGTGTTGAAATTGTGTACCAGATAATTTTATTCAATATTTGACTTCGAAATACTATTCGGTGATGGCTGAGAGTAAATGCTAGATAATTTATGATGGTCATTTGAAAACGCAATGACATTTGTCCAGACTTATGACAAAATACACCAGAGGACCTCAATACTCACTATAACCTTGAGGTGGTGATAATTCAGAGTCACAGAAGAATAAAATATATTGATTTATATGGACTTCGGCAAAAGGCAAAGAAACAGTGTTCACCAAAGTCCTAGGAGTATGTTCCAAGCAACAGCCTTGAGTACATATGATGCAAAATAACATATCATTTGGGAATCCTAGATACATCCCGCTAATTCGAAGTAAAACCACTGGTATCACCGAGAATGAGTCTTCTTAGACACCAAATTATTTGAAAGAAAGATGTCTGGATTCTCTTGATATGTGAATCCTACACACTACTTACGATACAGTACCGCCATGAAGCCTAGACACCCAGATCTGCTACTATGCAGTCCAGCTCACTGCAGAGTTGCCTAGCCATTGGAAACAAAAGAGTGGGACCTATCGAAGCGAAATAGCCCAAAATACAAAGAAAACTGCTGTTGCAGGAGTAAATAGTAGCATTTGCTAGCGAGAACAGAATGTATAAATTGAGTAAGATTGATATCTAGATGGTATTGTTCGGATATCCGCAAAAACGACCACGCCTGGAAATATCCATGTTGAAGGTTTTCACTGTACTCGAGTAGTCCTTTTTAGCTCGGTACTTTTATACGAAATCTCGAGTCCTCTGATAATTAGATATATGAGGCTTGATTGGGACTTTGAGACATCCTGGCTTTCTGAACGAATTATCGAGGTTTAACACATTTCGATGTCCTGGACAGAATTGGAAATTCGAATCTCTTCCGAGGCTTCTCAATATCTTGAGTCATGTTGATTTGATGTTCTACACAGGATTGTGTAGACCTTGAGGCTTCAATCTCGGTATACTGCTAGTTCATAAGAGTATTCGATGATGCTTTTGTTCCCTGTTTGCAACTCTCAGCCTCACTAAAAGCACAACAGGGATTTCTCACTATAAATAAGTTCTAATTAACGAATTTAGGCCAAGGTGATCATCATTGTAGCCTCGTCACATCGGTACCGCACAGCCTCACTAAGATTACAAATTTGGAAAGAAAAAAACAACAATCCGATTGCATTGCAAGACCGGTACATTGATTCTGATCTTCCTTCTCATATCCTACGGTACATACAAAATTCCCTATTCTGCATTTTAAAACTATCACCATCCGCGAATTGTCCTTGTTTTCTGTCTTTGGCCTTGTCGCTCTTTCTTAATTCCGATGTCAGTCTTCTAGGTACGGTACCACTACGACAACGACAACGACAACGCCAACTGTAAAATAACCCATACTTCATTTTATTCTTCTCGCATTTATTCACAACCTCAATTCGACCAATTTCTGACGTCCTTCATCTTTTAGACTTTTTGAATGTTGGATGAATAGATATTTGCATGCGCAATTGAGACACGGCTTCTCCCGTCTTGTTGCACATAGATCCTCTATAACAAGCCTTGCGACAACAAAGAATTCTTTAATTCGACAATCATCTCTGCACCATACTCGAAACTCTTCTCTGTTGTTTACATCTGCACAGCTTCCCTACGAATATACCCGCCTCTTCAGTACAACCTGTTCCCCAGGAAAAGGTCAAACAAACAAAATGATCGGTACCAATGGCGTCGCAACACGTGCGAAGAGAAAGTCACATCCAACCGGGCTAGAGAGACCCCAAAAGCAACTCCGGGCTTTGAGTGGAAAAGAATCGACGGGCGTTAACACTCCAGAAATCGACCTGATTACCGACGATGATCTCGACCTCGATGGGCCTCAGTTATTACCAACCTTAGCAGCGGATACAGCTGAATGGCAGGCCACAATTGAGCAGGTGGTTCGAAATGTTGTATCGATCCAATTTTGTCAGACTTGTTCTTTCGACACAGACCCTGCGCTGTGCAGCGAAGCTACTGGTTTCGTGGTAGATCCAGAGAGAGGGTTGGTTTTCTTCCTCCAGCTCTGTCAAATTCTCAAATGGATGGATAGCTTACCTTTGAACTTTGTTAACATTTTTGCAGATATATTTTGACCAATCGACATGTTGTTGGATCAGGGCCTTTTTGGGGATACTGTGTTTTCGATAACCACGAAGAAGTCGATGTTTACCCTGTCTACCGCGATCCCGTTCACGATTTTGGTATATTACGATTCGACCCTAAAGCTATCAAATACATGCCTGTTACCGCTCTGGGCTTACGACCGGATCTTGCCAAGGTGGGATCGGAGATCAGAGTTGTTGGTAATGATGCTGGAGAGAAGCTCAGTATTTTGTCCGGAGTCATAAGTAGATTGGACAGAAATGCCCCCGAATATGGAGACGGATACTGCGATTTCAACACCAATTACATTCAAGCAGCGGCGGCAGCGAGTGGCGGTAGTTCAGGAAGTCCCGTCGTTAATGTACGTTGAATATCCTCACTCCATAAGCTCTTACCTCTCCAAGTATTGACATGCAGCTAGATTGATGGATATGCCATTGCCTTGCAAGCAGGTGGAAGAAGTGATGGTGCTGCTACGGATTATTTCCTACCCCTCGATCGACCTTTAAGAGCTCTTCAGTGCGTACAACAGGGATTGCCGATTACTCGAGGAACGATTCAATGTCAATGGTTGATCAAACCCTTTGATGAATGTCGGAGACTTGGTCTGACCCCCGATTGGGAAGAGGTTGTTCGAAAAGGATTTCCCAAGGAAACCGGTATGCTCGTGGCAGAAATCGTTCTTCCAGAAGGGCCATCACATAAGTTGATCGAAGAGGGAGATCTTTTGCTCAAGGTCAATGGCGAATTACTGACACAGTTCATTCGTTTGGATGATATCCTTGACTCCAGTGTTGGTGAAACGGTGAGCTTCCTTATCCAGCGCGGTGGAGAGGATATCGAGGTTGCGGTTGACGTTGGCGATCTTCATACAATTACACCGGATCGTTTTGTCTCTGTCGCAGGAGGTAGTTTCCACGATCTTTCGTATCAGCAAGCACGTCTATATGGCGTTGCTTGTAGAGGCGTCTTCATGTGCGAAGCTAGTGGATCTTTTCGATTCGAAGGCACTGATAATGGTTGGATCATCAAGACCATTGACCATAAGAAAACACCTGATCTGAAAAGTTTCATTGAAGTCATGAAGAACATTCCGGACCGAGAGAGAGTTGTAATAACATACAAACATCTTCGAGATCTTCACACTCTTAATACCGGCATTTTACAAATTGACCGCCATTGGTCAAAGAAGATGAGACTCGCCGTCAGAAATGATGTCACCGGTCTATGGGATTTCACAGATTTGGCCGATGCTCTTCCACCCACACCACCCGTAGCTAGGTCTGCAAAATTCATACAACTCGAGAACTCACAGCATCCAGCAGCAGCGGATATAGTTCGAAGCTTCGTTCGAGTGTTATGCCACATGCCTGTCAAACTAGACGGTTATCCTCGGAACCGCAAGTGGGGCATGGGTGTTGTCATTGATGCAGACCAAGGATTGGTCGTCATCTCTAGAGCGGTGGTTCCATATGATCTATGTGACATTTCGATCACGATTGCTGATTCCATTATTGTGGAAGGAAAAGTGGTTTTTCTGCATCCTCTACAAAACTATGCTATTATCAAATACGACCCTTCGCTGGTTCTTGCCCCTGTGCAAAGCGCGAAATTGAGCAATAAGCAACCATCTCAAGGAGCCTCAACATACTTCATTGGTTTCAACACGAACATGCGAGTCGTCGTTGCCAAAACTACCATCACTGAAATCACTGCTGTTGCTATTCCTGCAAATGCTGCATCACCAAGATATCGAGCCATCAATATTGATGCTATTACTGTTGACACAAGTCTGAGTGGTCAATGTGGAAGTGGTGTGCTTATCGGTGAAGATGGTGTCGTTCAAGCCTTGTGGTTGACTTATTTGGGAGAAAGGTCCGCATCAAGCTCAAAGGACGTCGAATACTATCTCGGTCTTGCCACTCCTACGCTTTTACCCGTCATCAAAAAGATACAAAATGGCGAGAAGCCTAAGCTACGCATGTTGAGCGTTGAGTTCAACACCATCCAAATGGCGCAAGCTCGTGTCATGGGTGTATCCGAGGAATGGATTCATAAGGTTGCCGAAGATAATTTATCTCGCCATCAACTTTTCATGGTCCGAAAGCGCACTTTCGAGCGAAATAGTGAATCGGGTGCCCTTTTGGAAGGAGACATTATTCTTTCCCTTAATTGTAAAGTCATCACCCGTATCAGTGAACTCGATGTGATGTACGATCATGAGTCTCTTGATGCAGTCATCGTCCGCGATTGCAAGGAAATGACTCTCAAGCTTGACACTGTCTCGGCAGATGATCTTGAGACTGATCGAGCCATTTCCTTCTGTGGAGCTATTCTCCATCGTCCTCATCATGCTGTTCGCCAACAGATCTCTAAACTCCATAGCGAGGTTTATGTTGCCGCGAGAACTAGAGGATCGCCAGCCTATCAATACAATCTTGCACCAACAAACTTTGTGACACACGTCAATGGGAAACCAACACCTGATCTAGAATCATTCTTGAAGGTGGTCATTAAAATCCCCGACAACACCTGTATGATTCCCCTTCTCCGTTTATGTCGACTACTTGCTAACATTTTTCGATAGATTTCCGCATCAAGGTTGTAACCTTCGATAACGTACCATGGGTTATCACAATGAAGAAGAACGATCACTACTTCCCAACTACAGAGTGGATCCATGACCCCTCGGAAAAGAGTGGTTGGAAAAGAATCACTCACGAGATGGGTACCACCGTAGAAGGTGAAGGTAAGGACGGCATCGGTAGCGTAGCTGGTGATGATGTCGGAGATTCTGACGATGGAGGAGAAGTCGATGAGCCTATGTCTTTTGGGTCGGTAGTTTGAACCACATGCAAGATATGCATATAGGAGGCGTGGTGTCATCGTGTATTTTATAGCGGTCTATTCATGGATGAATACTGGTGAGCGAGTAGATGCAGCATTAGTATGGCTCATCTCAAACAAATCAAGGATAGTTACAGTGGGAAAGGCAAGGCCGAGAGTTTGCGTCTTCCGATGGTTCTGGTCTATATTCACAGACATAGATCTTGGGGGCGTTTTTTGATGATGGCCATGATACCGAACCGATTGATTAAAAGAATGGATGGATGGATAATTTAAATAAAGATCAATATGAATTTTGTATGTATATGTATATGTCGTATTTGTCTGAGATGTGATAAAACTATAACGTGTCGGTGTTTATGCTTTGCTTCTTTGAGCCTGACTTTTGCTTGTGCTTGTGCTTGTGCTTGTGCTTGTGCTTGTGCTTGTGCTTGTGCTTGTGCTGATATACTTGGGCTCTGGTATAATATACTTGAGTAGATATGGTGTAGTGTAGTGATTGACATATACTTAGTACGTATCCTCCTCCTCTTGCAATCACCAAATCGCCAAATCACTAGTCTGAAGTCTTTGAAGTCTTTGAGGATTACCCTACCTACCCACCTAGTACCGGTAGGTACTGACATTCCATTCTATTCCATTTCAACACCCTGAAAATCTAAGTCTAATAATTAGTAAGTCTAAGTATAAATTGAATCTCCAATCTTCAATCTCATCTCTAATTTACCTAGTTAAGCTAGCTGGCTGGTTAGTTGGTTAGTTGGTTAGTTAGGTAGTTACTGAGTCTCTTTGATATGAGCCGATTGTCGAAATTCTTTCACTCGAGTTTTAAAAGAGATTCGGGTTTGGGTTTGTTTTGTTTGTTTGGAGTTTGGAGTTTGGAGTTTGGAGTTTGGAGTTTGAGATTGGGTTTGGAGTTGGAATTAGAGTTGGAGGAAGAGGAACGAAGTAATAAGCAATAAGCTTTGAGTCTTTCGAGATGGATAAGGTAATTAGAATTTAGAATTTAGCTGAGGCTGGGTTTGTGGGTTGGAAGATGGGGATGGTGATGGAGATAAAAATGGTAATAGAGATAGAAATAACAATAAAGATAGAAATAGAAATGAAAATAAAGATAAAAATGGAGAAGGAGATAAAGATAGAGATAGGGATGGGAAAGGAAAGAGAAAGAAAGATAAAGATAAAGAGAAAGAGGGAGATAGTGATGGAGATTGAAAGGAATTATGGTATATTGAGTTGAGTTGAGTTAAATTAAGTATTTAATATGGGTTGTTTATTGTTGATTAGATTTGGGAGAGCAGAGAGAGCAGCGAGAGAAGGGAGTTATTAGCGAAGCGCAAGCTAGCTGACCAACCATCGACCACGGGGTATAATACTCGTAGTTGTGTAAGCTTCATTTGTAAGACTTATACTCAAGTCTCAATGGTGTTGGAGGAAGGGTTTCTTGATATGTACACTACCTAGTATACAAAGTTCCATTAGCCAACCCCTCTGTCTAGCGCCTCGCTCCCATCCCCCTTGCCGCCTAGACAGTAAGCCTTATACAAGCAAGATCGTATCAAATTCTTTATAAAAAAATAAAATATGAACGGGAAATCTCCTCATTCATTTCGATGTGTTACACATATCATATATGGCATCAACAATTAGATAAAAAGAACTACCGGTATGCTAAGGAAGGAAGGTTCCTCCCCGAAAGGATGGATCGTGATCACGTGATGCATATTAGGCTAAGGCCTGGATAACACCTTGTAATTCATCCATCAAACGCATACCTAGGTATATTTATCAAACAATCTCAATAGCATCAACAACACTCAATATCCCCCTTGAAACCCCGTTCGCAGGACCAGAAAATTTATCCGGTTAAACTGATCTGGTTATATCATTGGAAATCGGGGATCAGACATCGAAACATGCTTTATTGCACTCGATATCAATATCACATCACAACACAATATAACCTTACACTACGAGTTTAGAACGACATGTAGAACATATGTATTGTGATGAAATCTGTCTCCTTTGTTCCTTGCTATCTACTACTCTAACTGTAATTTGTTCTTGAGTAGGCATTTATCAATCTAGTTATGTTCTATAAAACCCTTTATCCTTCACTTTAGCTTTACAGCCATGTCCATACCAAATGCCGCCTAATATCCTGCTCAAATTTGAGAATAACGCCGAGCAATGTCCATCACAGGGTATCGTAAATACAAAATCGTATATTCCCCAGTATACTATACCAGAAAAAAAGAGAAAGAAAAAAAAAAAAGGAAAATTACAAAACTCCATCGCAAAATAAATTCAAAAGACTCAGATTTCTTTTCTTCTTCTCCTTCCTCGACTAAATACCAAACGTTTCATATGTATGAACTGTTCCTTGACCAGGGTACCAATCGGAACAAATACAGACTTGTAATCATGAGTGTGATCAATAATCTTTGTCGAGGTCATCTTCCAGCCAAAAACCAATATCCTATGTTCTTGGGATTCGCCATTCAGCACTCGCACCCCTTTGCCACCAGAAAACCATCATCATCGGCATTGATATCCATGATTTTATTGTCATGGAATATCCAAATACCCCTGACTATCAGAAAACAGGAAATCCTGAAAGCCTCCAGGGACTACGGGACTCGGTTGTTGAGGTTGTGCGAAGTCCTGAGGCGGTTGTTGTGGGACCGAAAATTGGTGGGACTGAAACTCGGAGGGTGGGAGTTGTAGTTGTCGCTGAAAAGGCTGGGGTTGGGGTGAACGCTGGAGTTGGGGTGAACGTTGAGGTTGGGGCTGCCGTTGGGATTGTCGTGGTTGGACTTGCAATTGTTGCTGTAGACGCTGTGGCTGGGAACTTTGGGGTTGGGGGTGTTGTGGAAAGTGCTGTGGTTGAGCTTGCAATTGTTGCTGAACATGCTGGGTCTGGGAGGAACGTTGGGATTGCGGCTGTTGTTGAGATTGTGGTGGCTGGAATTGCTGCGAATGCATGTACTGTGGCGACAAGTTTTGCGATCGTTGTGGTTGAACTTGCTGATGCACATTCTGAGGATACAAGTATTGCAACTGTTGTGATGGGACTTGTTGCTGTTGAACTTGCTGCGGATGTATGTGCTGTGGATACAAGTGTTGCGACTGCTGTTGCTGAACTTGTTGTGATTGGACTTGTTGAGGTTGAAATTGCAATTGTTGAGCTTGCAGTTGTTGAACTCGCAGTTGTTGCTGAAGACGCTGGGACTGGGTACTTCGTGATTGGTACTGTTGTTGAAAAGGTTGTGTGTGCAAGTATTGCGATTGTTGTGGATACATGTTCTGTGGTTGCAAATGTTGCGGTGGCGAATGCTGAGGTGGTGTAACTTGCTGGAGTGGTATTGTGCCATTAATCATGTTTCCTGACCCCCAGTTCATATTCTCTGGTTGTAGACGAGATTGCTGATGGTCTGCATATTTTACAGATGTTGCATCGGTCGCCATATGGCCCAGGGATTGGCGGAACTGTTCATGTTGTATATCTGCATTTGTTACCGGTATATGCCCCCCTGTCATTGGACCATTGCGACGAGTTGGGTCCAAGGTTTGACTTCCTGGAAAAGATAAACTCTGCCGCACGACTTCTAGCACTCCCTCTCGAGCTTTGGTTAATTGCGACTCAGTAGTTAATGTGCCGTGATAATTCACCACACGTGTATTGATACCTGGTGGAGTCATAGGTGCCGTTTGTAAAGTACCGACCTGGTAAGAAGTGCTGGGTGGAAGGCGGCCGGTTGCTGGAGATTTATTGTGGCCGTCAGTATTGGAGCCTACCTTGCTGATTTGGAAGTAATCTTGCTCTTTCGCAAGATAATGCGAAGGTGCTCTCTCCATAGCAGTGCCTCCATGTGGCAAATCATTATAAGCTCCCATTCTTAGTCGTTTGGCAGGTCGTGGATCTTCCAGAGGTTCAGGTAATCGTGCTCCTGAAGGGGAAACAACTATTTGCTCAGTATTCACCGACGTGTTTGAACTGTTGCTGTGTTGTTTTGGAGAATTGGAAGATCTAGGGCTGGGAGATAATGTACCCGATGGAAGATAGAGTGGTTGCTGGCACTTCAGCTCTTCTCCTTGTGTTGCCTTCTGCTGCTCTGACAATGTCTTTCGTTGTGCCAATGCTGTCTCCCACTGTTCTGGTATTGTCTTCTGCCCCTTCGAAATTTTCTGCTGATGCTCTTGCGGCATTTGGATCTTGATATACACATTCCACTCTGCAGCTTGTAATCTCAATAGATCCTGGATATCGGTCCAACGAGGCTCCCCCTTTAAAGTGGTCGGCAGAGATCTCTCATAGAATATCATGCCTTTAGCAGGTACACCCTTGACAACCACGTCCTCAATTTTGATTCCGACTCCATAGGTCAAAGGATATACACCTTCGACCATCATATCCTCAATTCTCATTCCCTTTACGTGCTTCAAATTCCATTTAAGTGTACCACTGAAGACCGTTTTCGTGTACATCGTGTAAGTGCCCGTTGTAAAATTCTTATTGAGAGGACCGTAGGTTGAGTTGCAGATGGTAATAGGTGGTGTTGTGATTCCATTGGCGTCTTTGATTCTTGTGACCTTTCCATCCTCTACTTTGATAAACTCGCTGATATGGGCAAATTGTGTCAAATTGCCGCTGTGATAGCCCAGGTCAGAGGAAGTAGAATAGTAATGAATATCTCGTTGTGAATCCGAGGAACTGTCTTCTAGTAATTGAACCATGGATTGTGTTATTAGTTCCTTCCCCATCATCGGAAGTGGATTTCGCAGAGGTCTGTTCATGCCAGCCTTCAAAATTTCGAGGAGTTCACCATCTGTCCTAGATGTGCTTTGTTCACTTTTCGAATGGTCCACCGAGGCCAAGTCCTGGTGCCATAACTGGTAATTTTCAGTAGTATGTCGGATCATCGGCTCGGTGAGAGAACTATTTTGACCATTCTTTCGTCGTGGGGCGCGTTTCTTCGCAGGCTGCTGCTTCTCCATCTTTGAGGGTTTGTTGGTTTGCATGTTTCTTATATTTGTTAGCCATCAAGCACGAGCAAAACAAAGATTTCCTTGATTAACTGAGGGCGCTGGAGTGAAATGAGGATATAAAACTGTATTGAGGTGACCAGAAGATATAGAAGGTGAAATATCCAGTGTATATCAGGGATCATACTTGGGGTATGCTATCGCGCATGCAATGTGGTTAAGGATTGTAGGATTGTGGTTGGGGTTGGAGACTACTATGTATCGAATGAAAGAGCTAGTGAGCCACTAACGTACCTGATTACTTTAGATATATGAGTATCAATTTATTTGTAGTGACTCTAATGGGTCTCTCGAGAGCGGAATGTGTCCAGATATCTGGTAAGAGATGGAATTAGAGAAGGTGGTTGAGGTGGAAATGCTCTCTTTGATGAGGTGGTTATTCAAGTAACAATTAAAGGTGAGAGAGGAGCGAGGAGGGGTAGAATAAATACCCCAGAAAATCGCTTAGTACGGCTTGATAGGTAGGTAGCGAATCAAACCCTTCAAGATGATCATAATATGGCTTTCCAGGTTCGGTGGATGAAGACAATAGAATTGAAAGTACTGTAGAGGATAATATCTATACTCGGCTAAAGGTAAGCAACAATCAATTGTTTCCACCGTTAAGTGGTCGAGTTATCAAGTTGTTGCTCGAAGAACATCAAGTATTTCTACCATTTAGTAGTCGAACTTATCGAGTTCCTGCTGCCAAATTATCAAGTATTTCCACTCCACTCGGCCGAGTTCACTCAAAGACTCGAAATAAGTAATAATATATACGAGTATTACAATAGATAGACAATGAAGAGATAGTTTTGCATTGAGACCTTGCAGACTATCGAGGTGGTATCACTGTTAATCAACTTGATAGTAATTAATCAATACTAGGTACGGTTATTGCAGCCATCATGTTTGCCATGTTAGTATATCACTGTATTAAGGCTTTGATGATTTGTGCCAAATAGTGTTGAAAAGGAAGGAAAAAAGTACTACATTGCTGCAAGTAATCTATCCGATTCCTCCTATTTATTCAAAACGAATAAGGATGAATGAACTTGAGAATAGCCAGAAATGAAAAACGGAGAATGAAATACACAGCGCCGATTCTCCGATCTTCGAATTTCTGTTTTGATAGATATCTGCCTCGAAATGTACTTTCCATAATCCGGTATTCAGTATCATCGTAGAACCATCTACCTTTCTCAACGAACCTCTGACCAGAAACAGACTCTCCAAGATTACCGCCTCATAATTCGACAATTCTACAACTAAAGCAAGAAGTTGCGAGTGCACTATGGCTACATGGAGCCATTAGTGGATTCAAGATACTATCACAATGACGGTGGGCATCTCTTACCTTCTCGTCAACACAAACTCTCTCAGAACCCAAAATGCCGTGTACGGAAGCGACAATCTTAATTACGAACGAGTCCTCCTTCACCGTCTGCGGAAATTCCTGAAGAACTATTACAAAAACGTCCATGAGCTTCCGTACATGATTATATATATACAACACTTTCACCTCGATTCATCACCGAATCAATTTACCACATACACAACCCCCAAACATCAAACCAAGCTTATTTGACACTTTCAAACATTACAACTACTCTTATTTCACTCTGTAAATCAGACTATCATCATCCAACGCCCCATATCCGTTTGATTGTATAAATTCGAATCATATCGATATATCTGTCGTCACATTCAACCCTTCATATCGGAAAAATGATAATCCATGCCTCCCGCTCACTAAAAATAGGGTCCAAAACCTTATCCTGCCTGTATGACATAATACATCCTCAAACGGCGATCTGATAACATGTAATACCGTCTTACCTCAACTAACTGAGGTTCATTCCAACTGCATTCGGACGAAGCCAAACTATATACAACCCTAGTATTAATCGTTTGAAATCGCTAAATGAGTTCTATTCTCCAAATTCTTTCAGTTACATAATCTAATATTTTGGTTTGATCGACAGCTAGATCAAATGCGGTCGGACCCAACCTCAGTTAGTTGAAGTAAAACGGTACTCATACCGCCAGAAAGACTAGGCTATTCCTGTTGTAGTTTACCACTGTGTGGCACGTGCTAGCTTACCCGAGTTGCGGACTTTTCTAACAGCATGAGTACAGTACACGAAAGCACCTCTAGTGTATAACTAAGCTGCGATCATCCCAACCATAGGCTAGTATTAGCCTTCGGTTAGTGCCCAAATGCCTTCTCTCTTTCTCGCGTATCAGCCAATCAAAGAAGAGTGATTATCTAGTTATCTCCTATGCCGGCCACAGCAGATACTCCAGCGGTACTACCACTGTATAATTGCTACTCCTTATCTGTACCTCGATATATGCCTACTTTATATTTTAATACAGCCTCAAGTCTTCTATTCGGCTAGAAACACATAATCCCATTTCTTGGGTCAGAGTTTCTAGGTTATTATTGAGATCTCATAATTACAGCCAGCCCTACGAGGAAAATGTAGGTCAAATGTGAATTAAACTAGAGGGTAAAAATAAGTTGTGCAAAGATTGTTGATTGTATATATCGTTATAATAAAGGAATGTAATATACTCGAGTATAATATACATCAACGCCGCCTCGAGATTACCCATGAACTCTACGATCTTCTAATCATCATACAACGAATAGTAACAGAGCTTTCATAGGAACATACAAGTACAACAATGAATCAGACTGATCTTTGCGATACATGTATTTATGGCATAGGTAGCGTCTTCCGAGGAACAAACCGGTGAGGGAAAACGTGCTTCAGGTATGAATTTATTCGAACTTTAATTTCATATGTACGTATATTTCTATGTTAGTGGTATAAGCAATTGCAGTTCAAATCTAGTAGAGTGTGTCCGCTCTTTTTGTTTTGCGTACTCTGTTAGTTTCTATAGGTGATGTGATGTGGTCGATGGATGGGGCGGGTATCTTAAATGTTTCTTTAACTTATTTATTGAGATCCAAGGTACAGAGCAGCCTTACTTCTTCCGCTGGAACAAGTAAGGGTATCATAGAAGATTGGGTTGAGTTCAGCAGGCCTTCATAACATTAGTAAAAGTAGACTTAAACTTGAATCATCGATTTGCTGTATTTGATTATCTATATCCATTTCTTCACATTCACCCCTATATATCATCATCCCCATTCCTCATTCCTCATTACAAATCTATAAACTTACAAAATTACAACTTCACGACCTCATAACATTACATCATCTACTAAAGTAAGTTTACCCAAGTACACTATCTTATTACTATAATTTATATACCTGCCATTTCTGCTCTAACACATGTACATCTATATTAATATCCCTTCCTCCTCCTATCTTTCCTTTCCCTTCCACTCCTCACTTCTCATTTCCCATTTCCAATGATTTATAGAACAAGACATATAAACAAATATCAGAATATACGCCCCCTCCCCCCCCCTTTTCTAATCGAAACAAGATAAGTAGCTATAGAAATACAAAAGATATGAAAAAGGTACGACAAGGTCAGAGAACTCAACCCAAGAGAAATAAGGTAAGAAAAGGTGAGAGAAGGAAAAGGGAAGGCGGGGTACCCGACGAGAAAGGAGACTTCCTCAGAAAGAAAGAATTGAAAAAGCGATGAAAGAGGAGATGTATCAACAAAAAACGTGATAAAAAGTATAATACAGGAATTCAGAAATGGTATTACTAATGAATCTGGATTTTGGAATTTTTAGACATAAGATATAAGATATGAGATGTGAGATATGAGATTATAGCTCCGTACGAGTAGATAAAACCTAGGTATTGATTAACACAATAGGAATTACCCATTAGGATACTTATTAACCCTTACTAGTAAAGAGATGTAATGTAAGTGATCGAATATATATAATTCATATATCTATACATCCATCTATCTAACCTTAATCTCAATTTCATCTCATCTCACCACAATGATCAAAAAGAAAAGAAATAAAAAGGTTCAATCAAAAGGTCTAATCAATAAGATCAAATCAAACTAACCCAACCAATTCCAAATTCATTTCTAATTCTCTCATCCCACCTCAGCCCAGCCCAGCCCAGCCCAGCCCAGTCAAACAAGTCTCCTAGCATCAACATCGCCATCAGCAATAGTATGAGCATAAGCTCAAACTGCCTAACCCCGGCCAGCCCAGTCCAGTAATAACAACTAGCAACTAACTAGCAACCAATAACCAGCTAGCATAACCCACTAACTAATTCCTCTAAGTATTTCTCCACCTCCACTTCCACATGAAAATCATGATCTCTACCTCGTTCCTCCCTCCTTCCTCCTTCCTTGCCCCTTCACTCATTGACTCCTTCACTCCTCCTCTCCCTCCTCCTCTCCTTCCCTCCCTTCTCTCTCCCTCCCTCCTTCACTCAACATGTATATCCACCCATCCACCCACCTACTCGCCCTACTATCATTCCTATACCTATTACCATTCCTATTCTTCTTCCTTTCCACGATATCCCTCTCCTTTCTATCTATAAAACCCCCTCTCTAAGGTTCTCTCCTACCAGCAATGCAACGCTACCTCCCTTTCCCTTTCTCATTCATTCATTCATTCATTCATCTATTCCACATCAAATCCTCATTAAATAATGCATAATGCATACATAACACACTCTAAATCAAATCTCCTCCCGTCTTTCATTCCCATGTATGCCTGTCTGTCAAATTTTAATAAGCCTTGTCACGCCTCGCCTCGCCTCGCCGTGAAGCCAGTTGTCCTTCATCGCACACCCACAACGCCTATTCATTGAAGCCAACCAAATCAACCAAATCAAACAACACGATTTAATACTTGCAATCAAAAAGAATGAGAAAGACCACAGAGATAACTCAAAGAAGTAATGAAGTTGCTATAATTACAAAATTATTTTTCTAAACTTCGCTGTATGTATGCATTTATGCATATCCCATCCATTCATGAACATCCGTGAGCATCCTGCTATGCATCCACGCATCATATCTTCGTATTTGCTAAACAGTAGCAAGCAAATGAAGAAAAGAATCCTGATATGTATGCCAATTCATCCTCATCCCAAGGGGTATCTGGAAAAGAAGCCATTCAAGCCAATCAATCAATAAACCAACGAATAACGAAATCAAACTAGATCCAGATCCAGAACTTCCAGATCATGCCACCAAATGAATCCCTTTTTATTGTTCCACCAACAATATCCACCAACGCATCCATTCCATTCCATTTCATCTCCAGAAACCCCCCCATGTATTTGTTGAATTTTCCCAGCCCATCAATATCCATCATGATTTCTCCTAATGGTCTCTTGAAAAATAATACTCACCAAATAACAAAAAAGTCAGAATAGACTATCACCGAAGTAGTAATACCATCAAAACAAAAGCGCACGAATTGCGATCAGTGTGTCTTCTTTCTTGGCCTCTCCCTCTCACGGCCTTCGGCCAAATTAAAACGTTCCTTATGGATAGCATATTCTTTCATAGCTTGATCATGACTCGCCATTGCCGCAACCCAGTGACTCATAACTGCTCCGTCCTCTTTGAGACCACGTCTGTAGATGTCGAGACCCTGAGACTTCTCCCAGCGATTTGATCCTAGTGTGTCATTTTGGTTCCTGCGTGCAACAAGATGTAGCATCATGCGACTCGCGAAAAGGTCCCAGTCGCCCATGTAAGCTGTGAATGACGATAAATAAATACCTTGCGACAATGCTGTATTTGATTCATGGGAACATCTTGGAGCAGTAGGAGGCTTTGGTAGCGCAAGGGAAGAAAGCAGTTCTTTAATGTTCAAATCATCAAACTCGACCTTCAAACTCTCTTCATCGACTGGAGATTGAGATGGGGCGGCAGCTCTCTTGAGTGGCTCGGTGTTGATTTTGAGTCCATCGGTAGCCGTCGGTGTAGCCGGGGGAGGAGAATCGACATCCATTGCATCTGGACTAGCTGGAGGTTTTGGAACCCTTGGAATCCTGCCCTTAAAAAAGGTTGGCTTTACATCTGAGCTATCACTATCATCTTCAATAACTATAGTAGCAGAACCGACAGTAGCCTTAGCAATAGGCACTCTTTGTTTACGAGACCCAACTCGTGGAAGAACAGAAGGTTTAGTAGGCGACGGAATTGATGGAGGAGCGAATGTTTGAGGCCTGAATGTTTCTGCCCAATCCTTTGCAGAAAACTTGGTGCCACCAGGAGATTCGATTGGTGTATCTGCGTCGGGTCTTGACGCTGGGAACGGTTTCGAATCAGCGGAGCGGCTTTTGACAGGAGAACGGCCTCTTGATCGAGTACGTGACTGGGTGCGAACACGAGAGTAAAGTGGTATCTGAGTAGTCTTCTGCTCTGGTACAAAATAATCACCACCAGCTTCGAATTTTCCATGCCACTCTTCGGATGAAAATTTAGTGTTGATGTTGTCTGCACTACCTCTAGGAAAGGTGTTTGGTCGAGTAGGAGAGAATGTTTCATCATCTAATTTAATAGAGAAGCTGTTTTGAGAATTGAGATTAGCATGAGCATTTAACTTGTCCAATAACAAAGAATTTAAACGCGAATCGCCAACTGAAAAAGCAGATTGAGACTTAGTGACAAAATCCGGCTTCTTGATAGAGTTACTCGTCTCAGCCGACGGCATTTTGAACGAATATAGGGCCTTATCATAATGAACCTGGTGGTTGGCACTCTTGACTGGCTTCACATGACCGTTTTGATGATATTTCTTGGCCCGCTCCTTGTTGACTAACAATTGATCGACGAGGTTATGTTGAGCAGCCTCGAAAGCATTCAGCCTTTGGGGGGATGCGTCGCTATTACAATGCAATTCATCCTTCTGGCCATGTTGAAGACCATCTGAAGAATGAGAAGAACCTCCACTAGGAGGCGATGCAGTTGGATTTACTCTGGGAGTAGTGAAAGATCCAGGATACTTTTCTTTGTATACATCCTGCATGCGTTTAGAGTAGGAAAGGGGTTGACGCAGAGGGGTTCCAGAAAATGATGCAAGTTTGACATGATTGGGCCGCTCCTTGGGGTCAGAAGCAGCGTAACTAGAAGAAGTTTCATACATTGAGGATTGGCGTTTGGGCTCTTCTTGGGCTGGAGGTCCATTTGCACCAGGGTTAACAATCGGGGATGTTGGGTTGGGATTGTCCTCCCGCCATTGCTGAAAGTCCCCGAAAGAGCTCGGCTTGCTTTGATTTGGCGTTCCTGGTGTAGCAGCATCTGGCTTTCTTTGCTCTTGGATTGGTGTAGGTTTCCTAGTTTTGGCAAATACTCGTGGTTTTTGGAGATCAATCTCCGGGCCATTTCCTGAATCTGATGAATCGGGCGAGGTTGCAGATGCCTGTGCGGGCTTTGGAGTACCATTTGGACGTGGCGAGGCCAGATTGGGATCAGATCCTGCCCTGGGAACAGGCTTTCTAGTTTTTGGTTCCGCAAAACCACCTTCTCGAGTGCTCTTCGATCTGCCTAAGTTGGCTGCATCAAATGGGTCTAACTTTTCTCCGCCAGCATTGGCATATGGTGTACTAATTCGAGGCTCGTAGGATGGCTCTTCTTCAGCCCTGAATTGTCGCAAAGGATCATTTGTCTTCGCCGATGGACGGGTATTATGATTAACCGGCGGAGCCGTAGCTGGAGTATACTCTTGCTCATGCTCTTGTTCGAACGACGGAGCCTCTCTTGGTGGCGGTGGTGGTGGCGGCACACTTCTATTGACACGGGAGGTGGAGTAATTGCCTTTTCCTGCAGATGGCTCGTCCGCACCTGGATTACTCGGCATGAACCCAGTTCTTTTCGGTGTTGGGGGTGCAGGGTTACTTGGGTTGCGTCCATTGTATGCACCAGACCTGAACTCGTCAAAGCCTGGTTTAGGTCTTGGAGGTGCAGCATGCTTGAAGCTATTGCTCTCTTCTCGGCCAGATTGAGGAACGTACTCTTTGGGCACTGCTTTTGGTGCGCTCCATGTCGAGCCTGGACCAGGTTTAGAAGTAGATGGTGTTTTTTGCTGACTCTTCATGCTCTCCCATGCATTAAATGTACTCTTCCTTGCCTCAGGCCCCTCTTGTGCCGCCGCGCTGGCTGATTGTTTCGGTGTTTGAAAAGTCGAGTATCTCGCTGCACCCGCAGATTGCGGTGGAGGATTTCTATTAGGTCGATAAGGTGGTGGTTTGGGTGGACGAGGGTATTCCGAGCCATAATTTGAATAAGGATTGCCTTTCGTAGATCTGAAAGCTGAAGCTGATGTGTATCTAAATCTGGATCGGGCATCATCGTATCTTTGTCGCTCTGACGGATCTGTAAGAACTTCGTGCGCGGATTGTATAGCTTGAAATTTGGCAGTGATATCGATTTCTTTTCCCAAATTTCTATCTGGATGATACACGAGAGCTGTTGAGAAGAAGAGTTAGCTCTGAGTGCAGAGAAGAATAAGGTGAAGGTTTCTGTACCAAGTTTTCTGAATTGCTTCTTGATTTCGATTATTGAAGCGCCTTGCTCAATTTCGAGATCAGCATAGTAATCCCGATCAAAATCTGCTTTCACCATGTTTGAAGGTCAGGTCAGACCAGACTTAGTTGCGAAGCCCAAGATGAGTGTAGGACCTGATGGATGGTAGACAATGATTTACTAGTAAGTAGATTTGATTTTCAGATAATATTGAGCTTCAGGTTCAGGTCAAAGAAGGAAGGATCGTAATTGCCAGCAAAGATTCCAAAGGTTTAGTTGGGTTGGTAGTAAAAAAGTAAGACTAGCTTTTCTGGCCTGTGATGCCTATTTTAGGGTATTGTAGTGGGATAGTGTAAGTGTGATGTAGTGTTATTGTATATTGTACCTGTACCTGTAACCTTTATTGTTTATAGATAAGCGGAGAGAAGAAGAGAGAGGCGGCTAATGATCTTCCCGATGATCCACCGACCCTGGAAACCACAATCACAACCATAACTACAACCTTACAGAACTCTACCGAATCAACCTTGGAATCGTATTATATCAGATCAAATTTCCTTAAATACTAGTACTTATATTTATATATATATATATATACCGTACTTACTTGTTTGTTTATTATAGCTTATTCTATTTATTACTCGAATAATCTACTTCTAAATCCTTTTAATTGGGAAGGCGGGCAGTCGATCATTAAGTTCATCCAATCAATCCACCCTATCTTAAAGGGAAATCCTTGCCATTTACATGACGCCTCAGGCATTAATTATCCATCTAGAATAACCCAAGAAGATTTACATGGAATTTGGAGTATTTATGGTTGAAGATGCCTGGCTAGAACCTATACTTCCACATCCACCTTGATCTGTGAAACACCAAATCAAGTCTACATGTTACATCACACATGAAAATCACAAGAGAAACTTATAATTATTTACTTATTCATGTGTCATGTTTCATATGAGTCTGTACTTAGGCACCATAGTAGTTACTCACTCCAGACCTCCGAAAACGATTAATTTTCGCCTCATTTCTTCTTATATCCCCCCCAAACAACTCCAGTGAACAATAGACTTATACTCCATCACCAATCCACATTAAGCCTTCTTATGACCATAACATAACCAAAAAACAGAATCTCATGATCCAACATCTGAAGAATCCAGCAGTCATAATATACTCTACCATAGTCCATCTTACTCAAAACATAAAAGCCCCATATGCATCTGCCATGAAAGTTTTAAAGCGATATCCAGGACCACAAGTTTTCCGGTTAAGTCTAACCGCTCAGAATGCGGGATCGTAGCTCCAACCGCCTTGCCTCCTTACTCGATCTCTCCCTTCCATATCTTTACGGACCTCCTCTTCCGTGAGACGATCAGGTCCACTCCAGTTGGCACTGGATGTCCTGGCTCGGAATTTATGGAATCGATCCTTGCTCTTATCAAATACTTCTTCCATATTCAAAGCTTGAGGTCGCCCAAAAATCTTAGATGGGTCAATGGATTCCTGAAGTGCCAATTGTTTGCGTATCTCGGGAGAATCTGTCCAACCAAGACCCTGAAACTCTTTCTTTTCTTTCTCTTCATCTTCGTCGTCTTCATCTTCACTGTCGCTAGGGATTTCTGGAAGAACAATGTTCTCTCCGTTTTCGTACCGTGGCGATGATTTTGCTGCGGATCTTGCTGCCTTTGCTGAGGCATGACTTGCAGTACGTGCTGGTGTTTTGTATGACTGTCCATTTGAGCTCGATGCAAACGGGATGGCTCCTTTAGCGACCTGAGTCATATCCATGGGGTTGCCAACTTTGTTTTGGTGTTGTGACACAATAGTAGATCTTTGCAAATTAGCAGGCGGTGGGGCATGAGCATATCCACTTGCAAACAACGACTTTGTGGGCATCTCCTATCTTGAGTTAGCATGCTATGTTCCACTAATGATCGTGATACGATTACCTTTGGACGAATGCTAGATTGTCGGATCGGCGGAGCAGTCATTTTAGGATGAGACTCCGTTAATTCGTCCTCCTCATCGAGATACTCATTAGTCCTTTGACGTTTGTTGCGTGATTCACCATGATTTGAGGGTCCGTTTCGCTGCATTGTTGGACGAGCAGCTTCTTCACTACTCTCCTGCAAAGGTCTCTTTGGGGGCGCTTTCGCAGTGTTTATACGGGTAGCTTTTGCTTGTCCACCTAGGTCATTTCTTTGCGGTGGAATTGGTGGCAATGACTTATCAAGCCATTGATCGGCAATTTGCTGAGGTCGGATAGCTGGCGGGGGGGCTCTCTTTTGCTTCGCTCTTTCAATGGCTTTCTTATTAGCCTCACTGAGACTAATTTCTTTTTGTTGCTCACGTTGACGCTCTTGGTCACGTTTAGGATTGAGCTCATTCTGTCGTCTTTGCTCTTCTTTGGTGGCGGCTCGTTGGCGTTCCATTTCTAGCTTTACGTCCCTTCTCTGTTGAGCTGCAAGTTCATCCGCCTCCTTCTTTCTTGCGGCAGCCTCCAGAGCTTTGTTAGCCTGCGCCTTAAAGCTGTTAGTGGAGGCCTTGCTTTGTAATGAACTGGTGCTAGCTTTGTTTCGCATGTGCCCGGCTTGGGAAGCTTGTAATGATTGTTCTAAAGTTGCTGCAAGTGTTGTATTAGATGGATGATACTGTTGACCACGAGAAGAGCTAGTGTCTACACGTATAACAGTTGCGGGCGCCTTCGCTTTGGGGGCAGTGTCTTTCACTGGTCTCAATGGCCGTTTAGCCTGTGGTCGCCCAATCTGAGACTTTGGCCTTGGAATAGAAGGCGGTGGCATTGATACCATTGCATCAGTCATATCAACATCTTTACTTGAAGATATATTAACAGACAAAGCTGCGGCTGCTGCCATGGCCTCTGCTTCCACTTGAGCCTTAGTTTTCCGTGGGCTGCTTCGAGTTGCCTTTGGTCCGTCAACTTGGCTCGACTTGGCCAGTATCTCTTGCTCTTTCCGGGCGGTCATTTCCTTCTGCATGGCTGCCGCTCGCTCTTGCTCTTGGTGATAAATTCGCGCGTCCTCCTTGACCTTCATGCGTGCCTTCGTCAATTGGTCATTCATCTTTTGCGCTTCTTTGGCCTCTTTAGCGGCCTCTTCTTTGCGTTTCTCTTCCTTTTCAGTAGAAGCTCGAGTTCTGCGAGTGGTAGCTTTAGCAGGACTTTGAGAGCGGTTGGGGGCTCGGTCGTTGAGGTGCATATCCATTTTTGGATAAGAGACCTCCATGTCATTCGTCTCACCTGGAAGAACATCTTCGAAGGAAGGTGCGTTGTGATGATGAATTCTTGTAGATGGTGGCGATAGAGTTTCAATTTTTGCGTCAGCACTCGCAGCTGCACTACTAGCAAATAAGGTTTTTCCGGATTTGAGGATCGAGGAAAACTTGTCCTTCGCCACCTTCAAAGGACTCCCCCGAAGAGTCCTTGGGGGGGATTTTGGAGGAGTTATTGAATCCTCATCAATTGTATTAATGGGAAGGCTTGGGTTGGAGACCGAATTTAGTTTGTTGGGACTCTGTAATTCAACCGCCTTTTTAGCAGAGGATATAAATGAAGTCGAGATAGATTTAGTTAGGCCTTGGACATTCGTTTCATGAGCAGGCGAGGTTTGCCTTCCTTCTTCGCCCCTTTTGGGAAATATAAATTCAGATCCACCAACAGTTTCCTTATCATGCATGCTCTCCATTACATCTGTAGTCTTGGCGATTGTTGGGCGAGGACTGAAAATAGACTTCTCGTTTAACGCTTTTGTTGGAGGTCCAATCCAGCTATCTTCGTCTTCGGGGAAGGCGCCTGGAGTAGCAAATGACGTGTCCTTTTGTTGTGACAATGATTCTTCTTGTCCAAGTTGTGGTGTTGGGGGTTGAACCGCTTGGGTCGACTGGCGCGACGCAATGATACCGCCCACAAGCGATTTGGATGAGGGCCTAGTTGTTGGTTGGGACTGGCCAAGCATACTGATCTGGTCCTGAAGACGTTGCGTCGAAGTCTTATTGTGAATGCGTGCCATTAATGTTTCTGCTTCGGGTTCTTCGCGTGCAGTTGTGCCATGCATCTCATCAATGTCCATTTCGTTATCATCTTGATTTGCGAGGTCTTCTCTAACATTACCTAGACTTTTTCCACCCGTGGGTCGACCATAATGACTGGTACGTGTCTGGTCTAGATGACTTATTCGCGAAGTACGATGCCCAAGACTTTTCTTGGACAAGTCTCGCGCAGGCAGAGAAGCAAAATTCAAACTGCTCTTACGAAAAATGGGGCGTATTGGACTTGATCCCTCAGAAGCAGATTGAGCATCAGGGATATCATCCATCTGCTCATCTTCATCTTGAGGAACCATCGGTGAAGATTGCGGCTCTACAGAGGCTTCTTTCATGGCAGATTCAGGCTTTGCAGGAGATTCGGATGGGGATTTTTGCTGGGCAACCTTTTCCGGTGATCGATGGGCTAATGTGCTGTGACCCTGAGTTGGCGACTCAAGATTTGGATACTCGACACATTCCATGATCCGGTCTTGATCTGCTTCTTCTTGTTCTTCTTCTCTTTCTTCTTCCTCTTCTTCTCTTTCTTCTTCCTCTTCCTCTTCTTCTGATTCTTCTTGTATTTGCTGAACTTTTGTTTCTGATTCTACCTCAATGGTGGCCGCTACAGGCGAATCTTCTCGTGCAGATTGGAACGAGTCCTCGATGATTTGTCTCTCTTCGGGCTCTGCGCTTGTAACTGGTTTCTCTTCGACGTGTGCTGTCCGCTCCTCAGACTCGCTTCCTTCTTTCTCTGCAGTTTCCTCAGTCTCTTCATTCTTTTCATTCTCGACGGTATCTTCTCGGGGTGTAAGAGCTCGGGGTGGAGTTGATTCGAATGTAGCGGGTTCGGTAAGTTGGGTATTAGGTTGAGTCGCCTCATCAAGTTGACTTCCGTAATATCCAGAATCAACCGCGTTAATAGAGGGTTTTCGCTGGACACTATTATGCACAGTGTCAGAGTTGGATGGGCGGTGTGAAGGGGTAGGTTGTGATGGAGTGGGCTGCGATTGAGTAGGTTCCTCTTGAGATTCTGCCGGGGCGTCCTCTGCCACTCGAAATTTTGGAGGTGATCGCTCGTAATGGTTTTGTCGGAATGGACTGGGGGCTCCTTGAGGTGTCGCTGAAAATACATCAGATAATGGCTGCGAGATATTAGCATTAATCTCTACATAGATTGTGTAGACATACGGCGCGCACTTCCAATGGATTCAACTTTCTAGCCGTTCTGGGAGTCTTTCCACGTAACTTTCCCGGTGTTTTGAAGATTTCGGCAACGTTCCTGAAGGTAAAATTAGCTTGTACGCTCTGATCGCAGGTTTGTTTACATACACTTGATTCGTGGTGAAGATTTCTGCCATATGTTCGTTCAGCCATTCAATCTCGTTTCTCGCGGCAAATGTAAACTCCTCTGCCTCTGTCTCTGCAAGCTGCAGCGCATTTGATCGTTCCTCCGTTACCCATCCCGTCGATCCTACTGGTAATCGTTTATTTGGTCGTATTGCCGCCATTTTTTCTGCTGTTCAAAACGGCGCGCGTCGTATTATAATGAATTGGTTATCTTGTCGTGATTGTTAACTCGCAATATCATAAGATCATCTTTTGCAAGCTATTATTAACATTAATTGGGAGTTGGGCGATTTGTGTGGCGGCGGTCATGAGAAATTGAAGTTCTAAAATTCGTAAACCTTGGGGATGCTGGCGATTGTTTTTGGTTAACCCTCACAAGCGCGTCAACGGCTCGCTCGCACCGCTTGTTTCGTCTCTGAATTCCAAGTCACATGACAGCCGATAGCCTCAGCTTTACAACGGAAACAAAAGCTGTATGCAACAACCTCCCAAATTTGTGATGATGATTAGATAAATTTACAGTGATCAGGCAGTGAGTAGTTCATGTCTACATGACTGGCTTTCCCCCCCCTGATTTTTCGGCTGAGGAAGGAATCAAATCTTATCTGTTACATATCTATCTTGTGTGGAAAATACAACACCTCCAATTGAATAAAGCCATCATGATTTGCACCAGGGTTTCAAGAATTTCCCGGTCGTTCAGCGTAAGAATGTTCTCGAGAAGAACCTTCACAGCGTCGACCTCGGTGAGAGTCAATACTCTAATGGAGAAAAGTGGCTTCTCAGACACGCACATGGAAGTTCGGGAAGCCATTGCCAAAATCTGCTCAAAATATCCCGATGTGAGAATGTTCTCGTCAGACAATTGCCGTGAATTCTCACTGAAATCATCAGGAATATTGGGCAAAGCATGATGAATCTGGTGAATATCCACATGAATTACATGCAGATTTAGCAAAAGGGGGATGGATTGGCATTGCCCTACCCGACGAACTTGGAGGATCGGGTCTTGGTATCTCGGAGGCTACGATGATGCTACATACTATATCCGAGAGTGGTGCTGGTATGGCTGGTGCACAAAGTATACATGCAAGTCCGTCTGACCCAAATCTAATGGCTTTCATGAGACACAAACCTCAACCTTCTCAAATTGATACAGATCATCAATGCAGCGTAATCAGTGGATTGAGCAATGCAATGCTGATCCATTCACATTAGATGTTTATGCAACCCAGCCTGTTGCAAAATTTGCCACTCCCTCACAACGTCAAATAATGTTACCCAAGCTAATCGACGGTACTTGGCGAGCATGTTTTGGAGTCACCGAACCCAACACTGGCTTGGAAACTCTGAAACTGAAAACTCAAGCTGTGCGCGAAGGTGATACTTACAAGATATCGGGTCAGAAAATATGGATATCCTCAGCACAAGTTGCAACGAAGATGATACTATTGGCCAGAACCACCCCGATAGAAGAAGTGGCGAAGCCTTCCGAAGGTCTATCTCTTTTCTTCATTGATTTCGATCCCAGGCAGCCAGGCCTCGAACTAAAGAAAATTAAAAAGATGGGTGGACGTGCTATAGATGCAAATGAAGTTTTCTTCGATAATTACACCGTTAGTAGCGATTCACTGATTGGGAGAGAAGGCCAAGGGTTCAAAATCGTACTTCACGGCATGAATGCCGAACGATGCCTCCTAGCAGGCGAAGCATTAGGCCTTGGATACGCTGCCCTTTACCGAGCTTCCCAATATGCAAAGGAAAGAATCGTCTTTGGTCGACCTATTGGTATGAATCAAGGTATTCAACACCCCTTGGCAGACGCATACATGCACCTCGAAGCTGCAAAACTAGCAACTTATCATGCTGCGGGATTGTATGATAGATCAACGACGGATCAAACAATAACACAGACAGCTGTTGGTGTTGCTTGTAATAGCGCAAAGTATTTGGCCGCTGAAGCAGCATTTACTGCTTGTGAGAGGAGCGTGTTGACGTTGGGTGGCATGGGGTATGCTCAAGAATATCATGTTGAGAGATATTTGAGGGAATGCTTTGTTCCCAGAATCGCGCCGGTTTCGAGAGAGATGATTATGAACTACGTGGGAGAGAAGGTTCTTGGCCTGCCTAGAAGTTATTGAAGGATAAGTTCACAATATTCGGGTCATTCAAATGGGGGTATTGTGAAATGTTTAAACCGAAGATAACCCACAGACAGGTACGAGCTTATTGCTTAATGCATAGGGAGTTTGATTCCTGATATTAATTTCACACATGGGCAGAATTGAATTTTGTTGTGATTCTGACAGTTCTTCACGGCCATTCCCTCATCACTTTTAGCGTCATGGCCTCAAAATAATCACAAGACTATCCTTTTGGACCCTCCTTTTGTATTCTGTAGTTGCGCCAACTCCCTCTTCCCCCAAACAAACAAGGGTGACAAACACATGGCTTGGAGAAAACATCACGACTCAAATCTAGCAACGAGTATTCCAAGAATAGTCGAATAACAAACAACAACTGGTGAACATATATCCCTGTAGCCCCAACCTGACATCACATCGCACTTCTCAATACAAAACGCGGAGTTTTCATTCTCTCGTCTACATTTTCCTCTCGTCCGAGCTTCTTTCTCACTGCAGTCATGCTTACATCGCGTATTCAGCCTGTATGAACGTTACCGCGACGGCTCACAAGCTGCAATTGCGTTGGTATAAGACCAAGTCAAGGATGAAACTATTGTGAAATGCGTTTGCGGGATCTTTTAGTTGTCGTCTCAATGTTGTGCGTGGACTTGAATTCGATTGTCCACAAATTCGAGGTTGTTTCTGAACTATTATCTGATGATTACGAGATCTTCGAATGATTTTCATTTTGGACATCCTTAAGCCCTCGGTAGTACCGGTATTTCCATTCCTTTAACCGGCATGTAGCCATATATCATGGGGTATTTGTGCGGGGTTTGTCGATCTCCAGGTATTTGAAAATCTTAACAAGAAAGGTTGGATGATACCCCGAAAGGGTTTGCTACGGAATTAGGGCGTTCCTGGATAAATTGACGGTGGAGATGGGGTGGACATAAAGGTTGAGGGAGATCTCGTCATGTCTTCGCTTTTCTTTGCGTGGTTTACCGCGATTTACAATTTTGATTTAATTGAATTGAGGAAGACATACGAGATGAAGGGTCTTATGTATTCGTTCTCTTTATTTGCTGGGTACGGGCTGACAACTGCTGTGTCTGGTCCATCAGGGGTAGATGGGGGCTCATCTGCGCTGAAGCATGGCTGGATTCCACATTTCGAGAACTTGGTAGCCTTTGGTGATAGGTAAGATAATGGATTTATTCTGCGAATCTCATCTAAATTCTAGAAGTGTCATTTGAGAAGGAGTTGCTAATATACATTCAACAATAGTTATACCGACGAGTCTCGACTGAGTTATTTCCAAAATCACAACGGTTCTGCACCACCACCTGGGACACTTCTTCCCTCGAGCAATTCCACCGCTGGTGGAGGCGTGACATGGGATAGATATGTGTCCAATTACAGTGGCGCCAAGCTCTATGACTATGCTGTCGCCGGTGCAGTTTGCTCTAATAAGATTATCTATCGATACCTGGCTAGTGTCTTTGGACCTTTCCCAGATGTTGTCTATGAAGTCGACGCTTTCGTCGCGGATGTCAAGTATATTAATTCATCCACAAAGACCAACACTCTCTACACCAACCGCAAACCTGACAACACGGTATACTCGATGTGGATCGGCACCAATGATCTGGGACAGGGCGCCTTTCTGACAGACTCTTCCTTAAACGGAACCACAATTCCAGACTATGTGGATTGCATTTTCAATAGGTTTGACGAGATTTATCAAACCGGAGCTAGGTACTTTGTATTGATGAATAACGCACCATTACAATTATCGCCATTGTATGGTATGCCTAGTGCTGGAGGACTGAATGCTAGTCGTTATTGGCCAAACAAAGTAAGAACCTCAACTCGTCCCGCATTCCATCTCAACTCATATAAATCTAGCCGAGCAACACATCAGAAATCAGCGGGAAAATGAAAGAGTATACCCAACTAGCCAATAGTATTTTCGACTACCGAGTACCATTTGAAATAGTGGTTAAGAAGAGATACCCAGGAGCATCGATCGCTATCTTCGATACCAATTCCTTGCTTACCGACATTTATAACAATCCAACACAGTACTTACCCGCACCAGCCATTGTCGAAGTACCTTACGTTCTCTGCGCTCTCTCTAGTTCATCTTGTCCCAAGCAACCGGGGAGTCTGGATGGCTATATGTGGTACGACGAACTACATCCATCTCAAGGAACAGATGAGGTTATCGCGCATGAATTCTTGAATGTTGTGAAAGGCAATTCAAAATATGCTTCATATTGGTAGCTCCTTGGAAAGGATTGGTCATAGTTATAGTTAATGACGAAACCAAAAAAGTAATGATTCTCGGGAACTGAAGTTGATTGCTTGCCTGTGTTACTGTACCAATACTTTCGAGTGTGACCTCAATCTCTACCGGGAAGGGCTTGCATATTCCCCTTCCGAGGAAAGCGCCGCCAAATGTAAAAGATGTTGTTGCAATCAATCTAGCTCAGCTTCCGGATGAATGTCATTCAGCCATAAGCCATGCATGTATGAGAGCCCGCAGCGCTCATAGTTCCAAAGTGTATACCTAGGTAGCTAGAGCATCTTGCCATGTAGTTCTGATCTCACCACCACTAGGCAAATAGATCGAAATTGTATTTGATTTGAAGCCATCTCATAATTCCCATTTCATTATAAAAATCTCGATCAAGAGTTATCGGATGGAGCGACGACAATACCATGAAGAACAGACGACCAAAGTACCTAGTCATTTCCGTTAATCCATGCATTGGATAGGTCCGGAGCATTCGAATCCTTCCAATCCTTCCCATCACTTTAAATGTACAACTCGTGAACCTTACCATGTCGTTGCATGAATAGTTTCCTTGTCTAAATTGTTCTCTTCCATTCAATTATAGCTTCGGTTAAGATCCTTGCTAAATTAGAGCTCGGTTCTTGTTTATGGATACATCCGAAAGCAAACACACATGAATTTCTCACCCTCAGACACAACCCATATCGTAATAGAGGACAGGAAAAAACCGAAGAGACTGTCATCTACTTATCCCACATCCACATCCCGCAGCACACCCAATTCATATTACCCCAGGAAAAACCTCCCGAAACGAGACCACTCAACGGGAACTAAAGGCCCTTGGCATTGCCTTACGCATATTCCCGAACGAACGAAAGTTAGCATTTCCCAGCCAAATCGTTGCCGTGCGGCGTATGTGCGACTAGAGATCATGATAGGCAGCCTATCATAGGCCCTTTATTGACTTCCAAGAGCCATGTATGCACCAAATTTCTCTTTTGGACAGGGGAACAGTACGCAATCTTTCAACCCTAATGGTGGTCATCCACAGGCTCCTCAAAATGTCCATCAACCGGGTCAACAACAGCCTCAGCACATGATGTATAATACTCAACAATACGGAGCCGGAGGTCATCAATCGCCTTACGGCACGTCTGGCCCCGGCATGGCTAGTAACGCCGGTGGGATGGGAATGATGCAGAATAACGGTGCGCATATGGCGGGTGGAAATGGTAAGTTTCACGCCCCATATTTCTCTTTATAGTCTGCTATAATATGATATTGCTGCTGCATATCTTGTGCACACTCCAATGTTCGGATGGAAGACTAGACAGCGCCTGTGCGGCAGACCCTGAAGAGCATGCGAGGTATTGAATACATATATAGTCATCTAGGTTGAGCACAAAGGCACGCAGGCGGCAACTTATGATTGTTCACACAATAGCAAGGCAAAATGACTGACCATTTATGTGCAAACAGTTCCTTCCTATCAAACACCATATACAAGCTCTCCTTACGGCAACAATATCGCTACTTCCTCTTCCGTATCACACCCTCCAAGCTTCATGCCAACCACTTCAAATGCGCCCCCACAATATGGAATGAACCCTTCCACAATGATACCACAACAGCAGCAGCATCAAATACAGCGTATGCAGCCACCGCCATCTTCTACACCAACGCCGACGTCGGCGACTTCCCGTGTCTCTCCCTACGGAAATTTTTCCCAAAGCACACCACCAAGTGCATCTACCACACAATTCGCTGTACCAAAAAATCTCAGTCATCAACATCACCAAACGCCTAATAATCCTCAACAAGGAGCAATGAGTCTGACACCGCAGACGCCGAACTTTCCACCAGGGTCGCGGAATCCAGAAGTTGCGGGAACCGCCATGGCTACACCACTAAGTCCTGGCTCGGAGCTTCGAGAGAAAGAGAGGGTCACCGTACTCCTAGATATCAATGGAGAGATATTGATAGAAGTTATGCGAATTATCGCACTTCAAACTGAATTGAAGAGTAATCAAACGGAAGATCCTGCTGAAAAGGCAAAGCTTGAGGCAGAGCATAAAGTTCTGGCAAGCGAATATATTCAGTTTGTTCCCTATAGATGTTGAGACTGGAGCATTTACTGACACGCAATTAAGATGTATGCGACGACTACAATCCAATCTAGCCTATCTTGCCGCAATCGCCGACCGTACTCATAAGCCCGCGGCTCAGGTCCCCTCACATCCCGCAGTCCTGTTTGCACCATCTCTTACACCCAAACCAGCACATACCGACCCTACATCTGCGATCACGAACGGCGGTGATTCAGCGTCGACACCCGAAGAAAGATATGAAGATCGCAGTGAGATCTTGAAAGATTTATATAAGCGGTTACAAGCCCTATACCCCGGCGTTGATCCAAAAAAAGAAATACCTGCTCAATCAGTAAACGCAGTAGCTAGAGCACAGGCACAAGCACAACAGCATGCGCAACAAATGCAGTCACAAGCGCAGAAACAAGGTGATATGGGACAAAGCATACAAAATATGACGGGAGGACAAAATGTTATGGGCCAAGGTCAAAGTCAAAACCAAAGTCAAGGGCAGGGCCAGGGGCAAATGGTTCAAGGCGGTATGGCTCAAATGCAACAGCATCAGCAGCAAGGTCAACAAAATATGGGAATATCAGGTCTCAATCAAAATCAATTACAGCAACAGCAACTATTACAGCAGCAACAACAACATCAACATCAGCAGAAGATGCAAAACGAAATGATGCGACAAAGGATGATGCAGGAGGCACAAAAGAGCCAACAACAGCATATGATGAACATGGGACAAATGCCAGGAAGATAACCTTTTGAGATGTTTTAGCTGGTCAATATCAGACACATCTGATGAATGACAGGATGAGGATCGCGGATAGGTGCTGGGTATCAAAACTTGGAGGTTCGCTGTGCAATTGGCTATAATGGATGAAACAGGCTCGGGCGTTTATATGTGTATGTTTGTATGATATCTGGTGCTGGTCAAGGGAGTTTTTTTATTCGATATGCCTAGCTTTGCAGGGGAAATAGTATATTGCATGCATGGAATGGAATAGTTATGGATTATCGAATTGGCGAATATAAATATAACTTAGATTTGATACCTTGCGGACTCTTGCTACATTTTAGATTTTTCTTTAGTGCTCCCAGGTCATGTATCGTGAAGTAAAAAGTACGAGGTCTACAAGTCACACACAACCCTACGGAATTGACATGACAATGCAGATCTTGATGACTTTTGATATAGGTGGGTAGTGATGAAGATAAGCTTCAAGAACAAATTGTGTTTGAAAACCCAGCTAGCTAGCTATAAGAAAGAGCTACCTAGTACTCATACATGCACAGAACAGAGTATGCCGTACAGGATCTAGGAAGAAAGTTGGATAGAATAGAATGATAAGCTTTTGAATTATTTCTTGAGGGGGAGGGGTTTATTTTTCTATTTTGATATGTATGCAGTGTATTGATTGGTATAAATTGAGTTTGTGAAATGAATGTATTAAGAGGGATGGGCATGGCATACTGTAGATGTTTCGGATATCTAGTTTGTTTGTTGGTTTGTTTGTTGGTGGGTGGATGGGAAGGTTGGACGCATGAGCGGATGGGTGCTTGTTGTAGGTAGATATATACTGTCTGTACAATATAGGCAGATGTGGTAGATGTGCTTTGCGATAAAGTGTTGCGAAACTCGTGATTTCTTATAGGATATAGCATTACTATAACGAATGGATTTGGATTATGTTGATGTGCTTTTTTTGTGAAACGAAAACCATTCGCGAGTAGATTCACGGGTGGCATGGTATTACTGTATTACAGCACTGCGTGTAATAAGTAGGTAGTGGATAATGTACTGAGATGAGATGAGAAGTCTGTTTGAACTTTGAAGCAAAGACATGAACAAGAACAAGACAGTAGTAGGTAGGTATCGGTATGGCTATTGTGGTTGTGGCTGGTGATCTTTTTGGGATCTGATGAATACTTAGGTAGGTAGGTTGGATTTCCATTTATGTATAATCGTCGGCCCCGGCCCCGGGTAGGGTGGGTAGGTACAGTAGTACAAGTATCTAAGCTTTACTCGTATCGTAGTAAGGAGGGGCATTCTTACATCTAATCGTTGCTCACTGCTCAGACAAGAGACGAGGAAACATCCGAATGAGGAAATGGTAAATTTGAGATGAAGTACTGTTTTGTACAAGATCTACTCATACTGCCAGAAAGTCCGCAACTCGGACAACTCCCGTATAACACTAAAAGGGAGGTTAATCGATGATCTAAACCCTAAAAAGGTAAAGAAAGGGAAGCAAATTTTTTATATAGTTGATTCTATTAGTGGCCCACTTAGTCTCCCGAGGGCCGAGTTGCAGACTTTCTGGCGGCATGAGTATTTTGATATACTCTTTGACAAATTTTCACAAGTACCGGTAGTGGAGATAGTTGACTTAAGGCTGAATTGTAAGATTTGATGAAGGCTTGAAGGAGAAGAGTTCGGGAAGCGGGAAGCGGGAAGCGGAGAAAAAGATTGATGGTGGATGCGTGAAGCGGTGAAGCCGTGAAGGAGAAGGAGAAGAGAAGAAGGAAGAAGGAGAGAAGGAGAAGGCTCGGTACATCAACATCCCGTGCTTTTAGTCATGGGATTATGGATTTAATCATCAAACAATACGAGAAGAAGAGAGAGAAAGATGAGTTGTTGTAGATAGAGTACCAGTATCAGTGAATATTTTGAATTTCAATTATTGATGATATACGATAATTCCGTATGGGTTATCATAGATTTTACAAGAGTTTCACGAAAAGGAGGGGGGATCTCCTTCAAAAGCGTGGGGTTTTCGTCTCAGGTAAAGTGTTTTTTTCTTCTTATGCTAGCAGCTAGCTACCCTATTCTTCTATCCAGATTCTAGAAGATGTTGAGATGTTTCAAGACGTGGCACTTTCTGTCTCTCATTACTCATGTCCATATCGGTAGATCCATTGGTTCATATGATTTTTTTTTGAGAAGCGCCCTTGAAGCGAACACGTTAACGACAAGTGGAAGTTCCCTCAAATGATGTGCAAAAGACAGGGAGTACAGGATACATATATATCAATTGTCTAAATCCTCCGAGGATGCAAAGTGGATTGATTTACTTGTAATGCTGTAATATCCACCCATCCTCGAGCTACTTGTTTTCATCATCCCAAGTCGAATTAGCTTTGTTGGTCTTGATTTTCCTTCCGCCATTTGCAATTTATTCTTCAAACGAATCCGATATGTTGTGGATCGCGTTAAGCGCACGGCAAATTTCAAGTGTAATTTTTACAAGACTTATGGCATGAGCGTTGGTTGATATTCATACTTTGGTAGGATAAGTTCGCGGCGTTTAAACCCAACATGGTGTGAGGTCCGGAGGCGCGTTTCACAGGTAGTTTCCGATGTCCTGGAGACGCGGACCAGACTGATGGTAATCCTTAATCCTACCCCCCAGAAGTCTGTCAATACCGGTAGTCCAATTGATGAAGGCATCCAGGAATGTTTACCCAAGATCCTGGTGGCTGCGCCTCCGTTGATTTACAGAATATTCAAACTCTTATTTATGTGGATACTACGGGTACACCGCAGGTTAACCATCATGCGAGCTTTGGAGCTGATTCTATTCTCATCTACCCCCATGTCGTGTTTTGACTGGGGTCTTGACGTGTTGACATTAGATGTATGGATACCCAATGTATGATATGCTTCTGATCCCTTTTGCGACGTTGAAGTTAATTTTTCCACGTCTCATGTTTTTTTGTACGACGAGTAATGGAACCCCATAATGATTTTCTCATATTGTTCAATAATTCTTTTGTTTTCGGCATTTGTTAATACTCAATCTATTTCTGACGAGATCAACTCGCTTCCCTCATGTTCTGATAGCTGTCTTGACACAACTATAGCTACACTTGGATGTAGTGTTGGAAATTATAGTTGTTTCTGCGCAGATGATAGTGGGACCTCAACACAAAGTTCCATCATATCAAGTTCGAGCAGCTGTATACAAGACGCATGTAGTCTGATTGATGCTAACAGTGAGTTGTTTCCCGTACTGTCAAGAGTTCAACCTTAATAATGTTTCATAGCTACTTTGAAAGTTGTTGGCCAGATTTGCGTCCTCATAAATGCCCCCACATCCTCCACTTCCAGCTCTTTTTCAACAATATCAAGCGCTTCGAGCTCTTCCGCTACGTCATCACAGAGTGGTACAACAACAGCTGTTTCAATGATGACCTCTATCTCAGTGACCGCGACGCCTACGTTAACATCGACTGCACCATATAGTACCTCGACGTCTTCCAGTAGCTTGTCGAGGAAAGGCATTAGTGATGTAGCAAAGGCTATGATTATCTTGGCCGTTGTGGCCTTCTTACTAATACTTGCTATCGGTGCAAGATTATTATGGAAACGAAGAGCAAGTCAGCGAAGCTCTTTGAAAATGGGCAAGTTCAGAAACCTCGACGAAGAGAATGGGATGGCGAAGACGCCAGTGGAGCTTCAGGGAGACGATACCCAAATCTTCAAGTGGGGAGGAATTGGCGTTCGGAAATCGTTTCGAGTTCAGACTCAGCGGATCACTTCATTGATGTCGCCGACATCCCCAAAGAACAGGAGGCGTAGCGAATTCTGGGGAGAGCCTCGAGGTCTTCTTTCCACGATAGAAGAAACTTCTTCACGAGGATTAGCGCAAAGTCCCGAGCTGCCGGGTAGAATAGATACAAGTCCTATTCGATGGCCTTCGACATCCACTGCCAACTCCCCCACAAGTCCCGAGATGACCGAACCTCAAGGTGCTCTCTTTCCCCCGAGCCACTTTCGCAGCAACGCCCAAACATCACCACCCACACTACCAGCGCTAAATTTGCCTTCCATAATCCTCTCAACAACATCTAGACCTAACACACCTGATCAACCTTTACCCAAGACACCGTCCCCACCAGAAGTCCCCGTGAAAACTATCGCCCGACTCGATCGCCCTTTCTCAGATTTCCCCCACGCGATGCCACCCTCTCCACGAACCATTGGAATATCTTACGGCGCCCTCGCCCGCTCACTCTCAGTCAGCGAGAACCACTCTCCACCCCGCACCTTCCGCACTCGATCCCGCTCCCGCTCCCGCCCCTCCATCTCCTCCATATCCAACGTAATCCGCACACCCACCCACGACTTCACCTACCCTCTGCAATCGCCATCCGCGCAATCATTCCACACCTTCGGCGCCCGAAATTCCACCTACTCCCAAGCCTCCGTTTCCACCTTCCAAACATTCCCCATCTCTCCTCAGGACATAACAGAAGTACCGCCTCTCCCCACCATGCCCTCGATCTATCCCATGCCCACAGATACATCTGCCTCCCACAACCGACCCAAAACCTCCGAATCTATTGCCAACCAAAATGGGCGCTATTACCACAGCAAACAAACCTCCGTCTCCAAAATCAAGCCCAAAATGATATACATATCCACGACCCCGGGCATAAGCATCATGCCCTCCGACTCCATCTTCAGCACCCCCTCACCCATTCTCCGCGACGCACCCTCCTCCACCACCAACCCCTTCATCACCCCCACACCACCACACATCCCCTCAACTCCAAATCCAAATCCAAACACTCCCGCCATATCCATCAAACCCGTAATCGACCGTTTCGACACCATCAGTTCCTGCGGATCTCAAAGCAGCAGCGGAAAACCCAAATTAAAACCACCTGCGATAGAACAGATGTTTCAGGAGGGACAGGAGAAAGAGCGTTTTCGGGAGCGACAGGATGAGAGGAGGATGAAGAGAAAGGATAGGTTGTTGCATGGACAGGGGAGTGGGGATTTGGGGGAGAGGGTTACGAGTTGGTATGATGCTACTGGGTAGGTGGATTTTGGATTTTTGGATCTTAGTGTAGGGAATGAGAGGAGAGGAGAGGAGAGGAGAGGAGAGGAGAGGAGAGGAAAGGAGGAAAGGAAAGGAAAAATGGGATTGTGTTCTTTTTTGGCGTTAGGAGGGAGGGACGTTTAGATGCATTGGGGAGATCGTATGTCTGTCTGTTATTAACGAGTTTTGCATATATATATATATATTATCTGTCATTAGCGGGTTGCATATATTATGGAAAAGCGGGAAGTAAGCGGGTAGGTGTGTCAGAGTCGGCGTTGAGCGTTTGCGAGGGTGCAGCGCTGGGTTTTAATCTCTTTAATGGATGTTTGTAGGGGACTCATGTATGTACGGAAATTATGTTTATATCATATTCATATCAGATGATGAACGAGGAAAATTCATTTGCAGAGATAGGAAGAAATGTGCCTGAAATTAAAAGATCTATAATATACCGGTGATACCCCGAATTTTCTATAAAGAGAGCCCAAACTCCTCATGAACATTTATTTCCCCCTAAATTTTTCCTTCCCAATATTACCACTACCTGTATCCTTTTTACCCCTCCTCTCTCCCAAAACCTTCATCTCATCCATCCTTCTCGTCCGAACCCTCTGCAAAACTCTCGGTAATTCCACCTCCATCTCCTTCTTCTGTTTCTCCACCTCCAATTTCTCTGTCGTTGCAGTCCTTACCCCCGTACCAGGCCTTGCAGTATCAGGGCGTGCACCCGTGGCGATACTGACACTTGGCCCAAAGATTTTCTCTCTCGTACTACTAAATGTAGGCCTTCTCTTTCGACTCAATGTCATCTCCGGTTGTTTTTCCTCCATAGTTCCATCGGCGGGTAGCATTTCCGATTCTACTGTATCGGGTCTTTGGATCTTATCTACCCACTCCCTATAACTGCCTCTCGTCAATAATCCGCTCCTAAACTCATTTGCTCCCACCAATAGCTTTACTAGATCGATAAGCTCTTCTAGATATTCGATGACTTCAATTTGACCAGCGGAGGCGGCATTCCAGGATAAGAATTTTTGACGCACAAATCGTTTAACCATTGAGACTTCTATCTCTGAGCGTTCATGGGAAGATTCTTTGATGTGACCCGAAGAGGAGAGAACGACTTCTCGGACACGGTTTACCATCCGAAGATGAGCGAGGCGAGCGGATGGAAGAAATTGAGGTAGGGGGAGCTTGGTCGTGAGGGCTTCGTGAACGGCAAAGAGAATCAAAGTTATGGATCCAGCAACATTACGTCGATAGGGATAGACTTGTGCATTGAGTTCCTCGAGAACACCGGACCCATATTCGTGACGCAGAATGAGCATATTCTCCATGCGATCTACAATAGCGTGCAATACGTAAAGAATCTCCCCGTAAATAAGAGCATGAGGAGCAAAGGAACCTTTGAGACGTGGTTCGTGGGCGCAAAACGGAAGGAACGTGGCTGCAGCTGTCAATGCGGCTTCGGCCTTACCTTTAGCAATAGAAAAGCGAGATATGACTGCAGGAGAATGTACATTGACGTTGTTGATCTCCGTCTCAATACCATACGCTAGGCAGGCCTCCATTTCTGTTATTTGGCGTATAGAGGAGGCGAGAGATTCCACAAGACGGTCACGTGCTTTGACTGGGAAGAGCACAACTTCCACGACGAGGGCGACAACTCCACCAATGAAGAAGGCAATCAGCCGTTTCAGAAAGTTTTCGGTGGCTGAACCGGGAACAGTATGATCTTCAGTCGCAAGAACTACTATTGACATTGAGATGATTGTGACCATGCCCGCTTTGATATATTTAGATCCAAGTTGGATGTAGGTGGATGGAATGATGCCAATCACTATGATCACCACAGCGACTATTCTGTTACCCTGGCCAGCTTGATATGCTGCATAGCCCCACACACATCCGATTGTTGTTCCAACAGCCCGTAACATGAATGTCATAACAGAGGTTCCAATAGCAACTTCTGTTATGAGCACCAACTGCAATGCAGCCCAGAGACCTCTGTTCAAGGAATACCAAGTATTCCACTGCACAAGAAAAGCCGGCCAAGTTACAAGAAAGACAGCAACAGTCAACTTGATAGCGTATAAGATGTCATCGCTGCCAACCAAGTATTCGATTGTGCCAGCTAAGCCGTTTCGGAATCGAAACATGCGTGTACCTATTTTCTTTCGGTTTGCAGATTGTTCTGGGATCTTAGGCGATGGTGTGGGGGTGTCCTTTTTTGGCGTTGCTGACTCCACGTCCTTTTTAGCTAGTAATGTTTTTCCACTATCGATGCTTACGCCATCATCCGCAGTGTCGTCGTCCTTTTTATTGCCTGTTCTTGCGTCCTTTCGTGCACTGTCAGGTAAAGCTAACATATCCGCTTCACCACCAGAGTGAAGCCACCTTCTCCAATTGATTTGAGGAAGATAAAGTCTTTTTCGGCTATGTCGTTCCTGTCGTTTTTCGACCAGAACCCGAGAATGTCTAAGCATTCCCAGAGTATGCAGGGCGGCTTGTCGTAGATTCAACAAGAACGAGGAGATCAAAAATGTCTCCATGCGAGGCATTATATCAATTTGAGGCCCACCAAAATAATGCAGCGCTGCAGCACCTTCCAAAGCCGATGCAGAAGTTCTATCAAAATCGGCAATCGCATCAATTAAGACATCGACTCGAATGTCAATCTCCTCAAGTCGAATGCCGGCAGGTGCTCGAATCCCTGATGGTAGTTTAGGGACATCGTAGCAATAAGCGAGGGATGATGAAACGACATCAACACTTCTGTCAATCTTTTCTTGAAGATTGGACAATGGTTTTGCAATACGCTGCACAAGATACTTCAGCAAATCAACATCACCATACTCGATTTCTCTCCTCGGCTTGATCAACTCCAAGTTTTCCATCTCCTTCTCGATCAGCGACTTAACCTTTTTTCGATCCTTTCTCCTTTTTTTCTTTTGCTTGCGCCTTTCCTTCCTTGGGGACTTTTTCTCATCTGAACTTAAGTCATCATTTGTATCCATATCTGTCGTTGGCCGTGATGAATCCTCCGCTTCTGGACTATCGACACCAGCATTCTCGGCCACTGATTTGAGCTGCGCTTCGTCCTTGGTTTCGGCCTCTGACTTATCACTCTCATCACCCATCAATGCATATTTGCTCTCACAAGCACCGATCAAAGCAATTGTGTTAGCCACAAGTTTCTTCATCTCGACATCACTGATAGGTTTCAAATCTCTCGGCGGAAGAACGGCCCACGTAAGCTCAAAATTACATTCTTGTTGAGCTGCCTTGCATCCTGCCAGTTTGGCACGTAGTTTAGCCTTTTTGTCTGTCAAAGATTTCAACTTCACTGGTTGAAGACCCTCCTCGACGCTTGTTGGAACTGGCTCTGGCGCTTTTTGTGTCTTGTAGAAAATGGATAGGAATTTTTGCCTCAAGGTCAGGCCGTTGAATTTGGACTTCTCGGGAGGTTTCTCTGCCAGTGTCGGAGGTCTATTGAGGTCTTCACCGTTTCCACTTCCACCTGCACTATTAATTATTTCTGGATTTTCACCCGCAATGGCACTTTCCGAGCCTTTGGCACTGGCAATGAAGTATCGCCCGGCATCCCGCAAAGCTCCAACCGATTCGCCAAGAGTTTCGATGGTGGTGATTCCTAAAAAGCTACTAGAGAACTCCGGAAAAACAAGGGTGTTCACAGCAAGTAAAACGGCAATAGCAGTTACGATTGGATAGACAAGCTGAGTGACTGAAAGTGTTGTAACTGCGGTAGCTGTACTAGTCATACTAACAACAGCTACAATAAGTAGAAGTAGCACCATGAGAAATAGACGCGGTGTGTGTGATCGTAAGAATCCATGGAAGAGCAACGCTATCGCAAGAAATATACCTCGGATAGTGAATGCTGCTTGAGGATTACTATGGTATATGAGACTCGATAGGTATAATGCGAGCATAGACCAGGCGACTCCAAGCATTGTTCCTGAAAGAGCCAGTATTAGAGCTTCAGCCATCATCCCAAAGCGCCTCCCTGGGTGTCCAAAGACCGAAGTCATTGGCGCGAGGTATGCGGCTTTCCCATATATTTCCACTACTCGCGGTATTATCGCAATGATAATACAGATTGTAGTGGCCAAAGTATTCTTGAGCATGCGCTGCCACAAATGGTTCGTCTGCAAATTGGTCCAGATAGCTCTCGCCCTCTTCTCCGCCCATTCCTCCCATTTTCCTGAACCCGAAACCGACTTCCCCATCATGTATGAGTGTTATGTATGTCCCGGCGCATAAAGAACTTCACGAAGTCTTGAAGGTTGGAATCGTATTCGTCGTGTATCGTTAGGCATTATATGAAAAAAAGGAAAGGGAAAGATCAAGATTGGGATATATACACCATTAAACTCCAATTGAATACATCGCAGAGAAAGAGTATATATACAGATGAAGTACAACAAACGAGTGTTGGGAATTTCTTCCAAAGCATGAAGATGTCTAATGATGACCCAATTTTTGATGTATAGTGATAAATTTGCATGCATGGGCTTCATTGGCTACTGTATCCGTACCTATCAAAGTACCTACGTAGGTGCCCCGCGATTAATACCTAACCAAATCCTAAACAACGATAGCAACATAACAACATCAAGAGGACGTATTGATTTTATCACGATGGCGCCCTCTTCGACAGTAATCGTAAGTATTTATCCTTGGACGATCTATCGTATATACTCACAATCAAAGGCTGTACCCGCTAACCCTCACAAAGTCCAAACTTAAGGTCCAACTGAAGCTCTCGATTGCTCGTCTTCGTATGGTACAACAGAAAGATGAAGCTGTATCGAAACAACAGCGTCGAGCTATGGGTCAACTTCTCGAGACCGGGAAAATAGAATCTGCAAAAATCCGAGTCGAGAATATCATCCGGTCCGACATTACTACCGAACTTCACGAAATCCTCGAGCTCTATTGCGAGTTACTTCTTGCGCGAACGGGACTTATGGAGACAGCGATTTGCGATCCAGGTTTAGAGGAAGCTGTCAAGAGTTTAATATATGCCGCGCCTAGAACAGATATCAAGGAGCTACAACAAGTGCGGGCATTATTGTGCGAGAAGTATGGAAAGGAGTTCGCATTGCAGGCTATGGATAATAGTGACGAGAAGGTCTCGGAGAAAGTACTCAAGAAGCTATCTGTTACTCCACCAGCGAAAGAATTGGTGAATGGATATCTGGAGGAGATCGCCAGGACATATGGAGTGGACTGGCCAAAGAGACCAAAGCAAGAGCTCGGACAACCCCCGGAATTTGTAGATGACGACGATGACGAGAATCCTAGTGGCGGACAGGCGCAAAAGAACTTAGAGGCGTCGCTGGTGGCGGATGGGAGATGCGATGAGGAGAGAGAGGAACTGATTAAAGCTACCCCACCAAGGAATTTCGGACCCTCGAGCCCACTGAGAGTTAATCCACCGAGCCCGAGTACGGACAATTTACACCCAAGAGTGCGTGGCGCACTGGATTTAAAGCCAACGAAAAAGATACAAAGCGCGGCTTCACCGAAACCTGGCATTCAAAGTAAAGGCCCAGTTGGAGGTATGATACCAGATGTGGATGAGTTAGCGGCCAGATTTGCAGCACTCAAAAAATGAGTGAGGTCATAGGATATTTCAAGCGCAGGTGGAGTCGGGAGTTGGGAGGCATATTTAGGCAGGTATAAGGATAACTTCTCAGTCTTACGTCTATTTTAACCACGATTTTTGGGTATTGTGTAACTATTGAAAGTTTCATTGCCTCAACCCATCAAATGAAGACTTCTAATGTCCAATATGAATTCGCACATTCAAAGTCTTCAGGAGAATGTGTGGATGCGGTGGATGCGGTGGGAGAGGTGCCGCAACAAAAGATGTTATGGGACGATAGTTACGGAGTGAGGTCACAATCATGGCCACTACAAGGCATAGTTTAATCATGAAAATCCCATCCGTTAACAAGCTCGTCTCCTAAGCTCTAAATTCTGAAGAGATCCAACGAAATATCCATTTTCGTAGCCATACCTAAGATCGCGACGCGGTATCAAACTTCATGCCCTTTCCAAAGCTTCTTTCGGGGCCATGGTAATCATGCAGTAAGGGCTTAATGTTTCCATCATACCTGCTCTTTTTCATCCACTCCCCCACAGACCTGATTCTCCCCGGCAAAATCTCGTCCATCAGAACCCAATCCTTTCTCACTCTGCCACTCTTCCAAAAGTTCCAGAAGCCCCCAAAATTCTCCCGATACGTCTGCAACGTTCCTTCATCCCCAGGAGCACTATGTCCAAACTTCGCATCCGGATCTGGGAATATCCCGAGATCGAACCAGCCCTGCAACGTCACATCCCTATACACTGTTTTCTTCCCAGTGACCTCAGTAAACGCAGCAGGTATATCAGCCCAAACAACTTCCTGAGAAGCAACATGGAGATTAAGCCCATTGCTCTTTTCCGGATGGTCAAAAATCCATCTAGCATACTTACCAAAATCCTCCAACGCAATCAACGGTGCACTTCCCCTCGGACCTAACGGCGCACTAAACGCCAAAACTTCCGGATCCTCCTTATCAGGATGAGGAGCTAACATCTCATTCAACATCTCCATATATAAGCAGCTTGTCAAAACACTCCACTTCATCTTCTTCTTATCCTGCACGCTAATCCAATCCGCCACTTTGGCTTTCGCATCCATATGTCCATCTCTGTAATCATTATCGAAATCTGAGATTTTGAGTGAATATTCCAGACTGGAGTACAAGAAATGCTGCAACTTGTGCGTGCGTGCGAGCTCGAAATATCGGATGCCCCAATATATTTCGGATTTTTCGCCGATGGCCCCGCCGTTGGTGTTGACGAATGCGTGCGTGCAACCTGAGAAGGCTTTGTGGAGATCGCTCTCGGAGTAGATGTCGCCTTCGATGATGGTTACTCCGGGGAGCTGGGCGAGCTCTTGTGCGTGTTGGGAGTTGGCTCGGCGGGTTATGAGACGGATGTTGTAGGCGCCGTCTTGGGCTAGTTCTAGGGGGTGTTAATGATGTTAATGGGGTTGGAGGAGTATGGGTAGGGTTTATAAGTATATACCTTTGACGACGGGAATGCCTTGGACTCCGGTGCCTCCAATCACTAGGACGAGGGGCTTGCTGGATGCCATTGTGTTTGTAATTTTACGAATTGTAAATTCAAATTTAAGTTAAATATTGAAATACACTGAAACGTTTGAACTTAGTTGATTGACCTGACCAGATTCTTTCTCAAAATATTTTCCACAGCGACCACAGCCTTCACCATATATACCTTTCCCCATATCACTAATCCAATCTCATTCCTCCCACCTTCTCGGCCCAAACTCGAACCACTCACACATCAATATTTGCATCATACCCATACCTCCACCCAATTCACAAGGCATTTCTTATTATTAATCATTCCCTCCGCATCTAAATCCGCATCTCCATTTCCCAATTTTCATACTGTATCCCCCGCGCACTCTCTTTATCCGAACGCCACAATCGAGGTCCCATTTTAAGCGAGCCCCTCAGGAGCTCAGGAGTCGATGTTGAGTAATGAATAGTAATCACAGAACAAAAGAGACTGCTTACTCCGCAACGCACGTAGAAGCTCTGATGACTTGATGAAATGAAGTTGCATTATTGGGTGTTGTGAAGAGAGTGCAACGCGATGGGTTGTGCCGATTCTTGTTTGATGATTAGTTGGTTGGTGGTGGCCTCCTCCGTGTACGACCATGTAGTTTATGGATAATCATACTGGCATCGGTGTTTTCTGACATTCCTTTGTGACTTTTGGAGATTTTGCTTATATCTTTGTCCAAGTACTGACTCGATTGAGTGTTCGTTTCGAGACTGTATGAAAGCCTTTTAAATGAAAACCCTTCTAGTGATAAAATAGTAATCAGGCATCGAAGATCCTTGAATATGTGAATACAGTTCATCCATGTCAGGGAATTGCGGTATAAATTTACGGTCCAACCCAAGTCAAGACAAAAAGGATATCACAAATCATTCCATCCCCAACATTTCAACTCTGGTCAAAACTTAAAAAAAAATCCCCTAGAAATTCGGGACAGCACACCATTCAACCTTGAATTTTCTCATTTTTTACAATGTCGTCCCAATCAGCAGAAAAGATTGCAAGTATTCTTGAGCGTAATTTGTCCGTGGAAAATGACCTTGGAATTCTCCGCCCAGGTTCTAATACTGTGTCTCTCAGGAGTTACTCCAAGATGATGTATGTTCAACCGCCACCACTTAGTGCTGTTATAGAGAAAAATAAATCACTTGGAAGACGTGGCACTGTGATCGGTAATCTTTCTACGCTCAACCAGGATCAAAATCTCGTCTAACATCTCCAACAGTATCATGCGCCGACCCTCGCATCACCCCTGAAAGGTTTCTTGGTCTCGAATTTGCTGGTAAAATGTTTCCTTCATTTAAATTCTTTTGAAATCTCCAGTCGCTAATATCGTCCACAGAAGCTGCAATTGTCCGCAATGGAGGGGGGCGCACTCGTCCTGCGCTAAGTAGCCTCCTCGCTCTCGACAGCCTTGGAAACACTGGCACTATCATCGTCGTTCATCATACCGACTGTGGAATGTCTTATTATTCGGAATCTGAGTTCCAAGATAGATCAAAAGCAAAGCATCCTGAGATAGATCTACCTGTCGGGGAGAAATTTGGAGCTATAGTAGAGTGAGTGCTTTCTATTGTGGGCCCTGTGAAAAAATCAAGTGCAGTGAGAAAAGAGTTCAAATATCAAGTATCTACTAACAGACTGACATATAGCCCTGAGAAAACGGTGAAGGAAGATGTGGAATATTTGAAGTCGTTTGAGAGTTGGGGTGATGTGGAAATTGCAGGCCTAGTCTTGGACACATTCTCTGGAGTCCTGAAGAGGGTTGTCTGAATCGGAATTTGATTAGTAAAGTGTGTCCGACTGCTTCTTGATTTTCGAAATATCTCGTTGGGCAGTATGGAAGACCCTCCTAAAGCTTTGGTACTTGGCCCAGAGATTCTGGAAGACAGAATTCAAGTAGGATTTGCTAGATATGATGAAGGATAGGGCAACCATGATGGTGATGCTTGTTTGTATTAACGCAGAATGCTGCTGCAGAAATCTTAATCGTGAACCAGTCTTAATATCATGCCTCAAAATACGACAATGTGTCTCTAGAAAGTTCGGAAAACGCAGATCATGGACCCGATGAGAACAACATCACTCCTGAATATGTCTTAGAAAATCTCAAGGAAAGCACATGCTACAGATGGCATTATCAGGATGGGATGAAATGTGCAGACAGACCATTCACCTCTCCTTTTAAGCACCTGGACCGGAATTACATCTCGTTAGATGTCTTTAACAATGATCGCCGACGGTCTTCATAACATCAGAATCTCAGACGCCGTTTATGCCCGATGATACGGTCGTACCAAAAGTCTTGTAATAGAACGTGACAAAGCATGGGAAACTACGCGCCCAGTCGTCTCATATTCAAGGACCCATCAGCGCATGCTAAAACTAAGCATCTAGTTATTCCTTTCTGCACTATCAAGGGGGTCAATAACTCAACCGAGCGTACATCATATATATTTCCCAACTCCTCGACTTCCCACTACTCGAGTACTGACAACACACGTTTCTTCGAATCGTCTCCATCTGAATTATGTGGTATTCCTTTTGCCGCGCTTCCGAATGAATTTTCGAGGGTACATCTATCGTATATATCCAGACGCTTCTTCCACTTTTTCCCAGAATCGTTTGCGTTTTCTGATTCTGATGCCATTGCTATTGCTATTGCCATTGCCGTTCATGAGTTGGAATCTGGAGTCTGGAGTCCCAGCGAGGGAGGCTACAGTACACCCATGTATGCTGTTGGGGATGATTGATCTTAATTTATGCCATAATGAATGTTTACTATTTAGTGCTGCATATACACCACGATACCAAACAGAACTTTGCAAATCAATCCTTCTCATGATGAAACGATGGAAAATTAAAGAAAATTAGTTGGGAAAGAGGGAAAGATACTTTGAAGATGAGCTCCCAAGGTTCGTGAGATAATACAGTTAAAGTATAACCTCATCAAACTATGTAACCATACCACACCATAGCCACCTCCCTCCCAATACAGTACAAACATTACATTTTCCAAAATTGGAAAGCAAGAAAAGTAATCTTACAAAAGTAAAGAAAGATTACCCAACTCCAGTCCCAATTTCCAAATCACATAATATATACGAGTACTGTAGCTCGGTGTGTATGTAATCTTACCTCAGTCTATTCTGCATGAGACATGACAAGATGAGACCTCGGAGTAGAATCAGCGCTATGATCTCCTGTTCACAAAAGAAAAGAATTACTCATAGAGTTGAGTACTAACTAGATAATATGTCCCTGTCCCGCAAGTTGTGACAACTAAATCACTCAAAGCCGCGTAAAGACAGAAAGATATGTCCTCCGAGTGCAATTGGAGTTGAAAGTATTTGTAGAATCTGGTTATCCAATCCAAACCTTGTATTAATATACTGAATTCTACAATTTTTCTGAAACATATGTCGTCGACCAAAATTAATAGCCCTATCATACATCTAGGAAGAGATGACATCACTATGCCCATCCATTTATGCACCTATGATCCCATCATCTACACTTTATGCCTCAAGTTCGACCATGCGGGACCTCTCCTCCCCAAACCTAGCTCCTTCTGTTCCTTCAGCAAACTATACTTACTTATCAACTTCCCCGTACTTATCCGTTTAGTTTCTGGAGCAGAATCTCCAGAAGGCGAAAGAAGTTTACTCTCTGATCTGTCCCTTACCGTCTCCTCGACTTGGGTTAAATATACTCGCCTATAAGCTCTACCCGCGACGGGTCCCCCAGGCTCCACCTTGATCGCTTCTTCCTGTGCCGAATTTGAACGGGAATCCATAGTGCTAGAAAGGGATATGGCTCTTTGCTCCGTCTTTATCGCGTTTCCCAAGGCCACAAATGTTCCTCGCGTCTCCTCGCGCCCCTCTTGTTCCTTACTCGCCACTTTCGGTTCCTCCTGTCCTCGTTCCGAACGCTCGCTAGACGGCATCTTTCGTTCGTAATGACCATCCAACTTGACTTGTTCACGTTCTTTGTACAAAATTCTTGCTGCAAGCCTCGCTCTGTCCGATGTCTTTTTCTTCTCCCGTCTCGCTAAGTTCACCTCTTTAAACATTGCTTTAAGAGTTTCCTCACGCGTATCAATCTCACTCTGTTGTTCGAGAATGTGCTCGAAAGATTCGCCTTTCTCTTTTAAGCTCGCGATCTCTTCCTCAGCTTGAATTAATCTCGCAGTTCTATCCTTTTTCATCTCCCTCCCCCTTTTCATTGTGAATACCTTGGTTCCCTCAGCTTTAGCCATCTCATCCTTTGCATGCGGTATCCATTCGTCTAGGTCATATTCCTTTTTGCCTGTCCCCACGACCCATACAAGTTCTCTCCCATTACTAACGGGCCTTACATCAACCTTGGAGATAGCCGGCAATTGCTTCAGGATGACTTGGGGATGAAGAGCTAAGCCACCTGGCGTCTTGAGTAATTCCTCCAACATCTCATATTCGCTGTACCTACCCCGACTCGTGAAATGGACATGAAATTCTGCCTTAAAATTGAATGTTTCTAAGAAGTGATAAGCTCTTGCCAACTTCGAGGCCATATCAGAGCCGGTTTCGGCTATCTCGAAGTGTATTAGTTTTGCACCCCCGCGGCCACCCTTGAAAGAGAGTTCCTTTCCAGGTTTTGGCACCATCCAAGATTTGCGTTTGACTAGAAGGTATTCGTCTACCTGTGCTGCGCCAACCTTAATGATGTGCTCAGAGACGTCACCCACGTCTTCGGCTCCTCTTATCTTAATGTTGTTGTATCCAATCCTAGGCACTAGCATCCAACTGGTGTCACTGCCTGGATCCAGCAGTGCAGTTTCTCCATGGCAGAGGTAATCATTCATCGCTTTCTCTATTGTCATTACACCCATAAAGATATGTGGATTGCTTAGTGGGCGTTTTATCGATTCTCTCCATAAAACAATTCTCTGTTGTCTGAAATCATGCGAATCAAATAAGAGTTGCCTATCGTAATCCAATATCTTATGATTATCAGCTTGCAAAGCATTTTTTTGTGACTTTTGCGCGATCCGCGCCAACTTAATGGAGCGACATTGTTGTGGAGGATGAAGCAAGATGGCGTGGCGTAACGAATTCGTGGATGACTGCTGCGTTACTTGATGGCAGAACGGGCGGGCTGAGGTAATGCTCAAAATTCCATTGAAAGAGTTCAGTAAAGGACGTGAGGGAATAATTTTGGTAGTAATCATGACTATAGAGTAGTTTTAGTACTTGAAATGCAAAGAATTTGGAGTTGATTTGGGATTAACTTAAGGTACCTAGTATCTATTTTTAAAACCGGCAGAATAATGGAAGCGGTGAAGAAATGATTAAGATAGGCATAAAATACCTATAACCTCTGACCGCTTTTTTGAACCTCCCACCATATATATAAGCTATATCGGCACGTGCACCAATACCATACACACCCTTGTTGTTTTGTTGCACATCTGAAGACATTTCAATACCATCATCCCCAATTTGGACAAAGTTTTTGAAATTTCCATCAACTGGGAATAAGGTCAAATTTCTGGATGTTATTTCCGGTATGTTCTTAATCTTAGATCAAATATTATTGGCTTGTCAGCCTAACCCAAATCACATTTGCCATTCAATCTTCTCAATTACTGATCACACCAAACAATTAGGGGTCTGTCATAAATCCATAAGTCCTATTCCATAGACCGGAATCAAGTTCACAACGGATTTCTAAGCCTGAGGATAGACACCGGTATATGTCCGTAAAGCACCTCGGTAGGTACTAGGTAGGAATACTAATCTTCATTCTCAGGCTTAATAATGAAGCCAATTTCATCATCTGTACCGGGTAGTGCATTTTATGGACCCGTTGTAGGGGAAAGGATATATATATATACGAGTTTGTGTCGAGTGAAGAGAAGTCCTATAGATCAAGTATGTACTTGAATTTGAAGTTTCAATTCAGATATCATAGCATAGCTGAGCATAGCATAGTATATATCAAAGAAATATTTTTCTTCATTTTCTTTCAATCCTCATTACGAGTACTTAGTTAAACACGCATATAATTAACATCATTTATTACACCCTTCCTATCTCAAAAATGGCAATCTCTTCCTCAAACAATCGAACCGTCCTGATAACTGGTATCAACGGTTACTTAGCTAGTGTGCTCGGTTTACGTCTGCTACAAGCCGGCTATTCCCTTCGTGGCACCTCTCGTCGGCTCTCTAGCACTGAATCACTACTCAAAGGTCCTTATGCACCATATATCGATCGAGTGAAGGTATATGAGGTACCTGATATGACGATTCCTGGTGCATTTGATGAAGCTGTTAAAGGTTAGTTTTACTTACCCTACTTCCCACTTCCCCCTTCGGATCCCCCTCCCCCCGAATCTCAAAATCATGGTTCGGCTTTCATGATAAAAGACCAATTAGAACCATTCAAATAACAATGTATGAAATGAACTGGATTGACCAATATACACAGGCGTCAATGGAATATTCCACACCGCCTCCCCCATCGACTTCACCCTAACAACCTACGCCCAAATGGTGACCCCCGCCTTAAAGGGCACCGATTCCCTTCTCTCCTCAGCCCTGAAATCCGGATCTCAACTCGAAACAGTAGTAATAACTTCCTCCGTCATCGCCGTCACAAACCCTCGCACCGATGCCCACGTTTTTACCGAATCCGACTTCGCATCAGCTGCTCTCGCCCAAGCACAACTCGATCTCCAAGAAGGTCGACAGAGTTCCGGAGGAATTCTGTATGGCGCTTCCAAAACGGCCGCGGATCAAGCCGTGTGGAAATTCCGTGATGAGCAGAAACCTGCGTTTGCCATTACGACTATTAATCCAGGTGTAGTAATTGGACCTCCCGTATTCCTACCCGCAACAGGAGAAAAATTAAATGAAACACTCCGACCACTCTACAGGCTCCTATCGGGAGCAACCAAAACCATCCCTCCCAATATTGGCTCTGGAAGTTTTGTAGACGTCCGTGATGTAGCGTATATGCACGTCTGGGTGTACGAGCATCCCGAGAAATCAAACGGACAGCGTTATATCGCCTGTGCCGGATCTGGGCATGCACAGGCAGAAGCTGATATTTTGCGGGACTATTTCAAGGAGAAGGGTGAAGATGCTATTGTGGAGAATATCCCGCTCGGAAATCCGGGAGAGGGTTATGTAGGGTTTGATAAGGAAACGGGAAAAGTGGAAAGCGTGGGGTGGACACCTGGGAAACCGAGTGTGAGTGGGGAGAGGGCGGAGAGGGAAATGGGATTTAGTTATAGGGGGTTGAGGGAGAGTACGGTGGAGACTGCTGAGGCGCTCAGGAGTTTGCTTTGAGGGGGGATTTGAGAAATTTTGGATTAGAAGGTTTGGTTAAGTCCTTGAGGTCTCATATACGGATTTGAGAAATTTTGGATTAGAACGTTTGGTTTGGTCTTTGTAGTTTTCATTTACGGAGTTACATTTAATTCAGTTGTACAACCAAATAAATACAGTTAACATTTTTCTCGAAACGGTAACTACATATCCATATCCCAAATCCAACCCAAAATCCAAGCTCTCAAAACCATTAGTAATACCGGTACTTAATACATGTATCATATGGCTATCATGTACATACCCAACACATAGCTTGGGTTAGCTAATCCCAACAACGAGGAAGGAGGAAGGAGGAAGGAGGAAGGAGGAAGGAGGATGAAGGAAGGAAGAAGGAATAATCGATATAACATCTAGCCTGGCCACTTGGCCACTGACCTGACCGATCGGTCTACTGGCCTACTGGTTTAACTGGGTATTGTATGAATGTTAAGGTCAAGGTCAATGTTGAGGTCAAGACCTGTTGGTAAATAAATTAATATTTTCGCACGTAATGTAGTCTGTTATGGATGCTCTGTTTGATTTTTGATTTTTTTTGTGTTTTGTGTTTTGTGTTTGGTGGTTTGAATTTTGGAAAATACAATGGTGATATGGTGTGGATGGGATGTGGTGGATGGTTTTTTTAGTATCATACTGTAACATAACTCGATTATTTCATTGTGTTTATTGAATGTACTCGAGTAATGCTTAGTTTTGTTGGTTTTGTTAAATGATATGATATGATACGAATATGAGTGTATATATCAATATGAATACAAATACCATCAACAAACACCTTCTTTATATACAAGCCTATCCCAACATACCCACATATCAATCAATCAACAAAATTTCCAAACCCCCCCCCCTCCGCCCCCCCCAAAGACGTGATGCTTTTCTCGGTCTCTCGGTCTCTATAATAATAATATTCAATATTATTCATCGAATTCACATACATGCTACTATTGAGTTGACTTGGTCATGTTACAATCCGCTCAGTCACCTTCATACGAAGTAGGTTTCTAGGATGAAGACCATATGACGAGGGTTACATGAATGAGGGCTACAGGATGAGGTTTACAGAATGAAGGCCACAGGATGAGTGAGGACCACCGACCGCTCTACACGTATACCTACAAACAATTAACGATGTGTATATATGTATGTATATATATATGGCCGACTTATTATCCCTTCAAGATTCATTGTTTAGATGGTCATTCTACCGCATCTCCCATTTATGTATATGTATCTACACTGGTGATATATATCGGGTTTCCTTGGCATCATTTACTTGAACCCTCTTTTTGCCGAGAAATAAACAGATAAAGAAGGAAAGATTCAGTACTTACATCTTGTCATCGTATCGTATCGTATCGAATCCCACTACAAACCTAACTACACGATGATATTCCACAAGATACTATTCCTAGCCTTTGCAAGCCATGTTCTCAGCGCCATAGTATTAGAACGAGGAACCAAGAGCCTGCTCTCCTCCTCTTCCTCCTCCTCAACCTCCACCACCCTCCCCAACGCCACCAACACCACCAACGGCGATTTCTCCTCCAGTGCCCTCGCCGCAACCGCCACCTGCGGCAGCGGCAACCTACCCCGCGCCGCCACCAAACGCGCACGCTCCATGCTCCAAAGCAACACGACCGGAACCTGCGCGACCATCTTGCCCGGGTGGCCCTGTTTCGGGACCGGGATCCAAGGCAGCGATGATTCCTTTTCGGGGTTGACGAGTTCGTTTCGGCCTACTGTGTATTATGGGACGATTGCATTTCTGTGCAATTTGGGGGAGGGGCCTATGGGAACGACGGGGTTGGATGTTGAGTTCTTGGATGGGTTGATCTTTCAGAAGCATTGTGCGAATTTTACGCCGGCGGTGTTGGTTAGTGAGGGGGAGTGGGCGTATGGGTTTTTGGATGTCAAGACGGTGGGGGCGGTGGGGCAGGGGAGGGAGTTGTGTAGTCTTGTTATGAGTGGAGTGGTGGCTTATCCGGAGCCTATGGAGTAGAGTTTGAGGGGAGGAGGGGAGGAGGAGTAGGTGGTTTGTTGGCCTTTTCTTTGTTTATTTGTACTTTTGTACTTTAGAATATAATCGCATTTTGTTTCTTAGATAAATTGATGCCTTTTTGTACCCATGATGAATGTTGAGTATTGGACAATAGAATAGGAAATACTCGAAGCGTTGTTCTATAATAAACAGTTTGTTTATTCAATGAAGTAGATAGCTACTTCCTAATATTTTGATGTTTGAATGTTAAACAATACAATATGGGATCAATAGAAGATGAATAATATGTTTCTTCGATGAATTTAAGTAGTTGTTTCTTAATATTATGATATTTGAATGTTAAGTAATAGAAGATGGAATCAATAGAATGAGGAATCACTCGAGACAATGATCTACTAACAAACAAATTGTTTCTTCAATGAAGTAAATGGCCGCTTCTTAGCAATCATGTATGAATCAACAGAATATGGAATCACCGGAAATAATAATTGGCCTTACTGACAATTTGTGTCTATTACAAGCAAATAGTCATATAATTGAGGAAACACCGATTTTGTTTCCCGACAATCATATATCAGAATAGAATCTTGAACAGCAAGAATGCAGATTACTTAAATCATACAACTCACATTCACACAACTCATGTCAATAAATAAAATATGATTTAGTTCAGGGTCTTACTCAAGACAAGAACCTCAACCAGAAATGCTCGATATTTTGAGTCAATCTCGACATCATCGATTAGATGAGAGGGATAACCTTACGTTGATTTCAAATAAAGTACTTGATGATATCCACAGCCTTTCTTCGCGGGGCGGTAGGGTACTGAGATATCTACTAGGTATCCTTATCAGCTTATTTAAAATTAAAATTAACATCCCAGCAGTGAGCACTGAGTCCCCCCGTGCATCAGAAGTGTTTCATTATATATTGAAGAGATGGAAATGGAATGTCTTCAAACTTCGTTCTGATGGAGTATCAATGAGCTCAATGAGTTGATTCAGAAAAGAGAAGAGAAGAAAAGAAAATGAATATCAAAAATAGGGCATCAAACTATTAAACCCTAATGATGAGACTTCCTATCTACGTATTTACGTATTTACCTCTGATGGGTAGCGAATAAGAACTTCTTAGATGATATATGACTCAATATCTCATTGAAGTCATGCTCAGCTTTGTTCTTTTTTACATTTCTCGATTAGAATCACATGCAAAAAAGGAAAACCTAGTCAACAGTAACTGGGTATAATACTAGGTAGGTAAGCAGGACGAGCAACTGAGACAGATTCAGATTCCTAACTAGATGTATCTCCGTTCAATGATTCTCTTAATTACCTACTGATAGTATGATATGGTATCCCGTAGCATAACAAACATATAACATTAGTCGTGTGGCGTCGCTATTATGATATTATGACGTGCCCATGCTTAAGTTTTATTCACTACTGAAGAGCTCAGGGCAAGAACAGGATTGCTCGCGTGCTCGATTACACACTAAACTTAATTTGGTATACATCAACTTGGTCTGGCCTGGTCTGTGCAAGTGCGATTAAGAAAAGGACAAAAGAATCAACAACCCGGAATTCTTCTTCCTTCTTCCTAAGCTTTTGTCATATCACAATTCAATTCAATTCAACTCAATTCAACTCAAAGGTTTTATCAAAATACCATACATCAAAGAATACAACAATACACAAAACATCACATCACATCACATCACATCACATCACACACATTACATCGCATCGAAAGAATCTCCAAACTCTCTCTACATTACAATAACCTCTTGATCAAAACCATCCTAGTCCTCATCCTCGACACCTAACCCATCAATATTTAAACACACCATGTCGGATTTTCCTTCTAACGTCAGTACAACTTCTACTGAAGGGACTACTAGCACAATGGAGAACGCAAAGAACGCAGTTTATGACAGTGAGGTAAGCTATATATATCCATCTGCCAACGAAATTATCAAGCTCGGTATCGCTAACTATGAAATAGTACACACAATCCTTTGCACATTAAATCATTCAAGACATCAACTAATTCATCAATTTAGATGCATCTGCAGCAGCCAACGCAGTAGGAAACCATCCTTTGACCCAAAGTGTGGTAAATGGTACGATATTTTCTTATCAGAGATGCTCATAGCTATGATACTAATTATCTCTCCACAGGCCCATTGGCAGATAACGTGCGAGATCAATCTGCAAAGACCCAAGTCGAATTCTCGAATCTCGCAAACTCCCGCACCACTCCTGCCACTCCAGCAGCCAATGGCCAACAACTTACCCATTACCATTCCTTCTTCTCGAGCTTGTTATCATGGGACAATCCTCGTGCCTCCGGAATTGCATACCTCTCAACCGTGGCATTCATTCTCGCATCCCGATATCTTGACATTTTAAGATACTCATTCAAGGTCACTTACATGGCTTTGTTTGTGACCGTTCTCGCAGAAGGTCTCGGAAAAGTACTCTTTTCGCATGGTCTTGCCTCTCAATTTAGACCAAAGAGATACTACACCATCTCGAAAACTACTCTCGATAACTTACTGGGCGACGTTCATGAGCTTATCAATTTCTTCGTCATTGAGTCTCAACGTATTCTCTTCGCTGAGAATATGTTTGCCTCTCTCGCTGTAAGACAACCCAAAACCCTTGCCATAAATTTCAAAGTGCTGACCAAAATAGGCTTTCTTTGGATCTTTCCTCTCCTACTATTTAATCAAGCTTATGCCATTCTGGGGTCTTTCTCTTATCGCCACCTCCGTTCTCTTTGTTTGCCCTCTTGTCTACAAGACCAACAAGGAGTTCATCGACTACCACATTGCTCATGCTTCCAGCGTTGTTAACCAACAAACTGAACAAGTTAAGCAACTCGCCAGTCAACACGCCGCTCAAGTTGCCGAGACCACCAAGCAATATGCTGGAGAATATGCCCACAAAGCACAAGAGATGATTGGAAATGCTAGAAGCCGCTCCGGATCCCCAGAAGCTAGCAGGGTTACCTCACCAACACTAAAGACAAATGGTATCAAGGAGGAGGATTTCCCACTAGCTCCAAGGGAAGAGTTCAAGGTTGCACTCGCTCCTGAGGAAGAGCCACTCATTGCTGCATAAATGTAGTTACTGGGCGGAAGGGGGTCTCTCACAGCTCTGGTGAAAAGAGGTCAAATGATTTTTTATTTGAGAGGTCCAAATACAAAAGCAAAAAGTCGCATGAGGTTAGCTGAATGAACACAAGGGGTCAATGAAAATCACGCAGATTGATATGCATATGGATAATTACCATATTATGAGGTTTGATGAAGGAAATACGGGGACTTAGCACGAAACTCACGACAAAACTTCGTTATGTGTGAAGCTTTTTCTCTTTCAATTTTTTTTTTTTGAGTTGCGGGACTTTTTCAATTCTGTCATTCGCTGCCTTTTGGGTTCTTTCCAAGTTGGTGTGTGGTGACTTGTAATGGGAAGTAGTGGGGTGGAGTGGGATGGGTGGAAAGCAATGAGGTTATGGCTATTGATAATATTTTATAGGGAGCGTTGCTTTGTTAAGGACATAGGGCATTATAGTTCTTAAGTTTCTGAAATCAAAAAAATTATGAATCTTTAGACTGTTTGTGTGAACATGCTCCTGTTAGTGGTAATCGTTAGTTTGGTACGACGTAATAAAGTATATCTCGACTCTTTATCTCCGCGTGTGTGTGTGTGTATAGAAGGGAACAGGTGAATGAGAGTGTCGGATTCGCGCGAATTTGAAAATGTGGACTGAAATGTGGACTATGAATTAGATAATCCACAACGATACAATACCGGTAAAGGGTTCGACTCTCTTATGTATTGGCATATTTTTGTTTTCTTGGCAATGGTTAAGAGTTGAGAGTTGGGAGTTGGGAGTTGGGAGTTGGGAGTTGGGAGTGGGGTTTGGGAGTGGGGGGCTAGGACGTTGGAACGTTGGGAATTGAAGGGAAGGGGAAGGGGAAGGGGAAGGGAGGGAAGGGAAGGGAGGGAAGGGGAAGGGGAAGGGAAGGGGGGCGAGAGGAGAGGAGATGAAAGAATTGGAGGGGGAGTGGGCGAGGAGTGAGATGGGGAGGGTAAGCGGGTGAAGGAGATGATGAGGGATATGAGGGGTGAGAGGGTGAAGGGAGGAGAGGGGTGAGGGGTGAGGGAATGATGGGGGTGAGAGGAGAGGGGTGAGAGGATAGGGTGTGAGGGTTAAAGGAGGAGAGGGGTGAGGGTGAGAAAGGTGAGAGGGGTGAGAGGAGAGGGGTGAGGGAATGTCTACCGGCGGTGATGATTTCGGAAATGCTAACATTGCTAAGTCTTGACAATCATACTTAGATAACTCAAATAACTCAAATAACTAACCCCTTGGCTTATCTGATTTGGGGTGACACCATGATGTGATATTAATATACTCGAGTATTATAATAGAGTAACAGAGAGAGTAGATATAGGAGATGGATGGATGGATGGGGATTAGTGTTATGGGTTTAAATTGGTTGAGTGGAAGTTGTACGAGTTTGTGTACAATATGTGGAAGGTGAATGTGTGGAAGTTGTACGAGTTGGTGAGTTTGGGGTCTGGGAAGATATATAATGTATAATATATGATATAAGAGATGTATGATATCCTCGTATGATATTAGTATCTGGGAAGAGAGCTACACTTATTATTTTTATAGTTCTGAGATATTGTATGCTAGATAGATCATAGAGCATAATAATGTGTGAAGTTGATAAAACGGGAAATGTGAGTTGGGGGAGGGGTGAGGTATTGTCATTGTACTCGTATAGTTTGTGTGGATATAGATATAGATTTCGATGTAGACGTAGAGTAGATGCGGTGGAATTGAATGGGATGCATGGGAGGAGATGGAGGAAATGGTAGATGATAGATGGTAGGTGGTAGATGGTAGATGGTAGATTAGGTGAATGGATGGACACGGAATGGAATTTGTAGTAAAATTTTAAAATCGTACAGTGGGTGTACGAGTAAATAAGCTACAAGGTGAAGGAAGGTATAGTTTCATTATCCTTCATTTACTACCGGTATATGAACTTCGTGAATAGCAGCTACTAGCCTGCTAGCTTGTAAATATACTGATATTGATGCCGAAGCTGTAACAGCCTCTAAGGAGATCACGATCACTGGATTTGATGAAAAGGGTTGACATACATATCTGATCTGATATGATTGTTATTTTCCAAATCCGAGTTTACTGCACAGGTATTTATGAGGAACAAAAGTCGAAGGGGGCTAAAATGGATAGATAGAGCAAATGAGTGAGTGTGAATTGATGTTTACTATTGTAGTATTACTTGAGTAGTAAGTAAATGCAAAGCTAACAGTAACAGAACAACATGTACTCAAAGAAACCAGAAGATTGATGAAGAGTCATCACTATACGAGTAAAAATGACAAAGTAATCTTATATATGAAATGAAAGCCAAGAAAATAGGTGCTGTCACTACTGTATTGAATTTTCTCTCTTCTTTCTTCTTTCTTCTTTCTATTTCCGATGTACCGGTATTAACTACGCAAAGAAAAGAGGGCGATTGTTTTCTTGGGAGAAATAGATCTTTGGAGAAATACTGTAGATGTGTTGGGTTATTTGTTGAGGTGCATGTACATACTGTACTGGTATGGTATAGTGTGTTCTTTACTAGGCGGTACTGTAGTCTTGTGAAAGAGGATCGGTGGTAATAGATGATTGATGAATGATGGAGAAGATGCGAAGGTGTACTAATATAGCTATATTTATGATGTACTGATGATATATTTCTTCTATACTCGGTAATTATGGATATTTAGATCTTAATTATAGGCTTTATTTTGCTTTCTCGCGAATTCCGATTTCAAATTTTTAAGGAAGGTGGGATGGGTTGACTCGCGAGAGATGTTGTACTGTAGTCGCTAAGGAAGGAAGTGCTAGCAGTTGGAGAGGATATGGGTTGGTTATTATAATCTTATAAGTGGTGATTTTCTTTACATTATAGGTGATAGGTTTTCTCTTGTTTCTTCTATATCTGTGAGGGAGTTCTCTCTAGAGAGAAAGAGAGTCTGAGAGACTTTAGAAGAGGAAAGACTGGATTAGATCAGTTATTGTGATGAGTAGATGGTTTGAGAGGGGTTTGAGAGGGGTTAGGATAAATGAAATGATAGATAGATATATATAGGTAGGTAGTGTTTGTTTAATGTTGGGTGTGGGAGCTGTGAAGAATGGGTTTATTGAATGGAGAGATTAGTACGAGACTGGAATTTACAAGAGAGGATGGAGTCAAGGAGGAATGGAAGGGGAGAGGTTTATAGGTATGAGGAATATTAGCTTGAACTGTAACTTACTATAGTTTATCATTTCCAATTATCTAATTATCTAATCACCATTCGAGTCTCCAAATAATCTACATAGCTTATTCCCGGAAAGTCTAACTCTTAAAGAGTATCGATTAGTATACTTTAGTATAAGAACATAGAAGTAGATAGAATTTCTATACCAAGACTCGAGAGTATACCAGGATTTTATTTCAGATGCTATGTGATCGATTAGATAGTGAATATTGGATATTGGATATTGGAAGGAGTGTTGTACTATACTATTAAGTCAAGTCAATTCAAGTCAAGCCCAGTCTTTCGAAGGAGATATTAATACAATGAACCATAATAGATAATTATTCACGAGTATTAAGAATGCAGTAGTGAAGTCCAGTCCATTCATTCTTAATCTAATCACCGCTCTCAAGACCGCAGTTATGCAGGAGCGTTACGAGCATGGTGATTCTTATAGTAAACTATGATAGGGTTTTGTATATAAGATATTGAGGTAAAGTTTTGATTTAGTGATCTATTAGCTTGAAGACCATAAAGACTTTAAGCTTTAGCTTTTGATGAGATATTTTTATCTTGAACCTAGTGTAGATAAGCTTATAGTCAACTGAGCTATTTGAATCTTAAAAACCAAATGTATAACTTTTGATTTTCACAATATTCATAATAATTCTATCTTGAAAGGGTAGGTATAGTGCAAAGCGCAATTGTTGTGTACAGTAGTAGCTAACTGTCCGAATTTCACGAGATGAGGAACCCTTCAAATTAGCCCGGCCTCTATAATTAGAGGTAATCAGTACTCGGTGCAGTAGAGATTGTAAACAATGTAAAGTATCTATCAACCGATAATGTAATTGCATATCCTATCAATGATAATGAGTTGATACATGATACCTAAAATACTAAACCAGGAAACATGGTGTTGTCAGTAGTATGAGTAAAAAAAGCTAAAAGGAAGATTTCATTAAAATCAAAAACGAATTTAAAAAAAAAGAATTTAAAAGATTTAACAGGAACATTGTTTGGGTTTCCAGGGGACAACTTGAAAATCGATGAGTACATACATACCGGTATATAGCACTAGCTAATACATGAGAATGAGGAATAAGTTAGATATCACTAGCGACAAGTCGGAACGAGGTCATTGGTCATCGGTCGTAGGGAATAATCACTACAGTATGAGAAAATCAAATTACGATTACTAGTACTAGAAAAAATATATCACCGGAAAGAGACTGTTCTGTCACAAGAAAGAATAATTATATACTACTAGAAACACCAGTGGCACTCGAGTAATTGAAAAAAAAGAAAACGATTTATATATAGAGAAGCTTCTTAGTAGAATATACCAAGGTTATATATTTGGTACTTTCATATCACGACCTTCATATACGATACGAATCTACCGGTAACTAGTAAAATTAATATTTATATTTGCAATGTGATGTCATGACTAATTAATAAGGCGCTAGTATTAGCTCCTTATATTAGATAAATTGAAGGCGAAGGTTAATTTGGAACTAGTTAATAAGGGCTATACCCTCCCTACCTAGGGGTGCTTTTGAGTTGGGTCAGTATTGATAGTTGAAGGATTAATGATTTGTTTTAGCTGGAAAGGGTGTAGTGTGTATTCGAGTAGTGTGGCATAGTATCTAGCGGAAGAGAAGAATGAAAGACTTACTTGCAGAAAACTTTAATTTTAGGGTCGAAGTTGAAGCTTACTGTAAGGGTGTAGTTGAGACTAAGATGTGATAAAAATTGATATATGGTGCCCGAACCAATTTTTTACTCTTTCCCTCTTCTATCATCTAAGATTTTCCTACTATTTGAGGTATCCGCCAGTTTTGTTCTATGCTTTCATCACCCAAGGAGATAATTCAACACCTAGAAACCGGAACACCTGTTTAAAATCATCGAAGCTTACTGGACAACCTATTGTTAATCATTGTAAGTAAACATTTCATGATTTCGCACGATGTATTCATCGTGATTTGGATGAAGATAATAGTACCGCGATAAGATAAAGGCATATCCGTTACAATCATCACAATCGTGACAGACTCATATATTCTCCCGACCGATTCTATGATCTAGAGCTCGAAACAGTGCAGATATGATAGTAGATATAGAGGAGCTAGTCGTCCAAGAGACTAACGCAAAAGGTATTGGAGGGCTCGATGTTATGCAGATCGGTCAGACTGATACCGATTAAGGAGATCCGAAGTTTCTGCCAGTGGATGGTAAGACATATCAAAGACGAGAGGAAAGAGGAGAACAGAGACGAGATAAAATGAGAGATAAAAGAGGAAATAAAGGGCGATATATGGAACCCCGAACGACTCTGCACACAAGAGTTTGCAAAAGCAAGTCGCGCGATTGCAGAAGCAGAATTTCAGTGCTCTCAAAAGATAAATCGGGCAAGCCGAAAGTTGTACTAAACAATATCCACGTGACGGAATGTACTCAGTAGTCGAGGGACAGAGGTAGAGACTATATAGAAAATAACGTCACTTCTCATCTACAATCTCTATAGTCGTATGATAAAGGAGATAATGGCTTTGCAATCTACTCTAGGCTTACTGTCCTACAACGTTATAGTGGAAAGGATCCGTACAAACCAAAAAGAGTGTGAAGGGTACTCGGAGTAGCCTTCACTCCTGGTATGAATGAACTAGGAGAGACAGATTTTATCTTTGACGATTTTATCCATCTCGCATACAATGCGTTCTCAAATATCGAGAGAAGGGTGGAATTTCTAAGTTTCTTTCTGTTATTGCGATGACCAATGCGAAAGAGGCGGTAAAGAGGTCAACAGGTTATGAGTTTGATTCATGGATAGTTGCGGTGTGAACAACACTTCCAATCTTTCCGTCAATCCAAAATTAGGAATTTTGTATTTGCAAAGAAGAGAATAAACTTCTTATAGGGATGCGCTAAGAGAATGATGAAAATTGGCTATTTCCTGGAGCATAAGTGCAGTTACACTTTTTCGAGAAAGATGTGCGAAAACCCCGATGGGCTTTTGACAGTTCTCAGCCAATAACAGTGGGAGAAGAGTCTAAAGTATACGAAATACTTCTGCACCAGGAGAGATTCGTCCAAGCAGAGGCCATCAGTCGAACTTGGAAAAACTGGGGACAATTGTCGAAAATCGTGCACCAGACTTTAAGCTTTGTAAACTCGCACCCCCAAAAGTTTGCAATATGCATGAAAGGGGTTCTTCGAAATATGTGAGGACGTAATAGACACTAAATCCATTTACGATAGCAGTAGTGAGAGAGAAAAAAGTATGGTAAAATTCAATCGTATATCTATGCTATGTGGAAGCAAAGCAGGCTGAAGCGAAGAAAAGATGAGCATACTAGCAATCTTACGGGATGCACCCGACTTTTCAGATGGAAAGAGACTGATATAGAGGTAAGAGACATGCCTGGCCCGAGTAAAACAAGACAGGGAATATCTGTTATGAGAAAGCAGCAACTTCCTTCTTCGAATAGCGACGGGCGGAGCAACAGCATCAACAGCAACAATAAGGAAGCGTGTGAGAGCAAGTCGGTCGCTAAGACTCGGCCGAATACGATGTCTACTCAGTACCACCCGATCCAACACCACCCGATTTAACAAAATCAAGTCATTGATAGAGAAAAGGGGGCCGCCACTACCATTCTGGATACTCTGAATGCTGCTTTCAGCGAACCCATATCAATCAGGAACCTCGGCCCGATGGCAATTTGATTTCCACACTTCCTTAATCGCATCGTTCGCAAATTATCCAACCCAATAACTACGAGGAAAGAGGCATCAACTTCGACAACTATCAAGTCTGACCCAACTGCTGGTACTTCAACTAATCCAATTGTTCTTGGATGAGAAAAAAAAATTGGGGTTGTTTAAAAGGATAAGAGAGGATAAGAAGCCGGTATCATTGTATCATTCAATAACAATCCATAGCATAACTGAATAATAACCCATTTTGAAGTAGATATAAATGAACCCTAGCGTTAACGTTCCAGAATTTCACCGTGACCGGGCACTGCAGTACAAAAAATGGGGTTTGGTTTGGACACTAGTTATGAAATTAGGTACAGTAAAAGCCAAAAATGCACTACATATCGGCCACCGTAATATTCCGACCTCCCATAACCTCATCTCACATTCATCTCCCGTCCCAACCTCGATCCCCAAATGCAAAATGGTTCTCTCATTCATCCTAATACAAAACCGACAGTGGGTAACCCCATCCCCCATCCCTTTGCACACACAATCTGCGAATTCTCTCAACTCTCATCTCTAACTACATCAATTACAGAGGTAAAACCCGGCTTGCGAAATGGTACGCACCCTACAACGATGAAGAGAAGATCAAGCTCAAGGGCGAAGTACCTCCCCCATCCCTTTTCCTCGCTCATCCCGTTTCCCAGCTTCTAATTCATCCGCCACAGGTGCATCGACTCGTAGCGCCGCGCGACCAAAAATACCAATCCAATTTCGTCGAGTTTCGCAATAATAAGATAGTGTACCGTCGCTATGCGGGTCTTTTCTTCTGCGCGTGCGTCGATGCCAATGATAATGAGTTGGCATATCTGGAAGCCATACATTTCTTTGTCGAGGTGCTGGATAGCTTTTTTGGGAATGTGTGTGAGCTGGATTTGGTGTTTAACTTTTATAAGGTATGTCTTCCCTTTTTTGGGGCTTGGAATTATAAGGGGGTTGAAGGGGAAGGGGAAGGGGAATAGAAAGGGGAATGGAAATGGGAATGGTGCTGATATTTCATGATGGTAGGTGTATGCGATATTAGATGAAGTGTTCTTGGCAGGGGAAATCGAGGAGACAAGTAAACAGGTTGTGTTGACGAGATTGGAACATTTGGACAAATTGGAATGAGTAGGGTTCAATGGGGAGGCCCACCAAAATTGGCCAATAGTAAGGGCAGGAAGTGGGCAGCGAGTTGATACCAAAGGGAAAGCTAGGAGTTCAGGAGTTCGTTCGAAGGTGTAAAGGCTGGCGCAAGGCGAATTTACAGTCAAAACATAGATTCGTCACGCAAGTGGCACCATTATTGAGGTACTGTGATTCACATGTTTCTCTCGTACGAAATCGCGTGTTATAATGCTCTTCTCTCATCTTCCGTTACTAAAACTTACACTCCCAATTATCAACGTTCATATTGTTCAGCGAAGTCAAGAAAGTTCCTGCAGGAGTAAAATATTCTTCAGAGTCTGCGTAACTAACAGCCCAGATTGCGCAAAATATCTGCATGTACTATGCTCGACACCGGTTGTATCATCTGTCTTCGAGTTTCTTTGACGCCAATAGCTCATAGCTACAAGCAATCGTCGCCTGTAGTGTCCATGGATTCAGAAATATTTGTTATCATTGTAATCCTTTGAGGCTTCGGGAATTGCCTCTTGCATGGCAATATCAGAGCCTGGAGAGACTGGCGTACTATTGTCAAAGCTGGTGTGAGAAATTTCACTTAGAGGCCGGTCAAGTAGATGGCCGAGTGGATAGTCTACCTGGATAATATCGCCTGTAAGGTCTGAGGCCAAAGATGACATGGGAGACAAAGTAGGAGAGTTTTGCCGAGTTCTGATAATGTTAGTACGAACACCTTATATCTCTCCTGGACAATGTGCAACTCACGATGGGGAAGTATTGAATCTTCTCATTCGACGTTGGTCAACTTCATCCCATATCTCTAAAGCTGTAGGGCGTCTTCTTCTCTGGTTCACAATTTGACCTTCTGTTCGGTTCTCGATCAAGCTTTTGACGAAATCAGAGTAGAATTTCTCTGGTGTCTCTGATCGAATACGGGGCGAACCAAAACCTTCTTCCATATCATCCACTGGAGTTCCTATATCCTCTTCGCTAGATGTATCCACGTGCGACATTTGTCGTGGACAGATGTCCAAATCAGACTGTGGGAGTTTCAGAGAATACTCAGTCGGATCCGTTAATCTTACGATTGTCAAGCTTTGGCTTAATCCAAATTCTTCAGTGTAGGGATCTGTTTCTTTGAAAATTCCGCCTGAGACTGCGTCGTGTCGTTCATCATCCGAATGCATAAATCTTGTATCTTCAACATCATGCATGAGTTCTTCTTTGTCACCACGTTCGCCCTTTTGTCTGATTGTTCGCTGATGCTCCGCATTATCAACATCATCCATTTCCATAGAACGGGCACGCTTGCGGTTGGCTGCCATAATGGTAACCGCCACATTTGATATCGTCACACCAGTCATTTCTGCCACAGCTGCAATTGACATTCCTGTATCCTGTGCCATGGCGGCCGAGACCTTCTGCATGCGTTCCTCGATATCGGCAAGAAGTTCAAGCTTAACATTGCGAGCTGGTAATTCTGGATCTTCACTGTCGTCACAGTCCAAAGTTATTGCCTGCTCTTGTTGAGCAGAGTCCGATGTTCCGAGCGTCTCCCATCTCTCACTACGCCGATGCCCCGAATCTCGCTCTCGACCTTTGTATTTTATATCATTTAGCTTTGATACGCCATCTAGCTTTGGCTTACAACAATTTCCTCCATCCAAGCTTCTTTGCACGGCTGGAACCTCTATCCCGGCAGCCAGACGTCTTTGGGTGATAGAGTCTTCTCGTGTGTTCTTTGGGCACAATGAATACCAGTGTTTTCCGAATTTATTGCATAGCGAGCACTGGTACGTTTGCGGTGGCTTTTTGTCAAAGGCAGGGTCCTAGAAACTTGTCAGCAATCTACGGCATTGTTTAGGGGTCATGTATATATACCATGTTCGTTGGACATTGCTTGACCGAGTGGCCTGTTCAATGTTAGTGATCATTTTTTGCTCTGATATGAGGCCTCTGGGATAGGGACGAAATCGTTGTCATGAAAATTGAATTCGAAATGTGCTCATACCATTTTCCCCACATCTATTGCAAATGTAACTCGGTGGGACGTAATCCGAAAAACCACCACTGAGACTCATTTTACCTGAAGATTTATCTGATCGATACCCACCTCTACCGGAATCCACTTTACCCAATGATCGATCCTTCTTCGTGGTGTGTTTTTCATCAAAGACTCTTTCAATCTCATCAACGGAGGGAGGGCATTTTTCCTCAACCCATCCTTTCGACTGCCCGCTGGATGGACTATTGGCTTTCTTCCAATCCTTAACGTTTGATATGACTTCCTCTTTGTCAACCCCACGGTGCTTCAATGATTCCACCCACTGCTTGGTTGTGTTGGGCCAAGCTTTAAGTAAATGTGATGGATTTTTGCGATGCGCTTCGAGCCATCGAAGGTAAATCTTCATTATTTTGGGGGACGGTAGTTTATCGTTCAAATTCTTGGCTAAGTTGCTCAAAGAAATGCTCTGTAGATCCTCATCAGTTAATATTTCTGGGTCTCTGAAGAGAAGTTCTAATAAAGCTTCTTCCTCCCATCTTTTTTTTGGTCGACTCTCTTCTTTGGACACCATCTCGAGATTTTGAAGTTGATAACATAAAAAAAGTATTTGATTGAAGGTCTTCAGGAAAAGAGGTGGTTGTTGTTTGTTCGTTGTTGAAGGCTTCCTACAGCTGCCGCACGGACCATTCCTGTACCTTCTTCTCCGAATCCATCTGACTTATTCGAAGTTTATTGTTATGTCCTAAGTTTTTGTTACCTTATCTTACATAGTCGTCCGATAAAAAAAGATATTCAGAAGTCACCAATTCTCTGCTGAACATCAATACATCAATCATTCCAAGTTTCAGCTTGATAATGTCATGATCTCTCCAAGGGATATCAGACGGTAGTTGGAGATATTATATTCAAAGTACAAAGAAGCAATCTACCTCCTCATATTCTGATCTGTCAGCGGAAATAAGTCTCATACATAAACTACTATTTGTAGTATCCCAGTCATCTCGTCACTCCTTCTTCGATCAGAAAGTCACTGTGCTACTATTCTAAACACAGCATTGAAAGTGTCTCGTCTGATACAATCAATCCACTCTTGCTATTCTACGAGGACATTAAGCTTGATTCCGGCTTGATATCCTTTCGAACTTTTGAAGGTATGGACCCTCTCTATACTAGGTATCTGAAGTGCTGTGTTAGTTGCTAGCGGCATGTACTGATTCACTTCAATTGGTAGATCGTCAAACGCGAGCCTAGTCACAACCATTTCCATCGCTCTTGCCAGTCTTAGTTCTAATCTACTTGATATCGATTATCATGATTTCTCCTTCTTCCTGGGGAGTTTTGCGGTTAGATCAACTTCGTGGCTTAACTTCAGCTCAACTGCAGCTGACTGCGGCAGCGGCAATTTCTAATATGCCTATACCAAGCTTTTCTTCGTCTTCTTCGGAGGGTGACTTGTCGGAGATTTCAGTTGCTTACTCACTAGAAGCGACCATTCCAGAGGTAAGCAATATCGTAGCGACAATATCTAGAAATTGCTGATTCCTGACTTTACAATTTTGTTTCTGGTTTGAGTCTTTATTACTAACAAATGCCCTAGAGTATACATAGTCTGAAACTTGGCTTTCCCATCACAGTTCAAGCCAATATCTCCGACTTATCACCGACTGCTAGAACTTTTCCGAAGTTCAAGGAGCTAGCCGTGGAGGTACGCGATATGATCTGGAAGTTCAGCCTACCTGGACCTCGTATTGTTGATATCATTTACAACAAGGACCAGGACAAGTATCTGTCGTTCCATTCTAAGCCGCCTTCTCTTTTACATACAGTATGCATAACCTAATTCAATCTCATAGATTATGTTATCAAGACACACTCCCTTGCAGAGGCCCTTTCCCCCCGATGCTATCATATTCATTACTTTGCTGACAGCTCATCCGCTTAGAATAGAGAAGCCAGATACGTCGCTCAAAAGATTTACAATTTATGCTTCGAGACACAGTCAAACCTCGCCAATATTTACATCCGGTTCGATACAGATATCATCTACTTCGCCAATTGGCTTACAGGCTATAAATATGCCATAAATGGCTGGTTCGAACATGTCAACATTGGTCCGATTGGCAAAAAGGGACTTGGAAAACATGACTTAAGGTCTATTCAGAGAGTAGCTGTCAATTCTGTCTATTTCGACACCCCTGAATATTTAACACCAGTTCAGAAAATGCAATACTTTTTGCGATCTGTAACACCTATCCTCGACAGATTCTATTCACTGAAGAAACTCTACGTTGTCGTTGAAGATATCGACCCATATCTGAGAGGCGAAATTACCTTTGTCGCTATTCCTGACGACTGCCACCTTCATCCGGAATTCTGTGTATTTGGCGGAGCATCCGAGATTGTCAAAGGACTTGAAGACCTCAAGTGGCACCTCACCTCTCCTTGGAAAATCCCTGCTGTTTCTGTCGTGGGAGCTGCTCGCAGCAATCACGTATCACATATGGGTCAATATCAGATGTGTGAATGTAATGGGTTGATCCCTTTGCAGCCCGGTAGGGCTTATCGAAACCATCCGTGCGAAGCATACCATCCAAATCCAGACAAAACTGCGAGTGTAGTCGCCGAAGATGAAGGCACATCTGGAGTCGAGGATGATTTGCCCGAGGAAGATTGGGGTCTCTCCGAAGATGAATTGAAAGACTTGATCGCAGATGAATATTCGTACCATCGTTTCATTGAGAAGTACTGTCAGGGAAAATATGGTGTCAACCATGAGCAATGGCTTGGTGCCGACTATGATTTGCGCCGGTTTCCGCAGTAAGTTGCCATCTATCCTAAAGTTCTTGAAAAGACTGAGGTATCTAATGTTGGATATGGGAAGGATTATGCTATGATGCCAACATTTTCCTGACATGTCCCAGGTTAACGGGCTTTTCAGCATTTTGGTGGTCTTATTTGTCTAAATTTTTGCCTGACTGGGCTCATTTGGTTTAATGGAGATTGTACGAAGAGTTTGTTTTATGATATGATGGAAGGTTACTTGACAGGTACAGACAGGGTTTATATGTTTTTTCTGTTTCAAAATGAATGTGGAGAAATACAATGATGTATTAAGGGGGTCTGTCTACATTAGGGTGGAACTTCAGTTAGGAGAAATGATTCTCACATTTTCCTTTGTGTTGCACAATTAGCCAAGGGTCAAGATATAATAGGAGTGTCAAGCTTTGTATTTTAGCTTTGCTATGCTGCTCTACTGATTAAATCGAAATGGTACTTACTGAACTCCCTACAGCCAATCTTTAAAGAATTGACCACAGGGGCATGCCGCCCATGAGATAATTGTATTCCACACTCCTCGAGTGTGTGAGCCCTTTCTCGAAGTTTCTCTGCCGTGAAAAGCTAATCTTGAGTGAGTAAACCCTGTCTGTATATCATCATCATCATCATCATATACGGCAGCGGTACTTAACTCCATCTTCAGTTTCATTCTCAAGTTTGGATAATACAGTATTTAGCACTTCAATAAGTCCAATTCCCTTTACTTTAAACTAGGAAGTCTTACTTACGAGTACTACTTTGGAGGAAGCTCATACTATACTGTATACACGCTGATTTAGTTTGAAGGTTTAAATTTAGCTACTCTGCTCTATGCTACTCGTAAACCTATAATTTTATTAATTTATGTTAATAATTAATCAATAATATATGTAGCTCTGGAAATGTAAATTAAGGTAAAGTACTCAAGTATGTAATGGATGGGTATGGTGTATGTATATCAAAGGAATTATATGTATCTACTAATCAGATAGTAGATAGTAGATGAATTTAATATGATATGGTACGAGATGTTAGATGTTAGATGTTAGATGTAAATACCGATACTAGCAATAATAACATATATCGGATATTAACTTTTGAAAGAGACTGAATAAGAAGAGGAGATTGAAAGATACAAAGGGATGTATGGTGTGAAGTTTCACTTTTTGCTTAGATTTTGAAATGTGATATATCTATGCTATTTGCTCAATATGCTAATATGGTAAATTGGCATGTAACCGAGGTTATATGTGTAAGACTATCGTTGGAGCCTGGTGATGCTATGATTCCTATATTTGAGCTGGTCTTCGGAATCGGTTATGAAATAAGGAGACAGAGAGGAAAATATGGCTGCAGTCTAGAATATTTTGGGCAACAGATTTTTAACATTACTGGTTTATCATCTCGGGGGCCTTGTCTGATGTGAGATATTTCAATCTATAAACAAAATATGGTATTTATATCGTTACTACATGTCTATACTGTATCTATGCCAAGATATTATTAGCTTCAATTTCCTTCTTCTGCTCTGCCTCTAGACTTTCTACCTTCTCCCCCTCGCCCTTCAAAATCTCTTCAATAACGACACCAACTTCCCCCAAGAACCTTGTTACCTCCTCCTCCGTCCCAACAGTTATTCTCACACAGCCTAGACAACCGTGTTCCTTTCCTCTGAACCTAACTACCACTCCCCTGTTCTCTGCCAAACGTTCATACACCTTTCGCGCAACCTCGTTATCTGGCTTCCCCTCCTGATTCAAAATCTCCACTAGCAAGAAATTACTCGCCACACCACCCCTGAATCGCCCTACCCCCTTAACCTTCGGCAATTCCTTCAATAATCTCTCTCTCTGCCCCACAATCTTCTCTTTGTGCGTCCTCATAACCGATAATCCATCTTCTTGTAATGCCTGAGAGGCGAGTGCCTCTGTAGGAGAACTGATATTGTATGGTGCCTTCAGATTATTCAGTAGTGCCGCAACCTCAACACTAGCAAACGCAGCACCAAGCCGTATACCAGCTAATCCAAACGCCTTACTCAGCGTCTGCAACACCACCAGATTCGGCCATTCGTTCACCCATTCCGCGAGCGATGACCCCTCGGGTGAGAAATCTATGTATGCTTCGTCTACCACCACAATACCATTCCACGTCTTATGCAACAATATCTGTTCGATTTGTTCCTTTGGAATCAAAGATCCGGTAGGGTTTCCTGGCGAACAGATGTAGATAAGTTTAATGGGTTTTGGCTGGGGTTTCGAAAGTGTGTCGAGGATGGCTGGGACATCGAGACCAAATTCAGGAGCAGGTGATAAGGGCACTTTCACGAGTGCTACATCGTTGACTTGTGCTGATACGCTATACATGCCATAAGTTGGCGGGCATACGAGAATGGAGTCGACGGAGGGTGTGCAGAAACAGCGGAGAAGAGCATCGATTGCTTCATCAGAACCGACGCCTAGGAAGAGGTTGAGGGGATGAAGGGAACGATCTGTATGGTGGTGGGTGTTTCGCAGGTTGCACAAGAGAGATTTGAGAGGATGTTGGTGAGGGTCGGGATAGCGATTTAGCCCACGGAAATTGAGAGAATGGTTTGATGTGGTGCTATCGGGAAGAGACGGGCCGTAGGCATTCTCATTGGCATCGAGGAGGATATTAGTCCCATCATCTTTATAGTCACTGAATAGACAAGTGAGTCAGTAAACAGACATTGAAAATAACTCTCAGGTAGAATGCTTACTCTCGTGCGCATCGATATGGCTCCAATGCAAGAATATTTGGGCGAGCACATGTTTGCAAGTTGAAAGGAGAATCTAGACGTGAAGGCATTTTAAGTTGTGGTTGTTGCTCAATTGTAAGGAGGGGAGCCATGAATGTTGGCGGGGGCTTGAAATATATTTGGAGGCCGAGCTTGGCAGCCTTTATGCAAGGCTGACGATCCATTTTTATAAACTCGATAACCAATGATATCCACTTGACACACCCCTCCCCCTTTTCGCTCGTTTGTAGGATAGTTTGACTCTAGACGCTTGACAACTCAACACATTCGGAGAAAATACAAAAGCCAAAAAATGCTGTTTTCTTGAGCATCAATGCTTGTACACTTTTGAAGTGTCGTCGGTAACCTGATGGTTTGAATCATCATGTTTTGTTGGAGGGTGAACGCATATACAAAAGTTTCGAAAAGGCGTACTAGACCAGTATCTCTACCGTAGTCTTCCTCTACCGTAGTCTTCCTGCTCGTACTCCTTGGAGCAATCTCCTATATTTCTAGGGCAAAGCTTATCTCCGTCCACCATCCTCTTTTCAATCATCTCCATTAACATGCTTGAGCTGTAGGCGTGACAGCTTGGTCACGGAATACAGTTATTTCATTTTGCGCAAAACGAAAGCTTTTTCCGGATTATCAAGAAGGATTTCAGTTTTTTCTTTTGGGTTCAAAACAATCTTCTTCGATATCGATAAAGTTTTGTTGGGAGCCTGAAGAAATGAGCAGGAAATGATGCGGTTCTAGCCAAGTACGTTTGGGCACAATAAGGACTGAGATGCAAGTCTGTAAATATTTTCCTTATCCGGAGTAGCTGTGATTTTAACTTTAAAGAAGGCCAATTTGATATTGACAATGCTCAGAAATGCTCAGCGCTTTCCCTACATCCTATGTTTTGAGCTAGTTGCGCTTGCATAGTTGTACAACAGCCCACTCACTACTCGCAAAATTTCTTAATAGATCTCGCCCATGTAAATTTGTTTCGCAGCTCCCGTCAACACAACTTTCCACCTTTTGTCAACAAAGTCTTCTCGATAACTGGAGACTTCTCGTCGTATTTCATTGTATTCGCCAACTAGGTTTAGGCCTACTTTGATTGTCAATTTCCATCCTCTTTTCCTAGTCTTTCTATGAAATATTGTGTGTACTCCGTCTGGATGCCTTTGAATACAAAAAAAAAACATTAATAGAACACAGGTTTCAGAATGTCTTTTGATATAGAAATGTATTGAACATTCTAGTCATTCCAGTTTTTTTTGTACAACAGAGCACCCAATTACTTACCAACTATGTAGAAACTCGACTATATAAACCCTCTTAAAACGAGAGTCTTCATCCAGACCGCAAAGGCGACAAACAGTCTTGTTTGTTCAGGTCAAATGCGGTCTGGTGGTGGAGTGGTAAAGCGCCTGGTTGGAATCGAAAAAATATTCCCACCGGGGGGTTTCTCCTCCCGCCCCTCGAGGGGCGGTAAGGTTTTGCTAGTCAAAGGGGGGGGGGTTTTTTTTTGCTGGATTAAAAAGAGCAAACAGATAATAAATCCCTTTACTTTTTTCTATTATATATTTTTATATTCCTGTAAACCTCTAAGGTTGTGAAGCTATCCCCACTTTCGCTTAGATAGCTATTGAACCGACGACAATTCTGAAAGTTCTATTTGAACCTGTCCCACTTGCTTTCTTTCAAAAACGTTTAAAATGACAGAGTTTGATACAACCAAGGCTTCAATATGTTACACTCTCTGGGCATTAAATATAGCTTTCCCGAAACCCGTCTTTACAAAAATGATAGAATGAAAGATCGGGAAAGAACGGAAAATGATAACCAAAGTAGCCCATATTGGCCAACTTAAAATCGGAAGTCGGACATAAACCACTTTTCTTCTCCTTGCGAGGTACGGGACAGCTCCCATATGGATCTTCGAGTGTGGTTGAGGTCCGATATCTGATACATCAATGAAAACTCAATAATGGATAGAGGCTCTGAGGATGTGATGATTGCCCGGTTGAGGGTGTGAAGAAGGATTGTCAGACCTCGAGTGAAATCGTAGCTATTGTCACTTCTCCTCGATGATGTGTAAATGGAATGGATGGATCGATTAGCTTCAATTATGCACAATATGTACTTTTTGATCATATTTCCACCCCCTATTCCGATAAACTTCGCTGAACAGAATAGGAAGACAATAACGAAAAATTCTCCGGCGAGTCTATATATCCTTTCGCATCATCCACGTCATGCTCTGATTGCATATTAATAATCAAAACTCGAGGATACACTAAGATACAACGGAGGCGCGAAAGTGCGATGTTGGGGCTCTCCAACCAAGACCATCACAATGTAACATCACTTCAGCCTACGGCTCCGCTACAAATGACTGTTCTAGTTACCGTAATCCAGCGGCTAACTTAAATGGAGGCGAAGTTAAGCAAGATATTTTACTGTGCTCTTACTGAGTGAAGCCCCATTCAAGTTTCATATAGTGATTCTTTGCAGTGACGATTCCTTCTGAAGCTTGGGTACCCGACTGTTTTTATTAGCTATAGTTACGTATACGAAACGACCATTCTGATAAATAAAACGCAAGAGAGACATTATTGTGGATTTTCCATTCTCGCATCCCACAAAGAAAGAGTGTGAATAAAGCAAGGCTTGCAAGTTTGATCTGAAACTCATGTCCCGCATGTAGAAAAGAAAAAATGTGCGAGTTCCGAAGCCTGTCTGCAGTCCCCGTACGGCTAGTACTCTCTACAATTATTCGCGCAGTTGACTAAGACACTGGTTTCATGAATGTTAGTTGGGTCAAAATACTCTAAAACTCGTGAGATACGTACTTTGGGCTGACAGCCGGCCAGCGTGCAGCGCAAGCTGAGCTTGCTCCATAATTACAACAGCTTGAGAATCCAGATCCTCCATTGACCCTAGAATCCAACTTTAGCGTTTGTTCTCATTGAAAAAGTCTCTAGTCCCATAGTGAAACAGCTTGGAGCGAGAAGGTACTCGAGTAGACAGATGAATTACTTACTGATAGATATCTCCAACGTGATATGTTCCACGAACCTGTTTACAGAAGCCGCAATACTTGCCAGCGCTGGCTCCGCTTTGGGATACGCAACCAGTGTTGTAGGAACAAGCGCGAGCTACGAGAGTATCGGGCCCATCTCGAGGTGTAAGGCCTCCTTCGACTTCTTTGAAGCCGGAGACTGGAAGGGGCTCTGCAACGGGTTCTGGTAGAGCAAGGGATAGGGGTAGGAGAACGAGGAGTAGTGTAAGCTTGAACTGCATGGTGAAGTTTGATATTGAGAAGTTTTAAGTAAGTCTGCAAGACGTTGTTAGATTGCTGCTTCAAAAACTATGTTTACTGTTGAAATCGACGTTTATATAGACATTTTGACTTCATACAGCGACCCCAGACAGTCGAGGAGATTATCTTTTCCGGTCCTTGTGACCAGCGCTTGAAAGCCAAACTTAACAACCTCTACCAATGAAGAAACATCACTTACTCGTTGAAGGTAGGTTTTGCCGCCTCAATACAATTATGATAAGTTGTGGTTATCAATCGAGCCTGCTGATGAAAGTTGCGGAGCTCAAAACGTTGGTCTATCACCTGCGTGCAGATCTTTTGTTTCTTGAGGCTTTTGAAGATGTTGGGGCCCCGCGCTCAGCTCTTCTTTTGATGACCAAACAAAACACTCAAGCCGTCTTGGCTTCTTGAAATTGGATTCAAAATTTAAGCAAGATTCAGCGACTAGCGCTGCTGGCATCCGCGCACCAGTTCAGTCACCCCAATATCACGCTTGTTTGATTCTAGCGTCTAGCTGTGCTTAACGAACTTCTATTTTTGCTATACCCACGATAAATACCGTGTTGAAGGATCTTACGGCTCTGCTATCAAATATCGTTGGCCAGGACTGCGCAGGCTACGTTAGCACCAATCCCCAAAAATGCGCGGCTTGATCACTTCTCACATTATCAGGAACTCTTCTCCTGTTTTGAGCCCAGCGACTTACACGTGCTTTGTGGTAACGACTGACTGATGAATGATTGTTGATATCTTCATGAAGTTGACGTCGAAGCTGCATCGAAGGAATGTAAGATCTGTCCTGGTTAAGCCCGACTTGGCATCAAGGGTTGCAGGTACGTATCTTTTCTAGGCGTCAACATACTCATGGTGTGTAACGTTGTGCAAAATGGTAACGGAAGCGGTCAAATTTGACAAGCCATCTTAATCTAATCTATTGTGGGCAATTAATACAGCCTCAAAATGTGGAGTTGTTCGTGTCTGGAACGCTCAATGAACCGTGAAAGCCTACTATACAGTGGTGACACACGATCAATCATGATGCCCAATTGACAATAAGAACGTTTCTCTCGTCTCTTGGCTCTGCAAGTAAATCGTTCGATCGGTAGTTTGATGATTGCGGGGTAGAGGGGAGCTGTTGTAGCAGCATGATGTATCATGCAAGGGAGGATCGTCACTGCGCTTAGGGAAGAAACTAGTCAGGCTTTCAAAGATATTCTATAAGGGAAAAACAGCTATGATGAATAGTTCGTGGCTGAACACAATTTACATAAAAATGGTGAGAGTACCATGAGCAAAGGTAATCTGTTTCAAATGGGTTATTCTGAAGCTTTTGATATATTTTTGGTCACGATCACTTGACCTTTATTGTTTTACTCAACATGAAAGTTCAAACTTGGAATGTCTAAGTGGCTTAGATTTTGAGGGTCGGTCTTCTTGAATTGAGTTGAGTAATAAGCGTTAACGTTCGAAATGACCTTCATTAAAGCAGAGATGTTCATGTGAGTAGGTCAGGGCCTAGACTCTGACTTCTGTGTATCAAACCTTCAACTTCTTCGTGTAGAGATCTACGATCCCTTCCCGCTACTAGTATTTCTAGTCCATTATCTGGCGGGTAAGTTCGACCCATCATATTGCTATATATGTGTAGAGTGGCGAGAAGATCAAGGGCCCTTAATGCAGAGTTGAGAAACCTCTATGACACTTTTTCCCCCGAAAGAGCAGCGTTCTCAAACTCCCTTCCTCTCCCCTTTTTGACTAAGGAGAAGAAAGAGTTCTTCAATTTTAAGAAGAGAAGAGCAGAGGATTAATGAAATTTGAAAGGATACACAAGGATTTTAAGGTTCAGGAGAGGAGGGGAGAGGAGAGGAGAATGCCCAAAAAATATAGTATATTTTCTTAAAATATGTTATCAATATATATTATCATTGTTATGATATATATGATATCCTTCTGTCAGGATAGAGATAAACACGACTTTCTGAAAGGGGAGAAGAGGAGAGGAGAGGAGAGGATATTTACGAACTCGATAGGATATTCTATTTTCTCTTTCGGCTTAAGGGGAGGAGGAGAAGAGGGGAGTTTGAGAACGCTGCAAAGAATGTTAGACCGTAGAAAAGCAGCGTTCGGTTGTACTTTTCTGCGTTCAGTAAGTGCGAAGGTTATATAAGCTGCTAGAGCATATATTATTCATTATCATCAATATTCAATATATATAGCGTCGATGCGTACTCGGAGCCTTATAGGGCTAATAATATAGCACTTTCCGAGGAAGTATAACAAGTTGATAGGCAATAGATATAAGTCTGAACGGCCGTTCGCTCGATAGCATAAAGACAATAGATTCAGGTAGCGATTTCAATAATTATTGCATGGGCACCAGGAAGGTTCATCGCTTCCGGAGCAAATTGGGGTAGACCATTTCCTCGATCGTTACACATGTTAGATCTAATTAGTGAAGAATTAGCGTCTTTTTCCTGTCGTTCCATAAAGGTTGGAGGGGGATCCACTTTGCTCGATTGAAAAGGTCAATATCAACAACGCATCTTTGCTTGACGGTCTCACAGCGTTGTACTTGCTGTTAAATGGCAAGATGCTCTGGCGACCTTTCGAGATGGTGGGATAGATGTCAGCGCGGAGGAAGCGCTATCACCATCGCTCTATCAATCGAGGGAGGGCGATTAGGCGATTAACTCACTGCTATAAGCAGATTGCGCTTTGGCCACTTGAACAATTTACAAAGCCCCAGCCTACTTTTAGAGTCTTTAAATTCTTATTATTCAGGAGAAGCATCATTGTGAACGAACGCTGCTATTGAGCGGCTTACTCACAGTAATCGCTTGGACCGTGTCCTAGCCCATACTTAAGCCGTACTGCCGTACTAGCAAAGTAAGAAACTTCAGCGTTTTGCATAAATCAAGACATTAAGTTATAGAGGCTGAGTAGCTGCGATCAACAATGCAATTTCGGACTATACTGTAAAGTTTATCTTTTCTAAGAATGCCACGATACTACTACCTAGGTAGGTCTTTAATACTTCAATTATATATATTGATTTCCTCCCCGAAGTACTTAGGCAGTTAAGTAAGATTATATTAGAATATATAACATTACAATGCGATGACTGTCACATACGACCATAGACTAAGGAGAATTGGGCATCCCGTCCGCTCTGCCATACACAAGCCTTAGATCGGCAGATTAGTAGTTGGGTGGGTGACCACCAGCGAATCCCTGCTGTTGTATGTTTTTGCATTTTTGGTATCTGCTCACTTGCAGCTAGCTTGCTACTTGGTTGCAGGGGTGAATTAATGGACAGCACCCCTATGTTTGGCGAGTGCTAGACTAGCAGATGGGAGCTCTCGAGGGGTCTCCACATTAAACTTTTCAATTATATCAAGGCTTAGATCATGTAAGTGATACCGTATAAATTCATCTATAACAAATGCCAAGTGCCCAAGCTTTTGATGATGAAGAAAGGGCCTAGTGTTATACCGGTATGTGTTTCCAACAAAATGAAGACATCTATGTATATTTTATAAGGAGAATGTATAAGGGCAGAATCTCTCACCACCAAAAAGCTCGGACTCTAGTTTATGTGGTATAACAACGCTCAAATCATCAAAAGCTGGTACACAGCCCGGAGATAGAACACTTAATCATCTCGATACGACTTCTGCGCGACACATGAAATACACAACAGATAACTAGTTCGAATTCTGGAGCGAGGCCAACATCCTTGGCTACTTAGGTACACAACCCTAATTGATGATCAATTGATTATAGAACATCAGCCAGATCTGGTCTACCCCATCAGTCAATATCGACGGAATGGATGACTATACCCGAATAGGCCGTCCCATCGATTGAATAGGACATATACACAAAATTTCAAATTTAATATCGACGAATGGGACAATCCTATTCGTCGATATCGATTAGTATTTGTATTATTTGAGGAACATATAATATAATTCAAAATTGTAT